TTTTGGCTAGTGCGATCGGACTGGTCATGACGTGATGATTATATATATATCGCCGAGTAACTAACAATAACAGACTGACTACTAAAACTTAGAGTCTACTCCCGCGGCCCCCTCTCCACCCTCACCTCCGTCGCAATATGGATCCCCTTCCCATTCCCCGTATCCTTGATCTGCTCCGCACCATCGTCACCCCTATCAAACAGTATACTCTCCTCCGAATCATTGTCACCCATCCTGTTCCTCTCTGCCACTGCGCCCACCATCGTTGTCGGCAAGGTGCTGTTATCATAGACCCGCTCCCCATCCTGGTCTCGCCCGCCGCTGCGGCCCCGGCTCATATTGCGGGTTGAAAGCCTGTATGATTGCGTGTGCGACTGCGAGTGCAAGCGTGACTGTGCGTCGGAGCTTCCATAGTATTGTCCTGTCCCCTGCGTGCGCCGCCGGCGGTAGCCCGATATGTTCATTTTGAAGGAGCGGAAATAGGGGCCGTAGGTTGGAATGCAACTTATTATGACCTGTCACTGTTAGTATGTGTGTTCATATTACTTGCACTGTGCTAGCGGTGGGAGAGAGCCAGGTATAGGAATGATAGGATGATGGAGATATGGTGGAAAAACGCACCCCAAGCCCAATTTCAACAATTGACCAGAGGATGATCGCCTCGCTGTTCGAGTAGTTGGCGAGGTTCTTAACCGTGAAGATGCGGATGATCTGGATGATTGTGATGAAGAATCCGAGGCCGAAGAGGACGCCGAGGAGGACCTATGGTTTCACAGTATAGCCGCCTTGTCAGCTTTGTCTCTTGTGGCATAAGTCGAAATGGAGTTAGACAACTGCCGCTCACCTTCTGCCGTAATCGTAACTTCAACTTCGCCAGAATCGGCAGCGGAAGCGCAATGATAACCACGTCGAAGGCCAGACTGGTCGCCGCAAGGGCATAGTACGATCCGACCGTGTCGATGCACGTACCTGGTATTGAGGGGTCCCATTGACGTGCGATCTAGATCAATCAACCCTGTTATTCTTTCACGTCTTGTCCTTGGTATATAATTAGAAGGTAACTTACCGGCCTACACCCGCACGAGATGACAATGGTAAACACAATTTGGTTACAAACGCAGGCCACGATGGCGACAATGATAACCATTCGGTACGTCCGGACAAAGCCCCCAATCCGCAGGTAGGATGCTAGAAGCGAGATTCGAAATCCAAGCAAGGAGATTGCGTATACGGGTCCGCCCGCGTATTGCATCTGATTCCGTCCTTGTAAGCTGAATTCATTACACCACGGACAAAACGGATAGCATAGGTAGGACACCAACCTTAGCAAACGGGATACTGTTAGCGGCCGGGAAGTAGTCTTCATGAAGCCCCAGTCCCCACCGTGTCTCTGAATTTGACCAGGCTGTTAGTCCATTATTCCCTCCATAAATCAAACAAAGAAGACCAAGCGATAGACATACGAGCAACTATAAGCCCAGCATACCCAACCGCCATAAGCGCACTAAACAGCGCCGCAAAGTCATCTACCCAAACGGCTTTCTTGACCCAGAGGCGCACATGGAAGCGCAGCGCAACCGTCAAACATGCCACGCCCGCAAATACCATGCTGATTGCGATAACCCGGGGGATATGGGAGTCCGGGTCGGGCGATTGGAGGTTGTATACCCAGCCCATGGTTCCGTAGAGAACAGAGATGGTGGTGAGTATACTCGAGGATAGAGGAGGCGGAGGACCGGGGCGGGGGTCGAGGAGAAAGTTAAGAAAAAGAAGCAGTGTCAATCCAAGCCACGAGGGTGGGGTTGATCAGTGGAAGGAAAAGACGAGACTCCGCCCGCTTGCCTTCGATTTCCATAGTTCAAACTCAAGGCGCACCGACAGGGTTGATGTGGCATGGGTTCGGCCCAGGTGGCTGTGAGTGTGCAGAGCATATGGCAAAATGGCAAATCGTCATAGAACCAGGTATTATAGAAAGGAATTATAGAAATGTAACGCGGACTCGGAGCTAGTGGTACACTAGCAATTCAATCCTGGGAACAGCGAGGAACCTGAGTTTGACGGCCCCATTATCGATGACGATCGGCTGGATTGACGTTTGATTCAGGAATATCACGCATGGGGGCCAAATGGATCGGCGACAATGACACCGGTATATCCCCGGGCCATGACTCGAGTCATGCGGTCTGCAGAATTCGTATGAAAGTTACGGAACTGGCACCCTGGCCAGCTCAAGCAGGGTGAAGTTGATATTGCAACGTGGACGAGTGGAAGAAAGGATTGCGACTATTTACATTAGAATATAGTAGACTACAGATTCAACCGGGCTCTTCCAAAGCCATTTTACGCTTCGGCCTCCAAGCCCATGCAATATGCAGGGGCAGGAGCGGGGCGCGTCGTTCTACGGAGTTTCTATCAACGCCCGGCACAACCGCCCCCCCTCAGCCACAGCCCACTCATCCGAGCCAACCGCCTGCCATGCATAGAACACATCGTTCGGGTCGTATTTAGCTTTAACGGCCCTAAGTGCCCCATAGTTCGCCCCATAGAACGCCTCCTTCCAATTCGGCTGGCGGAAGTCGGCCTCATTCATGTACGCCCCCGATTTCGGTGCCAGGGCCTGGAGAGTCGGAATGTATTCGTCTGTCATTTTGCGCTGCTGCTCCAGCATAGCCGTGTCGGCATCCCACTCCCAGGGTGTCGTGATGGTTGTGTCGATTAGGGTGTCGCGCCAGGCGGGCAGGACCGCGTTGTGGACGTCGCCGGTAACGGCGCGCGAGACGTTCAATCCCACACCGATAAAGGTCGCACCCGAGGAGGTGATCTTGCGGTAGCCTTCTGTGAGGGCTTCATTGTTCTCGGCCACTACAGAGCGTGGAATCAGCCAGCCGCCGTACTGGGCTGTGCTCACTTCGATGGCGCCTTGCATTGTATTGTATTGGGATAGGAAGTTGGGGAATTGCTCTGCATGGATAGTGTAGGTAATTCCAAGCTTAGCAAGGCCGTCAGTGAATGGCTCTAACAGTTCCTGCAGTCGATCGACAGGGATATTGGGGCCAGTCAATGGAGAGATGGTAAAGCTGGTATTGGTGAACATCCAGACACTCATAGCACCGGCGTCGACAAGAGAGGGCAGAGTGGTATGGTACAGAGACACAGCGCGATAGAGTGTATCCTGAGAGATACCCTCGTTGGTAAACGTCAAGTTTAGACCAGAAACAGGCGTGCCAGGGTGTGCTTTTACGGTCATTGACCAGACAACACCGTACGTGCCACCACCCCCTCCGCTCAACGCCCAAAACAAGTCCGCGTATTTGTTGTCTCGCGTGGCAGTGATAAAATTGCCCTTCCCATCAACCACCTCCCACTGGAGCACCTGGTCTGCCGCGAGGCCATGCGCAGAAGCTAATGAGGAATGCCCCCCTCCCTGGGTATATCCCCCGGCAATGCCCACCGATGGGCACTCGCCACCAACAACTTCCAGGCCCTGCGCGTCGGCCGCAGTATAGGCCTCAAAACCTGTGACACCAGCACCCAGCTTGATTGCCTTTCCATTATACCACGAGTCTTCCCAGTTCGTGGTCTCAATGTCCTTGATATAGTGCGTCCAGATACCGAGAGCACCGGCCCCAGTCGACTTGCCATTGTAGTCATGGCCGGTATTGCGCACCACAAAGCGGATGTTGTTCTCTGTCGCAAACTGGATTGTCTTCGACACATGATCAGGTTTACTCGCGTTGACCGCGTAGACAATGTAGTTGTCCAATGTGCACGGTTTGTCAACGGGGTGGAAGGGGTCGCAGGAGCCGTTGGCGAAGAATGGGGCCATGATGGAGGAGGATGATTCATAGCTGAACCGGGGTGTGAGTTTTTTTTTTTTTTAATCCTTTTTATATCTCGGTTTCCACCGAGGAATGTGCAATCACTCACTGTAAGTCCGGCTGCGTCCACTGCGCGCTTAGAGCATCGCATTCCGCGGCATTGTAGGCATCGCCGTGGCAGGGCGTGCCCAATGGCACGGTCGCAATAAGTCTGCCATCAACGGACTCATTGAACTGCGACCAGATGGAGGGGGAGGGCCAGCAGGCATCGCCAGGCATGCAGCGACAGGCACAGTCCGCGATATCGGTGGAAAGGGCCAGGAGGCCAGTTAGGAAGTCGAGTCCTGCGGAAGGGCCTAACATGGCGATGCTGACAGTGGCAAAGGGAGATGACGGTGGATGAAGAGGATATTTGGGCTCTCTCCAACGTATTTATTTGCTTTTGGACTCTGCAGATAATGTGGCCCGGGACTGCACGGATTGCAACCCTGACTGACTCGATATGGAGCTTCCCATGCGAAACGAGCTGACCCTGAGTCAAACCGTCTGAAATTACGGGGTAACTCGACGTACAGAGATACAGCTACATGTCGAAAGTGGGCCGTCGCGGCACGTCGCTTGGGGCCGAGCAGGAAGAGGACGCCGAAACCCCAACGGTCCAAGCCCTAAGAGGCACTAAGGAAAGTTGTCGTGGACACTGCATTGCAATACGCAGCGAACGCTTAGCCTGTCGATCCTCATTCCCGAAGCGCCAATCTCAGCACGAGGGGCCTTGGCCCTTCGTGCGAGAAGGATATCAACAAGGATTGTCCTGGGCATTGCAGGTATCAACCGCGCCACGAGTTCAGTGGACAGCCGAACATAACTAGGCCCAGTCCTCGATGTGCGGAATCCGATAAGCCCTAGCTGGCAGATAAGTAGCAAGGCTTCTTCTGCCTCGCCTCGTGCGCCAGTTTATCTCCACGGCTATGGCTGGACGGATAATTACAGACCTTCAGTTCACCCTTTCCTACGTAGCCGGAGAGGTCCCTCCATCTTTGCGAGTCGCAACCCCAATCACTGTCGCCGATTACTAGCGGGTAGAGTGCTGGCAGCTGCCTCTTGAATCGACCAGGTGGGGATGGCCTCCCTGGGCCACTTGCCCAGTATCCGGTGGTCAGAATGCCCTAGATCTCGCTCGAGATGAGGGAGACAAAGCGTTCGCCTGTACAGAACAGCCCAGTCTCACCATCGCGTGGCTGCGCTTCAACAAAGCGACAGTTCAACGACTTCTCTCGTGCATCATGGATTCCCCATCAGACCACCGCAATCCCACTCCATGTGATGGAGTTCTATCGTTGTCCCTTCCGTCGGCGGTCCCAGGATTGTCTCTCGCAGCAAATACTACCGCTGATATCCCATGACAAATTCAGTGGCAGCGACAGGGATCCGAGCGATTCTCGAGACGACGAGAATCTTCAGCCCGAATACATTGACAAGGCCCATGAGTCGTACATCGCAGCTGCGTGCCAGACATTGTCATCTCTATACCAGCTTGCGAAGGGGGGATCCCCCAACCGCAGCCCAGCCCAGAGCTCACAGCAACAGTCAAATACCCCTATCTCTATCAAAAGAAGTGCAGGTGCCCGCGAGTCTGTGCATTTATTAGCGAGTACCCCTGCAGTCGTTGTTGGGATAATATACTATTTACTATACAGTATTGCCCGTACCAGCGACGATGGCTAGACGACCCGCAAGATGTTACCGGCACTGCAAAAACAAAGTCAGTCCCTGCTCATACTGGCCCTAACGGAGGAGATGCTAATAACATCCACCCAAGCCGTATCCGAAATCTCGCTTCAATCGCAGCGTCCCCGACTCCAAGATACGCTTCTTTGACCAGGGCCGCAAGAAAGCGTCCGTGGACGAGTTCCCCTCCTGCATCCATCTGGTATCGAATGAATACGAACAGCCTGGCCCCGAGGCGCTGGAAGCCGCCCGAATCTGTGCCAATAAGTACATCACATCATATACTTCTACTTGCATTGTCATAGAATCTATAAAGAGCCATGCTAACCGCCGGTAATCAGGTATCTAGTCAAAACAGCCGGCAAAGAATCCTTCCACCTCCGCGTCCGCCTCCACTCCTACCACACCATCCGAATTAACCAGATGCTCAGTGTCGCTGGCGCAGACCGACTTCAGACTGGCATGCGCGGGTCAAAAAATTATTGTCAGCAAGAAGCATGGGTTTACAGATTAAGGGCGAGAGAAGTATTTGAGGTTCAGAGGGGAGGGCCTTGTGCGCGATGATGGGGCATATGTGCAGTTCTGGAGGGTTAGGGTTATTAATGGAAAATATCAGGAGGTTTCCCAAGGTGTACTCTGTACTCTGGATAGAAATTCACCTGGATGTCTGGATAGAGGGTTCATCTGGAAAGAGAATTCAATTGACCGATGACTGCAGGTGGAGATCAATGCGCAGGGTCTCGAAGATCAACATAGGAATACGAGATGCCAGCCAATTATAGTAGAATTACAATAGTTGGCCAAGACGAAGAACATGGTCCCATGGACCTATTTATGAACTGAAATCATCCCATTTCCCTTCCGTCTCTCTTTGCACTCGCTTCCTCCCTCGGGTCGCAACAGGCAACATGCTTTGGCTGGTTTTATTGTCCATCCTCCCTGCTGTCCGGGGGCAGTGTTCGCAGGAGTGTGGCCCAGTTTCCTCGCTTTTATCATCCTGCGCGCTGCCTGATCTCGACTCGGACTGGCACGACTTCCAGCATCTGCCCATCGAACGCAATCTCTCCGGTCGGGAATACGCGCCATTCGGAAATGGTCCGTCAACGGCTCGGATTGCGACCTACGATGAAGCGCAATGCTTCTGCACTGAAGCCATCAGCTCACTCTCAGACTGTGAAGCCTGTGCCCGCTCAGCATGTCCTGGCTCATGCTATTCCGACAGCGAGTCGGATTCCCCAGCAGCCAGGCAGAACAAGATTGCAGGCTATTATCATGAGGACTGCAAGGCGTTCGGTTATTTCGCCAACTCGACCCTCTCCTCTCCCTCTACTACTGTCTCCTCCATGCCGCCCGCGACTGAAGCACCGGACTACAATAGCGACTGTGGAATCTGCGGTGTAATCCATGGGCAAATCAGGGACTGTGACCTTGTTGACCTCGACGCATCCCCGCCACCACCTCGGACGAGTGTACTCGCGGAGGGATACGATTACTACGGAAACGTCCTACTCAACCGAACGGCTGCCGAGTGCCTTTGTACACTCCCTGTCCTACGACGACTCGATGGCTGTAGGCAGTGTATCACGACGCAAAACGACGACCTCTTGGAAGTCTTTGATATGTATCGGTCCGAATGCCAGGATCTAGGATACTGGACTGACGTCCACGTTGTGGAATATGAAAACTCCCCGAGTAGTAGCAGTAGTACTCAACCTGGATCGAGCCCGACTTCAACACTGGAATCTTCGCCGACTGGTGCCGGGGCTGGTATCACATCAAGAGGATTGTTGCTGCCACTTGCACTAGCTGCTTCTATGTTACTTTGTATCTTCTGATGGTGTATAACGCTATACGACCTGATTTTTGTGTCTCATCTCTTTCTCGGCTGTGCGGGCTACCATCAACTGACAAACCAAACGAACTCTCTTCTATGGTGATATTCCTGAGGCATTTCGTGAAGCCACTCTCTTTCGTAGAATCTTTGTCACGTTTGCATACCTGAATATACCGTGGGTAGGGCCCAGATACCCGGCCAAAGGCAAGAATATTATCTTATCTTCATTCACCAAATAAAGACTACTCGGTGCAGCCACGGACTCACCAGGATATGGCCAGTTAGCCCAGCCCATGCGACATGACGAAGAATCCAGGTTACTATTACGCCCGTCCGCCTGCGGAGCGACGAGAGGTGGTCTATGGAAACCCAATATATCCAGTTCCTAGCAATTTATTCTGTCCCTGATGAACGCTTCTCATTGGTTGAATCATTACTCCTTCACTTTGCTGGGTCCTTGGCGGTGTTAAGTTAACTATATATATTTGCTGTTCAGTAGCACAAGAATGAAAGTTTATGGCCTATAATATGCTATCAGGTGATGAAACCAAGCGGACAAATGCCTGGGAGAACATGTCCATAATGGACTCCGCGTGCTCTCTGGCAAGGGCCTTAGATGCCGCTAGGTTTGCCTTCATTCCGTGCTTCGATGGGATAGTTATAAGGACCGTCTTTTCGCATGGATGGGTTGAAAAGTAAGGCTTCTTCTTCCTGCAAACCAGGTCACCATCCGCCAGCTCCCAGTCTACCTTGAAACTTTCGTGGACAACTAAAGTGTCTGGTTCTGTTCCTGCAGGCCATGAGGTGCATCCTTCCACTATATCATCCATTCCAACAACATCAAAATCCATCGCCTGTGCATGCTGGGCCTGGACTGCAGCCAATACCTCCGAACCAGTCATACCTGGACGGTACTAGACAGGCACCGGAGTGGAGTTGACGCATGGGCCGATGACACTGTTCGCCGCTGGAAGAGGCACTCTCTCTCGGCAACTGCCCAGCTGGCTGAAGACAACGTCGTCGTGACCCGTCTCCTGACGTAGAACCCAGGACCAGGCCACCTTGACACATGTCGCCAGAGTGAAAGCCCGTGGAGTGGGAAGATTGGGGATATCGCGTGTGTACGACATTCTCATGGACGAAAGGATAGGATCAGGTTCGCTGCAATGGGCCGAAGCGTCTAATTGTGTGGGAGACGCGTCCGTTAATAGTTGGCGCCAGAACGACATGGCCTCGGGGGTCCGGAGCTGACGGCAGGCGTGCGTATACTGCGCAAAGTCTGATTGCACCTCAATGGACCTATTATGGTAGGCAGCGAAAAGGCTGTGCATGAGCTTCTCGAGACACATGCCATCATACTGGGCATGGCAAAGGCGAAGTACAAGCGCACTGGCACCCGGATCTGCTGGTGCCTGCACCAGTGTCAGTTGCACGGTGGGGGAATCCACACGATAATGAGTTTCCTGTCCGGCCTTACAGAGCTTCTGTGCATACAGTTCCACGCCGTCGGTGCCGGCAGGTTCAACAACGTTGATTGAGCTCGGGATTTCGCGAAGGACGAGCTGGACTATATCCCCCTGGATGGTGGGAAAGACAGTCCTTAGAATAGGCAATTTGTTCACAAGCGCTGTCCATGCCTCGCCCAGTAGTACACTGTCTAGAGGGCCATCAACGCGGAAGATGAAGAAATCGACGCAATGGTCCCGAGCGAATGCCATTTGGGAATGGAGAGTTGGCAAGACATCCTCAACCGTGGACATGTCAATACCGGGGATGATCTGTCGCCGGACATGCTCGCGAAGACTGCGAAATGGGTCTGTTTCAGTAGAGTTGGGCCCCATATTCACCGGAAGTTTGCCTGCATCCTGGGCTAGAGCGGCCAGGGTCGGCTGTTGCAATACTTGAGACAGTCTGAGCTGAAGGCCGTCTGCGCGGGCCACCGACACCAATTGTCCAGCGGTTAGTGAGTGTCCTCCTAGCTCGATAAAATTGTCCTCCATTCCCACACACTCGACAGCAATCTGGAGAACCTGTGCACACGCGCGCTGAAGCTTGACTTCATCTCCGGTCTGCGGGGGTCGGTAGCATGGCCGAGATGAAACGTATGAGAATAGTTCACTCTGCGACAGACCAGAGGCCTGCTCGTAAAGGTGGCGCCGATGAACCTTGCCGGTTACTGTCCGCGGAATAAAGCTGATCGGCAACAGCGTGTTCGGTACCATGAAGCTAGGAAGAGAGTGGTGCAGCTTTCTCAGTGCCTCTCGCGCCTCGTGGCGAAACTCGTCCGTTGGTGCAGGAAATAAGTCCTCGTCCTGCTTAGCACTGCCCTTGCTCCCAGAACCGGCGACAAACGCAACCAGCATAGGCTCCTTTGCAGCCCGTGGGTGTATGATACCGGCAATAATAAGACCCCTGGCTGGGATACACTCGTGCAGACTATTCTCAACCTGCCCCAGCTCGAGGCGCTGGCCCCTGATCTTTACTCTGTTTCCCTGGCGGCCGAGCAGACAAAACGACCCATCCTCGGGCTCGTACCTGACAAGGTCTCCAGTGCGTAAGAACCGACTGCCCGGGCTACAGGGGAGCACCTGTTCCCGCCAGGTGGGACGCCCGACAAAAGTGGATTGTGTCTCTTCTTCACGGCCAATATAGCCCTGAGCAAGGCTCGCACTTTCCAACAGTAGTTCGCCTGGGGCACCGACGGGCATAAGGCGATTGACATCGTTAGGATCAACAATCCAACCAATGGCGTGGTATGGAAAGCCAATATTGCCTGGGTCACTGCTCGCGGCCCTGCGCGCAACCATTGCGCCCTTTGAATTTTCAGACTGCCCGTAGAGCCCGTACAATATCGATCTGCCATGGCCGCTTCCAGAAGGGTTTTCCTCAAAAGACCGGGATATTCCTATTCTGATTTGGGGGGCAGGCAGTTCTGTTGGTCAATTCGCCATCCAGATTCTAAATCACTGGGGGTACAGAAATGTCATCGCGACTGCATCGTCTAAGCATCACGAAAAGATTAAGGATTATGGCGCAAAACATGTCTTCGATTATCAAGAAGACAACGTTGTCGGCTCTATTATCAAGATACTGGACTTGGAGAACGCTGTAACCCCCATTCGAGCATTTGATTGCGTGGACTCAAAATTCGGGTCTTTGCAGCATATCGCTAAGATTGCAACGCTGCCGGGGTCAATCGTCGCTGCCGTCCTCCCTGTGGTCATTCGTCCCCCTTCCGATAGAGCCGGTATCCTACTTTCGGCTGATATTGCTGGAGAGGCCCCTTGGGCGCCTGGCGTGAAAACATATAACGTTGTGAGTTACAGCTATGAAGCGGTACGATGAATGAATCCCCATTTTGATTTGGTGTTTTCCAAGAGACTTATTGTTTACCAGAATCCTTACTTAAAAAATCATTTGCAGCCCGAGATTGTACCAGGGCTTCTTGCTTCGGGCGCTATTGAGCCTAACAAGTACCGCGAGATTAAAGGGGACTCGCTTTTGGAAAGGGCTACCGCCGCTCTGGATACCATGAGAAGTGGTACCGTTAGCGGCGAAAGGCTCGTCTGGAAGGTTTGGACTGCAGAGGAATTTCCGGAGTTCAGATGAATTTACTTAGCAGAGTTTAAGAAATGAAATTGGGAACCTCAGATCAATTGATTCTGAGGTCTTGGGCTTCCTTATTTCCTCCATAGGGCAAGATACCGTCAATAATTGCGTTGTAAACTTTGAACGCCTAGGTTTTGTAGGGACATCTTTTTGCGCTTTATTCCTATGCAAGACCCTTACATCTAGTACATCGTTCGTCAGAAACGTGGTTAGCAACCCACTTCGCCACTTATGCGTAGACTCCGGCGGGCTCACAAGACTGATGACCCACAATTAAATCCGACAAGCAATGTATGTGGGCAGTTTCAGTGAGTTCTGAACAGATTTCCCATTATTAATCGTTATCGGTTGTCTCCTAGGGCGCTTAGTACTTTCCAGGGTGTCAGTGCACGTTGCACTCTATTTTAATTCAAGCTGCTTACAACTGAAACCTTACTGGATATCCGTATTATCGTCGAAGCTAACAAGGTAAATAGTAAAGCGAGTTGGTAACTACTTACTAATTACTCTGTACTGGGTTAGGCTTTGTCTTCTTCTGGCGGAGGTAACATTACTCACAGAATTAGGTATTATCATATTGACTAGCCAAGAAAGCATATCTCTGTACCTCTGTCCAAGAACGTGGATCTTCTCAGTGCTAGTATAATTGAATGTAATTAGCAGACCTATTAAGAACTGTTGACTGCAAGACAACTAGCAAAAGCGACAGCTTATCAGTCCATTTTTATCCATCTAACTCAGTCAAAGCGGTTGTCATAACCACTTCAACTATACCAGTGAGTAAAAGAGTGAAGTTAATCTGTTTCGAATATTTAGGAAATGGACAGAGTTAGTTTCTTTATATATATTCGTGGCTTCACTTTGATATTATGGTAATGTTTCAAAAGTCTGTCCTTTACTTTCACATTACACTTCCTAAATGCATGTAGTGTGTACAAAGCGCTGCGCGTGTAGACATACTCGATCATCACCTGTCTAAACTATCTTTTGGTGTGAAAGTACCTCCTATTCCCACTGCCAGAGCTTCAGTCCACCACGTCGGCATAACCAGCAGCTTAACATTTTATTGTATATGAAACCGGTAGAACTGAAAAATGTCACATGATAGACTAATTACACTCTGTTTATGTGTATGTGATACCTATGCAAGATCTAGTGTGAATTCTTTCTTCCTACAAGAGGATGTAAAATCCTATAGAATACAATTACAGGCTTTGCATTAATCCGGGCTCAATTGCCTCAAGAATTGCAACCAGCTCTCCCCATATCTTCTTCTGTGTCTTGTCTCCTTCCTCACTGCGAACAAATGGCGACAGAGCATCGTTATTAACCAGTCCATTTGTCATATATTTTCCATGGCTCTCCTCTCCGCTTGCTGCTCCCGCCACCAGTGTCCGACTACCCACCTCTGTTGACCGAGCGAGCACCATCTTTATCATGCTGAACACGAAGCCAATCTCACGCCCCAGCTGGGAATGACAGAACCCAGGATTGACCATATTCATCACCACTGAGTTATCGGTTGCCTGGGCTGCCATCTCCCGGAGCGCAAGCACCTGTAAGAGCTTCGAAGCTTCATATCTCTCTGCCATATTGGCGCAATCCACATCATCCAACGCGGCAAAAACATGCTCTGCGTTACGCTCAGGAAACTTCGCCCAGCCATGTACCTCGCTTACCACTGTTGTCAACCGAGGTTTCGTACCAGGATATAATCTCGCACTCCTCCGCAGCGTCGGCAACACGAGTAATTCCAACAGTATTGTGCTAATAACGTTTACTGTGATAGTGCGTTCATGGCCCTCCGCTATTTGAAAGTGCGGAGTTGCAATTGAGGCATTTGCCACAACCACATCAAGCCGAGGGAGTTCCGCGACTCTTTTTCCAAACGAGAGAACCGATTTGTAGGAGGCAAGATCGAGGTCCCAAACTTCACAAATACCTGAGGTATTCGTGGATGCCTCGATGAACCGTTTGGCCTCTTCGCCCGCGCGGCGGTTGCGAACAGCGAGGATGACTTTCGCAGCGCCAAGTCGGGTAAAATGTCGTGCTGCTTCGAAACCGAGGCCCACGTTCGACCCTGTTACAATGACTGTTTGTTCTGCGAAGGATATGGTCGGGGAAGGAGGAGTTATAAAAATTTGTGAATGCAAGAAACTGGGGCTCAGAAGACCCATGCTGAATAGACCACGCAAGGAATCCGCGATTGTGTCCCACTTTAGACTTCAGAAACAAAGAAAAAATATCAAGTCGCCAGATTGACCAACTTGAGTGATCCAAGGCATATTTATTTCCAAATACTCTCCACCATTTACGCTGACGGACTTAAGGTTGGCAATCAGTTTGGTTATCTCCGGAAGCTTATATGTTAATGTTTCGGACACTGTACCAGAGTCATTTCGTACCTCCTCCCATGAGAGATGTTTGGGCAGGTGCAGCAGCACTTTCGCGTCAAAAATTGCGAATTTGCGAAGCACACCGGGAACATCATGTCCAACGCAGTTGAAATTGGGATTATTTTCGTCATCGGTCAAGCGGGAAACCAGGAAGCTGGGTGACACCCGGGCGCCAATCTGGAAATTGTGGGTCCCTGAGCCAACGGCAACAACTTCAGCAGCGGCATCAGAAACGGGGATGCCGCTCTCTTCAGATGGAATATTGTATAGTCCATGAAGGACGGCAATGTCACGAAAGTTGAGCGAAACGGTGTGGATTTTGACCAGGACATCGGTAGGACCCAAATCAGGAGAAAGGTTTTCGGTGGATGGGACGACGGTCAATGGCGGATTTCCCGTGGCACGGCGAAATGCCTTGTATGTCATAGGAAGAGACATAACTCCAATGTTCAATCAGTATTTGGGAAGTGAGTATTTTACAGGTCATGGTACGTTTCGAACATTTAGGAGTTGAGTCACTACAGTATATAGTTATGTACCTTGCGAATTAATAAACAATTCCACAATTCGGAGTTATGAGAGTATAATTGCTTTTAACTCCGATAATCTGCTAGGTACAATCTCGGGTAGATTCCTCAAGAGCAGCTGAGATTGTAGACGGACGAGAAGGCGGACGAAGATTTAAACTGACGGAGAATGAGTTGTCATAATCAAACCTAACCCCCTTCACTAACTAGACAACCATTGATTTCTAATCTCCCATAATTATTGCTAGAGGAGCTTCAGCACAAAAGGAATCATGGCAGTGGGTATCAAGGTTAGAGTTAACTTCGGAAACTAATGCATGTTGCTTACATGGCCAACCAGAAGTGCTAGACCCCACCCCACTTTCCGAGCCATCCTCTCTGTAGTATATTTTTATATGAAGTGAATAAAAGTCTCACAAGGATCATTCAACAATAGATGAAATTTTGGAGTTAAGATTTATAGAAATACCTATAATATCACTAACTAGGCTTATCATGTATTGATTATGTTTAAGCATAGTAATTTTCTACACTGACCAGAAGTTCTGGTCAAGTGGATCGCATCCATCAGTACAATAAACTTAGTGAAGGCTCAGCGTGCACCTGATCCGCAAACTCCGATGCCGGCTTCGTAAATACGAAAACAGCTGAAAAATACTGGTGTCTAATCCCGGCCATCCACAAGACTTATAAAGGGAGGTAGGAAACTCGATCATCAAACATCAGACTTGATCATTGAACATCTTCGTGCGCTCCAAGCACGGATCCTACATTTACTCAGGACTAGCTTGAATCTTACACAACATTACCAAAGAACATCAGCAACAATGGCTCTTATGTTGCCAGAACAGCCTAATACTGAACTTGGTCGTTACCGCATTCTTTCCAGCACAGCTGCGTTCGTGTCTCACCACTTGCGCTTGGTGCCATGTCTCTCAGGAAATCCTGGTCATCAGTATTGGGATCCGTGGATGAGGAGCAGTCCTTTGAACTTTTGGACGCATACACTGATGCCGGGGGTAATTTCATTGACACAGCCAACAACTACCAGAATGAGGAATCGGAGAAATATATCGGCAAATGGATGGCAGCAAGAGGCAATCGGGACCTTCTATTTGTCGCCACGAAGTTCACCAATTCTTACCCCGTAGCTAGGGGACTAACACCTTCAATATCTTCATTTCGAGCAACGCGGTTCATTCTGGTCAACTAACCGCCCTTCCCGACACTACTCTGTAGTAGACGCCGCCGTAGGTAATTGTCGAACTCTAGTGAGCGCTAGTATTCCGCTTCAACGCCGAACTTACTGTTAGGCAGCTCCCGCTCAGTCATTTCTGGCCAGTCCCGGGTATTGTTTCTACTACCTATTTTAGGCTGCGATGGGCCCTTAAGCCTTAGCAACGCTACGCTCAACGGGGTATTCAAACATTCCTGTTTCCACATAGTAGGCCTCCCAGCATCGGATGAGCTCCTTCATCTTCCCTGGTTCCTTCACAGTCATACCATACTGCTCGGATGGATCATTTTCCAGGTTGTACAACTCCCATGTGACTTCCCACGAGGTGGGTGCGTCCACAGGGACTTCCACGGCCCCCTGCGGATATCACGCAATCCAATAAGTTCCCAGCCTGAATGTGATCATATTCGTCAGGCACCGATGTCGGGGGCATAGTCTGACGCCTCACCTCACCTCCCCTCTAAACCTCCTGCTGTAGCAGCAGCCACCCAACCTCTCCTGTCAAAGATCACTCCTAATACGCTGTGACATCTCGCAATATATTCGATACTGTTCTTGAGAATGTCTTACCTCGAGAAAAGAGCCCGACTATGGGTGCGGGTCACCAAAGCGGATCTAAACCCGGATGTCCTTAGTACTCGATACGTTATTGTTTCTCCTGCTCTTGGTACGTGGAAAATTGTCCGAGACGGTAGTTAGGGGGGCTCTATGTATGCTAATGCTCCGAGCAGTACCTTCTTCAACGGCGTCGGAGCCCCCATCTATACCAGGAGACATAAATTATATAACATACCAAAATAAAGCTGTAATACTTAGATTAATACCTAAGTTATATATATTAACAGTATATTTAGAGTCTATATTCTTTATTTCAGATCTATTAAGGATTAAAAAGGTGCTGTTTCGTATGGAATACAGCCGAGCGACTCGCTTGGGTGAGCTACCGACCCAGGAATCAGGATCCAGCTCGCTTGGACTCGTTTTTCCGTTAGACATTTACTCGCGTGGTATATGGCCGACGTTAGATCTAACCCTATAACACGGTCCTGGCGGGCCTGCGGGTTAGGTTTTATAATCATCTATCTTCATGAAATATAAAGGCTCTCTGGGGGTCCTAAAAAGCTCTCTTTCATACCTCCAAGGTCCATTACAATCTTCTCAACGACAACCCCGGGCTCCAAGAGCCAGAGGTTCAAGGAATTTGCTCCCTTGCTCACACTGATATCCACGGTAACATTCCAGCCACCGTTTACAACTGAAGGGCTCCAGTCTGCAGGATGACCACCAGCAGGGTAATCCTCGAACAAACGCACTTCTTTCGCTGTGTCTGAGCCAAGTGCATAGCCCAGCTTCAGCGGCCGTGTCGGGTCATGGTCTAGGGAGCCACCCAGGTAGATAATCAATAATGCGTCATCGACGTCGGAGAAGACGAAGAAGTTGTACTGTAGCTTCGGACCGCTCGAAATGTCCTGAGAGTCTACTGTGACAGGCCAGAGCTTGACGCCAGATGCTGTTTTGCCGTACCATGGCAGCTCGACGTAAGAAACACCTTCAGTGGTCTCCGCGTGGGACCAACGCGCAGGGTTGATTGAGACAACACCGTTTGCCTCAACCCACCCAGTGAAATTGGAGGGGACGGTCGTCTTGCTAACAAGGACCAGGACTTCAGCTACAGTGCTGCTTTCACTACTGACATCCAATGCCACCCATGTCGGCTCTTCCGGTGCTGTCTTCCAATCCACTGCGAGAGCTACACGGATGTCACTTTCTTTGCCCGGGGAAGTCAAAATTCCTGACGAAGGATCAAGCTTGACGAAGGAGCTATTGCTCGTCACGACATATGGGAACGACCCATTCACAGCCGCAAATACGTCAATGTAAGGTCTACTTCTCGATGGTGGAGACTGGTCAATTACTGGCAGGATCAGAGCTTCGTCTGTGAAGATAGAAGAGCTATTGAGTCCAGATACAGCCACACCGACATTCTTGTTGTGCTTAATCGAGTCACAATTATGCCATGCTAGCGGAGGGAGATAGTTGGGGCCGTAAGGATCCCCAGGAGCGTGAATACCCTCGTAGCCCATGCGGGCATGCTGGACAAAATGATCCCACTGCCCGTTGAAACGGGTGTTATACGCATTTTCGGTGACATTGTCCGCCACGAAGGCCGCCATCGCCTGCAACGATTTTTGATTTGTGCTTGCCCGGCCCTGTGCTCGGTAGACAAAGCCGTACGCCGCGGAAATGTACACCTCGAAGACGTGCTTGCCAGCCTCCGCCGGGTAGACGAAGAGGAGCCAGAATGCATCCTGCACCTGCGGGTCAAGTGCATCATGTGTCTGCCATGCCAGTGTTGCTAAGTCCTGCCACTCCCGTAGCACACTCTCGGCCTCATCGTAATTGAGAGTGCTGAAGGCAAACGGTAAAATGTTGAGGGTCTCGTACTTCCGCCGCAACACAAGACGGCCGTACATATTAACAATATCACCGACGGCGACGGCTATCTCATCGGAGGCACCAAAGTTTTCAATCGCCCATCTTCGAAGCCACTCGGTCGTGGATCCTGGATCCTGGAAATGGCTCATGTCGTATGCCATATCCAAGAAGTGCTGGATCGATAGTGCCTATACAACGCCATCGAGGGTTAGTGAACATTCCTGGTTTGATCACCAAGGCCATACAAGTACTTACGTGTGGTTTTATATCTTGAACATTCGTGACCCAAATACTCCTCGCGCCTTTCTCATATGCTAGGTGCATTTGCTCCCACGTTTTGACCATCTGGATTGTACTGATCCACTCATAGCTGCGCGGCTCACCCACGTATCCAAAGTGGTAGTAGATTCCGTGGCCGCCGATGCGATCAGTCTCATTTGCGAGAGGAATGCGGTTTAGATTTCCGAAATTATCGTCAGTCCACATTAATGTGACGTGTTCCGAAATGTTCATGCCAGCCTGCCAGTATTTACCAACTTCCTATCTCCGTCGTGTTAGCTCATTCATCAAAGATCCTTAAGAGATATATACTTGCCTTGTACAGCATCCATGCCTGTGGGATCTCATCGACCTCCTTCCCCGTAGCCTCAACGAGCATTTCCTGTTGGATTTGAATCACCTCCTCTAGCTGAGGGGCAGTCAAGGTCGGAGACTCGCGATCGCCATCCCCGCGCATACCCATAGTCCACATGGTTTCCCAACCCTTGGCTCGTTCAACTCCGGACTTCATGAACTTGGTAATCTCTTGGCTATTCTCAGACCAGTCCCAGGGACCACTGATTTCGCTCTGCTCATTGTACGCCCGTGCCATAGGTTCATGGTGACTGGTTCCCATGATAATGCCATAACGATCGGCCAACTGGCCGTTGAGCGGATCATCTGCATAGAAGGCAGCATCCCCTTTCATCGCCGGCCATAGGTAGTTAGCCCGCAGGCGCAGCAGGAGTTCAAAGACGAGACTGTAGAACTCGTGCGTGAAGTGGGTATCACTGTGAGAGCTCTGAGGAAACTTATCCTCCGCCCAGGACATCAAATCCCACTCATCGTTGATGAAGATGCCCCGGTACTTGACGGAAGGAGAGGTCTGCACCTTCACTCGTTCGGGATCCACAAATACAGCATATCTAGCGTTGGAGGGAATGCTGGCCCAGAAATACCAAGGTGACACGCCGATTGTCTTGGAGATATCATATACTCCATAGATAGACCCACGCTTGTCGCTCCCCGCGATAACCAGGGCATTGGAGACGCCCTGAATCGGATCCTTGACCACTTGCTGAATATACGATTCCCAATGACCTTCAATCTCGCTGACGTTCAGAGTCCCTTGTTCCACGAGCTGGTCGATTATGGTTGAATGACCAAGGGTGCCGATGATTATCAGGGCGTCGTTGTCAGGGCTGGACACATTGCCCCCTTGGCTCAGCGTTCCGTTGACTCCAACTACTCTGCCAAAGTCCAGCGCAAGGTCGCCAGCTGCGCGAGAGACACCGTCGTACTCATTCTCTGCGCACAGAAGCTGCACCGGTTCCGCATTCCTACCAGCAAGCTGGAGGAGGCCAGGACCACCGTCGAAGAGGATGTTGCAGAAACCGATCTGCACGGCAGCAAAAGCTGCTACAACAACATGGATCCTCATCTCATGACCACTGGCGGGTTATCCTGCGTGTGGCAGCAAGGGAGGGGGCTCATGGTATATAAGTATCGCAAGTAGGATGCCAAGTTATGCTCGCAACAGACGACCTAGCTCGGTGAATTGATAACACGAGTACCATATTTTCCCTCTCAGCCAAGAAAGGGTCTTTTAATTAGTCCTTTCTATTTTCCCGATCTCCACAATCCTGATTTCCCTTCTTCACCCCGCGTCCCCGCGTTTGTCGCAGATCATCGACCGAAATACCGAAGTGGTGGTGTCTAATTTCCCGATCTCCCTCACAGCTCATGGATCTAATTTTCTCCAATTGGTATCGACCCCTCCAGCTCTTTCGCCTGCTCGCCGAGCCCGGTATTCTGGGAAAGACTCAGTGTTAACAAGCTCAACCCCTGCTGTTAATGGTATCAAAATACTCTCTGCCGATTCACTACGACAGGTTCGTCTAATTGGTATTGATGTAAAATTCGATGCGCATTGTCGATAGATATCCGGTTAGGAGGTGCTTTCCAGGTCCATCATGTTTATATACAGCAGATGATTGAGAACCCAGTCTTGATCATTGGCATATGGATCCCTGTAGTGCGTCTCTCGGCCATTGACCGTCAGCGGATAAATCCAAGCACATCCAGCAGTTCCATCTGGCGAGAACAGAGCCAAGTTGTTCCGAACAATCTCGTCAGCATGCTTCCGATAGGCTTCATCTCCCGTGGCCTTTGCGTAGTGGTACAAGGCGACTGCGTCAATGGTACTCCAGTGATGCGGAAATGTGTCGCCCCAGTTGCGGTCTTTGCCGAACCAGTATCCGTCCCAATGTCTGATTCCAATGCTATTCATGCGATAATCTGGCTGTTTTCCTTGAAACCGCAGCAAAGTGTCGAGTTGCAGCTCCCCAGCCTCAAGCCAGGTCTGATTTCCCGTAGCACGATAAAGCTCGAGCATCATGACGGCAGCCGGTGCGACAATGGACTGCTCGAAGTTGACCTCGAATGGCGGATAGTCGAGACCTCTTTCTAGGATAAACTCTCCATGGTCAAGGAAAAGCTCTAGGGCTCTGTTGTAGTACTCATCATGACCTGACTCTTTTAGAAATTGAAGAGACTCGAATATCGGTAGGCCAATTGCGTACAGCTCTCTTCCACCCGTTTCGTAAAAGTTTTCAAGCGTCAGCATGAAGCGCTCCAATGGTGACTTGTCAGCTACGGGGCCCGAAAGTTCGAGACCCAGCTTTGCAACAGCTAGATGGAATTGGATGACCCATGGCCAGTTGTAAAGGCGCTCCCTGCTGCTTCCTGCACCTTGTGGTTTACCATACACCTCGCCATTTTCACCTTGCAGCTTCAGGCTGACGAACTCGTAATACGTCTGAAGAGAAGATCGCACGGCGGTAGCGTTCGGGTGAGAGGCCAGATAGCGACTGATCAGATTGCCCATGCCGAGGCGCTCTTGACCTGTCGTGCGATCTGAGGATGTATCCCAGAAGGCAATTGACTCTGCTTGTGTGTCGTATACAGCATAGCCGCCGAAGTTGGGGTTCTCGCGGTCTCCACCGACCTGTTGGTTTTGGATAATAAAATTCACCCTTGAAGTCACCAAGTCGTCCAGCCCCGGTACCGTGTTGAGGAAGATGGTCGAGTTTTGAAGACCATTCTCTGTCGGCGTAGAGATCTGTATGTCTTTCTGGCCGTTGGAGCCAGCGGACACGGTGTATTGACAAGTACCCTTGTTGCAAGAAACCGAGTTTCCATCCACCAAAGTCTTTTCACTAACGGCACCAGTCATGTTGATCGTTATTTCCTCGCCTTGAATCAGAGTGTGGCTTGGAATATCAAATCGAATGAACTGATCAGACCGTTCAGCACACTGGTCGAAGAAGTCCTCCCAGTCGCTGTGCCAGAACAGAGTCCACTCAATTGTCGCAGATTCTCCTGGCTCAAGCGTCGGAATATTGGGATGCAAAAGGAAGACCCCTCTGGTGTTTGACATGGTAACAATGTCGCGGGACTCAATACTGTAACCGGATAATGAGCCCTTTGTCAGGACGAGTCCAAGATTGCGTCCCAGTCCACCCATCTGATCCATCTTGACCCATGCATTCGCTCCGCCATTAGCCCATACGTGTGCATGCGCGCGGTGGTGTATGGAGTCCGAAGTATTGGTGTAGTGGTCATTAAACGGTGTGTAAATTGCGATAGCATGGCTCTTGGTCTCTGCCAGGTTGAGGGACTCGTTTCCCTTGTTGACGAACGTATATTTTTCCGTGAAAGACCCGTCGTCGCTCAGATACCGATCGACATCTAACCTCAAGGGTCCAGCGGTGTAGGATACAGCATGGCTCGCTTTATTGTTGCTGGCAGACTTCTGCGGATCATGCCAGTAGAATCGATGGAGGAAATCAGCGCCCAGATCAGCAAAGCCAAGCCCCCATCGGCTCCCAAGCGGCAGCCAGGGGGTATTTGTGGGTGACCCGACCCAGCTCATGGACGACGCATTGGCTTGAGGGTCTCGTAGACCTACGAGTGCACCAGTCGTGTCGTCGATGTCGATCTGGAAGTCAGAGCTTACCAGACTGGCCGTTGCAGTGCTCAGAGCGATCGACGCCGCCCAGAGGTGGAAGAACTTCATAATGAGCAGAACGACAGTATTGGACTGCCGCTAAGAGATGAGGGGGGTCAACAATCGCTGGGTGGCTACTTATATATCTAGGGCACTGTGAAGCTTCATGCGGGGAATTGATCGGGTAATTCTTCATGAATCGGTACAATAGACCACGAGAGCAGCTGTCCTTGCAAGCTGCTGTTTTCCGCCAATCAGCGCTGGGCGTTTTTGTCTTTACAAGCACATCCTCAGTACTCCAGCGAAGCTTCTGCTCGGACGATCCACGGCAGGTCATGTCGCGTACCAGCTATTCTCCTCGTAAAATTGTCAGTTCGGAACAATTCTCTTTCTTTTGGTCACTTTCATCGCATTTTATTCCTGGAATGAGGCTTCCAGTGCTGTGGATTTGCCGCAGTCCACCCAGACCAGGAAAGACTGGTCAGTGGCCCATGCTTGGCCCAAGTACCAACGGAAGTGATATCATACAGTGTATGATATACTCGTCGGGTATGCTCGTCGCAAGGGCAACGTCCCCTTACTTCCCATGTTACCGAATTTGTGGAATCTATATACATATATACATTTAAGTAGGATCTCCCACCTTTATGTTGTTTGTGTACGTGACTGCGCTTGGCTGTCGGTGGTTGTCAAGACATGGAGTTTATCGTGTTGAACAGCAGCGTCAATATATATAAAGTGAAGTTATCCTGGCTGAGGTATATTATCGGAACAATTCACATTAGGTATTTAGGACATATCGTGACTCGGTAGGTGGCCAGGGCCGAGCAATAGGGTGTATAGCTGTTCTTGCACAAGGCCTTTATCAGGGCATCATTGTAAAGGCTGGTACTCTGCCAGACAGAAGCCGATCGCACTCGCCAAGCTCACCAGGCTGAAGGAATCCACAGCATGAACAGCAGATTGACAAATCACATTTGCTCCAGTGGAACCAGCGATCGCCCATCCAGGTTTTCCGTTTTCCCGCCCGGGACTCGGCACACCTCCACCAGTGCCGTCTGTCTGTCTGCCTCGACTTCTCCAGCCTGATCCAATGTGACGACACCCGCCATGTCTTCCAGCTCGAATGTGCCCAGGCACATGCGCAGCCCCGGCGACGATGGCTACCGCACGCCCACGATAGAAGACGCGCAGCTGAACTTCCCTGTTCTCCGCGTGTCGGACAGTCGCGGCAGCCAAGGCATCCAGTCCTCCGCCGTCGAGCAGCTGCACAACTTGTCGCAGCGAGCGACAGACAGAGGTCTAGAAAGAGAGCAGAAGGACTGTGGCGATTGTTCAGAGCACAACTCGCTGCACAGGACGCTCACGGGGTATTCCGCCAAAAGCCTGAGCTGGAAGAAGCGGATTCGCCATGTTACGTGGGCCTATTTCACCAGCACCATGGCCACCGGAGGGCTGGCTAATGTTCTATACCAGGGTATGCACTTCCTGCGAATAAGCCCTGCTCAGGCTAATCGGTCCAGTGCCGTACCGGTTTCGCGGTCTCGATACAATCGGAATTGTGGTCTTTCTGATCAATATCGCCCTGTACCTGTTCATCTGGGGCCTGCTGATTGCACGGTTCTATAACTACCCCTACACCTTTAAAGCTTCATTTCTGCACCCCACCGAGTCTCTCTTCGTCCCCGCGTCGGTGGTCTCTTTCGGAACGATCTTGATCAACGTCTCCCAGTATGGTCCTCAAAATGCGGGGCCGTGGCTGGTTGAGGCTGTCGGGATCCTGTTTTGGTTTGATGCTGCCCTGGCCGTGATATTGTCGGCCGGTATATATCTTCTTCTGTAAGGCCTGTCACCGTTCTATCGTATCCTGTCGTGCTGATTCTGCAGGTGGTCGACCCAGACTTTCACCATTGCCCAGATGACCCCCATCTGGATCTTCCCTGCTTACCCTATGCTGATTATTGGGCCTCATGCTGGCATCCTGAGTGCCAAATTAGACCAGGCACGCTCACTGCGTATCATCATTGGAGGCACCACCATCCAAGGCGTCGGGTTCCTGGTGTCAATGATGGTGTACTCGGCCTTTATCTACCGGCTCATGACGCAGAAACTACCAAAGGAGAACAGCCGACCGGGTATGTTTGTTTCTGTCGGACCAAGTGGCTTCACCGTGGCCGGTATCGTGAACATGGCTGCCAATGCGAAACGATCTTTTCCCGCTGATTTCATGGGAAATGGAGCCCTAGCCGCTGATGTTTTGAAGGTGGTCGTTGACTTTGCTGCCCTGTGGCTGTGGGGGTAAGTCATCTTGTCCCTGGAGATGCACAGAACTAATTACGAATCAGCTTGGCCATGTTCTTCTTCATCATTGCCAGCGCCGCCCACTTTTCTGCCTTTGGACCGGGAAAGATGGTCTTTTCGATGACCTGGTTCTCGTTTATCTTTCCCAACACTGCCCTGATCACGGCTACATTTGCCATCGGCCAGGCCTTCTCATCCAAGGCCATCAACATCGTCGGGTGTGTAGCGGTATTCCCGTTGCTGCTGATGTACTTTTTTGTGTGCTACAAGATGTTTCGTGCTGTCTATCTTCACCAGATTATGTGGCCGCAGAGGGGCGAAGATCGAGATGAAGGTGGCTTTGAAATACACACCATCAAGCCAGAGGCCGATGACTCTGGCGAGAATATCATGGTATAGCATGTGAGACTGTCGAGCTCGTCCACTTATGATGTAGAAATTGAATGGCATATGCATATATTCTTTTGACCTAGTACTGTATCTCACTTTCATAAGGCATTAAAATACCAGAGCATTGGCAAAGACTGGATTGAATTATAGAATATTAGATGGATGGACTCGTAGAGTAACCGAGACGATTGTCGAAACGCTCCTACGGACTTTCAGCCACCTTATTCTATTAGAAATAGCAGTCCTAGAGCGAATGCTTCGACGTTAGTAGCCGTGTGGCGACCTCAGGATTGACACCAAGGTGCCTGACACAAATCGCACCTCTCTCGTTACTGAACCGTCTTCTCCAGCAAGCTGTCGTATGACTGACGCCGGGGCGGATTAACGGTCGCCTTTGATTTGCAGCACTGTTGGTCCATGGTTTTCCACCCATGGGCCGCAGGTCAGATGCCTTTGACATCATTACTCCGCACTGCGTTACTTAAACTCCATTCGACACCAGATCTCGAGATTCCTCAACCTATATTTAATATTGATTTGAATACTGCCAATACCGATCATCATGTCGCAGCGTAAACCCAGTACAGTCGAGGCCATCCGCGACGCGCGTGGAGAAGGGTACGACCAGGCCTACCCGACATAATGACTAGGGAAAAGAAGACCTAACAGATGATAGGATTCTCCCAAGCTCGCTCGGCGCAGACGCCCAGAAGAATAAAGCGCAGAGTATGTTCTCGGCAACCAAAGAGCAGGAAAACCCGGAAGATCCTCGAGAGCCATTCCAGAAACTCCGCGACAGCCCGGCCCCTGCCCCAACAGCGTACGTATTTGCTATCTCCAGTTAGACGGTGAGCTTACATGTTAACTGGTGCAGCGCCCATCCTCACCGGCGATTGAGCGAAGCAAGCAGGCGGATGTGGGCGCGGAAAATGCACGAGATGGGTGGGACGGAGCCAGATGAATTGCTCACTCTTTGACGAAATTGTCAGGAACTGAATCCTTGCTAGTTTAAAAGTTGGCAATCGTAACAAGCATTAGCTGCAGAACATATCTGTCCCTGAGTACATCATTATGCATTTGTGTCCTGTATGCAGGAAGCCGCGACCAACATTGGCTGTTCCTTCTGTTTCGCAAATACCGTCAAAATGTCTGCCAAAGAGTTTCTATTTCAAATACTGTACGACGATTATAATTATCCTTTGGTTATTGTGGTGGAGGCGCTCAAAATGCGACAGGCTTTTCGAAGGTGTATACAAAAGCACGTATGAGAATTGTTCGGAAAAAGAATGTTTGTCAATTGTTTGAATCATATCATGGATCGAATGACAACCCGATTCAATCCGCTGTCAAGCATCTCTCCTCATGCCAATGGCGTTTTGTGGGCGACCGGCGTCCTGGCGCCCTCCGACGCCACCCAGCGCCGCGAACAGATCTTGGAACATATTCTACGATTCATAGATGCCATGCAAGGGGTAGGCTAGGCTGTCGATATCCGATTTTCAGGTTGCGGGAATTGTTGTCTGAAGAAATCTGGCTTCGGATACGTACACATGAAGCAAACTTCGGGCATAAAGTACGTGGTTGTCATGCCGCACGGGTGTTGATCTGCGACACAATATACAATATGGGACGCCACTACCAGGCCCAACAGGAAACTCTGCAAGGACGTGATTAACAGGCGAAGGATGCCTCCGTGCTGATCAAGACGCATCCGAACCCAAAAAAAGGAATCGGAAGAGAAGTCCCCTTGCATAATCGTAAGCCCGTATTGATTTATGGCTCGTCACAAATGGGCTCCGAGCACCTGGGCCGACCCCGCTCCAGGACATTCGAAGAGTTTTCGGGGTTTTGACCGGGGTATCAAAAACAGGGAAGTGGGTGAAATGACGAAACTATACCCCTGAGAATGGTACTTCTGAATTTCAAGACATAGTCTGCCATTTGCTGTCATGAAGAACCGACGTTTTGGAAGGGCTTTGTCGTACTATGATGCTCGCCTTTCTCCCCTTGTACTTGGCCTTGCAGGGGCTGAACTGGACCGAGGACGGGGTGTGGGAGTATCTTGTTCTGGTTAAGGATTATAGAACCTGTACCTGAATATATGATATACTGTACGATTATACTAAACAGCCCAAGACATACCTGCCGCCCACTTGTGATTATTATGAACATCAGGATCGTTTATATACAGTATGCTTATGCAACCTCCGCCTCAATGATCATTTCATATTGCTGAGGGTCGGGCCAGAACTTGACAATCTTAAAGCCGGCTTCGGTCAACAACTTCTGCCACGTCCCCTGCGTTCGCTCTCCAGATGACAACAACGACATCATCTCGACGTCCATTGTTGTCTGGCTAATACTCGCACCCGTAGGAGGCAGGACAATGTCGTAGACAAAGAGCTTGGAGTACCCCTTGACCATGGCATCTCTGGTGTTGGCAAGTAGTTGCTTGGCCTTGTCATCAGGCCAGTCGTGGAGGACCGCATGCATAAAGTAGGCCCGGCTCCCTGGAATCATTTCAGTATGCTTGTATACATTCTGGAGCGTGAACCTTACCTTTGACCGGCTGCGGAAGCCAAAAGTCATGAACCATGGCAGTTATCTTGTCATCCACCTGGGCCTTTGCGATGATTTCCGGGAGATCCTGAAGAACAAGAGAACCTGCAGGAAGATCAGGGTGTTTTGCAAGGACATGGGAAATGTCGATCCCGGTGTTGCCTCCGACGTCAACAACAAAAGCAGATCCGTTATCCAGATTGGCCCCATCCAGCAGTCTGGAAGTATCATATACCTTGGTCCACGGCGTCTTCCATGCGGTCCAGGCCTCCATGTGCCCTGTGAACGATTCATAGTGGGTGGGACTCTGCTGTAGACGACCGAAGAAATTGAGGTTATCCGGGTCAGTGTCGGTGTAGTTATTCGACATGAAGTCCGTCGGCTCTTTGTAAGAGGTCTTTGCTAAGTAGCCTGGCAGATTGTGGCCAGCTGCAAGGTATTGGTACGACCTATTGACAAGGCATGGTCAGTACAGGATCTGGACCGGGGGTGTTTGTCTTACGCTGCTTGAAGCGAGGCGCGAACCTTGGTGCTCTCATCACCAATGGCGTACGAGAAGGGAGTCGGCTTAAACTTGTCCTCTGCAGTTTCTTCGACGACGTAGAAAGCCGCCAGCAAGCGGAAGAATCGGCCTGTTCAACATTTATAAGTGGTGTTGGATCTTACTACCGTGGGAGTCACTTACGCAGTAGATTTGTTTCAATGGTGGGGGAAGTAAGCTGAACCAGTTCGTCGATAGACTTCTCGCCCCCTCCTGCAGCAGTCCAAGACTTCCAAAGCCCCAGATCAATACAGGTCTGCAGCGCCGCGAACACCACAGGGTGTTCGAAACAGAACCCCCATGCGCGCTCGTACGGAGTCTCCACTCTCGCCAGCAGGCGACGTGCAGCCGCGCGAACCTGCAGACGTTCGACTTCATTGTCGCCGAAAGTCTGGGGCTCGACTGCATCAAGGGCAGAAATTATTCCCTGAGTGTGAGTTTGACCATCAGGAGATGCAGCAATTTCCTCGATCAGGGTGGACACTGCGCCCTTGTAGGGTTCGGTTCGCTGACCGACAGGGATATCCTGGGTTGCAGTTGACATGGTGCTCTTGCAGTTCGTTTTTTGGGTACTCTTGGGGTGTATGTTTTGACTGAGAAGCTTTTCTTGAGCTGCGGGGTGTCATATTTATGCCTGCATTGGACTTGACTAACAACGCCGGTTGGAGCACTTCAGCCTGTGAACAACCCACTTATTAACTGGGAAAGGGGAATCTCCTGCGCAGTGGCGTCCAAGTCCCTTACCGAGACGAAGGAAACTTTACACACGAGCCACTAACCGATGGTGGCATCTGTGCCGTCTCTGCGGGCGATGTGTCGACTGCTGGACGAGACCAGGGACTAAATTCCGGGCAGAAAACTGCTGCAACTGGACCGTTCTCACAGCCACAAAGTTAAACACGGACTCCTTCATGGCAGCACATTTGACAGGCCTGCACAGGGATCCACCTGTCACTTTTGGCGGGATTTAGTTCCGCTCGGGGCGCCTCGCGGACGGCCGGACCGGTGCTGCAGTGGAGTCGAACGTTATTCCTTTGGCCAGTGGTGCTGATCCGGTTATCTTCTTGTTGATTGATCTATTCCAGCAGCAAGGATCGGAGTGGGCTGCTTGGACAGTCAAGTGTCAGAGAGGCACTCCTGTACCGGGGGACTGGTTGTCTCCTTTTCAATTAAGAAGTCGAATCCCCTTCCAGGCCAATGCACCTGATATAAGTGAAGGCCGTCTTCCTTTGACAATTGCCGCCACGCCTGCGGTCATCCTGCAAATTACTACAGATTTACCTCTTGTCTTTTTGCAGCTTTGCAGGTCTCGCTGCTCTCGCCATGGGCTACTACGGCGGCCTGGGCCCGATGACCAATGGGGTCCATTGGGCAGAGACCATTATCATTGCTATCTTTGTGGCACTCAGACTGTATACACGACAGCACATATTAAATGCTGTGGGTGTTGATGACTATCTATGTTGTCTGGCACTGGTGAGCTGAGACATAGGATTTTGGTTACAAGTGTGGAAGCTGACGTGCCCTAGGTCCTTCATATCCTGTACACCATCTTCGTCAGCATTGCCAGCCACTACGGCCTGGGAAGACTGGCGGCTGATGTCGGCGATATGACTGTATACTTCGAGGCCGTCAAGTATGAATTATTCAGCCAGGTCGCTGGGATTATGGTCATCGGGGTGGGCAAACTGGCTGTTGGAACATTCTTGCTGCGGATCATACGCAACAAGGTGCAAATCGCCTTCATCCACGTCTGCCTTTTTATCACCGTCGTCATCACTTTGTTCGCCAGCATTACGGTCGTCGTGCAGTGCTCGCCGGTCGAGAAGAGCTGGAACCCAACCGTCAAGGGGCATTGTTGGATCAACTTCTCCAATGTTGGATACACTGTCGGATGTGAGTTGGTCAGCCTCATTCATCAGCACTGGTTATTTACTGACCCCCTCAGCATGGTTCGTTGTCATGGACTTCTCATTCGCAATCCTCCCGTGGTTCGTTGTCTGGGACCTCAACATGAAGCAGAAGGAGAAGATCACCGTGGCCTGCGGTCTCAGTCTTGGAATATTGTATGCACCTCCCTCTCTTTAAAATTACAGCCATTGACATGCTCTTTCAGTGCCGGTGCTTGCGGTATTGTCCGCACTGTGGCCCTCTCGGGTCTGAACGCCTCTGAGTATATTTGTAGGCTTCCTTTCCACTCCCTCACCTCGACAAAGCTGACCATCACAGATGATACTGTTCCAATGCTCATCTGGTCCGCTACCGAAAGCTGCGCTACAATAATGTGCTCATCGATCCCTGTCTTGCGACCTCTATACACACGCCTCCGGTACGGCAAGGATGGCAAGGGAAGCTCCACTGGAGACTCGAGCTACAAACTCCCCATGTATCGCAAAGGCGGCAGCTATGGGAGATTTTCAAAATCAGGAATAGACACCTCTCTCACAGCAACCGAAACCGTCTACCCAAAGACCCTGATCACTCCAGGGACCAAGAATGGAAGCAAGGAGGATATCCTTAGCGGTGCTGCTGGTATCGAGAGGACAGATGAGATTTCGGTCAGCTATGAGCAGTTCCAAGGGAAGGCGTAAAGCACTGGTTATATAGTCAGTGGATGGATTCATTTACACTTTGTTATTCTCTTCATTGTCGTTTTTATTTTTGATTTGGGCTTATACCTACGGATGTGGAAACTATCTTCTGCTGTCATTATACTTAATTTGTCTATGTTCATCAAAGCACTGCCGTGGATTTGAATATTTATTTGACCCCATTCTCGTCTTCATTGTCAGACTAAATGTACTTGCTTGGTTGCTACGAGACAACACACTCCAAAACAACCGTCATACAGCCAATCTACTTGACAAAGATGTAGGCAGGCTCGATGTCTCGGCCCCCGTTCCCTTGTCTATACAATAGCGGTACTCCTTGCTGAAGTTGCAGTCGGTAGAGTTGCTGCTCGTCCCTTTAAGTGACGGGTTCCACTGCATAAGATCAGGCACAGAGACTCCCCAAAAGGCGTGGACGACTTGGCAGCCGCTGACACCCGGGAAGTTGAATTGCAAATCTCTGCCATCGAAGATTGTTGCGCAGTCCTTAACGGTACGCGGGGCGAGTGGCAATTTGTCGGGGTTCAGCATGGGCGTGTAGGTTGCGTCTGGGAGACTGTCCCATGGGATTTTAGAGATTGAAGGCATGTAGCCAGGAGCACCAGGGTAGTTCTCCATGTCTCCAACGGGCAGGACGCAATAGCTGACACCCAGTAGGAGGTTAGTGCAGCTGAGAAGCAACGAGTTAGCCAGTTTCTTGAACGGTTACATTACAACAGGACATACTTGGCATCCAGGCCCGGATTGAGAATCAGAAAGTCCTCTCGGCTGATAGAAAACTCCTGGACGATGGTATCGCAGTTGTCGCCCTTCTTAATTTCATAGTATTTACCACAGGTCCGTGTACTGTTATCCGCGACGTTGGTCGGTGTAGGCACTGCAGTACTAGCTGTAGAGGGCACCGCGGTAGACCCAACAACGCTGGATGGTGGATGGTATTTGTGCCCTGGTTCGTCCATGCATATCTCGGTTCCGATTGTTCGGTTGAAGTTGTAGCAACCCCCGTCAATCCAAGGGTTATAAGACCGCAACTGCACTGTCGAGATGTTATGTGCCTTCGCGACGCTCTTGCAGGTGTCGCCCTTCTGCACGGTGTACGTTGAACACTTGTTCTTAATGCACAGATCGCCTTCTTTGGGAAAGTTTGCGCAATACGCCCGAAGGTTGTTATCAAGCAACAGTTGGAAGGTCGCGATACTCTGGGACTTGGAGACGGATTGACAGGTATCTCCTTCTTTAATTGTGTACTTTGTGCCACTGCACCCACTCGCTGTGGGAGACACGGAGGGGGACGATACCGGTGTAGAGGATCTGCCATTCGGTGTTAGTTGGTGCAGCAATACAAGGTATAGGGAAGACATACAGAGAGGATGAAGGGTGAGGTGATACTGTGGCCGGATGGCCTGTGAATTTGCAAGAGGAAGTAAAGCTGGGATAGACGCTCGAATAGACACTAGGGCCGCTTCCATACGGAAACTGGGCCTGGCCTCGCAATTGCAGCAGCAGGCATTTGTTGCACTCGTTTCCTCCGTTCTGGGTCAGATTTCCCAGCACAGGATTGCAATATTGCCCTTCATTCTTCAGACAAACTTGGTCGAAGTTGAAAACCAGAATGCTTGCTGCAGCGGATATGGGATTCGCAGAGCCCCATTCGTTGGTCAAAGAGACTCCATGGCAGTGATCTGTGACAGCTTTCTCGTAATTTATCAACTCGTCGCGGCATTTGGGCTTGCAAATGACATCGAGGGCGTGCTGAGAGTAGAAAATCTCAGTGCTGATGCCGCCCACCGCCGGAATGCAGGATGTAATGTTGGTTGCAAGAGCGTCTGCGCACTTCTCACTGTAGTCGCCGATCTCCGAGTCGGGGAAGAGTTGCCAACCCCGGCTGAGAGTGACAAGGCACAGGAGAAGGCCCTGGAATTGGAGCTTGGTGATAAAGGTCATTATTTACTCCGTGCAGCATGGGCCTGGGTCGGAGAGGTGCGAAAGACCGCAAACAATTATATACCGCAACTGGGCCTTGTCTGACAACAGAAAGGACGAGTACCTGCCTGGGACCTGCTTTGGAATATGCGGCGCTGCTCGCGTAGGGCGTTTCAGGAAGTCTCACACGATTATCGGATCTGCACGAGCAGCAGCCAATGTCTTGGGCCATTGAAGCGCCGGCCAGCGCCCTGCATAGGCCCCCGTGCAGCCGCAGTTCGTTTCGGCCCCATGAGCCCCATAGACCCTCACAAGGCCCATTCATATCTCGCCAGACCGATTGAGATCGGCGGTTCGTGCAGTTGCCGCAGTCACTGTACATCGGGGATGCACTCAACTCGGCTCGATCACAAGGCAGACACGGGAAACCTCGCAGGCAGGAGAGATTGAAACACACGTTTCCGACACAGGCCATTGACGCGGTGGAGGAAATATCTTTTCGGCCATCGACACGAGCCAAACCCGCCTTCTGATTGGCCCTGTTCGCAGCCCGCTCGTGCATCACGGGCCATTACAGCCTCCTGGTACCTGGCTGCGGCGGCAAGGGTGGGTAAGCCTGGTGGGTATAGGGTCTGGCGTGATTATTCGATCGGAAATGGGGTCTCGGATGTACCTCGCTTGTATTGTGACGGTTGCTCGCTCTATTGCCAGCTATATGTCTATTTAACACCCCATGCCCATTTGCCGGATATTGCAATTAAACGACCTTCTTGTCGTCGTTGGATATCTATTTCCATTTCACCATGGCGGGACACCTGTCGGTCCTTGTCTTTCTTTTATGCATTCTTTCTACATCCTTAGCTCATCCACAATATGACTCTGATGACGCCTTGGACATCTCGTTGAACCCATTGAGCCTACTCTTCCGAGACGAGTACAGCTGTGGAGAGGACAAGCCGTGTGCAAACGGCGCATGCTGTGGCAAGTCTGGCTACTGTGGCTTTGGGGCAAAATACTGCGGCACATCTGGGGAGTCTCCCAACGACGCCTGCTGGAGCAACTGCGACGCACATGCTGAGTGCGGCAAGGACGCAAAGAAGCCCGGAAGCAAATGCCCTCTTAACGTCTGTTGCAGCGAGTTTGGCTTTTGCGGGACAACCGAAGAGTTTTGTGGTGCAGGATGCCAGAGTGGATGCAAGCAGCCTGGCTCTGGCGCTTCTGCTGGCAATGTACAGGAACGCATCATCGGATACTACGAGGCTTTCAAACATGACACCTCCTGCCAGGGGATGAGGATCAAGCAGATTCCTGTTGAGAGTCTGACTCATGTCAATTGTACGTTTACTTTTCATTCTCCTTTTGCCTTCGCATACTAACCATGATGCTCGTAGATGCATTCGCGTACATCTCCCCCGATGACTACGAGATTGGCCCAATGCCCGATATCCCAGAAAAGACCCTGACGGACTTCACTGCCCTCAAGGAGCGCAACCCGAACGTGGTGCTAGGAGTGTCGCTTGGTGGATGGACTTTCAATGATAACCATACCGACACCCAAATTGTCTTTGCCGACCTGAGTTCTACATCCGAGAAGCGTTCCAAGTTTATCAAAAACCTCCTTTCATTCATGCGCCACTACGGGTTCAACGCCGTCGATCTGGATTGGGAATACCCTGGTGCACCCGACCGCCAGCCTGAGGACTGGGATGGGGCAGACGATGGCAAGAACTACGTGAAGCTGATGCAGGACATCCGCAAGGCCTTTGAAGATGAGCGCTTGGATTACGAGCTCTCCTTTACGGCGCCCACCTCTTACTGGTATCTCCGCTGGTTTGAGATCCATGACATGGTCGAGGCTGTGAACTACATCAATCTGATGAGTTACGATCTCCATGGCGTCTGGGACTCTAACAATCCCATTGGCAACCAGGTTCTGGGACATACCAACCTCACAGAAATCAACCTAGCGTTGGATCTTCTATGGCGGAACGACGTCCCCGCGCGAAAGGTGAACATGGGCCTTGCCTTTTACGCCCGTACCTTTGAGCTCAAGGACAAGGACTGTCGCAAACCGGGCTGTGAGTTCAAACACGGCGGCAGAAAGGGTGCCTGCACCGACACTGAGGGTATCCTGGCGTACAGCGAGATCATTGACATTATTGCTGAGAACGAGATTGACCCCGTCTATGACAAGAAAAATGCCATCAAGTACATCGTTTGGGACGAGAACCAGTGGATCTCTTACGATGATCAGCAAACCTTCCAACAAAAGATTAAATTCTTCAACGAGAAGGGACTGGGAGGACTGTTGCTCTGGGCCATCGACCAGGACGACCGCAATCGCGATGCCCTTCGAGGCGTCCTCTACCCGCAGGACTTGGTGATGACCGACAGTCTGAAAGACGATGTCAGCTACTGGGAGAGTCAGCACCCCGGTGACTGTCAGACAACGGACTGTGGCAAGCACTGTAGTCCTGGGTTCATTGAAATGGAAAGTCTCTCTTGTCCCGATGGTAGCGACAGCGAGTGGCGCATCTGCTGCCCGCTCTCGTCAGCCCCCGATCCCAGCACCTGTCACTGGCGTGGAGGCGACAATGGGGGAAGCCTGTGCAACGGTCAGTGCCATGGTGGTGAGGTTGCCCTGTCGTCGGCTGTCAATGGAGGTAACGGCCACTGCGCAGATGGTAGGAAGAAGCCGCCCCTTCGATGCGTGATGTAGCTGACAATCTTAGGACGTCAATTCTACTGCTGTCCTATCCCAGAGGTTGCCGCCGGCGGTGGTATTAACTGCGGCTGGAAGACGGAATGCTCCGCGGACCAAGAGATGCTCACATTTGAAGGTAGCTTTCTAGGCGATATTTCTGATGCCTTGGACTTTGGTGGCCTGGTTGGGCAAGCACTGGGTGACCTGTTGGACACTATTGATATGGATGTTTCTCATCGCTACTGCTGCTCTAAGGAGGAAATCGAAAACTGGAAAGACTGCTACTGGGCGGTAGGTCGCTATTTATTGAGACCTACAACGAGCTTCACTGACGATGCATCAGGGGCGAGGTGGTCGAGGGATCCATAGCTGCGACGACAATCACTGCGCAACGGGCCACGAAGTAGAGCTCACTCTAAGCAAGTATGGCGAGGGCGAAAGCTGCGGTATAACGTACGTTGAATACTACAGAAAAAGGATATTGCTAGCTGCTAACAATCGCTTCTAGGGGTCGACAGAGGGCATTCTGCTGCACACCAGCCAGCGGCGAGTCACCGTTTCTTCCTGTCCCACTGGAGTATCTCTTCGACAATCCGCCAGACGCAGATGACCCTGACTTTAATCTCCAAGTGGATGACACTTGGGGAACTGGGGAAACTCAGTCTGGGAACGAGGATGAGCCCGATGTATGTAGACGAGCCATTCCCTTGTGACATAGCTAACAGTGGCAGGATGCCTCCTTCGGTTTCGTCGTCATAACTGCGCCTGAGGAAGTTCATGTCAGTTTAGACAAACGGGACGGCTCCCCCTGGGAGTTAATGGACTGCCCCGACACCGACAGCGAGGAAGCCCATACTATCCGCATGGTCTGCACTGACTCCAGTGAATCAAGCAAGTGTGACCACATCCATCGAGGATACGGCGTCCCTGGGACCATTCTCCAGCTGCCTGACCGTTGTGGTCCCGGTCGATATGCCGTGGCCAAATCATTCGCGCAGTCCAAGAACCAGAGTCTCCCTGGCCATCTTAGCAAACGTGGTCTGGAAGGTAGATCTGTCTATGATCTGACTTTCGACTATAACTTCCAACGCGTGCCTCGGGATTTCGGCGATGCACAGATGCGGATCGATTTCAGCAACCAGCCTGGCTACTGGGACTCTGTGGTCGACCGGCCTGGAGGGACAGAGGCAGAAAGACACACCAGAAAGACCAAGCGTGATGGAAGCGGATATCACCAGAACCGCAAGCGCTGGATGGAGGACGAGTGGCGCGACGCCTACCATCACGGTGGGATGCACCGCGAGGAGATTCACAAGCGGTGGTTTGGCGAGGACGTGCTCAACTGGCTGGCCGAACTTATATTTGTCGGCGAAGCAGAGGTAACCAAGGAGCTCAATCACCACGTCAACGAGAAGGTCGAGCTCCTCCTGATAGACCAGCAATTTGGCCCATGTCCAGTCGGTCCCGCGCAGGCGCAGGCGAATATCAAATCCACCATCACCGCGGAAATCGACGTCGAAACATCTTTTGGTTTGACAATCCTGACTTCGCTGCACGAGGGAATGGACCTGAGCAGGTCCTACCTCTATTTTAGAAACGCCGGCGAGGTCAACGCCAAATTTGAACTGGACGCCGTGGCCTCGCTGACTTATTCCACGGGCGATATAAAGCTGCTCGGGCTGGACGACTTTCCAGGGGCAACGTTCCGCGTGCCTGGAGTTGTTACCATCGGCCCTAACCTCGCCGTGTATGCCTCAGCCGATGCCTCCCTTGTCGTCGCAGGCCATCTCGAAGCGGCAGTGACTCTGGCCTCGTGGGAGATCCAACAGACCTATCCGCAGAACGACGACCATCCGCCGCAAGCCCTGGATCAGCCTGACCGCGAGGCCAAGACCGTTGGTAAGCCCACGTTTGACGCCTCTGTGAGTGCTAATGGCGAGATCGCCATTCACCTCAAGCCCACTGTCACCTTTGGCATTGTATTCGACGACCGGTGGAAGGTGGATCGGTGTACAGTAGATCTCGTGCTGGACGGCTACGTTATCGGCCACGCAGAGGCAGAGTGGTCCCTCAATGGCGACAATAGCTGTCCCTTCCGCTATGGAATCGATGCTGGGTCCAATATCTATGCCCAGCTGGAAGCCCCCGACCTGTTTGGATGGGGTGGTAGTCACCGCGTTACGCTCGCCTCTGTCCCACGCAAGCAAATCACCCCTCCAACTTGTCCTAGTGGTGATACCAAGATGATCAGAAGGTGGATAGGTGACGATACCAGTAACAGTACACAAACGGACGGTCTGTCGCCAGAGGCCGCATTTCCGGCAATCCACAATATTCATGGAAAGCGGGATACGCTTACCTTGGGCCCCCTGGTCACAATCCCCGACAGTTTCCTGAAATGCCCGGGTGATGATAGTGGATCTTCCAAGTGTGAGATGTGCTCGATGTATGGGACAGATGACAGCCGGACCGAGAAGAGCATTTCCCTGTCCAGGCGCCAGGACGACGGCGGCTCATGTCCATTATATCCACCTGGAGATAATGCACCATGTTCCGACCGGACTGTATTCGATCGTGCATCTGAAAACACGGCTAAGGAGATGAAACTGAGCTTTTTTAACGGAAACAAAGAATTTACATATCTTCGGTATCCCTCGTGCAATGCGGACAATGGTGGGCCTAATATTGCAAAGGTTTGATTCACCCCAGCGAGAATTCACGTTCATCCTGATACTAACATCAATCCAGTGGTATCTGCCTGAATGGATGCTATCCAACTCTAACGACCCGACCGACCGAACGCGATGTTCTGCAAAAACCGTAAAGCAAAACGCCGTCAAAGGCCCAACTGGTAAATACTTGATCGCCGGCCTCTCTGATCTCCCGGCAAATGACTTCCGATCAGAGCACATCTTCGAAGTGCATCTCATCAGCCGCTTTCTTGAATGGGTGTGTAATGGGAAAAACCCCAACTACAGCCTACTGAATGTCAAACTCGAATTCCCTGCGGGCTGGAAGAAAGCAGACGCCGCTTGGTGCTTACAAGCGTTTGGAGGTATGCCTTACCCATTGCAGGATCCGGCCATGGTCTAACAGGATTTCAGGCCCTACTGGGGGAATCCAGTGGTCTCGTGCTACGAAAGGACCAAAGAAGAACTGGGTCATGCATACCGCGGACGTGCTAGGAAGCGCCTCCAATCTCGATCTACTGGTTTTGTACCACGACACACCAAACGGGCGGAAGCAGAAAATCACCCAAGGCTACAAAACCACCATTAAGAGTCAGCTGGCACCGACTGATGTATCGGCTGTTGCAGAGAGTGTCATGGTGGTGCGTCGATCCCTCTCCCTATTTACCTATACTCCCGTCCATGGACGCTACTACTACCACTACTTGCACTGGCCTGACAACGTTGGTAGAGCGCAACTGTTTTTAATTACTTGAGAACGCTCCAGGCCAAGTGGACCGGCCCCAGTCAAAATGTCGAACTGATATCGGATGAGTTTGATTACTGGTACACGCGGTGGCCCTTGGCTCAATCTCCGCCTGGAACGCCCATTGGCAAGCCCCCAATGCCCCAAGGCGTGAAGCATTGGGGACTGCGCACACTCTGGTGCTATTTCATCGACAGACATCTAGACCTTGCCGAACAGGTGCAGGAGGTATGGCACGCGTCTACAAAGTCCAAGTTGGAGAAGGTCAACGCACAAACTGCAAAGGACTTCGTGGCGAATGCCATGACGACCGGCGATGCGAAGGTGGCAAACTTCAAGTTTCCCCGGCCCAATCCAAAAAGTCCGCTTCCAGGAACTGCTGGGAGTGACTTTAATCAGGAAAGTCGGTATGGAATGTGGGGAGGCAAGGGGCTGGGGAAGTTAGGGTTGTAGTGTCAATATCCCCGTCACGTAGCTGACCACGGCACTGAGCGGCCATGGTCATGTTGAAAATATTTTCATTGAGGGTGGTTTTGATGGAGGAATATTTTCAACATGTATATAAGGAGTTCCGTAGCCCATGTGAACAGTCCTAGGGCGATAACGTCATCGTGCATGCTTATATAACTAAGTATTTAAGTGCCTCAAGCCCCTGTTTCACTTGCTCAGTTCACTTCCTTCTTTCCTTTCCCTGCAATGTCCGACAGCGACAGTGACAGCGACCATAGCAGCTGGCAGCAGGTCCGCCACTACAAGGACCACCTGGGCCATCCTGTTGTCCTCGAAGAATACGTGAGGCCTGGCAATCCACCAGCACCGTGCCACTTAGTCCCTATCCAGGTTTACAGCCTAGTGCCTCTGGATCCAGATCATGAAAAGGTCCGCGACTATCTCCTGGGCGCCTTCTGGAATGACGAAGTTATGCCGCTATTCGAGATATACTCGTACTGCCCGCCTGATGCCTTTGCCTGCATCGACCACAACCGTCGCGAGATTGCCTTTCGCAAGCAGCAGCACCGGTCGGGCGTTGAAAACGCCCCCGGGCTGATCCCCCAGTTCTTCAGGCACCGTTGGAACAACGAACCTCCCATTGGGCGCTGTGTCCTTTTACGTTCCCATTGCTACCGTCTAGATGAAGACGATGATGGCGCCTCTGCCGGGGGACCAGATGCGCTGGAGTTCACACGTACCTTTTCCGCCACGCGCAGAGATGCCGATGATGCACCCGATGATGCACAAATTCCATCCTACCCTCCAGATGAACGCTTTTTGGAACGGTTTGAGCTGTCGGTGAGCCGCATCACGTCACGGGAAGATGTCGATCAGGTGGTTGTTCTTGACATGTTCCTCAATTCTCACCCTCGTGGGGAGCTGTATTTTGGCCTGGATGTTGACGAGGGTAACCCCCCGGACCAAGCTCCCCCGTCCGAGAAGCAGATCCGGGATCAGCTATCCCAGCAGACTGCAGTTGGCGGATTCACTCTGCCTTCCTTGGCTGAGGTCACTCAAGATGGCGGCATCGTGACGGTGTCAGACACGCCGAAGGGGGCTCAGCCTGACATGCAGTATCTGATCTGTGCCCCTTTTCTCAGCCACCTCGATGCAACCACTGCGACTCCTCTTCTGGAAAGCACAGCACGCCTGTTCTGCTCTGCCCTGCAATTCCATCTTCCTTCGCCGAAAACTATGGATCTTGAATTCTCTATTCCAGAGTCACATTCCAACCCTTGGTCGGGCATACGCGCTGCCCACGACGCCGTTCGCGCCTCTCGTACCACCGAGTTTGCTCCCGGCGCTCTGCATAAATTCGCGGCAAACGACGGTGATATAGCTGCCCTTCACAGGGTTAGCCCTCAGAATGAGCTTGACTCCCTTGCGGGCGCTCAAAACGTCCTCACCTTCCCCTGTGGCGTGTTTGCTGTCGTACTGGATAGGGCAAACTTTGTAAGCGAGGCCGGGGTATATTTTTATGTTGCTGATTTTGGTGACGATGAGGATTCGGAAGAAGAGAATCTTTCTGACGATACTAAGGTCTGGCGCTGCATTGGCATGGCTGAGGCGGCCAGGCGGTTGGCGATGTTGGCTGTCGAAGAGGCGCTCACAAGCTGACGCTTCATTTTATGATCCTGAGAAGCATAAGGCCATGTGATAGTTTATGTTGAATACGAAGCCTAACGTATGGTAGAGTGACAACAAGATGATGCTACCTAAAGCGTTGAACCAAGAAGACCTGCCAGTTAGATCCTTGAATGACAGCCAAATGTCCTATGTGAATGCTAAGCCTCGGATACTTTTAAGAGAAATACTCACCAGCAAGTCATCTTGGTGTCATCATCAGCTAAGCGAGGTTTGGGGTACCTGGTCTTGCGTTTCCGTTGATGGCGAGACGTGATAGATTTCCCCAGAGCTGCCATGCGAGATTGGGAAGAAATTCAGGCCAAGCAGCTGCGTTATCATCCGCTGGGTGTCTGGATGTGACGGGTCAATTCTCACTGGTGGCTGACTCTCCTGGCAGGGTTTTCTTCTTCGTTGTGTGCCGGCTCTCCCTTCCATCATATACGAGGTTCCCTTCATCAACCCTTGCGATACCCCACAGCGTATGCTCCATGGTCTTTTTGGCAACTCCCAAGTGCTGGACATTCCAACCCGCCGTTACCAGGGCGTCGGAAACCATGCGACGATGGCATCGCCACCACAACGTCTCGCTGCACATGATAGCTACATATCCCTGGCTGGATCTGTGGAGCTCCTCTGCCAGGTTCTGCAGTTCGGCTAGGCCCTCTTTGAATGACGGCGTACTCATATACCCTGCATAATTCCGGAACGCGGCGACGCGTATCGCTGTATGCTGTGCAAGCTTTGGCTGTTTGGCGTTGCGACGGCCCCCTAGTGATTCACCAAACCAGACGTATTCGATACGAGCCCGTTGTAACTCCGCGGATTCTTGGAGGGTGTCGCGGTTGAACTGGGGATTTGTAAATGACCTTGGGATAGACCGGATGTCGACAAGCTTGGTGACATTTGCTGTTCGGAGGAGCTGGATCAGATCATCGAGCGTGCGTGTTCCATGGCCCACTGTGAAAATTGGAGGATGAGACAACGCCCTCGATCGTGTATTTTTCACCATGGCTGCCTGGGCTTGCTGTCTAAAAGCTGTTTTGTCTGTTTAAATGGACTGGATGTGGATGATATAACAGTGATGTAAGTAGGGCTACTGCCGTCTCCCTGTGGCGGGATCACGCAACAACATAACCAAACTATATTTGCCTTACTGGTTGATATTAATTAAATATGAGGACAATACCGAAGCTATTTTACTTTAGCTTGAGGCTTCATCATAAGAAGCTTCCTAATCTCTACTATTGCCAGACCAGGGTTCAGGTGCTTCGGACAAGTCCGAGTGCAGTGAATAATTGTATGGCATCGATAAACACTCATACTGTTGTCGATTGCGTGTAGTCGCTCGTCTTTCTTTTCATCTGGCGAATCCACCAGCCATCGGTATGTCTGAAGGAGCAGTGCTGGTCCGAGATATTCCTGGCTATTCCACCAGTACGATGGACAGCCAGCAGCGCAGCAAAAGCACAAGATACACTCGTACAGTCCGTCTAATTTCTGTCGCTCTTCAGGGTTGGGGGTATAGAGAACTCACGCCCGAAGGCTCTCTCTCTGTAAATACGGCTTGATCGACTTGTATTGCTTATAGCTGAATGTAAGATCCGGAACCAGGTCCTTCACCACCTACATATGGGGAAGTGGGTAGATGCGCAACTCGCGAGCAACCCGGGGAATTGGGCCCGCATTGCAGCTCAGTATTAATAACCTCTCGTCAACGCTCTTCCGGCCGAACGGCATGCTCGTGCAAGCCAGGGTGTTGACGCCATCAATACTCATAGCGCAGCTGCCACAAACTCCTTCCCTGCAGCTCCGTCGAAAGGTCAAGGTAGGGTCAATCTGATTCTATATATATATGAGTGCGTCCAGTACCATCGGACTAATCTTATCAAGACCGAGTTCATACGTCTGCATCCACGGTCTCCTTGCAGGGGTGTCTGGATTCCAGCGATAAACTTGGAATTTCTTTGGTGATGACTGACTTGGATACAATGTCGCGATGCTTCGAAGCCCCGACTGCGTTCTGGATGGCAAAAGTGCTGTATATTGATACACAGGCCTCGACACGGCGACGGCGCGCTGGATACATCGAGTGGGCGCGGACATTTCGACATAATGCAATCCGCGCAATAGAGGAACGACGAGAATAAAAGACAGAGACTAATATAGTCATTCATTTTGCTCAATATTCCCGGCAATTTACACATGCTGCATCGATTCAGCCTGGCTCGATATAAGGTTTGTTTCTTCGTATTAACCATGCTGATTATCCACTACACAAGATATATTGAGTATTCGTCCACAGGTAGCAACAGGGTGTTGCCGTACTGAATGGTATACTCTACGAGTACGGCGGAGGCTCACTATCATAAGCCTCCACTTGTGTGCACCCCTGAAGAGGCAGCTCCCCCGTCGGAATTCTGTCTTGTGGCGAGCTGCAATTTCTGGATGGTACTGCTGAAGGGCTCTGCACAGTGCGGTTCGCAGGCCAAATTTCAACTTTGAGTACAAGCTTTGTCGACTACGAGACACGGCGTCAGTAACAATGATGTTTTCTCAAAGGGGACACAGCATACCTGTACTTTTCTGGCTTTGCAAAACGAAAATCTGGCATCGACTGCGAGTGAGTACGTATGTTCAACAGTACACGATGCGAAACTCGGCGCAACATCTGGAATGGATACGCGATGAAAAATGGTCCTATTTATATCGGGCAGCACATCAAGCCCGGCAAGGCAAGTGACAGGCTCGTTGAGGGTTTTCAGATTTAGGAGATCCGTTGAGGTTGTCCATGACTTGTGCCTAGCTTCAGCCCTAATATTCGTCGTACTCTCAAGGCTGATTCTCAGACTCGATAGTTTTGATGGAAACAAGGCCTGGCCTTCCACGAGGGGGCCTCGCACAAACATCCGCAATGGAAGGCGTTGTCCTATTCTGAGAATCGGAGAAGGAAGTCTTGCTTCGAGTGACAGGGTTGGGGGGGTATATTGGAGGTGCAAATGAGGCAGCTTCACTGTACTAGTTGTACGCAATGCTCTGTTGGACATCAGAGCCAGGTACAGAGGTGGTGCAGCAGCCGATATCATGACCACTCGCTTGAATGAGGCATCCCCTTCACGGCCCTTGACATCTATTCTGACGGTATATTGGACTCTGGCAGCCGCCCCAAACATCGTCGCGCGCGCTTCGAAGGATGAGGGCAGCGTAACCCCCTTGTGCGCAGGCTCGTCCGGATGTTTAGCGCACTGAGTCTGTAGTGGAAAGTTTATCTCGAAAGGAATGGCATATTCACCATTAAACGGGGTATACTGAAAAGTACTCGAAGGCGAATTTTGGTCGGGGAAAACGACCTTTGAAGTCCTGAAGAGCTTGAATATCCGCCGTCAAAAGACATATCAAAGCATGTTGCCTGAAGGGTGTTTGTTCTTACGCACCTGATGATTCTCACTTGCTACTAGCGGCATGTCATTCCCTAGAATGAACGCAGGCCCTTTCTCAATAAGAGATGTTCGTATCACCCCTGATGCAATGTCATTTTGGAGGCTGGAGAGTTTTATACGTGGCGAATACCTTCCAGAGTTGCTGTGACCTGAAAGTCCACAGGCGCTCCACTTCCAGCCTTCAGATGCACCACGCCTTTGACAGCCTCTGTCGACGAATATGCCTTGCCATTCCGAAGCCCAGTGATATTCAGGCGGGGGGACATCTTGAGGATCCTGAATTGACTTGGAATTTCTGGAGAAGGTGAGCCAGGAAGGGAACCCAGATATCTCGTCTGTGTACTTTTTGGCATGTAAGACCATTAATCCCTTGTTATGTGCCCATTCGTGTAGCCGGACTGCCATGGCCCTTGGCGGCACACACTCCAGGATGGCTCAGCAAATCATTCAGCTCCAGGCTATGCTCTTGTTCACCTTCCAAGCATGCGTTCACATATCCACCGTTGGACGCGCAATCGCGGTCTCTGTGGCTGCAATCGTGATGTCTACTTCGGCAAAATACACCCTCAGAGGACATTCCGTGCTTCTTGGCTGCAGTCGCCATTGTAAACCCCCCACGCTACAGATGGGTCTATATTTAAGGAGTCAATAGGGATTTTCACTTGGTATGAGATACCGTGGCCGATAGAGAGCACTTCTGACTTTTGAGCAGACCTCGCTCTCGTACGAGGAGTAATCAACCCGAGGATATGCCAAACCGCGACGGCTGGCGGTTGTGGTGACCATGATTGAAACCCGAGATAGTCCGTCATACTATCTAATTTCGATATGACTTCCGGCTCACCCTTACTGCCCAGGACCAGAACGCTCTTGGCCTGGACCCCCAAGCCCATGCCACTCATGGAAGGAAATTGAGACGAGACAGTCGATGACATTTATTGGGCACCAGGCAAACGCGGCGTGCTCTTGTCTGTCTATCTCTTCTTAAATGTAGTGACAAGACTGGATGATGCCATAAGGAGGCGCTATGGTGCCGTTTGGGATCGAATGGCGGACGGAGTGCCAAGATTTCCGCTGTGAGCCCAGTCTTGGCGTCTGTTTATCAAGACCTGGCCAGCACGCCATTCCTCGTCCTCGCTTGGCGCGGGATGCCCTCGCATCAGGGTCTGTATTCATAAGGGTCTCCTTGCAGGCCGTGGTTGGAGAACCGATCACTCACTCTCGGTATAGACATCGCCTCCTGCGGCAAACATGGAGGACCTCAAACAGAACAACCGGGATATCCTTAACGATTCTGCAGAGGAAATCATAATCACCGATAATGGAGACTGGACTATTGAGGAGGAAACTCGGGCTAAGCGGAAGTAAGTGTTCCATGAGCCCAGATTGAGCATGCAGAGATTGATGCATCTATGTTCTTAAGGTTAGATTTTATGATTATGCCCATCCTCACGCTCGGATTCTTTTGCCTGCGTAAGAGATCGTCGTTTATACTGTCATAGTGCTACAAGTTTAACATGGCATAGAACTTGACCGCGGCAATATGGCCAACGCCATCACCGATCAATTCATGGAGGATGTCGGTATCAACCAAGACCAGTTTAACGTTGGCCAGCAAATGCTGTCCCTTGGTATTGTCTTGACTGAGATTCCCTCGAATATGATCCTCTACCGCGTGGGCCCAGGAAAATGGCTTACAATGCAGCTGTTCCTCTTCGGAATTGTCAGCACTTTCCAAGCCTTCCAACGCGGCTACGGTGCTTTCATTGCAACTCGCCTCGTCCTCGGCATAACCGAGTCTGGCTTTATCCCAGGTGGTCTATGGACTCTCTCCACTTGGTATACTAGGGATGAGACTGCCAAACGCGTCATGGTCTTCTACTTTGGAAACCAGATCGGCCAAGCGTCGGCGAAGCTGCTGGCGTACGGCATACTGCACATGCGAGGGGTTGGCGGGCAGCCTGGCTGGTTCTGGCTCTTCGCGTTAATGGGCGCCTTCACTGTACTTTCTGGATTCATCTTTGGCTTCTTTCTGCTCGACTCGTTCAAAAACCCCCACAGCACCTTTCTACCAACAGTATCCTGGTTCACCGATCGGGAGCTGCACATTTTGCAAACACGGGTCTTGCTCGATGACCCAAACAAGGGTAAAAAGAAGCGTAGGATTGGCTCTGGCGCCTTCAAAAGAGCGGTAAGTGTAGTCTGAAATCTAGCCCTGGTGGTTGTTACTCAATGATTTAGTTCTTGAACTGGCGCATCTGGGTGCATTTCCTGATCACTCTATGCAACAATGGTCCCCAGCGCGCATTCGACACGTACGCTCCGTCTATCGTGACGAGCTTTGGCTTCGGAAGCCTGGTCAGCAACGCTATGGCCGCTGTTGGGCTGTTTTTGCAGGTCCCCGTCTCGTTCGCATTCAGTTGGGTGTCAGACCATTAGTGAGTTCACCAAGTATGAGCTGTCGGCTCCAGTTAACCGGTCCTGCAGCAATCGTCGGGGAGAGACTGTTATGTTAGGCTTCTTCTGCCATCTTGTGGGCTACATCTTCAATCGCACCTTCACCGATGTCTCGCTGCGCGGAGTCCGCTACTTCGGAGTCGTCTGGACACAGACGTTTGGGACATTCTCCCATCCACTAAACATCGCGTGGTTATCACTTGCATGCGATGATTCAGAGCAGCGTGCGCTGGCTATGGCCGGGTGAGTCGAGCAGCTCTTTCAAGATGAATGCTTTCCATGCTAATTGCCCTCCGCGTCAGCGTCATCATGAATGCCAATATTGCTGGTATCTACGGCGCTCAGATATTCCGTGCAGACGACAATCCCCTATACCGCCGCGGTTTCAGTGTCGCTCTCGCAGTTCTCTCGGCTGGCCTTGTTCTCGCAATTGTTCGGTTTATCGACACCCTGATCCAGCGACGCCGTCGGAGAGAAGCTGTCGCAGGCGATCCAAATACGGCGGGGCATTCCAATTAGTGTGCCCTACTTCACTGTATGACATCTGCACTTCTAACTATGTCGGTACCATTGCCTGGCTGTTTTAGGGAGTGTGGACCAGTCTATTAGTGACGTCCGTGGCGCTGGGATATACAGAAGTAGCTGTGCGCGTCGGGACTTGCAAGTACACGGCAAGGCCGTACAAGCCATGGTCTGGCAGGCGCTGTGGATCGGCCTTCTAGATTCGGAGATCTCTTTGCCGGCTATAATTAGCAAACGACGACGAGATTCATGTATATGTGGCACGCTAAGCTCTCTGCCAAGGTGACGGTAAGACACCGTCTCCGCTTGTCGTCGGGCGCCATGGATTGTTCAAATGTGGATGATAGATGATGCTTGAATTCCTTATCAGTCGTAATACTCTCTAGGGCTTTTGCAGGCGTATCCAAAACTCGTGATAGTGGCATGCATTTCGAATTTTCAAGTCACAGACTCTGTAACAACTCTCGGGGCCTGGACAGCAGAAGAGACTGGAATCAGGTAACGCGCGTTTCAGTTTAGTTGGGTGAGACACAGACCCAAAACGCAGCCAGCCAGGGCCGGTGAAACAGTTCGTGGTGGATTGACAAAATCTGAGCTGTGGGTCTGATATGGGTCTGATAGAGGGTCTACCGATATAGCACATCATCGATAAGACCCTCGCTGCCCGTCGCCATGCTTCAAGTCGAAAGGCTGTTTGCTCGCTTGTTCATCTATCTGGTTTTTCTTACTGTTTTCTGACTGCTCATGTTATTCCTCTTGCTTTGACGGTCAACTCGTGCGATTTTTGGCCGCGTTTATATATACTTGCAGATGCACCGCTCAACAGTCCTCATTCTCTCGCTTTTGAGCACCGCCTTCTGCTGGCCTTACGACGAATCGCTCCTCGATTATAACCTCAACGAAAATAAAACGGCCGAGAGCCCAATCGACTACTGGGGGGAATGGCCGGATCACAAGTACCACCCGTCGCCAGACAACTGGCGGCTGCCCACGTATACAATATTTTTGGATCGCATATCCAACGGGGATCCTCTGAATGATGATATCAACGGGACGGACTTTGAGCATGTGCTACATTCTAATCAGATGCGTCACGGTGGTGACCTGGCTGGTCTGGTAGACACGTTGGATTATATACAGGGCATGGGTTTTAAGGTGTGTTGAATGCTCTCAAATCCAACACGAAGCTAATCCAGATAGGTCATCTACTTTGCAGGGACGTATTTAATGAATCTGCCGTGGGCCTACGATGGATACTCGCCGGTTGACACGACGCTGCTCGACATGCACCATGGCACACTGGAAGACTGGCGGCGGACAATCACCGAAATCCACGACAGAGGCATGTATGTCGTCGTGGACAATACTCTTTCAACGTATGCTGCTCCTCCATTTGCAGCCTTTCAGAGCTAATTTGGACAGACTGAGTAACCTGATCGGATTCAAGGGCTTTCTGAACTCTTCGGCCGATTTCCGCCCGGAGGAATACGAAGTCCAGTGGGTTACTGATAGACAATATGCGGATTTCAGCTTTGGCAACGACTACAATGAATCATGCAACTATCCCCGGTTCTGGGACGAGGAGGGCTTTCCGCTCACAGACCAAGGTGTCGAGCAGTTGAATGGCTGCTACAACAGCGACTTTGACCAGTACGGAGAATTAGAAGCATTTGGAAACTTTCCTGACTGGCAGCGTCAACTCACCAAATTCGCATCGGTGCAGGACCGCCTGCGTGAATGGCATCAGCCAGTTCGTGATGTGCTCACTCGGCACTCCTGCATCCAGATTGCGAGCCTCGATATCGATGGCTTCCGGTTTGATAAGAGTGTCCAATCAACCCTGGAGCCCCTGAGTGAGATGATAGCAGTCTACCGAGAGTGCGCAAAGAAGTACGGCAAGCACAATTTCTTCCTCCCCGGCGAGATCACGTCTGGCGATACCTTTGGCAGTCTCTATCTCGGCCGCGGGCGTCAACCGAACCAACGTCCAGACACTGCAAGCGAGGGTGCCAAGTTGAAGAATACCTCAGATTCGAATTTCCTCAGAGACGACGGCCTGCAGGCACTGGATGCCTCTGCCTTTCATTACACGATCTACCGGTCTATGACGCGGTTCCTGGGGATGGACGGCAACCTCGTTGCTGGACACGATCTGCCCACTGACTTCATTGATGCGTGGAACGAGATGCTCAGGACGAATGACTTTATAAACGCATTCACTGGAGAGCTGGACCCACGGCATATGTACGGTGTTTCCAACCAGGATAACTTCCGCTGGCCGGCCGTGCAGAACGGCACAGAGAGGTACCTGTTAGGTCTTTATATTGTCTCGCTGGAGCTGCCAGGAGTCCCTCTCATCCTATGGGGGGAAGAGCAGGCAATGTACGTGTTTGATGCTACCGCAGATAATTACATGTTCGGTCGGCAGCCCATGACCTCGCAGACGGCCTGGTGGACAAATGGCTGTTTTAATCTTAATACGGAAAAGTTCTATGATTTCCCAGTGGAAAAGGGCCGAGTTGGCTGCAACGATGTCAGCATCACGTATGACCAGCGGAATCCAGCCCATCCCCTGCGAAACATCATGAAGCGAATGTTCGAAATCCGAGATCACTACCCAGTGGCCCAGGATGGCCTGTATCTGAAAACCATCGCACAGCTGACAGAGGATATCTACCTTCCTGGTTCATCCGACACCCCGACTGTGACCGGTCTGTGGTCGGTGTTGCGAGGGTACTTCCCCGATGTTCAAAAGGAGGCCAACCAGGGGAATGACACGATGTGGCTTGTGTATCAAAATGGAAACAAAACCAAAACATATGGTGGCGACTGCAACGACAGGAAGAAGTCCTTGCTGTCCCCGTTCAAGTCGGGCACGAAGCTCAGAAATGTGTTTTATCCATATGACGACCTCACTGTGGAAGATGGCCCGGACAAGGAGTACGGATGCGTCAAGCAAATGAAGATGCTTCCATGGGAGTATCGAGCCTATGTCAAGGCCAGCGACTTTGTCGAGGCTGCCCCTACCGTCACCGAATTCCTGCCTGGACATGATGCCCGAATATTCTCCAGTGCAGACGACTCGGGTGAAAGCATTTCCATCCAACTGGGGTATTCCAAGACGATGACCTGCGATAGCATCACAAAGGCAATAGCCCTAGACTCCAAGACAGAGAAAGGTGTCAACGCCACGTTGGACACGTCTAGTGTCAAGTGCACCAAAGTCGATGCTCGGACGACAGATAGCAAATATGTAGGAGAAATCCCGACAGTATGGACCTGGTCTGCAACGTTGAACAATGTCCATCATGGAATCCACCAGCTCACCGTTAAGAACGTCTCTTCGTCCTCTGGTTCCACTAATTCGACCGATAAGTTTCTCCTCCGCGTTGGTACTCACGAGAACCCGCTGGTAACCACGTTTGCCAACTACTCCTCCAGCCTGGTGCACGAATCTGGCGACAGTTACTACGTCCAGCACAAAGCTGCAGGGGCTGACCAGTTCCGATACACGGCGGACTTTGGTCGGACCTGGTCGAAATGGGAGACTTACGAAGGGGGCAACACGACTGTCAATACAGAGGACACGAAGGGGCAGTGGACGGGGACGCATATCCGCGTGCAATACTTCTCCAGGTTGACAGGTAGTAGCAGTTATATACAAGAGGGCGACTATGACTGGAAGGACGATGCAGCCCGAAGATTCCCTCACCTTTATTTCAACGGCCCGTACAACCAGTACGGATACGATGGTGGGTTGGATAACGAGGTGGCCTACGACACCAAGACCGCTCGCTGGTTGTACGACTTTGTATACGAGTGGCCGGCCATCGGACAGCTGAACGTCTGGGGGAAGGACGAAGACGGCGAGCCAGACACCAGAGAGGTCCTGGGCGACGTTGGCAACACGTCTTACGTGCAGAAGCTGCCTCCGTCGTATCTCTCGTCCAATGTCATCAACATCACAAGGCTGCCCCCGTTTCCGCATCTCGGATGGACAATTTCGCTCAATGATGCCAATCTGAACTACAAGCTGATTCCTGTTGGGTCTGCGTGGGCTCAGCTTGCCCTTTTCATCCTCCTCTGGGTCGTTCCGATTCTTATGGGGATAGCTGGCGTGTTTATCTTCATCCGCAACTTCTACCGAGTCCAGCTCAACAAAGACGGCAACAACACGAGTGATAAGGCGCCACTGGTATTCTACCGTCGACTGAGAGAGAAGATTGGTGCCAGTACCTCGCAAATCAACCTGGCAGAAAGTGCTGTCCCAGCCGACGTGGCTGCAGCTGGAGCCGCTTCGCAACGACGCACGGTATTGATTGCCACCATGGAGTATGATATATCCGACTGGAAGATAAAAGTGAAGATCGGTGGTCTGGGTGTGATGGCGCAGCTCATGTCGCAGAATCTGAAGCACCAGAATCTCATCTGGGTAGTACCCTGCGTTGGGGATATTGAATATCCTCAGGACACGCCAGCAGAACCCTTCGTGGTGAACGTCTTGGATACCCCCTACTTGATCAATGTGCAGTATCATGTTGTCGATAACATCACCTACGTCTTGCTGGATGCGCCTGTCTTCAGGAACCAGACCAAGGCAGAGCCGTATCCTCCGCGTATGGATGACCTTGATAGTGCAATCTACTACTCGGCCTGGAACCAGTGTATCGCAGAGGCCATCAGACGCTCGCCCTCGATTGACCTGTACCATATCAACGATTTCCACGGCTGCCTGGCACCGCTTTATCTGCTGCCAGAACGCACAATCCCAGTTTGTCTGTCATTGCACAACGCCGAGTTCCAAGGTCTCTGGGCTCTGCGAACTCAACAAGAGAAGAAAGAGGTCTGTTCTGTTTTTAATATTCCGGTGGAAATGGCAACAAAATACTGTCAATTTGGCAACGTCTTCAACCTTCTCCACGCCGGTGCGAGCTATTTGCGATGGCACCAGCGCGGCTTCGGGGCAGTGGGTGTCTCTGACAAGTATGGACAGCGTTCGTGGGCCCGTTATCCAATTTTCTGGAGCTTGGGCAAGATTGGAAGCCTTCCAAACCCAGATCCCTCTGATACAGCAGCCGTGGACAGTAATTCGGGCGCGGAAGTCGCCGTTCAATCTCATGACGAATCCGTCCATGACAAGCTGCAGGCACAGCGATGGGCTGGTCTGAATGAGGATCCCAATGCCGACTTGCTGGTCTTTGTCGGCCGCTGGTCGAAGCAGAAAGGAGTCGATTTAATTGCAGACGTGATACCGGCAGTCCTGTCCTCCAGACCTCAAGTTCAGCTGATCTGCATTGGGCCTATTATCGACCTTTATGGCAGACTCGCCGCTATAAAACTGCAAAGAATCATGGAGATGTTTCCCGGGCGTGTATTCTCTAAGCCAGAGTTCACAGTCCTTCCCCCGTACATATTTTCTGGGGCTGACTTCGCCCTGATCCCCTCACGAGACGAACCATTTGGATTGATCGCGGTGGAATTCGGTCGCAAGGGCGCACTCGGAATCGGGTCTCGCATTGGAGGATTGGGCCAGATGCCTGGCTGGTGGTACACTGTCGAGTCCGACTCTGTTCGCCATCTCATGCACCAACTGAGGACCGCGATCAAATCGGCTTTGGACTCTTCCCAGAGCACCAGGGCAGAGATGCGTGCAAACTCGGCCAAACAGCGCTTTCCTGTCCTCGACTGGGTCCAAAAGCTGGAAACGTTACAGCGCACATCGATCCAGATCCACCACACAAAGAACCAGGACACGGTAACAGGGCCACGGCCGGAGTCCCAGGGCGACTGGGACATGCAGGGCTTGAGGCAATCTGCAATGCTGCGCCCCATGTCCCTCCAGCCAAATGCAGATGGATTGCGTACGCCGCCGATGAGGTCGCCAATGCCCTCCCTTCTTGATCTACAGGCCGCCGAAGCTCAGGCAATGCAAGCAGATCAGAACAACAGGAACAGCAGTATGCTAGGACGTAAACTATCACTCGGTCAGCGCACTGGGCCAGGACAAGACGGACGAAGGCGTCTCCGCAAGAAGTCCCTGAGCAGCAGCCAGATCTCCGAACAGCGAGTCGAGGCTGATACCACTGACGCGGAGGAAGCTGGTGTCACGGCGCAGGAGAACTACATATCTCATGAGGAGGCCATGGCAGCAGTTAATACGTCTCTGAGGCCCCCCGGTCAGACTACGCCTGACGACGCCAGCATAACAAGCATTGACTCGCCCCGAAGAACACTCGAGCTTGGGAGCAACCCCGTCTTTGGGCGACACAATGTATCTACTCTGTCTTTGCCCTCTGTTGTCGCAGACCATGACCAGCCTGTGTTTGAGTTGCAAAAGGTCGACCCAACCTTTACGGACAGCATGGGCCATTTCACTCGGCGCTTCGAGCAGCTACTCACCAACCTGAACAAGAAGAATTCAAGCACGGATTACTGCATTGAAGTTTATCTCATGAAAAGTGAGCGCAAGTTCTTCGACATGTACACTGATGCACAGTTGAAGAAGCAACCAAAAGAGCGCCCTCTGTCTAGTCCAGGTCTGGATCCTGCCTACAACCCTGAATCTCAGGGCGCTGAGGAGCAGGATTCGAACGGTACAGATGACATCGATCAATGGCTTGCCCGTTTGGGGTATCAAAGACCCATGGCAATCCAGAGATTCATGCGATGGCGCATTGGGAACTGGCCTGTGTACGCCCTCTTCCTGGGTCTCGGCCAGATCATTGCGACCAACTCGTCCCAGATGACCCTGTTGGTTGGCCAGGTTGGAGAAGCTGCCGTTAAGCTGTACGTTATAGCGGCAATCTACTGCCTCTCGTCCATCGCTTGGTGGTTTGTCTTCTACCGTTTCCCGTCAGTCGTGGTCCTGAGTGTGCCCTGGTTCATATACTCCCTCGCGTTCATCGTCCTGGGTGTATCACCGTTCGGTGCTTCGACTGTGGGGCGTGCATGGGCCCAAAATATTGCAGCAGGCGTCTATTCCGCTGCATCTTCCAGCGGTTCCCTGTTCTTTGCCCTCAACTTCGGCGACCAGGGGGCAGTCCCCGTGAAGGATTGGGTGTTTCGCGCCAGTCTGATTCAAGGCCTCTCCCAGCTGTACACTGTGGCTCTGTGGTTTTGGAGCTCCAGGGTTACGAGAGTGGAAGTTGGCGGTGTTTCTACAGCTGCATTGAGCTCGTGGAGACTCACGGCTGTGGTGATGCCCGTCGCCTTCGTATGCTTTGCTATCGGCGTACTCCTTGCTCTCGGTCTGCCCAAGTACTACCGTCAAGCCCCGGGCAAGATCCTCTTTTTCTATACTTCCCTCCTCCGCCGGCGCATTGTGCTGTGGTTCTTTTTCATGGTCATCATCCAGAACTGGTTTCTCGCCGCCGCAGTTGGGCGCAACTGGAGTTTCCTCTGGTCCTCACAGCACGCGAAAACATGGCAAATCGCAGTCCTGGTCGTGGTATTCTTCGTTGTTCTCTGGTTCGTCTTGATGCTTCTCTTCCGGTTCCTGGCCAAGGAGCACAGCTGGATCCTGCCCGTCTTTGGGCTCAGCGTTGGTGCTCCTCGATGGGCACAGACCTGGTGGGGGACATCCAATATCGGCCACTATCTCCCATGGGCTGGTGGTCTCACATCGGGGGCAATCGCATCTCGCTGTCTCTGGCTGTGGCTGGGTCTCCTCGACGAAATACAGCAAGTCGGACTGGGAATGATTCTCTTGCAGACCCTGACAAGAGTCCATGTCTGCTTCGTTCTCATCGCTGCGCAGGCCCTTGGGTCAATCGCAACCATCTGCGCACGGGGATTTGCACCCAATAACCTGGGGCCAGCAGGCATTTCTCCAAACGTCGGCACATCTGTGGATAAGGTCGGCAATGCGTGGTTCTGGATTTCTCTCTTTTTCCAGCTCCTGGCTAGGTCAGTCATAACCCCTTCCTGTTTAAACTCTTATACTAACTGTTTCCAGCTTTGGCTTCCTCCTCTTCTATCGTCGCGAGCAGTTGAATCGACCTTAGAGTGGGTGATCTTTGTCTAATAATATTCATCATCTGTATCATACTCAATAGATAGCGTTGGCTTAGAATTTGCTTCCATCAACATATATATGATATTTCGGTGTCGCAAACTCGGTTTCGTGATCTAGTGGACCTTCTAATTCCCAGTAGTTTGCCAATGATATTGCTAGTGGTTGAAAGAGGGCTATCGTCGCATGACAGCTCTACAGAGCTTATATTGCTGGACATCTTGGACGTTGTGCAACAGCTGACGACGCGTTGAGGCTGGCTGCAGATTTGGCGTATACTGGCTCGTTGTTTTATCGAAAGGGTCTTTAACGAGTAATCAATTGAATTCTAGTTAATTCTAGTCTAATGTAGTCTCCAGTCCCCACTCAGTGACTGATTGCTGGCCAATGCAGATATTTATTAAACCCGGCAGCAGCCAAGCTCATTGACGAACTCCTCAAGCTCGAGCAGACTCTCCGTGCGTTCAGTCTGATCTTCTCGGTCAGGTCTCGTTAAATAGGAGACCATTCTTCCGTAGACTTCACCCATGCGAAATTCAATCTGTCCTCGTTCCACGAGCTCTCGCCAGAACCAGGCCTGGATACCAGCCAATGCCGACAAGGGCACATCAACCAGGCGGTTGGTCACATCGACTTGCTTTTTGACGATATGCTTGAGTGATCGCCATTCAGCGATCTCGGCGAGGACCATTCCTAGAGAGTAGTGGTCCATGTACATCGCGTACGCAACAGACGGCTCTCCCAGTCCTTGTGGATGCCGATAAATATCAAGCAAGGGGTCTTCTGAGGCTTGGTCGCTAACTTCTACCGGGGAGTCGACGCGTGAGAATGCAAATCCAGCCAAGTAAGGGCGAGTCAGTGTGTTCGATACGCCCCCTGAAGACGTGCTGTCGCTGAAAAACAGGATGTTCTCCGATCGGACATTTTTATGCAGCCAGCCAGCAGTGTGTACTGTCAAGAGAGTTCTGCATATTTCCAATGCCATCCCTAGTCTTGTTGTGAGACTTGGGAGCCTCGATTTTGCATCACGCATCAGGTCCTGCAGTGACCGTGGTGGGCATAACGTGTCAGAGCCGGCTGGATACTCGTAGACGAAGACAAACTCGTCCTGGTCCTCGATGAATCCCAGGCATCTCAGTGTCAGAAATCTCGAGCTTTTAGGCAGTGACAGCAGCGTTGCGAGATTCTGCGCTCGTAGTCGTAGCTTTGGTTTCAACCGTGCTGGAACTACCTTGGCCTCACAGATCACTGGCTTGCCATCATATTCCGCGATAAATGGCGCAGTCGTGTAGGAGCTGGTAGTAACGCGTTTGAGGAGAGACCGATCCAACGGTTTAATAGGATCATTGTTTGGCGATTGGCGAGGCTGTTGGGTGTCACTCTCAGCTGGCAGCTGCTCACGAACCACCTTCAATCCGACTGCAGATTCAAGAATATCGAATGACGGTATTGTAGCGGTGCCTTTCCGGGTCAGACTGGCATGAAGGCCTTTCAGGGCATTAATATCGTGGCTCATGTCTACAACGGCCGTCAGCGTCTGGCCGACCTGCTGCGACAGAACCCTAAGCTGAATCGGCTCGAGCAGATGCCAAAGGGCGTCCACGATCTCTCTCACGTCTTGAACGAGAGCTTGGAATCGCGCCTTGTCAATTGCTGCCCACCGCAGTCGCTTCGATAGACCTTGACCCTGCAGGAGTCTGGCGCGTGCCAAAATCTCCCTCCGTCGCTCCTCGGACACCCCTGCCAGGATCCCTGGTTCTCTTTTATTTTCGTCTGTCGAGTTGCCGAAGTCTCCTGGTTGGACTTCAAGCGAATAACGCTCTTTAAGCCTGGAAGCGTCGAGTCTGTCGCCCAGCTGCACCATGAGCTCCTCGGCCAGCGTCTTGTTGACCTGTGGGAGCAGTTTGGCACCTGGTTCTGTCAGACCCACAGCATCAGCCCATTTGACAAACCGGTATTCCTCGACATTTAACATAGTCCGAAGAAAGGATGCATCTCGTCCGAAATTCTGCGCATTTGAGAGCAGCACGAAGCCCTCGACGCAGCCTCCGAACAGTTCAAATGACAGGGACACCGCCGACAAAGCGAGTCCGGCGACCTCCATTATGAATATGTAGTTTGGTCAGCGTTAGAAAACGCAAGCCATCTTTATTCATTTTCTACCCCTCTCGCGGCTGGAATATTCATGATGTGCTGGCGTGTCCAGCGCCAATCGTTGGGCTCGCTTGGAAATGCCCTTTTCGTACACGAGGCTCTGTTAACACAGTTGGATCTGACAGATCGAAGATCCAGTTCCTCAATCATCTCACAATGACCTCAGAATCAGCCTCAGGGCGAGCAGTAACTTCGATTCTGCCCTCGTCGTCGGCGCCCAGTGAACCATCGTCGTCCACACAAGAACCAAACTCTCAGGCTGACCCCCGATTCGACGGCATTTACGTCCCCCATATCTATGACTTTGTGAGCCTGTTCCGGCCTGCCCATTTTCAGGGCCGCTCGCAGATACCTCCGCTGTATCTGGAGCCTCTGGCTGTGGATCACTCGATCACTGTCGGCCATGGGGCGTCGTTCACCACCTTCAAGCGCGCAGTGCCAGGCAGCCCGCCGACGACTTTGAATATAACAACCAGCGGTCTCCCGCTGACCCTCAGCCCGTCTCCAAGTACCAAGTCAAGATATGTTGTTTACAAGATTGCTCGCGTCGCCTTCTCGGAGTCTGGAACCCCTACGCCGCAAACTCGCCATGCGATGAAGGCCGCCCTGATGGAGCTCTACTGTCTCCGCCATAAACCTCTTCAAAACCATCCCAACATCGTGAAGCTCTTGGGCCTCGCATGGGGCGCCAACTATTTCGACCCAAGCCATCGCCTGCCAGTGGTGGTGGTTGAGTTCGCCGACCGGGGCAATCTAGCACAGCTACAGGATGCCATCAATCTAGGGCCTCTTGCCAGGAGTCGACTCGCAATTGATATCGGAGAGGGCCTGGATGTGCTTCATCGCTGCGGCATTGTGCATGGCGATATCAAGTCAGAGAACATTCTGATCTTCTCGCACCCAGAGAAGGAGTATGTGGCTAAGCTGTCGGATTTTGGCTTCTCGCTCGTTGGAGAGGCGGCCACTGCTGCTGTATACGTCGGGGGAACAAGGCCCTGGAAGGCCCCTGAGGCGAAATCACAAATAACGAAGGATGGACTTCCCGCGACAGATGTCTACTCCTATGGCCTGTTGTTGTGGCGTCTGGCAACAGACGGCAGGGATCCATTTCGTTTCTGGGTGGACACCGACCTGCGTGGAGAGGACTACTACCAGCTCCTTGAAAGCCTCAAGGATAATGACCAGCTGGTGCAGAATGTATCCCTGGAGAAGTGGCTTATTCCTTACCTCTCTGGCAAAGGCGGGCGTCAAGCGCAGTTGACCATGGACTGGCTCGTGCAAGGAGTCTCCAAGCTTCAGATTCTTGCAAATTCCCAGCAGACTGCCAACCGTATGTCGACAGATAATTGGGGCAGACTTGTGGAGTATTTAAAAGTGTGTCTCCAGTTCGATCAAGCCTCGAGTGTGCTGGCTGGCACTGTCCTGCAGTGGGCAAGTAAGGATATCTTCTACGGACGAATCTCATCGGCTCTGGAAAGATCTCTCAGCCTCGACTCGACGAAGCGAAGTTTGCGAGGAGCACTTGACTGTCTTACCGGAGGAAGTCAGCTAGATACAGTGTAGGTGGTATACTCAATGAGAGTTAGTTAAATGGCTGATGGCAGTAGCAAACACACAAATGCGGATATGCTCCTTCGCATCAGCTACGATGTACGTATCACAGCCTCCTCGCTGTCATTATAAGAGCAACTGTGCTGAACCAAATAGAACCATGTCCTCTCCTGGCAGCAAATGAGAGAACTCGAGCCAGCTGTCCAGTCGTTCATCTTCCACTGTTTCCGCGCAAAAGTGGAGGGCGAGTTATCCCAGCGAAAGATCAACCCCCCGGACTGTTTCATTCTGATGTCCTACTATATCAATGGATATGGAACTCCGGTTGACTTCAAAGCAGCTACGCGTCTTCTCGAGCAGTGTTCCAATACCGAGTATAATCATCTGCCTTCTCGCGCGTACGTCTACCGCATTGCGAAATCTCTCAACCCAAAGTTCATAGCCAGGGCCGACATGGTATCCAACCTGACCGAAATGGCCATTATGGGCTCCCGCACGGCAGGACTTGATCTCAATGAGATAGCACCCGACAAGTATGCAGAAGTGCAGCCGCTCATCCGCGATGCGCTTGCTGGGGTCGGTGCCAATTTCTTCCACGCCAAACAGATGCTCGCCGGTGCTACTTACCGGCAGTGGATCAACACATTTGATAACGAGCAAGTCCTTGTTCAGAATCTGAGTGGCTTGAACCGTATTGCTGATTATAAGGTCAATAAGCGAGGTGACAGGATTCTGCATTTGGCAGCCAGTGCTGGACGCATGAGCGCAATCAGAACGCTTCTAAGCACATTCCCAGCACTCGCTGTGAACCATGTCAACGACCAAGGCGAAACACCGCTGCTCTCCGCATGTCGTGCTGGACAGACCGCCACTGTATTGGATTTGTTAGAACTCGGTGCAGACGCGACGGTAGTCACCCCAACGGGCGAGACCTGCTTGCACTGGCTTGTTTCCTTTGAGGATGGCGATATCGAAAAGGTCGGCCAGGCTTTGGTCAAAGCCGGAGCTGGTCTCAGGGGACTGACCAAGAAGAGCATTGCGTACTCTGAGTTCCGGGCGACAATCGAGGTGGACGTGCAGGTCCCGGGCACTCCGCTGGCCTGGGCTGTCCATCATGACCGACCTCAGATCGTCAAATTTCTACTGAGTGCAGCGTCTGATCCCCTGATCTGCGTTGACCGCTTGACTAATCCCATGGGTCCATCTGCCCTGGAGCACGCAGCCTATTATCATCATGTTGAGTGCCTAGAGCTCATGATGGAGGCAATGGAAGCATCTGGAGTCTCCTATACTCTCGAGCCTCTCCTCCGGCTAGGGGTACACTCTGCAGACACGTTTTCGATGATGTTGAGACACGGTGCAAGGTACAAACAACGACTACACGAGTTCCTCGAGCTTGGACTTCGAAAAGCGAAAGAGGTTCGTTTTCTAACCGGGGTCGGAGGACATGATACCCACCTGCTATACTACGCTGTGAGCGAGGGTCACGATGAAGTTGTCGAGTATCTTCTATCCACTGAGGTCAGTAAAGTCATTAGCTCGTTCAACATCAGTGTCGAAGACGGTCAATTTCCTCCCGGTGCATATAATCTGGGAGATATCAATCGCCCGGCACGAGAGGACCGACGCACGCCCGTGCTGGAAGCAATCCGATGGAATCGCAAACCCCTGGTCGAGCTCCTGGTGAAACATGGTGCCAACCCAAGGGCGACAGCTAGGAATCCTCTCAGCGGCGAGATGAACTGGACTGCTTTCCATATTCTGGCCACCGCCGGCCACACTAAAGATTACTCCGACTTGGTGTCGTTCCTGGTCACTGCCGGTGTTCCCATTGACGGTGTCCCTGTTGGCAACTCATCCGACTCAGAGAGCCCATTCCTGGTTGCCATCCAGCATAATGCATTTGGACTGGCCACAGCATTCCTTGAGCACGGCGCCAACCCCAGTGCCTGCAGCAGCACCTCCGGAATGTTATCCCTTCAGCACCCCACCTCGGTCCTTGGCCATATTGTCGCTGCATCAGCTCAACATACTGTGCCTCGTGTGAGATATCTCCTTGAACAATGTCCAAAGAAGGATGAAGTAGATTTTATTGTCGACCACAGCCAACAAATGACTGCCCTTCACCGCGCCGCCTGGACGCACAAGGGAATAAGACATCGACTACCACAAAACCAGGAGCAGGCAGAGCTATCAAAAGAAGAGTACGACATGGTGGTAAACCGAGAGATCATGCGCGAGCTTCTGCAAAAGTGGGCAGATCCTGAGACACATTTGAATGCTCGCTGTCGGATTCACGGCCGGACTGCCCTTCATCTGGCAGTGGACGCAGGGAACACTGCAGCTGTGGAGATGCTGCTAGACAAGGGAGCGGATAGCACGATTACTGATGATCTGGATTTGACTCCTGGGCTGCTGGCGCAAGAAATTATGAGCGAGTTGGATGATGAGGAAGCTGAGCTGTTGGATGTTTACGCGATCATCGTCACTTTGTGTTGTCGCGATTAGACTGCAGACTACGCCGGGATGGAATCTACCGCAATTACCGGCATAAGCTAATGCTAGTTAGTCATCTATGCTATTCATGCTTCAACAACTGTACTGCAGCGACAAGATACAATGACACGGGCCTGCATGTTTCAAGGACTTAGTATAAATATTATTAAATGTCTAGCTATATTGCGTGTAAAGTGTTTGTTGGCGAATCCACGAGTATTTCTTTAAGTCATGAATATTCACTCCCACTACTATGCGGGTTGTACCTGCCGAGTGCCGAGCTGAAATATATATAGCGGCACTTCTGGCGACAACAGCCACAACCAGCAGTATAGCAGCTTTACAATCATAACCGTATACACCTTTCATGAAATAACTATGTACATCATAACCAGACCTTATGTTCATTTAATGCCATTGTTTTGGAACAGAGTCCGGAGTTAAGCGAGCTGAGTGGCTGAGGCTAAGGCTATGCTGTGGCTGACTGGTGCCTAGCCGGCGTTAACTCCGGAGACGGAAATGAGATCCTGCATGTGGCCTTAGGCAGCCAGGCACGCCATCTGGTTTAAAGACAGACCGTTTCGCAGACCGACTCTCCACCTCCAGAAACTAACACAACACTCACCATGGGCGATATCGATCAGTCATCCTCCAACTCTGCTCGTTGGTTGCCCCCTGACGCTGCCTGCAGGAAGCGTCGTCCTTCCTCTGGCTGACTTGCTCCAGTGCATTTCCACCGAAAGAGCGGCCTGCCCCAGATCATCTCGCACCGGGGCTACAAGGGCAAATTCCCCGAGAATACACTGATCGCTGTCGATGGCGCAGTAAAAGCAGGCACTCATGCTCTCGAGCTTGACCTTCATCTCTCCCGCGATGGAGTCGTGGTTCTGTCGCATGTATGAAGCGCGCTTCATTGATAGAAGAGAGCTGACCCGATCAGGACCCGTCATTGAAACGCTGCTTTGGCGTTGACAAAAAGGTCGGCGACTGTGACTGGGAATACTTGAGCACCCTACGCACAACGCAAGAACCACATACACCTATGCCGCGCTTGCTCGACATTCTCGAGTACCTTCGGGAGCCCGGCCATGAGGAGCTCTGGGCGTTGCTTGATATCAAGGTAAGGCCTGTCCAACGTTACAGCCCCCCTCCCAGAGCTAATGCAGCCGCCAGATGACGAATGATCCGGCGACCATTATGCGACGCATCGCCGAGACCATCGAGTCAGTGCCCACGCCCGACGGTGGACCAGAGTGGCACCAGCGCATCGTCCTAGGCTGCTGGTCAGCGCGCTATCTCCCCCTCCGGGACAAATATCTCCCCAAGTGTGCGATTGCCTTGATTAGTGCGCATCTTGGCTACGCGCGAGAGTTCTTGGAGGTGCCCAATTTCTCGTTCAACGTGAACCAGCAAGTCGTAATGGGCCCGCTCGGTCGCGGATTCCTCGACCAAGTGCGCGGCGCAGGTAGTCCGGTGTTCCTTTGGACGGTGAACGCCCCGAATCTGATGCGCTGGGGTATCCGACACCAAGTCGATGGTATCATTACGGACGAGCCGGCCTTGTTCAAGCGTGTATGCGAGGAGTGGGAGAAGGAGCAGGGAGAGAGCGCTGCTGCTCCGCCACTGTCCAAGCTGGATCACCTCAGCCTGGGCGACCGCGTCAAGATTATGACATTTACAGTCCTGGTGGTGCTGTTTGGCTGGTACTTTAGACGGAAGTATCTTCCCTCGATCGAGCGCGTGCAGTTTGAGCAGCATAGCTCGAAATGAATCCCAGTATTGTTGTGAAGTAATACCATCTTAGACCATAGAATCTTGATTTTGATATTGACGTATAAAAATTGCCATTAAACAATCATCCCTTTGAACAAGTATCTGCTTTATTTATGCTCGGAGACTGCATGATGCAGAAAATGACAGTCTACAGCGCCGCCGACCCAGCGATAACCATCTGCCCCCAGAAATAAAGTCCATAACCAACCGCAATCCTAAACCATCCACGCCGCTGGGGCAGAGTCTGCCCAAACGCATTCTTCGCAACAAACACGTCGCTCACCACAAACATCGCCGCACCGACCGCGTGGTGAGGGACGCCATCGCTAGTCAAACCCGTCGAGACCGCAGTGGCGAACATGGAGCTGATGATGGCAGCATATATAAGAACCAATGGCTTCATATCTGATGGAATATATAGGTTAAGCAGATTCTGTGTCGCCGAGCTCTCGCGAGGTGGGTATATCACCCCCAGCCATCTTGCGAGCAGCATAGTCGCCACAAACACGGTAAGGACAACAGGGACTGAGATGTCCTGTGGGAGTTGTAGAAAGGCCACTATATATGCAATATGAGCAGCTGCAAAGGCGACGACACCAAGCTGGAATGCGAGTGGAATGTCTTCTTGCTGAGTGGTGCTGTCGAATTCCTTTCGAGACGGCAGCAGAAACCAGTCACCGGCAAGAGAAAACAGCAGACCGATTACAATTGCAGTGCGATAGCTGGTCCATTCTGTTGACGGGGAGAGGAATGGATTGAGCAGGAACGCGAGCGACGAGAGTAGTTTGAATGCGACAGTTCCGGCGAGGCTGCGAGATCGGTGTTCAGAGAGGACCAGGCATGGCAGGGAAATGGCCAGCAGGAGGACAGCTCTTTGATCCATTCTGAAGTTGTTAGATGAGGAATGAGAGACGTATTGAATTATGAAGTTTAAATAATTAAATAGACGAAGCCTTGGCATTACACATACCGAGGTCCATGCTGTTTTCATCTGATACTACAATCAACGAGTATAAATTATCTGATAGGAATTCTAACTTCAAGACGATATAACACTCTTGCCGCCGTCTTCAGTCAGCCGGTCCCTGACCTTGATGACCATGTATCCATCGCCCAGTCGATGCCCTTCCGACGCACCAACGACTGCACTGGGCGAAAACAACAAGGCCTCGCCCACTCGAAGATGCACAATCTGACGAAACAGCGATGAGGTCCTCGAGGCGGCTGAGCCTTCTGCTTCATCCTCGCTGTTGTTCGGTAGTTCACGAGATTTTACCTCCATCGCAGCTGCGGCCACATGCCCCTTCAGCGCGCGTAACCAAGCCGGCGATGTAAATCGATGCACGATGGTGACTGTACACAGCCCAAGAAGATCGCTCGAAATCGTCGGCTCTTGAGTGGAGATCAGGATACGAGCACCGAGGTGACGCTGAAGCCTGACGGTCGAGAGTAGAGTATCTGTAAAAGTCCGAGCTTCGATCGAGTCTTTCATGTACTGTGGAGTCCATTAGCAGCACTAAACGAGAGGAGATTGAATAGACACGAACCTTATGAGCCTCATCCAGGGCCACCACTCTGCCGATTTCGGTATCTTGCTCCATGAAAATTCCAAAGCAAACGTTGAAGAGTGAGCAGGCTGTATCCGGCGAAATGCATGGGCAGGAGAGGTCGACGATGGTCAGTCGCGACCGCTGGGTCAATTCATTAGCGCGAGGTTATTGATGCTTTCGAATTTGTAGGTTTGTTACCTTTGGTGTCCAGCTGGAGCCTGTATTGTTGGAACCCGCCATTCCCTTCCTGCGTGACTTCAAGGTGACTGCCTGCTGAAGCGGCATGAAGCTCTCCAAAGGGTCCAATCGCTGTTTTAAAGGCTCAAGCTGGCCTGGAAGGAGATCGGAATCGAGGACTCTCCGCTTGAACCCTCTGTAGTCAAATCGAGATCCGGTGCTCTGCTGCAAAATGCGCATCTCCCGTAAAATCCGCTGAACAGTGTGCACATATAGCGGAGCCGGACCTTGGCCCTGGCCAACCGCCATGAGATCAAACATGCGCTTGGTGTTCAAATGGGCCTGGTCTATTAGCAAAGGCTCAACAGGGATGTTGAACCTAGCGTAGGTTTTCTAAATGGCCTGTTAGAATGAGTAATTCTTGTGGGTGCGCTGTCACCTTACCTTTATGGTTTCCAAGTTCGTTGGCGCACAGAGTACTCGAACATTTACGCTAGAGTGCGAGGCAAGGAAGGCAGCCTCACAGGGAGAGCCGCCACTGTCGCTGATGAAAGTATCATAGTGGAAAACGACACCTGCCATGGGCTTGTGGAGCTTGCCTGCTCTCGAAGGAATCAGACATCCTTCCAGCATACAGGATAAGGTATGACTTTTGCCCGAGCCCTGGGAGCCGCAGATGAAGGTACTCGATGGCGAAGCCACATTGAAAAATAGTCGAGGGTCCTCTAGAATTGCCTCTTCTGAATATGGAGACATGGTTGCCACTTTCTTAACACCTCCCAGGAGACTGTATTGAAGTGGTCCTGCTCTGGCTTGGTTAAGAACAGGGGCCGTAAATACAGGACCTAGCGACGTTTCTTCATCCTGGTGTCTCGAGCTGTCAAGCCTCAGCAAGCTCAAGTGGTATTCCAGGTTGTGATCTGTATACCTGGTCAGCATCCAACAACAACAGCAAAAGGAGTGATTGACCCGACCGCTTTGGAGCTGTTTGACCGAAGACAAAGTCATTTTGAAATAGATCTTATCAAATGGGTGGTATTTCGAATTGCCTCTGTTGCTATTCATTCCCACTCTCCATCGCCGTGTTTAAGTAGTGCCGCCTCCATAATATAGGAAATAGTGAAGGAAGGGATGCGATGCAAGGCATTCTGAATCAGAACACTACGGTTATTCAAAGTCGGCCTCGAGCATTGTAAATACGCATGAAGAGGACGGACTCGCGCAGCTGCCTGCAGAAAATTTGATTAAACGACCATTACAGCACGCAAAATTACGAAAAGCACCCTGCTAAGGGATGATTGGCACCACGCACTCCACGATGGCATTATCCTCACAAGTGGCGCTTTTAGTGGTCGGCCTCCTGCATGGCTCTTGCATGACGTTGGTGACTTGCATGGAGGGCCTCTCGCAGGGCCTTTTGGATGGTTTCTTGGACGCCCTTTTGGAAGGCCTCCTGCATGCAGGCTCTGCATCTCTGACAGCATCTCACAGTGACATCTCTGCCCTACGTCAACCTGCAGAAAGAGCCATGTTTCTGAAATAAGTCAACATGACAAGCAGGTCGATTCTCAGCCCGAGGGATAGTTTAAATTCCACTGGCTTCCTCTATATGGCTACCCGCCAGGTCATCAAACAATTAAGATTGCAAGGCTGAAGATATGGAATCGAATAAGTCTCTCAAGCTTGTACCCACGGGTGGTGTACGCCCCAGGGTCAATCCATACGATCGACTTCTCGCCCGCTTTTACGAGCCACTATTCCTTCTGAAAGCATTGGGACAGACTCGCGGCGAACACACGCCCGAACCCCCCAGCCGCGATACTGGCCAGGCCCACAGGCGAAGGTTCCTCTGGAATCTTTCTTACATATGCGACTTCAAGAAAGGAGGAGACTCTTGCACTGCAATCGCCTTAGAAAATAGCTTCACCTGCTACCGGTTCTGGATAGCCTCGAATAAGGAGAATGAAAGGATAGTCGGCTTTGTTGGGGAAGCCCTCAGCATGCTGCGCGACACCGAAGATCTTCCCAGCTCTAGTCTGGCCCGCGCAAAATCCCAGTTTGTTCTATACTGCGCGGAGTTTGCAGACGACCGCATCAAGAAGGAAGGAAAACTTCTCCGGAGAGAAGCTCAGAGAAGTGTTTCAACGCTGTTGGAGCAGAGCTCGGAAACAGGTATGACAGTCTTCTCAGTGAACGTGCTTTTGCGAACAAGTATCTAATATATTTCAAGCCCAGGATTTGCTCAGATGGCTGGAGCAGGTGATTAGCCTCAGAGACAACATTCTGCTGTGTGCTTTTGCATACAGACATCGCCATTCGCTATACATGAACGAGCTTGAAATCTGGGCCAGTTACGAAGCGAGAAGCCTGGGGCCTGAAGACAGACGCTCACCCTTTGAACTGGTTCGACATTACATGGGTAGGCTTGCCCACCATGTCCGGGCACCACGAGCCCTCGTCGACGATGCGCGCCAGCTGGGCTCTCTACTGCAATCGTACGACGTCCGCGCAATCAGCCCCCCTAGTCCAGTGCATCCGCCGGTGTGCGACTCGCATACAAACCTTCGCGGCATCGTCAACCGCATGTTTGCGCAAGACGACGCTGAAAGGACGATTATCGAAGACGGGCTAATTTACATAAACAAGACCTGTGGGATTTTCGATACGTTCTTGTCGCAGTACCAGAGCCCAAACCTACAGGTTCACGCAGAAGTGCAGCTACTGGAACACTTTTATAAGAAGCGGCTTCCTTCGTGGACGATGATCGATTCATCGCCTGCAGTAAGCCAGCGTGTTTATGCTGCGAGCTGTACTTCAAGCATCATCCAGCCCGCATGGTTGTGCCTTCGTCGCACTGTAAAATCTGGACGAACTGGAGTCCTCCAAATGTGCAACCATTCACAAAAAAAGACCCTGAATCCATGCTGCAGAGGAAGCTGTTAAGCCAAGTAACGAAAGACCTTCGCGAACAGATTATTCGCCAAGTGTTGGAACGCTCACGATCGAGCCGCTGGCACCCAGACTCTAGAACGGGAATCACTGAGACATACCCTGCTCATGCTTTTGGCATCCGTCAGGCACAAGGTGATCAGTCAGGCGAAGAACCAGGCGAAGAAGCAAGCGATGAACCAAGCGAGGATACCGAAAAGGAGCTGGACCCCGGCCTCGATTCAGACGATGGTGGCGTGCTTATTTATGTTTAGCTTCTTAGTCTTCGAGTTGCACAATTGAACGGAAGTATATTTAGTCGATGGACGTTCTGGCTTCTACTTCATAAATTTACTGTATATGGGTAGCAATCGTGTTTTCATTAACTATCCCTCCAATATCTCTCCATGCTTGTTCCTGTGGTGGCGGTAAAGGTTGTATTTCAGAGTAAATGGCTTCCCACATATCTGGCAATATACCGGGTCTGGTACCGTCCAATGCCGCCTAGCCCATGCGTTATGGGCAGTCTCGAAATGCCGGCGCATGTCCCGTTGGTAAGCAGTAGTATGTAGACACATATGGCACCGGACAGGCCTTTGGTGCCATCTCATATGTTTTCTGGATGCCATTAGAGCGATGTATCAAACCCAGGATTGGGAATATACTCACTGGAGAAGCGACTTGTGCTGAAACCCCTTGTGATTGCAGTTTTCGCGTTGACAGTAATATAACTCATCTCGTGAAGCACCAACGGCATCCAATGAAGGCATTTCGGCTTCTTCAAATCTCCAATGCGTACTGGTGATCACGTCTTGGGAATCTGTACTGTGACCGGTGGGGGTATTCTCTGTAATAGCCCTGGCAAAATCGTTGCCCCAAAGATCTTGACCCGACTCAGTCGATGATGAACCCGACATAGCACTCTATAGAGGGAACTGAATGTCGAAAAGGTACCAATCGATGAGCGGATCATGGTCTCGGGAGTCTTTCATAGCATGCTCCTTGGAGCCGGACATTTGTAGCTCGGCCGCAAGTTCAGGTGGCTGAGAGATACCATCATATTGGGTATTGGATAGGGATTCCGCATAGTCGCTTATCACTGTTTGAGGGTGGCTGTCTAGAAAGGAAGTGCCGGAGTTCGAATGAGAGCTGATACCTGTTCCCAGCGACATCCAGTCCGCGGACTCGCTCTCACCAAGGAACCGTGGATCCATGGTTGGCAGACTGTTATGCAACGATAGACAAGAGACCGGATCCGCAAGAGAATATATGCTCTGGTGAATCTCCCTGCACTGGTATGCCCCGCGATTGATGACGACAGAGAGAGAATGAAGCGGTCAGCCTGACCCAATGAATCTTCCACCCAGCTGCCTGCCTACTGACCGCTAGTTGATGGCGACCAGGCTTGCAGCTTGGCAATGCAAATGAATATCTATCTTGCATAGACGGAAGGCTTCGTCGCGGCCGCTAGTAAGCCGAGGCTTCGTCCGATACGAACTAAGGTGGAGGTTTGGGGTTTCCCATTGCTGGGGCAATCTACAATATTTGGTATCAAATACATCGTCCGAACAACATCAGTAATGGGAAGCGCTACCATTGAGCCCTCAGTCCAGCCCTAGAAGTGTCGCCTCGAATAAGACACACGAGAAGAAAAAGTTAATTTGCACACGCCTTCTAGCAACCAGTACTTAAGGCAATATATAGTACAGAGAACTAAAGAGATGAGAACAGATCTATAACTAAAAGAAATTCGCAGTCCTATTACTGGGCAAGAATGCGGGCGGCCGCAGCCTCTGCAACAACCATGATAGTGGTCTGGATGTTCCCAGTGGGAAGGTCGGGGTGGATACTGCCGTCAACGACATACTTCATTAAGGAGTTAGTAACATGGATATAATCATAAAGTGAGGTTTCTTACCAGGTTGTCCGTTCCGTACACCTTGGTGTTGACATCCACAACGGAGGTACCGTTCTTACGGCCGTCATCGGTGCCCATCTTGGCGCTCGAAGTGTAGTGATTGCCGGTAGATGGGGATGCGAGAATCTCAGAGACGTTGCGGGAGGACTGGAGCTCAAATCCAGAGTCTGATGCGCCGAAGTCGTCGATAAGCGACTGGACGAACATGCGGGCAGCCAGGATATCATCGGCGGTCTGCATGTAGGGAGATGTTTCAATCACGGTGTTCTGCTTCTCGTCCAGGCCAAGGAGACCGGCCGAAGTCAGGCCATGGGTCAGGTACACCTTGATCTCGAGAACGGAGTCCTCCTGGGGAGCACAAGAGCCCTGGAAGTAGCGGGTGTGGCCGTGGACTTCGTTTGAAGAGAAGAAGATCATTCGGTGCTTGCCCTGGGTCAGGAGGCCACTGCCCTTGCCATAGAGGCTGATGTCCTTGGTGCTGGAACCATTCAAGATAGCATCGTAGTCGGGGATGCCGAAGTCACCAGGGGTCTTGGTTGTGATCGTGAAGATAGGGTGGTCCTTCAAGCCAACACCGACAGGGAGGTTGATCCAGTCCTGCTGGGGGGGAACAGCGATGCCGCTCTTCTTCGCAGTTTCGATCTGCTTCTTAGGTCCAATACCGGAATTGAACAGCAGACGGGGGGTAGAGAGGGCGCCGGCAGCAAGAACAACACGGCCATTGGGAGCAAGCGAGATAATCTCAGATGCGCCAGAGGGAGTCTCGACCTCAACACCAGTGACTTGGCTTCCAGAGCGCACGACACGGAGGACTTTGGTGTTCAGACGCAGGGAGAAGTTGTTGCTCTTCTGGGCCAGAGGGAGGTAAGTGCGCACAGGGCCAGCACGGACCTGGTCCTGGATATTCCATGATGGGTAGCTGTAGACCTGGTGCTTCTCGTGAGGCTGGCGGATCATGTCGACGGACCTCCAGCCCAGCTTGTCGAGGAACTTGGAGAGGACAGAGTAGAGGCCCTGGTCGTAGCGCTTCCCATCGGCGGAGGGCAAGATGGTACCGGGGTTGCGTTCGTAGAGTCTCTCAGCTGCAGGCTCGATGTCCCTCCACTTCCAACCATCTGGCCAGTTCCTGTTGTCGTCAAAGTCGTGCTGCGAGGGGTGCACGAAGACCATGTAGTTGACAGTGACACCACCGCCAAGCACACAGGCAGCCATTCCTGCAGTGTCGGAGCAGATGTATTCGTTCCACACATCGAGGGATCCAACATCGGCGGACAGACCGGGGAGATCGATCGGAGTCAGGGTTCGGTTCCAGGGCAGAGTCTCGTTGGCACCGGTTGCCACAGTCGGACCAACACCTCGTTCAAGGAGGAGCACATTCTTGCCAGCTTCGACGAATCTTTCGGCTGTGATGATACCAGCTGGGCCACCACCGACAACGATATAGTCGTATTCGCCGTGCTTGAGGCCCGCCGCCGAAGCAACAGCTCCAGCAGCTAGAATGCCTACCTGGCAGACTACTCGAGAGAATCGCATTGTCAAAGTGCAGATTATTGTCAAACGCGCAGTCAAATTCTGTCTCAGACCTGGGCAGAGTCGGCATTTTAATCTCTGCCCGTATCCGGCGGGTTACAGCCAAGGGCATGTCTGGAACCAGCGCCCCGTTTTGTGTCATCTTGCCCGAGAAACACGCCGACAGTTTCCGCTTCAGGTTTAGAAACTTGACTGACACTGCTGAGGATCTGGTCCAAGAAACGAAGTGGATCCGTGGAGGGGCCGTTAAGATTGCAGTCTCGCACCACCGGCTTCAGTCAGCGATTAGCAAGCACGATAAGATGGATCACCAATAAACAGGAAACAGTGACTGAATGCCAGAATGAGCGTAGTCTGGCGGCCGTTGATCTTGATTAGGGCACAGTGGACACTTAACGGGGTGACACTGACAGGCTGGCAGCTGTCCCAGAATTATAACGGCCCACTACCATGCCGAAATAAAGCCGGCCGGTGCTGAAGAATGTTCCAGTGAGGGTTCAGTTCACCGGAAGTGCGCTTAGCCGTATTAACAAGGAATAGTGTATTTCCGTCCTAAACAGCATCTCTAGCTTCAGCCTGAGGGTGAAAATTTCCTCTTACATCAATACAAAACCGTCGACCTCGCTCTAGTGGCGCCCGCACCGCCCTCAAAACTCCCAGTCTAAGGCTGGTAGGATTGATAGGGTTGATTCCGGGCAGATGCGCCTCGTGCATTTGACGATATTAGACGACATTTTGGTGGCTGAGCTATATATCCGAGATGTCTCGCAACAGACACGTCAAAGGGCGAATTACACTAATAGGCCAAAAATCTAGCCATACCCCCCGAAACGTCATTTTATCCACACCTTTAACCTTAATATCTCCAGGAATTCTTGGTGTTTTGACTCCATACAAGGTGCGATCGATAGCTATGATCAGCATTTAGTATACCCGTTTGCCCTGATTACTGTTCGCACTCTTTAGTTGGATTTATTCGTTTTTTCTCTTCCAGTGCCGTAGACGACGTCGACGTTAGCGGTGATAACAGGGGTAAGCTCTCCCCAGTAGGCGATAGGGAGGCTGTAGTTCATCAAGCGCCTAAGCAATGGACGGAATCGTCGGGGGCCGCGGAGTCCGGAACAGTACACTTGAATGCCAGTGCCTGGTATATCGAGGTCCTACACGGTCTGGGCGAACCACGGGGATGCGTGGCTCAATTTTGGGATTCTGTGTATATCACTTTTAATGCGGCTGCGGCGTGTGTTGTAAGGGTGGGTCAAGGTTTCAAAGAACCAGACGAAGGGATTATTACTGGGCTAAGCTTAATATTTGTGTATTATGTACTTCTGTACTGCGAACTAATCTAACACATGGCACTGCCATAATAATCAGACTGAGTGGGCTCCCTTGTAGCGTGTTGGAGCTTCCTGCTAATGAAGCCGCAAGTGGCCCAAGGCCCAATGTTTCCCAGGCAGGTTCTCGGCGAGCCCAGTAGTATTACTCCGACTCCGTTCCAAGCATTGGCGTGCATATTCTTGTCGTTTCTCCAAGGCCGTAATCTGACTGTTGTGGGGTGGAGCGAGCTGCGGAAAGAATAGGAATCCTGCATTGCGGTGAAGTCGTCCTGTTGGATTGACATATGGGCATGCGTTCCAATGTACCCAATGTATCCCGATTTCAGGCCTCGTCTGACGTCGTCCTGCTCATCCACTTTATAGCTCTGGAGTCTCCCCATCCGATGGGGCTCCGTCCTGTCATGTTCAACAGCCAGTATTCGGAGGCTGGCAGGTCTTCCACAGAAAAAGCAATATGTGGCGCAGTGTGTGCTCGCGTAGATCTCCTGATGGGGTCTGGTCTTGCGAGCAGTGGGTTCATGCACATCCTGGCCAGTGCGATGCCTGAGCTGCTGAAGGAACTGTTGAGATCGACGCGATCGCCATCCCAACGCACCAAAGACTGGCTGAACTCAGCTTGGCCCGAATGATCGCGGGGCATGCGAGACTCATCACACATGGCCTCGGTGAATCGGATCAGATAAACGATAACTTTAGATCTTCAGTCGTCGAGGATCATGCATGCGACCACCATTGACGTCGTCATCCCCCCGGTTGCGGTGTACGTGTCGCGCGATCGACTGCCATCCCCTCGTCCCCGCGGGTCCAGCTGGCAACTGCGTTCCCACAGCTCGTGCACGTCGCCGGTAGACTGAAATTGGGCTGACAGATATTCCTGGATTTCTGGCACGGGCTGGAGGCAGTACGGCACCTGCTGGAAGCGCTGGACTTCGTGGATGGTGGACGCCAGCATCGAGTACTTTGTGAAATTGATCAGTCCTTCCGGTGTCAAGGCCTGGTTTCCCTCTTCGATAAAGACCAGGTCCTTAAGGAAGAGTCCTATTTTAACTTGTATTAGTGTTTCGACGGCGCCATGCTAAGGGTCTAGTGTGACCGACCGAGAAAAGGAATGCATGGCGGGACTGCGCAGCGTAGAGCATCGCGATAGCTCTGGTAGTTCTGATCAGTCGCTGTCAGAGCCTGCAATGGCTCCAGAATGCTGCAGGTGCGCTCTGTGACCATCGCCCAGGTGCGAGCAAGCCGGTAGACAGGGGCGCTTTCGAGGCCGGAAAGGATCGAGATCACAGCAGAGTAATTCTGCAGCTCGTGGCATGCCTAGACAGTCAGTATAGCCTCATTAGTAAAGAGTTGGTATGCGTACATTGGCCACGTTGACTAGATGCCCTATAATCTGCGTGCGCTTCTTCAAGTCCGATTCCGCAATAATCACAGCAGCAACCCAGCTCGACAGCTGGTTGAAGGATCGAATTAACTCTCGCACATTCGGCGCAGGCGTAGGTTCATCTTCGCTCTCTTTCTTCTGCCAGTTCTTGTTCAGCAGTTCCGTTGGCCGTACTTTGGCAAAGACGGACGCCTCCATCAGCGTCAACTGCCGGGCAATCTCTGTCGCATCGATCTTGAGGAACTGCAGCTTGTCCAGCTTCCGGGGGAGAATGGGCTTTGGGGCACTGGAAAATGAAGGCTGGGACCTCTTGACACGCTCACCACCGGAGAGCCGGGACTGGACGATTGCAAGAAGCTGCTGCCCGGCACTGGCCTCGTTAGAGATCGATTCAGAAACAAACAGATGCAGCTTCAGCAGATTCCTATGTGTCTCTGGCCCCGGGGGCTCCATCCAGAAGCTCTCCAGCCACTGCCTCAGCACATTCACCACCCTCAACTGGATCACAGGCTTCGTCTCTCTTATCCATTCCCCTCTCTTCGTTGGACTAAGCGTTTCAGGCGGCAGACAGTCAAACCGGTCCATGAGCAGGTGAAGAACATCCTCTCCAGACGCAAAATAGCTATATGTCGTCAGGAAAGCCCGATTGAACGCCGCGTCCAGCTTATCAGGACGAGTCAGATTGTCCACCAGCGCCTCAAGCGATCCAGCCCTGACAGCATCCTCCATCTCGTTATCCTCGTAGATAATGCCCTGCGGAAACTCGACATGGCTCGAGCCAGCGTCCATCCTCTTCGTGTTGACTAGCTCGTTCGAGCTCTGGGGCACAACCACCCAAGTAACCTGGACTTCGTTCTTGCGCATCAGCACGGGTAGCCTTCTTTGCGGGCCACGAGCAGCAGGGAGAGAAGCAGATAAATACTCCAGACCCAAGCAGGCCTCGGCCGACGTAACCGTGCACAGACGGGAAAGAAAGCCGGAGGTGCACCGTTCATTTAGGTAGCTAGGCGAGAGGGGCCAGCTCCACCTAAGCTGCATGGCAACTCGGGCCCTACGTCTGCGTCACTGCGTGATGGACCGAGCTTGTCCGATTTCGGATATGGAGCCTACTGGGACCTACTGGGACCTAACTGAGTCAGGGTGCTGGCTGTGCAAAATAGTTCGTTGCGAGTGGGCTTGTGTCAGTTGGTGGCTCGTGCTTAATAGCAGAGATTTGCTACATTTGCTACATATTAGCTGCACGAATGTCATAATGAGTCGTATAGTGGGTATCTAATTCTAAACTAACGCCAAGTAGTCGATGAGGATATGCAGGGTATACTGTCTAGACCACAGTCCCCCTGACCTGGACCTTTTTCTTCAAGTCGACGTCCCTGATAAGGATGCACCAGGGAATCGAAAGAACCATTATCCCACACCCAACAGAGAGTAATCTAAGCTCGGCATAGGCGTACGCTTCCTGAATAGCTGTCCTAACAGTGCTTCCAACAGGGTAGCTCGTTTGCGTCCCAAGGTCCTCGTAAATCATGTCGAGATTGTCCATCGCTGAATCAGGCAGGTATCGTACAAGGGCTGGATAGAAGGTATTCTGCCAGATCGAGGTACTAATGGTCAGACCTGCTGAGTTTCCAATCGTACCGACGACATTCAGCAAAGCCAGTACAGTCGCGACATGCTGGTGGTCGACAGCAGCGAGAATGGCAAGTTGCTCGACCAGGATAAAGATGGCTCCACTAATAGCCAGAAACACCTGGCAGAGGACCTGGTAACCAACGTTCATATTCGGCTTGCGGAAGTAGATCATCAATCCCTGCATGAGAATGTAGATGGGGATCGAGAAGTACAGCGTCCACTTGTACTTGCCAATCTTGCGGATAGCCCAACCGATGATCAACAATACTACACCAGAGACGACGTCGAAGATGTTGTTGATGTAGTTGGCAGTGGTTATGGTCAGGTTATTGTTGACCTGCAGCCAGGAGGTAAAGTAGTAACTCCAGCAATAGTTCGACAGCTGGTACGTGGCATCCAGCAGAACGGCGCCGATGATGGTTCGATTCGTTAACAAGCGCCACTCAAAGATCGGAACTGGAGCGAGAAGGCTTTCCCAGATGGCAAAGAAGAACAACATAGAGAATCCGACCACGAGCATGGCGATAATGTAGTCTGTGGCCCAGCCTTTCGCTGCGTAATCGGCGATGTCGAACGGAAGCTGGAAGAGCACCAGGCCAGCAGTGAATATGAAAACACCGAGTACTGTTTAATTAGATTTTATCACTAGATGGAAATATATGCGGGGGCTTACAGTCAAACTCAACCGTCCAATGCTGAATGCTTTCCCACACCGTTCGACCACTCGGTCTCTTCACCCTGTATCCCTCCTTGTGTGCCTTGAGCAGGTTGTACTTCAGAATGCCATACAGTGGGAGAGCCACAATTGGCATCGCGATCGCCCAGGCACCAAATCCCCAGCGCCAGGAGACCTCATAGTAGAATCGCTCTGCTACTTTCGGTCCAGCGAAAGCAGTGATAATATACGGAGACGACGTGAATGCATAGGCGAAGGCACGGTTTCTCAGACTCGACGCATCGGCCGTCACAACATCGATTGCGTATTCCATCCCGTAGAAGCCGATGTAGTAGAAGACCTAAATTGCTCGTCAAAAGTTGTCCACTACAAGGTAGATTCCGCCTTACATTCGCAGCGCAGTAGGCCTCGAAGGTATGGCAGGCGGCCATAAGAACCAGCCCTACTGTCAGACACAGCACCATGAAGAGGAAGCCCTCTGCACGACCCCATACATCCATGAGTTTCGCCATCGGGAGATAGGTTGCAGCGGCGAAGGCATCGCCGAGAGCCGTTGGGACTGCAGATAACGAATGGGCTTTGAACGCGCTGGTGACGAACGGGTTGAGACTGCTGGAGACGGAGAGTTGGAAGGCGCTGATGAAATACAGGAACCAGATACTGAACTAATTAGACAAGAGGAGAGTCTTTCCAATTTGAAGAGACGTACTTTATGAACATTGCAATCAGCGTGCCCTTGGACCAGGTCATAGTCACGGCCTCGACATCCTGGACACCGCGCTGGTTCCTGTTTGGTATAGAGTCGCGTGCCTCCGGGATGCCAAAGGCCTCAGCCCCGCCCTGCGAGTCAGAATTCTGCTGGCTCTTGCTCTGGTGGACCGACGGCTGCTCGATGGAAGCCTCGTCCGTGGCCTCGTTGTCCGCGGACATGCGGCGGAGGACGGTTCGAGTCCTCCGGATCAAAGGACGAACACCCATTATGCTTGAGACGAAATCGACAGAGACCGAGGCTGAAACTCACAGAGGGCACGACGAGCAAATAAGTTAGGTTATTAAAGTGGGCGGACGCACGAGTGGTCCCTGCACGCACCGTGCAGCCGAAGTCGGACGCTCGGACTGAAGCAGCAAGCAAGCCCGTCACAATGGATTCATCTGGCCGCTGTTCCCGCGTGAATTGAGCCGTAGCCAATAATACAGCAGGTTAGACGAAAAAAGACTCACAGATGGCTGGCTAAGGAACCCACTGGTCAATACTAATTGCGTAGCGCAGTGGGGGCACATAATCAGATAATCAGAATCAGATAATCTTATCAGATCATGGATCATTCGAAACAGCCACAGTTTAATTCTTGCATTTCGCTGTTTTTGAAATTAGTGTATTAAATTTTTACAAATTTGCTACAGTGTCCGTCTGTCTACTGGTTGTGCAGTTTAACAGGGACTGCTGCGACCGCGGCAAGAGCGGCCAGGAAAAAGAAATATGATGTCGAAAAAGCAATATAACCTTAAGATTTGGAATGATTTAAGAGGTTTAAGACATTAAAATGATGGGTGGGATGTCAATCCTCCACGTCCACTGATGTCACTGCGTCAATTCCACCGCCATTCTGCCCCCACTCTACCCAGGATGATCTACAGAGTACTGCAGAACACCTTCGAAGTAGAGTGATTAGGTTTAGGTTTAATTTATAAACATTACAGTTTTGACCCATACCTGAACTAGGTCACTAACTGCCCGGGCGTATATATTTACCCGTCCCCGATGCTTGACTCTAGTAACATTCATGTGGGAAATCTCTACAAGATCAATATGAAAGAGTCTGATTTCGCACTAAACACAGCTATGCAGCGCCTATTTATATCTTTCCATTGCAACGCTAGCAACAAGAAAGGTTTTCCTGTCATGAAGATTCATGTACTGTAGAAACGGTGAATGTCGACCTGGCCACTTTGATACTGATATAGGGTGTGAAGAGCTCCGCCTTCAACGGGATCGTCAATGCCGACACCTCAGAGCTAGGTAGTACGGCCCTGCTTCTCGGAGCTTCCGAATAGAACCTTGGTTACGGATGCTGCAGAGCCCATGGATTGCTACGGGTACAATTTACCGAATTATATTATACAATAAAGAGGCATATATACCACAATATTTTGTAATATAGAATCCAACAGATTATAAAACTTGTTCATGCATGGGTGAATAGCAATGGAAGCTAGTCACTCCATGTACAAGGATTGTTGAAAGAAATGGACATAGGAAAGACATGAGAATAGCCAGGGATTCAGCCTGACAACAGAAGAAAGAACATAGCGGGTTTGAGACACTGGGCTCAACATCCGACAGCTATCACCACCACATTACTGTCGTAGAACAGCCTTCACTAAACCATACTTGTTCATTTAAGGCTTCTCACAGCAGCACTTCTTGGTAGTTCCGCCACAGTCATCGCCGCTCATGTGGGAGAACTGGTAGGGCGCGCAGTACTCTTCGCACTTGCCGGACCAGAAGGAACTGCAGCTGCTGGGCTTGTGGCAGATGTCGGCTCTGGCGACGAGGTTATCGGCATCCGCGGCAGGGCTGGCGAGGGCAGAGGCGGCCAGGGTGGCAAGGACAACGAGGAAGTTGGTCTTCATTTTGGTGATTGATAAGAATTGTAATTGAGAATGATCTGGAACTGAGATTGTTTAGGACTGCTGGTTGAATTCAAGAGGGACGGTGCGAGTCCAATATCTATACCTCTGAGTTCAGCCTCCATGGCCATGCCAGGTCGAAATCAGCCAGACGGGCCGTAAACAGCAGCGATCAATGCTTGTATGCTGGACCTCTCTTCCGCAACAGCGCCGCCCTGGTAGTCAGGCAGGAGAACCTCAAAATGTCTTTCTCTCAGCTTGCCCTTGGCCATATCCGAGACCGCTCGAAGGTACGCACTTGGAGAGCCCCATAGTTCCGGCACGCTGTGGTGGCTCGAGACGGCATTCATCTTCCTCCAGCCTGCAAAGGCGGGCGATGCAGATGTTCCCACTGTTCCGACATCATATCCTGCAAAGGCACGCATATCAAGTGCTCCAATATCCGAGTTGATGGTGTTCTCAAGCAGTCGGAGGGCGAAGGTGTGGCAGTTGTTCCTGACGAAGTTGTACTTGGCTGTAGGAGAGGAGGACACAGGGTCACGGCATTGCATTTGCGAGATCACTTCCTCGGCTGGTTTAATTAGCATATATCAACTGGAAACGTCCTTTGACCATATAACAGAGGCGACGTACCCATTTGTGCCAGCTCAGTATCCGTCGCGCAGGTCTCTCCTACAACTCTATCAGGAGTAGCAGACTTCCAGGACTCCCAGCGAGTCTCATCCACGTATCGCCACGAAATCCCCATGCTCTCATCGGTGATCAGCTCGTATAGATAAGGGCCGATGCGCAGGGCCCAGTGCATCTGGAGCTCCGACGGGGCGGCGTATTTGGCAAGGCCCACGCCGTCATTCAACATGAAATTTGTCTGCGCGTACATTCCCAGCCAGCCGTCCAGCCAGCGACATTTCCAGACGATCGGACGCTCGTAACGGGAGGCGTTTGTCTCGATTATGGCGGCCTGTTTTGGCTGATTGCGGCCTCGCCGGCCACCGGCCAGGGACGAGGGAAGATGTGACATGACCAGACCTGGATGAGTCAAAATTCTGACCAAATTCAAAGTATACCGGCTGAGAATTAGTTCTTAAGTTGTGCCTTGGTATACTGCTATAGTCAGGCACACTCGGTGCTCAGCCCGTCGGGGCAGTGCGGCGATCCCGCGCCTTGACTCGCCTTGACATGCAAGGAGGACCCTGAAATAGACTAAAACAGATTTAAACAGGCTTAGGCAGACTAAAATAGACCGATCAGCAGCCGCTAACCAGACAAAAACTGGATCAGCATGCTTGCACTTACGGGCCAGCAAATCACCGACGGGCTCTGACTCGAGCACCTGGGCTGTCCAATCAAGCATTTGGGAACAGAACTAGTATTCGTCTTCCCTTATTATTTTTATAGATCGGAGTATGCAGAGTATGCCTTGCTCTGTTTAAAAGGGCTGCAATGCAACCCCTCGGTAAGCCCAGGCCTGCAACCATGCCTCAGCTCAGAAACCTGCCGTACTACGCCCTGTATCTCTTTACCTGGCCATACTATGGGACTCTCGTGAGATATACAATCGAGCCCCTCGAGCGCATCTCCGCCCCTCAAAAGGATCTGCTCGAGCTAAGCGAGCGAGTGCGAGACTTTGCGCTGGGAAAGGGCGAGGAGCTCAAGTACATCAGCTTCGCCGTATGTCCTTTCTCTCTTTGTTTTCGGAGTCTTTTCTAACTGTCACAGGCGACGATAAATACAGCTCTTACAGTGGCAACCTGGCCCCGACTGGATGGCTCGCCATGGGCTGTCTCTGCCCTCCTCTACACATCGCTCTTCTTCACCATCGGCGCCCTCGTCACCGGCTCCCAGCACCTCATGTTCTTCCACAAGATGTGCCCCTCCAATAACCACAGTATGGCCGACGGTCCATGCGATGCCGGAATGCACAACATGTTCCAAGTCGCGCGGGCGCAGTTTCTGGATGCGCGCAGCCGCTCATGGACTGTGATATTCAGACCAGAGGTTGGAGGAGCGACCGACAGTCTCCTGCTGCACAGGTCGATAAACCCCAGCATGGTTCTGACATGGCAGTGTCCTATTGCACTGATGGCCTGGTCGTGGGTTTCATACTCGGTTTCGATCGTGGTGTTGATTGCGAAGCCTTTTATGGTGGCCAACGACACTGACGAGCGAAAGGTATTCTCTTTCTTTTGCCATCTAATTATATGTGCTAACGATGGCAGACTGCGATATTTGGTTTAACTGCGGGCGCGATGATGTTCATCGCGTTCTTGTGGTCGTCGTGGTTCACATTCCAGACTGCGCGGAGCTTCAAGAACGTCAACACTTATCGTGGGCTGCCAAAGTAGTCTTGTATTATGCCTTTTATTTCTCTTTATATCTTGCATTTTAGCGTTATGCCTTGATGACCTTGATGAGTCGCATTTCCAGCTTTAACATGGCGATTTCACACAATACACATAAATACAATTAGACCACTTGTCTCATCTTTACTGTCCTCTTTATATAGGTTCAAGGATCACCAACCCAGCCACCATCAACAACATACGAGCTGCCCGTCACTGCACTCGCTTCCTCGCTTCCCAAGAACACAATCACCTTTGCCACATCCATCGGAACCAGATCTCGCTGTAGAGCCTGCCCTCGGAAAACCTCCGCACGGTACTCCGGCGTCAGGACATCGCGAATCTGCCGCTCGGTCGCAATCGCACCCGGCATGACGCTGTTAACCCTGATATTGTCGGCGCCAAATTCCTGGCTCTGCGTACGCGTCAAACCCATGATGGCCGCTTTGCAGGCCCCGTAGACCGGCGTGCCAGCAGCTGGAATACGCCATGTAATCGACCCCATATTGATGATACTCCCACCACCCAGGCTCTTCATCCCCGGTAGAAACGCCTGCGTAAGGAAAAAGACATGTCGCAGATTCGTATTCATGCTGAAATCCCACGCTTCAGCCGTGACATCCTGCGAACCAAGTCGCGCGACGCTGCCCGCCGCAGCGGCATTGTTAACCAGGACATGCACGGGCCCGTGCTCTTCTAGGATCTTTGCAGCGGTCGATTGCACTTCAGCGAGACTGCTCAGGTCGCAGTAGTAGAATATAGGGGCCTTGATGGCAGGACCAGCTCGGGATTCGGCCTCTGGTGTCCGCGAGACGACATGGTCGATTGTCTTCTGGGCGCCGTCTTTGGAGATGTCCAGGAAGATGACTTGGCTGCCTTGCAGGGCGAAGGCCTCGACGGTTGCAGCGCCGATTCCTTCTGCGCCGCCGGAGATGACGACTGTCTTGTCTTGCAGGCTGGGGTATATTGCTGGAGGTGCCATGATTGATGAAATTAATTGGATTGGAGATGAGGGGTAGGTAGTGGGGGTCAAATACTACCTTTTATTTAAATTATTAAGCACCTCGTACAATTAGTTAACTAATTAATAAAACAGTAATTACAAAATATAATTCAAAGCCGAGGATACTAACTAAAGTGGAAACACCTTGGTCGGACATCGTATCGCAAGCGACGCATTCCGCAGCAGCGTCGCCGGCTCATATCGAAGCACTTTGACTTCATGCATCGGATCAAACCGCGATGGTTCTGGGAAACACACTGACCCATCGCCCTGCCATACCGCACTGCCCTCGATGGTGATATCAACGGGCACCAGCTCCTTAACAGACGGCCCTTGCCCCGGCACCACCGAGGGGATAACACGCAGATTCAGGCCCCGAATTGTATGTTCCAGACTACTCTTGACCTTATGCTTCGGCTGGAACCCTACTTCCACAATCTTCTGCCCCGGCGGCCTCTCCACGACACCATGGGTGATGGGGGTTCCAGTCTTCGGCTCCAAACTCACAACCCCCAGCCTCTTGGGGAATCCGAACTGCTCGCGACCGCATGATATCGGCGAGTCATCATCCAGGATCAGCGAGAGGAAGTAGTCATATTTCTGACCCTGGTACTTGACCTTGACCGCGTGGACGTACTCATTGTACGGGCCGAACGAGGTCATTCTGTGCTGGACGAGCATCACCAGCACTTCGGGCTCGTCGTCGAGCTCGAGCATGTCTGGGACGAAATCACGCACGCATTGGGATGTTGTTATGTATGAGATTGTCAGGACGGTGTCGCTGGTATAGTCGCTGCCGTCTGTGGGATACGGCGGCGCATACTGTGGGATGGCGGTATTGGATACAGACAGAGTTCCAAATGGCATTTTGATAATATTTAATACAGCGATTACTATAGCAACTACTACTGTGACTGTTCTTCGACTTGCTCTGGTATAAATAGTTGAGCAGGTGATGTCATGACCATGCAGTCACAGTCAGCCCACGCAGACAATCGATGAATCCAGCCAGACGGACTATTATCAGATAACCGCTTGGGTTGAATATCCGGTAGAAGCCTGTACGGTCAGCAGGTGGTTCGCCAGATAATATACAATGCCATTCTAGTTATTGCAGCCGAGCCGAGCATTGACTCACGATCGGGAGAAACCGACACCTGCTCGGAAGGCATCCGAGCCGACAGGAGATGGCGATTCGTAACCAGCGCTGTATTTAGTGGACTATCTTATGCTGAACGAATCGCTGCTCTTCAAGGAGAAAAAAAAGCATTCAATTAAAATGGCGAATAGAGGAAAACCCCGGGTTATCCTGGGTACAATGACCTTGTAGGTGTCCAACCACCATTAATATCCATACTAACCCCCTCCAGTGGCCCAGACACATCGACCGGCGCTCGGATCACATCCCTGGACACCTACAACTCTATTCTCGACTATTTCCAATCGCAGGGCTACAACGAGATCGACACTGCACGTTGCTACGTCGGCGGCCAGCAAGAAGCATTCACCCGCCTCGCGCGGTGGAAAGAGCGCGGCCTCAGCTGCGCGACAAAATGGTACCCGTACGGAGCTGACGAGGAGAAAGCCGGCGCCCATAAAGCAGAAATAGTCGAGGAGATGCTGAACAGGTCTCTATCAGAACTAGGGACAGGCTGTGTGGACATCTTCTACCTGCACGCCCCCGACCGCACGACACCATTCCAGGAGCCGCTGGGGAAGCTCAATGAACTGCACAAGCAGGGCAAGTTCATCCAGCTGGGTTTGTCGAACTATACTGCGTACGAGGTTGCAGAGATTGTCATGTTGTGTCGAGTCAATGGATGGGTACAACCAACGGTGCTTCCCACCCACCCCCTAGGTATACTAAATATAAGACTAATACTGTCAGATCTTCCAATGCATGTACAACGCCATCACGCGCACCATCGAGCCAGAACTCGTCGCCGCGTGTCGCCGATACAGCCTGGATATTGTTGTCTACAATCCGCTGGCAGGTGGTCTCTTCTCCGGGAAATACACCTCCCTCTCGACCAACTCCGTCCCCAGCGAAGGCCGATATTCCAACGTCGACCGCGAAGTCGGCGATCTATATCGCAAGCGCTATTTCAAGGACGCCACGTTCGAGGCGCTGCGCATTGTCGAGCCGGTTGCTCAACAGTACGGCTTGAGCTTACTTGAAGTTGCCGTGCGCTGGTTAACGCACCATTCCGCGCTGAATATCAAGGACGGCGGTAACGACGGTATTATTATTGGCGTCTCGAGTCAGATCCAGCTGGAGCAGAACCTTGAGAATCTTGAGAAAGGCCCGCTACCAGAAGACGTGGTCAAGGCGTTGGACGAGGCGTGGCTGATCTGTAAACCTACGGCCGCGGACTATTGGCATAATGAGTTGGTGTATGGCTATGATATAAAAGAGGCATTTGCCAGTCTATCATAGCGGTAGTTTCGTGGTAATTGCTGATGTGTATTGATTTGATGTCTATGGGTATTTCTTTATTAGATATGGATATTTCCTGCTTCAGAATACTCCAAATGGTTGTTTCATATTTGTTTATAAGAAGGTACATATCACACACTCAGTTAGACAGTCTGCAAGAGAATGCGACGGTAGCTGGTCAACGGATGATATCCATTATCCGTCACCTCGAGAATCAAGTGCAGCAGCCAGCATCCAGAGGGATTATCCCCTTCACCATTGCAGCTCTCTTCTTCAGCAGGAATGTGCACCTGTGCCAATCGGCCGCCACTCGAGGTACTCACATTCAGGGCCGGGACTTTGCCATCGACATTCCAGTCATTAGTACCAGGCTCTTTGTACTGGAACCACCGGAAGGTCAGACTGTCATTATCCGGATCAGAAGTTCCCCTGGCATCGAGAGTAACAGTAGACCCGACAGAAACAGTGAGGTTCAAGGGAGCAAGCCCAGTGCTCCCATTCAATGCAATAACAGGATGATGGTTAGCTTTGCTGATATTCAACGGCAGAGACCACTGCATACGCGCAGCAAAGTCGTTCTGGAACGCATCTCTCCACCGCCAGACACTCGCAGCACTGGAAGTATAGGTCTGGTTATCCACGCCAACAACCCGATCAGCCGAGTCAGAGTAGTGGCGAAAGTTAAGCACCGTTGACGGATTCACCAGGTCATATCTACCTCCCCACGAGCCGTACTGGGGATACTCCGGCATACCCAGACCATTCTGCACGAGATACAAGAACGTCGGGGTGTCGCCTTCCATGATAAACTTGTAGTCTGGATACGCCGTCTTCCCATACGATCCGATCTGGATATTATTACGCAGCCAACTGTGCGATACCTTGGAAAAGTCAGGACCGCCAATGTCAACGCCATAGTATCGTTCGCCCGAGATGCCGATCCAAGCAGCAAGTCCGTACTGGTTCCAGCCATGTGTGGATGAGATGTAGAAGATATCCGGCCATTGCTGTCTGATCCACGCGCCGGTATCGTCCTGGTCGGAGATGGCGTAAACTCGTAGCTTGGAACGCAACGCAGCCGCCTCCTCAGCAGAGAGAGTATCGTGGATTTTGTGCAGAACCTGTGCGAGCACATTGGTTCCACCCCAGGCCGTTACCCACAGCGGCTCGTCCGATGGGTCTTGGAGGCGCTCGAGCAGCAGCTTTCCTCCGTCGCTGAGGGTAACATTACTTCCGACGGCAGTCATTCCATACGTCTAACAGATATTTAGTACCTCAATATTAAACCATTTAATAGATCGTACCTCCGCGCCCTTCCGCAAAAGACTGCGAATGTGGTCACCGGATGGATACGGGGCATTCAGCGGGGCATGCTGGTTGAGATTCTCCGTGACATTGCCATAGGCATCGATAACAGACAGCATATCCTCAGGGTGAACTTCATCGCGTAGCCAGGTCGACGTGACCGCCACAATGCCCTCTGTCTGGAATTGGTTGGCGTAGAGAAGGTACCGAGTCAGCGACTGCTGATCATCGGGTTCGTTGGAAATGTCGGACAGAATAAACACTCGGGGTTTCTTCGGAATCGGCAACAGGGCGCTCCTGTTCACCGATTTGGCAAGGGCCTGGGTGGCCAACGCCCACAGGGCTGTGAGGACGACGAGGGATGGCATGGTTGACCGGATGGTTGAGGGGGCCTACTTCGTGCTGTACCCTCTTTATTTATACATGCCATTCATCCGGCTATCCCTTCTGCCGAGTCTGGAGAATCTCCGGACCTTGCGTCATTTTCGCGGAGACAGTGGATCTGAAAACACTCTTGGATAGTGAAGGTTTTGGAGATGTGGATATCGGGGTTAGAATTACTGCATCGGGTGAACGAAATAGGAAATTGTAAGCACTGCGGCTTGAGGAAACTCTTCAAGCCGAGAACAGTTTCGTCACTCCCAATGGACCATCGTGAACAAGAAAACTAATGTCAATGGCAGCCCAGAACCATAACTGATGCACTAGGAAACAAAGCAAGATCGTGGTATTATGCACCAGTGGCGGAAATATATATCGTTACTTCTCTATTGCGTCGACGTCCATATCCATTCTACAAAACAAACATAAATTGTTGTAACAGTGACTCGTAAACAGAAGTGTGCATCCTTGATGAACAGGAACAGCTGCTGCCTGGATAGTTATCATACACAGACCCTTCCTGAGGCCCTTTCTGGTCTAGTGGTAAAATTGTTCCATCGCCTCGGTAAACACGAGACCCACACAAACAGGTTGACACCCACTGATGCCTGCAGCTGCCTCAATATAAGTCTCTTGACGCCTTGGGATAATACTATAAGCACTGTATCTATAAAGAATTCACGAGTAAAATGGGTAAGTTACTCTCCTGGATAATTTTATAGAGATTAATGATTGCAGGATACTCGGAGGTACCTACAGCCCCACCTTGCAGCAAGCATGATTAACACATTCTAGGTGTACTGCCACCTATGCGGCGTGAGTTTCAATATTGCGCGGCGTCGAAAACCAGGCGAGCCCGATCTGGCCAGCTGGGACTACACGGGCCGCCAATGCGATGAGCCAGGTGTCGACGAGGTGGACAGCTTGGAGCAGTGTGCTCGGAATGGCTGCGCCGTAGCTGTGAAATATCCAAAGGGTGACGATGACGACGTGGTGAATGATCCTGACTACGCGCCAGAGGACAGCGACGAAGAGCCATATGAATATGACTCCGACCACGACTCTGACTCGGGCGATGCCATGAGCGTCGACGAGGAGGGAAGCACCGCCACTACTGATGCATACCGGGACTTCTTGTCCAGCACACTGGATCCACAGGGCCAATTCGACGGAGAACCTGTCGGGAGCTTTGGCTACTCAAATACAAATACATGTGGTAGAACCGAGACTATCCTCCCTATCACAGGTGATGAAATGCCAGGGGGACATGACCCCGAAGTGCTGGAACATATCCCCGGCCCAAACTGCACAGAGGCGAATGCGTACTCAGGATACCGAATCAGCCTCGAAGAGATGCGAGGATGTCGCACAGCCCAGTTCCTGGTGCATAAGAGCTCAGCTGAAGGGGGATGGAAACCCGATGGTCTGCACGAACCCTGGGAGACATCCCAAGATTGGTTCCTATCTGGAGTTTGCGATGGTATGGCATCGCGGGATATGGGCGATTCTACCGTCTGGCCTGCTCGAGGGGGGTTGGAGAGTCCCTGGGCAGACAATGTTAATTTTGACGTAACTTCCCACCAGTTGTACTGGCACGGACATTGCTAATGGAACTTGTAGACAGAATGGACTCCTTCAAATGACCTGGCGATGCCATTCCACCCCTGGTGCTTTGACATATTCTGTCGACAATCCAAAGCCCAGTTCAAGCACGTCAATGTATCCGGACTCATGAAGTGGCGGAATGCAGAGTTTAGCTGGGAAGACTTCCACTCGTTTCCTCGTGCAGGCGAGGTTTACGCAGCACAGGAACAGTTCTGGAAGCACGAGCCTGGGGCGGAGTATCTGGTTGCCAACCCGCTCTACGTGCCATGTCTACCGTCTCTTCTAGCTGCAGCGAAAGAGAATAACACCGACAAGTCCCCAGAAGTAACAAAAATACGAGAGCAAGGCCGGGCCAACTTGGAGTCATTGCCGCTTGACATCCGCCTCTTGATAGTTGGACTTCTCGATTCTGCTGATATAACTAGCCTGCGAATGGCCTCGACAGTGTTCACCAATCTGCCAAACAGTATATGGTATCGACTTGTACGCAATGAAATGCCCTGGCTCTGGGAAGCATGGGACGAGGGGGAAATCGAGCATACGCCTTCTCCCTGGACCGTGATGACCGCGAACGAGATGAAACTCTTAATCGAAGAACGCAAACACTATTCCAAAATCCTGGCAGAGGAGTATACACCGGTCAACGGCTTGCTTGATTTTCTACTCCCGAATCCGAGTGCTGGACCGGATGTTAAACTCTCTCGAACGAACGCAAATTGGCATCAGGTGTATGTACAGATTAAACAGAACTGGGACAGGCTGAAAGGACTGCGCAATCGACAGCGGATTTGGGAGGACGTGGAGGAGGTGATGTGCCTCATCAAGAAATATTCATAGCATAGTGATATCTAACAAACAAAGAAAGACATGGCTCATTCGCATAACAGCGCTATCGGTAGCATAAAATCAAACATCAATCGCTTAGACAGTCGGCTTTTGGCCGTAAATAATATGGCAGTGAACATAATACTGCCGACGCTCCTTGAATTCCCTTTGGACCTTTGCAATCAGCACACGGCATTCCGCCTCGCTCCAGCCCAGGACACGGGTAAACACCGCCAGGGTGAGTGGCTCGACTGACTCAATCGCATGAACCTGCATCCACTGGCCGATCGTCTTGAGCGCCTTGTCCTTGGGCCATGACCCGATGGGAATTTTCAGCACATCCTCCTGAACATTGACGAAGCCGGCGCGCTTGACTTTATTGGCGAGCTCGGGTGCAATATTCAGCGGCTTTCCGAATTTGACTGTCCCTTCGGCGAGGAGCTTCTGCCACTCATTGATGGCGGAATCGTTAAAAGCATCCTCATTGCCCTGGGTCAAGAACTGAAAGTGGAATTCTTGGAGTTCGTAGAAACCACCGGGCTTCAAGTGCTGGAAGGCCTGGCGCGCGACGCGATCCCAGTCAGCAAGGGATCCGACCATATTGCGCTGATGGATATAGTCAAAAGCTTTGACCGCTGGATACGGCCAGACAGCCTCGACGTCGTCGACGACGAATTGGCAGTTGGGGGCAGTCCTACACCAAACGGATTAACCATGCGCTCTAACACGAACTCGGCTCGGTGGAATACCATTGCGGCTGGATCGGACTCAGGTCGATTCCTAGCACCTCAGCACTGGGGAACTCATCGGCGAATTCCAGCGCCCAGATCCCCGTGCCGGTTCCGATGTCCAGCACCCGCTGGGGAGACGTCGAAATCGGCGCTTTAAACAGATTCCCGCCAAGCATCAGACGGTCGATGTGGTGGACCATGTCCAGGCGATCCTGCTCGACCTCATCATTGGGGAATAAATACTGGCCCTCTCTGAAGCGGTGGTAGCGACGGCCGTTCTCGTAGACGTAGTTTGTCACACTGGACGAAAGCGAGGTTGTGAGCGAGGCGAAGTCGGAGTCCGAGACGGCAGAGTCGTAGTCGGAGTGCTCTGCTTCAATTTCCTCCTGCTGCTCGGGCACAGCCGCTTCGACGTGGACGTTTGTGCTTGCCATTGTACGAGAACCTGGGGAGAAAGAGGAAGAGAAAGGAAAAAAAGAGAGATCGAATTCGAGTCAGTGGGGCCTGTCAATTAGCATCCCCGCACTAACACAACTGTCATTGCCTGAACGGGAACTCTCTTGACTGAACGGGCGACTGGACGGTTGTTGAGTCGCCGAGGACTGGAATACTCGAGAAAACAGGGCACTGGAAAGTCTGTTGAGTCGCCGGTCAGTACTTTTGTCAGCTTCACCTCCAGTCGTTCATTCATCCCTTGCACAATTCTGACTCTGCTGACAACTTGACAGGCCACACTGTCACATGACAGGCCCACGCGGATCGTCCCGGTTCCGTACCGTATAAGGATAAAATACGTTTCTAAATCAGAAGGACCGAGGTATGGATAGTTATGATCTTTATGCATCTCTTTGAATTATGAAGGTTATGAAGCATCACACAGGAACAGCCATGTCCGCTCCTTTCACCCGCGCCGTGTTCTTGACGGGATGCAGAAGCATAAAAGGAAAGCACAGCGGACCATATAAATCCTCGCGCAAATCGCCACTATCAAACCAATTCCGTCCTTGGGGGTCCTGATGATAACTGCCATCGGTGTATTGATTGGCATCTATTTCGTAGCCCAACCATCGCCGGTAAAGGTCCTCGGGAGTCTGGGCAGTGAACATATACGTCATTCGATACAAGATATGGTCGAATTCATGGTCCCAGTTCCAGAGACTATCAGGTCCGCCATTAATTCTCTCCGGGGGACCATGATTTACAATCCTCGCCAACTCTTTCGGCGTCCATTTGCCATCTGCATATAATGGATGGGGGACGTGGACGGCTTTCAGACCGTGCCATAGTGCGAATGACGCGGCCGTCATCTCCGACACCAATGCGAACCCCTGATCCGCTTGTGCATCGTGGATAGAACGCAGTAGGAGACCGGAGAATCGGCCCATGGTAACCGGAGACGCACGCCGCGGTATATTTTCAGGCAGATTCCAGACCATGTCCGAGAACACCCAGGTCGTGTCGGACGGGTCGAATATTGGGAGAAAGGTAATCAGATCTGCCTCTTCGCCAGTCCCCCATTCGTAATTGTCCTGAACAAATTTCATAGGGGGATGAGGTCCAACGGGGTCTAGCCATGGCAGAGACTCTGGGCGAGCAGGACCCCAAATACTGGCTTTACCCTCCATTGACTTGTCGACTTTAGCGAGAAAATCTGTCCAACTTCCATGCGCACCGGGTATATAAAAGTATGCATTCCGCTCCCATAGATACTTTCTAGGCTGTTGTTTTGCAAACTCGCTTGCCCGTTGAAGGAAATGGTACGCATGGCCGGTGAAACGCGCGTCCATTTCTAATTGCCAGTAGTAGTCGAACTCGGGGAATGCAACCGAGAATATCTGCATGGGCTGCAAGTGTTGATGTAGGGGTCTAAGAATTAGTACTGGGAAGAATTTGAAATACTCAGGGGCCATACTTATGCTCGTCCACCATAGGATACCACGACTCCAGCGTCTGCTCATTGAAGAATATTGTTATACCCCAGAACTCTCTGGGAATATACATTTCCTTTAGCTTCTGGACATTTTCACCCTCATCAGGGCCGTATAGCGGGACATCGTTGTCCTTGACGTGAGTCAAGAGGAACACCTCATATTCCGCGCCAGAGTGCAACGAAAGCTCCATTATGAGGGACCGAACGTGATGTTTCATATTATCAGTCCACTTCATATCATGCCATGCTCGAAGTACAACAGCTGACCGTGTCTGAGACCCTGGTGAGTTGCGCTTCTGGTTGAGTTGAACGGTTTCATATTGCAACGGCAGCAGGCCATCCCAACCACTATCTTGGTTTCTATACCTGCCACTGTTCCTCTCAAGGCACTGCGCCTGGAGCGACTTCCAGTTGACATCTTCCCAAGAGACCTGATTTGCGGCACTACTAGAGCTGCCCGGTCCCGACTCCATGTAACCATATGCTCCGAAGCGAGAGGTTCGGGTTGCGCAGGTGCAACCGTCCAGTTTGAGAGCTTCGTACGAACCGTACTTTGGGAACGGAAAGCCTAGATAAACGAGTTTTTAGACAGGTTCACAATTTGTTTAGAAGAACGTACCTTCCTGCAGACCAGGGTAGGTCAGAACCATATCTTCAGGGTCCCGCCGATTTAAGATGGTTCCTCGTGGTCCATAGCAGGCTTTGAATCCCCCTTGCTCTCCATTATAATCTGGATAAGGGTCGTAAATCGCGGGAAGATGCGACGATCCGTTCAATAATTCTATCGTGGAAACTCCTCCCCGGTAGAAGTTCCCCTCTCTGCAAACAAATAAGAATAGCCCTGATAAGGTTCGATGCTACATACCTGACATCGCGGAGTGTTCCTATCCCTACCGGCTCATGGGCAAATGGAGCAGTGTCATCAGTCGGCTTCCACTGCCTCGTGCATTGTAGATAAATGGCTGGATTGAAAACCTTTATGGAAGGCCAGGGGCTACGGACAGGAAGAGACCGGAGAAGGAAAAAGAAGAAAGCAGTCAGAAGCAGCGACCACAACCAGAGGTATCGGCGGATAAAAGCCATGCTCCGGGGCACATTATGAGTTGCAAAACGTGGATCATAATTTTATCGAGATCTGGGGTTCTCGTCCTGAAATCGTGGCAAGCGGGGTGAATGCGTCGTCATCGATCTCGTTAATAGAGGCTCCTATACCAGCAGCTGCCGATCATAAACTCGCCATTCACCTGATAAAAGACTGCATATGCCAATCTTCGAGTCATGTCTCCGAGGGTCCTTGAATTCACTGGACAAGCCTTCACGGGGGAGCATGCGAAATTCCCGAAGCGGCCAAATCAATCCTGTGAACGTGGCGCAGCGGGACAACGTGAGCATCAACAAGCCAATACAGAGCTTGCATTAGTGCTTACAATAGCTTTGCCAACTCATCGGCCATGGCGCACCTCGTGGCTGGCACAACTCGGGACCAGAAAGCTTGGGGCGCCAGGCTCACTGAAGTTTGCAGAAAGCAAGCCAGGTACCTTGCGAGGTTTGGTCGCAATTCAAAATAAAATCAACAGTCGAATCCGTATCGAATACGAGCCAAGACCCGGTCCGCGATGGCTCTGGTTTAGCTTGCTGAGGAGGGTTCGAGCGTGCAGGGCCAAGCTCGCGTATCCAATCGTCGGCCCGTTGCTTTTTGTCCCCGGCTAAAATAAAATGAGTATGGGGCGGAGTTCATCAAAAAGCCCCTAATCCAGGGCCAGACAAGGCTGAGCTCGAGGCTCTTCGCTTCTTCTGGCCGGAGTCTCCCACTCTCCTGCTCTCCTCTAGCTTTCCTCACGCGCACCTCGAAAATGGCCGGCAGTGCGTCCTTTCGATCCCGACTGGGCTTGCTGTTTTGCACTGCGCTGCTTGTCAGCCTGTCCACTGCAACATGTTACTATCCAAGTAAAAAGGAGACTTACGATGACGTCCAATGTGAACCCGGTGAGGAGGACAGTGCATGCTGTGGCAGAGGGTCAATCTGCCTGGATAACGGCCTCTGTCTGTCCCAGGACCAGCCCTTTGGTCTTTCGCGCGGCACCTGCACAGATCGCGATTGGAAGAGTGCAAAGTGCCCCACGTATTGCAGTAGGTCTCATAGCCCCAGATCTCTACTCGTCAACGGCTAATCTCCTCCAGCGAAAACACAGCGCACCGGAGTTGCGATCGTGCTTTACAATGTGACCGAGGATGGTGAGAGCCAATACTGTTGCAACTCCATTGTCAACAGGCCCGGAGAAGAGTTCCCAGCATGCGATTACGACGAGCCCTTTACAATCGAATCCGCCAAGTTCATCCCGGGGGTGGCGCTCTTGGAGGGCTACGTGAAAGAGTCCGACGCCAACACTAGTACAAGCGACGCAAACACTACCTCCTCGTCCACAGATACCAAGGAGGCTCAGGATACCGGTTCATCGAACCACGATGTTGCGATTGGGGCAGGAGTCGGGGTACCATTGGGGGTGATTGCCCTTTTATCCATTGCATGGGCGTTGTACGAGCGGAGTCAACGGAAGAGGTTATTGCAAGCAACACCCCCGACAATCAGCACAGTCGGTCCGTATCACGATGAAAATAAGCCATGGGGTCATCATGAGCTCCCCTCGAATCCCTCCAACCAGGCTCCATCCGAGTTGCCAACTCCGCCCATTGAACGGTAACACGCATCTACCGGTGCAGGAGTACATGAGGGTTGTATATAGAAATCTTTGCACATGGAAAGTGATAAGACATGGGTCTCACTGTATCAGTACTCATTTAATAGTATAATTGTGAAGTGGCTAAAAATTCAAAATATTCCATACCACCCCAGGCAGACTGACTGACATCAACAACTATTAGAAGTCGACTTGATGACCAACACCCAGTCGTGATCCACTCCACCGCTGCTCGGAGGCGTAAATGTTGCCTCATCCTTCGAAGTTTCAAGTATTCCGGAGTCCACCTTATGAGTATGGGATGTTCGAGGGTCAAGCCACTCAACCTGCAGCTGGTCGGCCGGATAACCCCAATCCTCCGAGATCCCTGCGAGGTCGAGATTAAAAGCGTCACCGTATCCTGTGTACACCCAGTAGTGCCCCTTGGTAATCATACCAGCGATATACCGGTTCGACTCGTATGAGAGGATGTTCTCCTTTCCCTCCGGTGAGCGGATATACCCCCTCGCAGGCCTCAATCCATTAAACTCCTCCCTGGACAACGACGTAAACAACTTCCCTACATACCCAGTCTGCTTAGCACCAGGCCAATGGATTGCCTCATGCCAGCTCGCATCCTCCGACAGCCCCAGCTGAGGCACCTGCCAATGCTCCGGGCTCGCAACAAGCGATCTATTCTCATAGCTCTGCTGCACCGGAAGACTCCCATAGGTGATACCACAAGCACCGCTAAACACCGCAGGATAGAAGCCATGACGAACATGCGACGCATTCCAGAGCGGCTTGTCGGTATCGAAGGAATCGTGCGCGCCTTCGTAATGGTTCTCGACGTCCATGACCGGACCGGGGAACTGCGAGCGCATCTGGATGATGTTCTCGTAGTTCTTTGTTGAGTCCCAGGGGGTGAGGACTGTGAAATTTGCATCGATGCCGTTGGGGTCGGGGTTTTCGTGGCCGGATTGAACGGCGTCCATGGAGAGAGTTCCTAGGGTTCCGTTGATGTACTGTACAAATTAGCACTTGAACGTGGATTATACCGCACGTTAGCGTACATTATGGCCATATGGCAACGGAGTAGGCGGATCAGAGATCCAAGGGCTCGTCGGCTGGAAAGTGACAAACGCATCGTATCCAACCTTTGCCTCTTCCTCTTTGAACCCCTTCATCATGGCAGCCCAGATCCCGCGGGTATCTTCAATAGGATCCAGAAAGGAAGTAGGGTCGGCGGAATCATCCTCGCTATCTCTCCACGCCTGCCGCGCCTGAGGAACATTGTTGGCCCAGAACCCATTCGCATCGCCGCCCATCATCTTGGGTATACCGGGGTATCTCTTTCCAAGGTACTTCCCAAACACTGCGGCGTTTTCCTCATTGAAGAGTCGCGGTCCGATGGTCCCATACCATCCGCCATTAACATACCGACCCCATACCGGCACGAAGCAGATCAGGATCCCGTATTCCGCGGCTCTCGCAGTAACCCAGTCAACGAAGCTGAAGTAATTCTCATTCAGCTGCGTAGGGTCGCTATTGTCAATGGCCAAGTCGCCATAGAAATTAGGGATAGTGGTCACATTGTACTTGGACAAGAGCACAGCCTGGACAACAGTGAAGCCCTTTGCCGCTCGATCGGCGAGGTACAAGTCCGCGTCAGTTTTGTTGAGCCGGTGGAAGAGCTCCCAGTTCGTATCTGCTATCCAGAGAAACGGGTCGCCTGTAGCGGTGCGGTAGAGATATCGTCCATTGGGAGGCGCCGAAATTGCGAGATCTGCCCAAGGAAGATTCTTGCGTGCTGAAATAGCAGGTGCCGAGAGAGCAGAAACTGCTAGGCATGTAATGCCGATTAGAAGGGGGAGGCGGGCCATTGCTATAGGTGATACTCTGGGTGTTCTACATTGTGATCCATGCCCCATTTATAGTTTAAAATCCGGGGTACAGCAGTTCCCGCAAGTGCAGCCGGACGGTCGGAACTTCGAGCGTCGAGAATCTCGAGACGAGTTTGCGGGGACCCAGATCTTGGGGTAGAACTCGTGCCGATATTGGACTCGGCTGTTGGGAAATCAGTGGAGCAGAATTATATCATATTGGAGACAGAGGCTGTGAAGTTGAACATTAGACCGTTATGCAGTTGGTAAAAGTAATGCAGTGAGTATAAATACAGTACCAGTTATAACCAACGATAAATAGCCGCTAAGGAGGCTGCTTCCACATCGGTCCAAATGTAAACAAGAGGATTTATGTCTACCTCAATGCGTAGAGTTCAACGTCTAAATAGAAATATAATGTGTTCTCTGAGGGTTGATGAAGGCTGTGTAGGCTCCAGTGAGTGTTGCTGGCTGGCTTACGGTATTGACTCATTCGGAATGGGCCTCAATGTTAGAGCCAACTCAAGAACACCATCTCTCTTTCATCATCCGCCCACAATGAACAACGACGATTTTGTCATCGTTGAGAACCCCGATGGGTTGTATCCCCTTTCCTGGTCGGGCTCGATCGCTAACACTCTCCAGGAGCAAGGGAGACGCCCAGCAGGAGGAAGTCGCTGTCACTCCCCAAGACGTCGCTGCCATTCGGTCGTGGCTGTGTCCCACCGAGTTCGACTCTGACGGCAGCGACTATCGCAAACACCTGAATGCTCATGCTCCAGGAACCGGCAACTGGCTTGTCCAGTCTGAAGCCTACCGGAAATGGCACGACGCGACCGAGACCACAACGGGGGGCCTCTGGGTCCAGGGCATCCCGGGCAGTGGGAAATCAGTCGTCGCAGCCCGCCTGGTCCAGAGGTTAAAAGAGGAAGAGACAGCCCCTGTGGCTTTTTTCTTTGCTCGTCGCATTATCAAATCCAACAGCAACCCGCACAACCTCGTCCAGGACTGCCTGTACCAGCTGCTCGACAACAGTATTGCCCTCCAAGCGCTACTTAATGACCTGAGGAAGCAGAAGCCTAGTGAATATACGCCTTTCCAAGAACTTTGGCGGGCCTTTCTGTTCGCCTTGTCGACTCTTCCTCGCGCATATGTCGTCTTTGACGCCTTGGACGAGCTCGCCGTTGAAGAAAATGGCTTCCTCCCTCTCCTTTTGGAGCTCGCACAGATGAGCCCTCGATCGATAAAGCTCATTATAACGAGCCGGCCTGTTTCCCACCTGGTGGATGGCCTGAGGGGGCCCTCATTAGGCCTCATTCGGTTGACGAAGCGCGCCGTGGAGGGCGATATCGGGACGTATATCGACCAGCGGCTCATCCAGCAAGAGCAGCGTCCCTTGACAGAGGAGCAACAGGGGCGAATTAAAATCTGCCAAAAAGCCGAGGGGCTGTTCCTCTATGCCCGGCTCATGCTCGACCAGCTCATGGAGCAGTCCACAACACCTGTAAAATTGCATCTCCAGGGATTGCCCGAGTCCCTCGAGGAAATGTACGTAAATCTTCTGCATGAGCACGCTGCCAGATCCGGTACCGGACTGTCGTTCCAGTCCTGGCTTCTGTCCTGGATCACACATTCCACCCGGCCACTGCGAGTAACTGAGCTCGCGACACTCGCCCTCTCTTTACCTGATCGAGCCGGTCTCAAGACCGACCAAGACGCGAAGTTGATGGTCCGGACGGCCTGTGGTCCCCTGCTAGAAGTCCTCGAGAATGAGACCATCCAGGTAATTCACCACTCTTTCACGGAATTCCTGCTCGACGGCCGGCGGCCAACTGCAAAGGAATCCGACTCGAATGCATGGTTTCCTGCGTTCGAACCAACCGCCACCCATCGCTCCTTGACGCTATCCATCATCAAGTACCTGCTCTCCGGCTGCTTCACTGGGTGGGAGTATAACTGGCGCAAGTTTAGTGGAGATGGCTTTACGAAAGAACATCACGCCGTAATTGTCCAGTTCCCCTTCTTACAGTATTCTGTGCAGGGCCTGATCGACCATGCAGAAGGCTGTGACGTTGACGATCCAGAGCTCATGCAAGAACTGGACCGCCTGTTCGATCCCGGTGCTGATACTTACAACGCCTGGTTGGACTTCTGGTTCGCTTCGATGGACCGGCGGATCATTCACGACTACAAACCCATCCATGTGGCAGCACATGCTGGGCTTTCACGGTACATGGCACATCTCGTTGCGAAAGGCGAAGACCCAAATGTCCTCAACAAATCCGGCGAGACACCCGTTTGGGTCGCGGCTATGAATGGCAACGCAGACGCACTGGGTGTGCTCCTCGATGCTCGAGCAAGCTTCGCAGACTTCGACAAGGAAGATTCAGCTCCCATTCATAAGGCCGCGGGCAGCGGCTACGTTGACGTATTGCAGCGACTACTAGATGCCGGGGCTGATCCCTTACATCCTCAGGGTCCTGGGAGCAAGTGGCGACGCCGCAAACCCGGTAAAACGCCGGTCGAGTTCGCATGTGAAGGCGGGCATACAGAAGCAGCGAGGCTGCTGCTCCAGTATATCGACCCAGGCACGCGCTCCTGCGTTCTTCCGCATTGGGCCGCAGTTCAGGGCCAGGAGAAGACCTTGCGTGCTCTCCTAGAATACCCCGAGATCAGAGCCAATGTGAATGCCAAAGACAACAATGGGCGCACGGCCCTATATCTTGCAGCGCGCAGTGGCTCCGCTCCAACTGTCGACCTACTGCTTAAACACGATGTCGATGTGCATGCTCGCTCCAAGGGCACCGGGATCTACCCCGGCCTTTCTGAGCCGAAGGGTCCGTGGACGGCACTACAGGCATGGGCCAACCCGAGTCAGTCATCGCACTGGCGGAGAAAAACCAGCAAGGACGAATTTGAGCGAGTAGGCGAGCTTCTAATCCAGGCAGGAAGCGATATTGAAGCGCGCGATGGCCAGGGCAAGACGCCGCTGTTCTACTGGAGCATGCATGATTACTCCGACGTGCGCACTGCGCCCATTCTACTTCGGCATGGTGCCAATGCCCGGGCACTTGACAATGATGGAAACTCGGTTTTGCACGAAGGGACCCCGTATAGAAACCCTGTGGAGACAATCCGCCTCCTCATCGATGCAGGGGCAGATATCAACCACGCACGGAAGTTGGATGGCGCGACGCCGCTGATCGCGCAAGCAAAAGTCTGTTGGATCGACGTAAACGTATTCACTGAGTTTGGTGCTGATGCGAACATTCAAGACGCAGACGGTAATACAGCACTGCACTGGATTTGCAGCAACTGGGTGAGAAGTCTGGCCATGTTGCAAGAATGGGTGCAGTTCGCGGATCCCACGATTCGCAACAACGCAGGCCAGACGTGTCTATACAACCTGCGGGATGACAACGACGCGTACGATAGAGTGAAGATCTTTCTTGACAACGGCGTGGATCTCGAGTCGCGCGATCGGAGAGGGCGAACGGTCCTGCTGGCGGCTTGTGAGAAGGGCAAGCGGCAGCTTATCACGGCCTTGATGCAGCATGGGGCGTCTGCGACGGCAACTGACTTGGAGAATAAGACCTGTATGACCTAGTGCTTCCTTTAGAGTATTTATTAGGCGGTTTGTTGACAGAGTTAGGTTTACACATCCTGGCACAGGTAGCGCTGTCGAGCAGCGACTACGGAAGCAAAGATCGCGGCGTCGCAGTCGACATTATGTCGCGTTTTATGGAGGCTGGTGTGGATATAAACGCCGTCGACATCAATGGAAACACGGCCTTCCACGACGCGATCAATATAGACGACGCGTTCGCGACGCTGCGGGCGGGCGCTGGTGCTCTCCTTGAACTGGGTGCGGATCCCAACACAGCAGACAACCAGGGACGGACGGTCCTGCATAAGATCGCTTCTCTTCGTGCTAAGTCCTTTGCGGACCGCTTTGACTGGCTTCAGGAGGCTGGAATAAGTCTTGACCTCCATGCCCGAGATCACCAAGGATACATGCCGATTCATTACGCTGCATCCGTGGCAGATCTCAACGTCCTGAAGCTGGTGGAGGCTGGTGCAGACCCCCGGGTCGGCATAAACAACCGCTGCAATGTATTACATATCTCGGCCGGTGCTGGGCAGGCCAGTGCTCTTGGACTTCTGTGCAAGCTGTACACAGATCACGGATGGGATATCAACCAGCCAGACGAAAACGGCCGATCTCCATTGCACTATGCCGCTGCATCTGGGAGCTCTGAATGCGTGTTCTACCTCCTCCAGGCCGGGGCAGCTATCAACGTACAGGACCGTCAGGGGCTGACGCCTCTGCATGCGACGACCGAGTACCGGATCGATCATGTCGCGGCGAGACGGGCCCGCAGAAAAGCCGGGTTCCCGTATGGAAAGGGCCGTGGGAGTTCGTGGGATGATGATCTCCTGCGATTGATGGACACGAGGCGCGATGCTCCTATCCATAAAACCCCGGAAGCCGTGAGGGCTGCCGTTGCCACCGAGGAGGAAGTCCAGATGGTTCAAGACTCTGTACGCCTGTTGCTCTCGGCGGGGGCTGATCAAAGTGTGCGTGATAGGTCTGGGTGGACGGCCTATGACCTGGCTGTCTACCTGGACCGGGGAGATATAGCTGCTATCTTAAAGCCCCCATCGGACAATTGTGGTCAGAGAATGTCCGTCCCATTCCACTGGTACTCACTTGGGGGATTTGATGCAAATAAAATCGTCCAGCAACTCGATATCGGCAACTGCGATGCTTATACTGTCTTCCATGTTGCACTCTCGCAGCGAAATGAAGCCCTGATATCGGCCCTTCTGGATGCAGGAGTAGACCCAGCTGTCCCTGGCCCCGACAAGCTGGCACCAGTTCATTACGTTGCCTTCTGGGGTCTGGTGTCAGTAATGAAGCTGATGATGCGCTATATAAAAGACATAAATTCTATCAACCCACCACTGCTCCACGCAGCCCTCTGCCGACAGCGGTCGAATATCCAGATGGTTGATCTTCTGTTGAGCCACGGTGTCAACGTCAACGCCTACTTCCAAACCCCCATGGACGAGAGGGTCTCGACCGCTCGGGCGCCAGGCAATAACCCAGTGCACATGCTGGCTGGTGGAGAGCATTGGTGGCACACCTTGGCGCTCCAGTCCCTCTGCAAAGCCGGAGCTGACCTCGAATCCGTCGACTCGCATGGGAGAACAGTCCTGCAATGCGCTCTCACGTCGGGCGTCTCTGTCCGCCACGGGCCCTGGCAACAGGAAACATTGGATACCATTCTGGAGAATGGGGCAAGCATCAACGCGACGGCGCTGCAGTGCGCTATACAATACAAGTGGGGAGTGCCCGTGATCCAGCGGCTCCTGCACAACGGCGGTGATATCACATCAGCCATCCATGCCGCCGTCAGAAGCGGGAGTATTCCAGGATGTGAGGCTATACTCGACGCCGGGGCTGATGTGAACACCATCCATGACCGGGAAACGCCGCTTCTCGTCGCTGCTAGGAAGACCTCACACGATTACGACTTGATATCCGTGCTTCTTCAGCGTGGAGCTGATCCCTTATTTGAGCTCGACGAGGGTATGACCACTGTCTTCCATGAGATCTGCCACGATAATGGCATCGTATCGCCATTTATAGAGATGGGTATTGACCTGGAGAAGACCAACGCGGCCGGGCTGACGCCTCTTCTTGAGTCGTGTGGGTCACCAAAGGCATCTGACTTCTATCGAAGAGATGAGTCGGTTCCCATCAAGCTCATCATGGCAGGGGCCAACATCCATGCAGTCAGTCCCGAGGGCTCGAGTGCACTACATATGGCTGTTCAATCCGGACTCCGCGAGACCGTCTCATTGCTCATCGAAAAGGGGGCTCATGTTTCAGCGAAGAACAACGCAGGACTCACCCCGCTGTACTACGCCGTGAAATATGGGGCGGCCCGGGTCTGTATACCCATGGCGAAGGCTCTCCTTGCAGCTGGGGCAGATCCGCTATTTACAGGCCCCAATGGTGGGAATGCACTGCATATCATCGCCCCGTTGCTGCTGCAGTATAGCCCAGCGGGGTCCTACGAGCGCGAATACCAGATGCGCGACGGGTTGGATTATTTTGGGGAATACAACGCGTTATACAAGAGGTTTTCTGAGAGCGGCTGTGATCGTAATGCCCGGGACAACCAAGGCAATACCCCCCTGTTCCCATATGTGCAAGAGTTGAAGGAGGAAAATGAAGTCTGCAGTTCCGACCCTCCTGCAGAAGAGGACGTTCGGGAGATGTTTGACACGCACGACGTCTTTGCGGTAAATAATGACGGTGATACACTGTTGCATGTAATAGCAACCAGAGAGGAGACCGAGCGTAGGTTCGATGAGGATACTGTACGGCTGTTTCAGGACCTGCTGGCGAGGGGGGTCGATGCGAGACAGGAGAATAGCAAGGGGCTGAGTGCTTTGGACGTTGCTATGGCTTATGATCAAGAGGCAATCTTGGAGTTATTTGAGAGGGAGGAGTGATTCTGGATATTGACAACTTTATATCCGGGTGCAACACTGCAGCTACACAATATACCTAAACAGCGGACTCTTATCCCCCATCTGCAGCAGTTCCTGATCGCTGATTCTCGCCCGAATCTGATCAGGATCAACAGTCTCCCTGCCACGATTCAATCTCTCATACTCAAACTTCAACGCAACCGTAGCAAGGATAGCCGCAATGGACACCCCGAGCTCAAACCCAAACCCAAGCCAGTAGTGTGGCTTCTGCTTTTCCAGGTAGATATTACTCCCAACAGCGCCGCCCAGATTCCCCATGCAGATCAGTAAAGCCATTCCTACTGCTCGTTTCCAAGAGGGGGCCAGGTTGTTCCCGACCCATGACACCAGCCCGATTAGAGGCGGGTACACACCCACCGGGATGCAGAACAGGAATGCGTACGTGAGACCCGGCAAGGCTGGATGGGGGATAGATAAGAGACCGAGGAATCCGATTGCAGAAATGCAGTAAGGCCCGATGATAAACGGCCATCTCGTCTTATGTCTGTCGGAGAAGACAGCAATAATAGGCGTACCGATTGCACCGAGCGTGTAAATAGGAATAGTCAGCAGCTGGGCGTTTGCTTCAGAGTATCCAAGGCCGAGGATAACGCTAGGCGCAGTGTACGTGAATCCATATATAGAGACGGTGTTTCCCTGCCTCCATTAGTCTGATAGCTGCAGAGAGAATCAGAGAACGAACCCAGTAGACGATGACAGCAAGCCAGATCTTCCAATCGAGGAATACGCCCCAAATGGTCGGCCAGTGGAACTTATCGTGCAGATCGACCTGGCCTGCCTCTGTCCCAGCGTCATTTCTCAGACGATAACACAGAAACCGCCTTTCCTCCGGCTGAAGAAACGACGCTGTTTCGGGGCTATCAGGAAGCAGCCAGAAGCAGGTCACACCAACAACAACAGTTGCTAAGCCCTCGACAATGAAAATCCATTGCCATCCTCCTAAGCCGCCAATTCCCTCCATTTTCTGTAGGGCGAATGCCAGGAGACCGGAGAATGCACCGGAGAATGAAGCGGCACTGTAGAAGACGGCCATCCGGCTCTGCAGCTCTAGTCGTCGGTACCAGATTGTTAGGAGATATGTACTTGCTGGGAAGAAGCCTGCTTCTGCGACTCCAAGCTGCTAAGGTGTTAATATAGTAATGGTATAGCTCAGGGATATAGTTGTAATTGCAACATACAGCCGTCCTGGCTCCAGCCAACCCGTCAAAATCCTTGACAATGCCCATCAGGGTCATGACTGTTCCCCAGGAGAGCATCATGGCTCCAATCCAAATCGATGGACGAAGGACCTTTAACACCATGTTGCAGGGGACTTCGAGTAAGGCGTAGGGGAAGAAAAACACGGTCAACCTAGTAACTATGATCAGTGCCTATAACCCTAAAACCTTGGGAAACATACGCAATATTATACTGGGATCCGACCAGGCCCAGTGCCTCGTTCATTCCAGCGACCTTTGCATTGCCCACTGCTCCCGTTAGGAATGTCATACATAGCAGGAGGGTCTTACTGTTGCTCCTGTCGATATACGACAGAACATAGAGGACAGTCAACATCGGAAGCAGGCGCCAGTCAATTTTCCGTAGAATCGCCTTGGTTTCTTTTTCGTTGTAGATAGCTATGTCGGTGGATTCGTTCAGCCCATCTTCCACGAGATCGTGGGAGTGCTTTGCGTCGAGTTCGTTCTTCTCCATGTTGCATACCTTGTCGCATACTCTGGCGAGGAAACAGAGCTAGTATTGACACCAGCACTCTTTTTGGGGATACACGGTATAAAAGCACACGAGGCGGGATAGAAGTAAAGCCCCAAACTCGCTAGAGGCAGTCATTGGCCCGGATCAGCGCCATCTCCATCCCCAGGCCGTCATTGTCTCCAACTCCAAGCCCTGATGGGTTTCCCCGGAGTTTCCCCGCAAAGAGTTACAGCGGGGATTTAAACCTGCCGATGATCTCGACGCGAACTCGCTGTTAGTCTGTCATCTGAAATCTCGGCTCGAGAATTTGCATTATGGCGCCAAGGCAGCAGGAATCCAAACGGAGGAGGCTGAGGGTCACTACAGGATGGTGAGCGACTATGATGATAATATTATAATATCGAATATTTCTCTAACTGAGGTATACAGCTTGACATGCCGCCGCAGACACATCAAGTGCGACGAAACACGGCCGACGTGCTCCAACTGTGGAAAGAAGAACAGGACATGTCGGTATGGAGCACCATCGCAAGGTCAAGATAGGTGTACAGATACAGAATCCATTCAAACCTCGCCTCCACCACGTCACGAACATTCCGAAGCTCGCGAGACGAGGGTTCGCGAGCCTAGCGAGAATGGAGGCTCTACTCTGAGCCTTGCCAGTCCTACTGTGGTCGGGGACGTCACGATTGAGGCGGCAACACTCGAGTCGATTCTCTTGAGCTCTGACTATTATCTTCCTGCAGATGCTCTGCAAGCCGCTGTACAGATCCACAGTCCACATGCCGCTGATGCAGTCGCGCTGCAACCACTACAACTCCATACCGATTGCCCAATCCAGCTATCGGTTACTGAAGTAGCGATATTCCGGAACTACGTTGAACATGTCTCCCACTGGGTCAGTAGCTTTCCCCGAGCAGGGTGTGAAGCAGGCTGACTTAATATCAGGTAGACTCGTTCTCAGCCGACCAGCCATTCCACCGACACGTTCCCATCCTCGCGCTGACATGTCGACCTCTACTAGACTCATGTCTCGCATTCGCAGCTAAGCAGATGGACCTCGTCGGGGCTCTGGTACCGATCGGGCTCTCATCAAGCGAACCAGTGCGCTATTACCGCCTTGCTTTGAACGCCATTCGAGCCCTGCTACTCCATCGCGACCACGCCAGAAGCGATGAAGTGTTAGCAGCGTGCATTTTACTCTCTACGTAGGACAACCACAGTGTATAATAATCATCTACTAATCAGGTCAGGTATGAAATGGTCGATGTCGCGGGCGACTCCCTCGGCTCTCATCTCAAGGGCGTCGCATCTCTCCTCCAGGCCCGGCAAGTCACCGGCGACGCAACTGGTATACGCGGAGCCTGTTACTGGACATGGTACCGCCATGAAACATGGGCTGCCCTCCGTACCGGGCGGCGAATGTCTCTCCTAGATGAACGGTACTGGCGACCGCAAGAGCTAGAGTCGTTTGCACATCTTAGCCCGGAGGAGATTGCGAACCGGGTGCTTTTCATATTCGGGCAGTGTATCAGCTTTTGCAATGATGATAGCTATAACCTTGGAGTCTCCCCTTCCCCTGGAGACGGGTCCAGAGTATGGTCTGAACTCCGGGAGGGCACTGCATTGAGACTGGAACAGGCACTGCACGACTGGAAGGCGAAATTACCACTCAGCATGGCCTGTTTTGAATCCCTTAAAGGACCTGGACCCATGAACTCAATAGACCCTTCCACTGGGACAATCGAGGCGATGTGGTTTGTCTTTCCTCATTCTGGTACGTATTCTCAACACTTTAGTCGAATTGTGCTGAACGAAACAGCCGTGGCAACACAGCTATACCATGCCAGTAAACTGATGCTCGCCCTCAAATGGTGTCAGCAATCCCATCAGCCACCGGGGCTGGCGAATTCCTCGTTCCTGTCTCAGCAACGGCGCATCCACTACCATAGGGAACAGATTTTGCTTACCGCAAACTCCGGGATACCAGATGCTTGGGGACTTATATCTACTCAGTGCCTCTACCTTGCTGGTCTTGTGACTGACGGTGTTCAAGAGAGACAAACGACTCTGCAACTTATAGACCAATGCCAGTATAGTAGTGGGAGGAAAACGAGTGTCTTGTCCTGTGATTTAAAGAGACTATGGAGCAGTAATGAGGGTTTAGAGTAGCAAATCTATTTGCAGCTCATAGTTTCGCCTCTGCACTACTCCTTTCCTTATTTAGGTCTGCGGGACCCCAAAACTTGACTATGGCTGCAGTAGAAATATTATTCCCATCCCCAAGGCCACGGTTGACGCCCTTGAAAATTTGATATGCAGCCTCCGTAAGCCGTCCTGGGAATCCAAGTCGTAACTGTGTAGTCCTGAGTGAACGCTGTGGCTGTTAGTTATGGTCTCCATTTACACACGGATACTCACCAATTCCTTCATCGCATTACTGAAAGACCCGCCCATCTGAAGTCCAGATACTCCAAAATCCCCCTTCTGCATTTTCGGAACCCCGTGCCTGAACTGGGCACTCGAGCCGGCAGCCCCGGCAATGAGATCGTACACCAACTGTGTCGAAACACCACTCGCAGCAGCGAGGCTGAGGCATTCCGCTGCCGCTGCGATATGGATTAAACTCGCCAGACGGATGACGAGAAACATTGCTGACGCCGCGCCGAATGGTCCATCTACTGGGACAAGTTTGATCTCTGGTGGGAATACTACCTGCATGGTGGACATTATATCGGCATCTTGGGCGCTGAATAGGACCTAGACTGCGTCAGTGCCACGTTCAAGAGTGGTTTTCGTATCGTACCTGAACTGATTCAAAGTCGTGCGAATTCACCACTTGGCAATCCACGAACCGAATGCCAGGGTATTTGGAAGACAAGGCCAGGTGGCCATACTGGTCGTCCAGCCCGATCAACCCTACAATGCTTCCATCTGGCAAGCTGTCCAACCGGCTGGATAAGTTGCCAGTATTACACGGTACAACAGACTTCAAGTTCTTTAAATATGGCATCTCGTCCTGTGCGAAGAACGTAATAGCGCTAGCTTCAGCTGTGGGCTTGACTGACAGATGCACTGCCTTGCAGTCCTGCACCTCAGCAACTACTTTGCCGGTAATTCCTTCATAATTGCAAACGACACTGGAATCATCATCTCGGCCATGGCCACGAGCAGCCCGTTCAACGAATGCTTGATGCGCCACGGATGCGATGGGACAGGGGAATGACAAACTCTCTGCTGCATCATTCACAATACCCTGGTCAGCCGTTAGTTAGGATCAATTGCTATTGTTCAGTCATATACCATGTCTTTGGTGAAGATTGTGACGCAGGACTTCGGACTCCAGTCTGCATTCAGCATTGAGATCCCACGATCCCCCATGATCCAGCTGGCAGCCTCGCTGTCCATAAGAACTCGATAGGCTTCTCTAGATGAAAGCCCAAGCACTTTAGCAAAATTCAGCGCTTCTGCAGCAGTCGCGATATGGATTCCCGCGAGGTGTTGGTTTAACCTACTCTGTTAACCTCGGTTCTGGTATAACTGGCCTTTTACTCACATTTTGATCGTGCTCGCAGATCCCAAAGGACCACAATGGAATGTCCTCCCCGGAGCTGAAATGGCCTTTAATTCTGGCTCTATCTGTCTTAATGTGTCCATGTCACCGCCCATCATTATCTGTAGCAACATCCACGTCAGCACATTTCACCAATGCCGGTTAACCTACCGAAAGACTGCCTGCATTCGCACCGACGACACCCCCAGAGACAGGACAGTCAACAAGGCGAATATCGCTTCTTCCCCGCTGCCTCAGTCTACCTCCCAGCGACCCAAGATAATCCGGCGGCAGCGTGCTCAACACACAGAGTATAGTAGCGCGCGGCAACGTATCTGCCAGACCATCCTCGCCAAAGACCAGAGAATCAACCTGCTCCGGCGTGGCAACCATTACAAAGAACTTCTCCTGGTTAGTGCTCGCATCGCGAACAGTGGCAGCAGAAGTTGCACCGGGCAGGTCGCCAAAGTCAGCAAGGGCCTTCGGATTAACGTCGAGCCCGTAGACGTGGAATCTGGCTTTGAGGAGATTTGAAGCCATTCCAAAGCCCATGGCTCCGAGGCCTGCGAATCCGATATTTCTGCTTGCTGAACTCATTATTGTGTTGTCGAATGTGTTGCTGCTCAGTTCAAGGACATAACGGTGTCTGTGCGAGATAGTATTTGTAGCAGCATCCCCTCATTCACATTCCTGCAATTCCAGTACAACGTGACGCGTTGTAGTAGTATTAACCAATTAGAAATGTTCGCGAGGAGTTGGAGATGGTGCTTTCTCGAGACGAGATGGTCATCAAATAATAATCGGAGAGAAGCCCGTCAGCACGCAATTACATCAAGCCCATGATCCTCTACTTTTAATATTCAAACCTCGTCAATTCAAACCGTCCAATCCAGCTGAAGACAGTAACCATCATGTCGCCCAACCGCCTCATCCTCGGTCTAATGACCATCGGCCCCGACACCAACGCCGGGGCACGCATTACATCTCTCGACGAATACAACAAATGCCTCGAGTATCTCTCCTCGCACGGGTACACCGAGCTCGACACAGCGGCAGTCTACGTCGGCGGCAAGCAAGAGGCCTTCACCCGGGACGCCGGGTTCACGGGCAAAGGGTTCACCATCGCCTCCAAGATAATGCCCGTGGCGCCAGGCGACCATGACCCGGAGACATTAAAGGCCGCGTGGGATCGCAGTCTGGCGAAGCTCGGTGTTGAGTCGACTGATATCTTCTATCTGCATGCTCCTGACCGCGCGACGCCGTATGAGAAGACCCTGGAGGCTGTTGATGAGATGTATAGGCAGGGAAGGTTTAAGCAGCTGGGCTTGAGCAACTATGCTGCTTGGGAGGTTGCGGAAATGGTGGGCATTTGTGAGAGGAGGTACCTAGACTTCTATCCTCATCCCCTACCAATAATACTGACCATTCTTAGAGGGTTCGTCAAGCCTACTATCTACCAAGGAATGTATAACGCGATCAGTGAGTCGACCTACCAGTGCCTAATGCGAATAAGTGACTAATTTTCCATTTCTAGCACGCGCCTTGGAAGAAGAACTAGAGCCCTGTCTCCGGAAATTCGGAATCTCCCTGGTCATCTACAACCCCCTGGCCGCCGGCCTATTCTCGGGGAAATACACGAGCCTGGAAAAGCCCGCCGAGGGACGCTTCAGCGACAAAGGCAGCCTCGGCGCATTATACACAGCCCGGTACCTCAAGCCATCTACAATGGAAGCTCTATCGGTAATCGAGCCCGTGGCGAAACAGCATGGGATTCCGCTTATAGAAGTTGGATTGCGGTGGTGCATCCACCATAGCAAACTCCGAATGGTCGATCAGGGCGGGAACGACGGCGTCATTCTCGGGATTAGTTCGTATCCCCAGCTGGTGCAGAATGTCGAGGCGTGCGAGAAAGGCCCTCTGCCTCAAGGGGTCGTGGAAGCTTTGGATAATGCGTGGAAGAGAGCAAAGGGGGATGCGCCGACGTACTGGCGGTGATTGATTCAGAATATTATTTCCGGCAGACTCCAAATAAGTTCTAGACTGTTTATCTGGGTACCCGGTTCGGAGTTTATTTGTCAAGATATGTTAAGCGAGTTGTATCCAGATGTCTATATATGGATTCAATAGTGCGCGGAGTTGGGCCATTCTAGAATACGCCATATTATGTTCGCCATGTTATGCACGAGTCAGCTACTCCAAGTTATGATTCAGTTACGACTCAGTTGCGAATCAGTTCAAAAAGTCTATCTGACTGCAAGCAACGTCCACACAGATCGACCGTAATCGACCGATCTACAAGCCCGTCCCACATTCGACACGATTTCACAATGAAAAACACAGTTACACAACGGTAACAGTCAGATCTGCCTAAAAAGGAGGTCAAGCCCAAGTGGATGTGAACCACCGGATGAACCACCGGACCTCGTACCTTTCAGGGCCAGCGAAAGAATGGAAAAGGCTGTCAAACTGTGGGCCCGGACCCATCGTTCCAACTGCATCCGAGCCCAACAGATGGATCGACATAAGACCAATCCTTGGACAGAGCTCGCTGTGCTAGTCGTGTTGGGAAATGCCCGGGGGGACTTCGGGAAATCTGTGCCTGGCTATCTGACCCACTTGAAGAGACGAGAGAAACACGACGAATCTCGTTATCGCACCTGGTTGCAACATCGAACGGACTCGCTCGGCAGATATTTCCTTTTAACTCTGTTAAACGCTTGCAATTCCACGTGGTGATGGCTCCATGCTCCACTGGCATCCACAGTGCAAATTTGTCTGCTAGTACACAGCTAATCTTGTTGTTAGTTGTTGAAGGCACTGGTATTCGATAACTCCGTAAATTGCTCTATGGGGTATTCAATATTCTATGGTGCGGTTTAATCTATGATAACCAGAGACACAACGCTCAATAGTAAACTTCGAAATCAAGCCTTGCACGCAGGCGCGACAGACCTCTTCTGGGCTCTACACATACGCCCCTCCTCAGAGACAGTCCAATAGTCGCTCCCCACTCCCTTGAGCACGTAGAAGAAGTGGTCCGGATCCCACTTGCCCTTGATCTGCTCCAGCTTCGAGTAGTTGTCACCAAAGAAGACCTCCTTCCAGTTCGGCTGCAGGAAGTTGGACTCGTTCTCGTAGGTCCCACCGCCAGGCGTCACATTTTCGAGCAGGGGGTTGATCTCGTCGGTCATTTTCTGCTGTGCGGCGAGCAGGTCAGACCACGGCGCGGTCTCGTTGTAGCTGATGCCAATCTGCATCGTGACTGCGGCTTCTCGCCAGTGGGTGAAGATGGCATTGTCGACGTCGTTGGTCTTTGAAACGTCCAAGCCGACACCCACTGCAACGATGCCCTGGGAGGTGATATCGTACAATGCAGAGGCCAAATCAGTTGGGTTCGACTCAACCACTGAGCGTGGGAGAAGACGTCCGCCGTAGGTAAACTCGCCGACTCCAAGGTTGCCGTTGGGCAGGGGACCCATGTACTTTTCGTAGTGGTCGTAGTACGAGTCGTACTGGGTATAGTTGGCCGTGTACTGGATGCTGAGGCTGTCGAGCTCGGCGAGGAATGGGGACAGAATATCCTTAACCTCCGAGCTGGTCTTGTTGAACGCAGTCAAGGGCTTGATCAGGAAATAGCCAGGGAGCATCTGGTAGATAACCGTCGTGCCAGCGTCAATCATATCGGGGAGCAGGCGATGGAAGTGATCCACGGCCTCGATGAAGACGTCCTTCGACAGGTCCGAGGTGCTGAAGGTCACCGTCGCACCAGAGACAATCTCGCTCTCGTATGCCTTGACAGTGACAGACAAGACAACCGCCCAGTTGCCAGCACCGCCACCGCTGAGAGCCCAGTAGAGGTCGGTGTTCTCTGTGCGCGAGGCCGTAATGGCCTCTCCAGCAGCAGTGACGACCTCAAAGGAGAGAGCCTGGTCAGCACCGAGACCGAAGCTGGTGCTCAGCGCCGAGTGTCCTCCACCCTGCAGGTATCCTCCTGCCAGACCGACAGTCGGGCACTCGCCACCGACAACAACATGGCCCTGGGCGTGGGTGGTCTCCAAAACGTCAAATCCTTGCACACCACTTCCCAGCTTGTATGCGGGTCCAGTATAGGAATCCTCGGCCCAGTCGATGTATTCGATATCCTTGAGGTTGTGCGTCCAGACGGAGAGCGCACCAGCACCGGTAGACCGACCTAGGTAGCTGCACGGGTCAGCTCTGATCTGCTGTAAAGAACAAGACTAGGGAACAAAACTTACTCGTGACCAGTATTCTTAACAACAAAGCGGATGTTGTTGTCCTGCGCAAACTTGATCGCCGCAACGACATCGTCGCTCGAGGACACATCAACAGCATAGCTCACGTAGTTCCCAGGCTCACACGCACTCGACTTGTCGGTGAAAGGATCGCAGCTCCGATTCGCAAAGAATTGCTGCATGATCGACGAAGAGGAGACATAGCTACACGCAAGTCAGCATTCCGCACAAGCAAGGGGCACAAGTGGTATTCCGGCATCCATACTGGGTCTGGGGGAGATTCCAGTCCTGCTGCAGCTGAGCGCAGGCGGTCGCATCGTAGGTCGGCTCATGGCAAGGAGATCCCACAGGCACCGTCGCAATCAGACGCCCACCGACGGTGCTGTTCAGCGCATCCCATTGACTGGCGGCGGGCCAGCAGTCGTCGCCCGGCAGACAGCGGCAGTCGGACGACGCAGAGGTCGAGCCGGCGAGCAGCAGAGCAGCAACTGCGGTCCAAGCGGCCTTCATGGTGGGGATGAGACGGGGTGAGAGACTGTCAAGTGTCAAAAGGGGCGAAGAGCAGCAGAGCTTGACGTCTTATAAACTTATACGGCTGCGCCCGCCGGAGACAACCTCCGCCACGTGGTCGGACTTGTTCCCCAAAGCCGTTAACAGTTCAGAGTCGAAGATCCACGCCAGACCACAATGTGGCACGATTTATGCGGCTAAGGCAGAGCTGGTGGTGATGCGCCGGCATTGTGCACGCACCGCAACCGAAGCACACTGGCCACCGGAATGGGAGTGGGCCTGCTGACTCGCAATCGCACTGGATGCAGATTAAATTTCTTATTCAGCCGAGCCAAGTGCACCGATCGGAATCGCCGGGTTCGCAGGATCGGAGGTGGTCCTTAATTAATCGATTGGGTCGTGCTTGCGCCGTGTCCCGTACAGCGATCGCAGCGACGATCAGATCGACATCAACTGTGTTAAAGACCACTTAAGGCATTGTTCCTGAATATTGGCAGTCACAATTGCCGAAAAATAGAGTCTTTCTGCAGTGTTCTTCGCAGGCTTCTTTTTTTCGATCCCACGCGGTGAGCCCTAACCGGTGGCGCCGTTTCAGACCAGAGCCATGGAACCTTGCTCGTGAATACCCACAGGCTATCTGCTTAGGCCTGGCGCAGGGCCAGTGAGATGCCTCAGACCATCCCTGCTCGATGCTGTCCACTGCTGGGTCTAATAATTTCGACGCTTGTGCGCCATGGCTTCAACAAGCCCAAGCTGAAGCCAAGGTTCCCAAACTCGCCGCATGCTGGCGAAAGTCTATTTGTTCCTGGTTTTAAATATGCAGCTACGCCGTTGAAAAGGAGGAAGAACCGTCACTGGGACTGAGTGAACTGGCATTGACTGGCCTGCAGCGATGGCCTTTGATTCTTCCTCCAACGACCGAGGCCTCGCCCTGGTCCGGGGCATGTGGGCTGCCATCGCCATCGCTGCGTTCATCCTCATCTTACGAGTGTTTGCAAAGTTCAAACTGCGCCAGTTCCGCTTCGATGATGTGCTGATGATCGTGTCCTGGGTATTGCGATCTCCCTCCACCCGCACTTCCCCAGACTATCACAAATCACTAACCACTTTACTACTAGGCCATGACCCTGGCAGCAACCGTGCTGCTGCAGATGTCCGTCGATCACGGCTTCGGCACCGACCTGACGAAACTGGAGTATCCCGACCTCAAGGTGGTGCTGAAGGCGATTGCGATCGAGATCCCCCTCGTCACCATCGGCACTGGCTTCGCCCGCTGTGCCTTTGCCCTGTATATCATCGCCATCCTGGGCAACAAACGCGCGCATACTATCGCCCTGTGGACCGTCATGCTTCTTCAGCTGGCCGGGAACATTGTATCGGGCGTCCTGCCTCTCAGTATCTGCCGGGACGTGCGTATATTATGGGATCCAACCGTTAAGACAACATGCGGTGACAACGTGGCCGTTATAAAATTCGCCTACTTCTCATCTGGTACTTCCCCCTTACCCACATATACATATATGCCATAGCCTAACTTGAACAGCCGTCAACGCAGCAGCAGACCTCTTCCTCGCCGTCTTCCCCACAGTGATCTTCTGGAACCTCAACCTACGCCTGCGGATCAAAATCAGTCTAATCATCCTAATGAGCCTGGGCATCCTGGCCATGATCGCCGTGATCATCAAGTCCACCAAATACGGCGATATCCCGGGCATCACGAACCTAGGCTCCCACGGCGGCATCGAGCTCATCCGCTGGGGCTACGCGGAGAATCTAATCATCATCATCACCTCATCCGTGCCCTGTATCCGGCCGCTGCTTATCTCGTCCGTGCGGAAACTATCCAGTGCAGCGCGGTCGCGGTCTTATGAACTCAGCGGACCTTTCTCGGGGAATAAGGGCGTGCAGTCGAAGACGTCGAGGAATAACCACTCCAGTGGACGTTCCGATAACAACGGGTACGAGGAGGAGGATCTCCCCGAGGAGACGGATAGTATCGAGCGGATTTTGCAAGATGCAGAGACGGCGGAGCGCAATCGAGAGTTGCGTAGGGGCATCACGAAGCAGGTTGATATCTCGGTGATGTCGACCAATAGTCGGTCTGAGGGGGGTGGGAATCAATCGCCTTATTGATTGTCACTGGATGAATGAATGTAATGAGTCTACTTTATTTACTTCTTAGACTAGACCTTTGACTTGTATATATTCACTTCTACCTTCTTTGTTGCTGTGAACTATCTTCATTGTGGTAGCTGACCTTCACAACTGCTTCTCTGTATAAAATGATACCTCAATCTTGCAATCTCTACTTTACTTTCTCTATCTCTATCTCCATCTCCCGAAGCAGTCTATTTGTACCCCTCCCCGTTGCTGTTACTTGTCTCTACCGCACTCCAGTCAGTCCCAAAATGGCCATCGAAATCCACGGCCCAATCCCCTCCACCAGAGAAGAGCCACTCTACCTCGCCGTGGTCCATTACTACACACGGCAATCAGGCGGCTACGACCGGTGGTCCATCTTCGTACGCACCAGCAAGATAGGGTCACTGGGGCTGGAATACCAAATCACAGATACCGGCGGAAAGTACATGCAATACAACCCACCCACGGAGGCAGCACCGCTGGACGACAACATTCCACACTCGATGTACGTGGTCCGGGCTATCACGAACGAGGAGGCCACGACTGTACGCGAGGTCGCGGAGCGTGAGCCACGCATGTCGACTGCGGACGGGGAGAACAGGGCGACGGAGCGGTGGACATTCAGTGTTATCACAGAACTCATGAAAAGGGGGATTGTGAAGCCGTCTGATGTCGAGGAGATAGAGTCCATGATGGCTACCAGGCTGGATTATTGACCTTCGCAATAGTCGAAGTCTAGCATCGTTCCACCATGACTAGGTTATGACATACAAGTCTGTCTATATTCAATCAAGTTCATCCCAAACCCGGCCACGTAGTCTCAAACCCCGTAGCAAACCCAACAGACCAGGTCTCATCCAGGAATGGCCACTGCATCATTTCCGCTTCCAGATCGTAGCCCGTATGGTCGTCCATCGAGATCGAAGCCCGCCTATCCGTATTCTGGACAGGCGTCGTCCGGCCCTGCGATGCAGTTGGATCGGGCCGAGAAATGCGAATGTCGCCGTACTCGTCGAATGTCCCTGCTAGGGTAAGGTGGTCTTGGCCCAGGCCTTGTTGAGAGCGTGCGCTCTCATAGAACCGATTCGCTTCTTGCAGGGTTTGCCACTAAACACATCAGCCATCGTTAGAGCATACTCAGTATACCAGTAGACATACCCAGCTAGTCCCTACATCCCAGAACCCGCACAATCGTTCAAGGTATTCGAGGTTCGACTTCTTTTCTTGCTCTGCGCGTTCCAAACCGCCAGGATAGCGCATGGGAGACACCGTTCCGTACATGTTTATATGAGCCGCAACAAACACGCTGAATCCGGCATACGGGGTGATTACAGGCGTTGCACAGCTCTCCAGCGAAGACAGAATAGCACCGATATTCTGCGCGGTAGAAAACAGCCGATCGATAGTCTCGTCTGCATCGTTCTCGCTGTCGTGGGCTTTCGGGCTCGCAAGAAACCGATCGCGATAGAGGAAGAGGATACTAAATCATCAGTACAGTCGTAGAAGCACAGAATAGTCATCCGCCTACCTCATGAAATAGACCAGATTAATATAGGCAAACAACTCCCCATATCCCAGCGCAACATGGGCATGCGCACTCGTCTCGGGATACCGCACAATAACATCCTGCAGCGCCCTCCACTCATCCAGCTCCTCCTTCAGCGCCATCCAAGCAAACGACGAGGACGGCGCGCCCCTCGCCCGATCACGGTCCCGCCGACTCTCATTCGCAAAGCGCAGAATCCTCACAAAGATATCAAAGCCCCGCGTAACAATCGTCAGCCCATGCTCAATCCCCAGCCTCAGCCCCTCAACACCACCACCACCACCAACACCCTGAATATTCCTCGGGGTAAGCCGTCGCGTGGCGCGTCCAAAATTAAAATCCGAATCCCCAATCGGCAGCGGCACAGAAATCTGCCGAAACGAGAGCGCAAAGTGCTGGCGCGCGCCGGAACTCAGCTCGCAGTCCTGCGCGAAGCAGCACCAGTACGTGCGCACCAGCTGCTCGTAGGCAATCTGGGTCTGGCTCTGGACGTGGAATTCCTCGGGCGCATGCTCCATGTGGTCGTCGGCGCTCTTCAGCAGCGACTGGATCATGTACGTTGCCATGCCGCTGTACATCCAGGCGCGGTAGGGGCGGCCGGACCCCCATTCGTACAGGGAGATCATGACGAGGGACTGGGCGAGGGGGAGGGAGGGGGACTCGAATGCGCGATGGGCGAGCTGGGTGCGGGCATATTCGGCGTAGGATTCGGACGGGGCGAGGTCGGGGTCTGTTGCTGTCATGAAGCGCGCGCAGAGGGAGAGCAGGGCTGCCAGAAAGACGGGTTCGACGGAGTGGACATCGCGCGACAGGTCGGCGATTAACGAGGGATAGTGCAGGAAGTTGACGACGGGGAATTTCTTGCGGTAGAGGTCGCAGGCGGCGATGAGGGTCGACGAGGGGAGGCTGGCCGGGCTCGTCACAGAGCTGCTTGTTGTTCCCTCTCGCGGGGGATCATCTGGATCGACGCGTGGGGTCCTGGCAGGTCTGGGACGAGCTCTGCGCGGAGTTGAGGGCGAGCGAGGGGAGCGAGAGTCGGTGAGCAGGCAGGGACTGCGGTTGAGACGCAGGCAGCGACGACAGGGAGGATGGCCATCGTGGACACACTTGACCTTGGACTGCCTGCAGTGGTCGCAGGAGATTGACAGGCGCATATTACAGTTACGGAGGATTCGGGAATAGATGGGAATGTCGGGAATGATAAGAGTGATAGGATTATTCGGTAAAGAGGGCTAGATAGGGTTTGTAGGGATCCAGCCACACAACCGCTCGACCTGCTCCTCCTGCGTCGCCCACGAAGTCACAATGCGGATTACTGTGTTGTCTGCTCTCCTTTCCCATGCGTAGAACCGGATTCTCTCCTCCAAGCAAGGCAGCATCTCATTCGGTGCTACGACAAACACCTGGTTTGTCTCCGTCTCCGCCGCCAGCTGCCACCCCTTGCGCACAAACTGGGCTGCTATTCGCCTTGCCATCCCATTTGCATGTCGAGCCAGCTCGAAATACAGTCCGTCCTGGAATAACTCGCGGAATTGGACGCCCATGATCCGCGACTTGCCCAGCAATGCCCCTCGCTGCTTCATGTGGAACTCAAACCCTTCCGACAGCGTCCGTCGTACAACAATCGCCTCGCCCAGTAGAGCTCCCATCTTGGTCCCTCCTATCCAGAAGATGTCCGTGTAGTCCACCATGTCACGCAGTGTCACATCGTTCGTCTCCGCCGTAAGTGCAACCCCCAGCCTCGCCCCATCCACCAGCAACAGCAGATCTCGCCGTCGACATGTATCAGACAACCTAGCCAGCTCTTGCTTTGAATATATCGTCCCAACCTCCGTAGCATTCGAGATATAAACCAGCCTCGGCTTCGCCATATGAGGGAAGAACGTATTCTGCCCCAGCACCGTCTCGAGATTCTCCGGCGTCATCTTGCCCCTTACCCCAGGGACGGGGATAATCTTGTGTCCTGTAGCTTCAATCGCCCCGGCCTCTTTATCAATAATGTGCCCGGTCTGCACGGCCAGCACAGCCTCGTACGGCCGTAAACAGCTGGCAATTGAGATCAGATTCGCGGCCGTCCCGCTCGGGACGAAGTGGATGGCCACCTCATCCTCTGACGTTTCTAATTGGGAGTAGAGCAGCTCTTTGGCTTCACGCGTGTACTCGTCGCTGCCGTAGCCGGTCTGTTGGGTGGCATTGGTGCGCAGGAGGGCTTCCAGCAGGCTCGGGTGAGCGCCCTCGCTGTAGTCGTCTAGGAAGCTGTAGGGGTCGGAGATTTTTGCAATCATTGTGAATAAAGATAATAAATGCAGAGGGTAGAGGATAGGGGATAGAGGTGAATGAAAATTGACTATATATCGTCATTTCCGATCGGGAATAATATGTCGGGAAAGCGCAGTGCAGTCAAAGATCCACCGTTGAGATCGAGACCGATTTATTACGTATTCTGGACGATTCCAGGGTTGTTAGTCTAATAATATGATGGCTGACAATCGCTATTAATAAATGTTGCGAAGTGTTGGCACGAATTATATATAATATGAAGTCCCTCTACCCGCATACATTTAGTGTGATCAGCAGGCAACTAATTGACTAACAATGGAAATATTTTTCTTAACTATGCCAGAAGTACCTGCCAGCTGCCGGAGCTGTAATGCCCTGCAGCCGGTAGAGTATGGAAATATTAATGTCTAGCCTACTCTCCCTAGTCTGCACTCAACTTCCCCATCTCCTTCGCATCTCGATGGCCCAGATGCCTCAGCAGATGACATCCTCGCTCAAGGCCTATTTTGACGAGCTAGAAGAGACCAAGAATGCAGGGCCTGGTTAAGTAAAGCCTTTAACCCTAAATAGACCGTATATAACTATATTTAACATCAAGGCATACCTTTTATATTGATCTTATAGAGAGTTTTCTACACATACTATATATACCCTATATACTACCATCTACATCACATTCACTCTTACCTCGCGTCCGCAGAGCCATCCCTGGATGCATGACCGTCAAGCAAATGCACGTAATCGAGACCATGGCCCCTTCCAACACCATAAACGCCACTTCATCGTTGGCCACCGCACTGTCAAAGCCGCCGTTCAACTCAACAACGCGATAAATAGACCGGATATAGACGGTCACTGTCGCGAGAACAAGAGCTGCAATTGTCAGTCTTGAATATATATATATATATATATATATGTAGAATACGTACCCATTATGAACCCCTTCCAGGTCTTCCTCGCCCGGAGAGCAGCGTATTCATCCTTACTCTCATCACTCTGTCCTGCCCTCCGCTCACGCCGAATTAAACGATAGATAAACTCGAGAGCAAACGAAATAAACAGCGTCAGCGTGGCGACCTGGAATGCCAACCCGGCAATCATAACGTTGACGCCGGTGTCTCTCAGACCGGGATTGTCATCAGGCGCAGTGGAAGTAATAGCACCGCCAGCACCTTGCATGATCAGAGCAAAGACATCGCAAGAGACAAAGACGATGGCGTAGTTCCGGGGTCGCAGGCGCGAGATGTCCTCTCCACGGTAGACAGTCACAACACGACCCAGGAGGAAGTACAGAGCGGCGCAGTAGAATATTGGAGCGAGGCCGAGGCAGATGAGGTTCCTATTCAGTTAGTACAGTTACTACTAACTCGTGGTGCTCTTACATTAGGAAATAGTTGAAGTTGAAGGGGTCGCCGTGGAAGAGAATGCGAGCGACGTAGCCGATAATGTCCAGGATGAGGCCTATCACCATGGATCCTGAGAATCCCCACATGCGATATATCGGACATTGAATGGTTTGAATGACGAGAAGAAGACCGTAGAGCGCGATGTAGACGATGCAGCCGGGGATGGAGGGCCGGTAGTGCATGTATGCATCCTCGAGAGAGCAGGTTTCGAGTGTACAGTACTTGGGATTCATGTTGACTGTTAATTGATTGAAGTGTATCTTGACTACAACATCTCGCCTATGCTGGTTGATCTTTATAGTTGTTAACCTTCATAGTTGATACTGGCTGCCTGTTGTATAGCGCCAAGTCGGACTCCGAGTCCGAGTCCGAGTCCGTCCTCAGCGGGGCTGTGCTGACGCCAGGTATATCTTCGTCTCCCGACCGTGTCCGTGTCCGTGTCTTCATGCATCGATCCATCATGACTTCTCGCGTCAAAACGTGCGAGACCTGCGCCACGGCCAAGATCCGCTGCTTGCGGTCGCCGGGGGCCGCCATCTGCGACCGGTGGGACTGCAGCTGTCGTCTGAATCCTGCTGAGTGCTGACGTTGAATAGCTGCGCGAGGCTGAACAAACCGTGCTATTTCCGACCATCTCGAGTCCGGCAGACATGGACCAAGAAAGAGACGTAAGTCCCTGCTGCGGTTGTTGTACTGTATTTACTGACCATGGCAGACGCCTCGAGTCTCTGGAGAGAAGAGTAGACCAGCTGCTGGGCCAGTCTCAAAGCCATGCCTCTCCTGAGGAGAACTCTGGAGATGTCATTGACAAAGGCATCCTCTCGCTGGACGACGCTGCTGCCCTGCTGGACTATTACCTGCAGTACATGATGCCGCACTTCCCCTTCGTTGCTCTCCCTGAGCGAGCGACAGTCGGCGAACTTCGCGAGCAGAAACCGTTCCTCTTCCTGGCCATTCTGTCGGTTTCCGTGATGGAGGACCGGGCGCTGAAGCGAGCCCTAGACGACGAGGTCAGGACCGCCACGGCCGATAGAACGGTGCTGCTGGACAAACCGCCCGCTCTGGAAACAGTGCAGGGTCTGCTAGTAGTCCTCGCATGGTGAGTTAAATCTATTGATCTGTTTGATCATACTAACAAACTCAGGTCCCAGCACCAGGCCTCACGGCGAATCGGTCCGCAGATTTTCGCCCCGTTCCTCCATCTCGCCATCGGGCTCGTGGTCGACCTGGAACTGGATCGCCCGGTGGAAGTGCGTAAATTCGCTGGCCGCATGAGTGTCCACGAAACACGCAGCGAGCCACGTCCGCCTGCTGTGTTGAAGGCCGAGAAGAGGGCTGTGCTTGGATGCTCCTTTCTCTCTTCAAGGTGGGTGACCAGTTCGATCCTGGCGCATATCGAATCACTGACTGACCGTTGCAGCTTTGGAATCATCACGCAGAGAAAGGTCACTTTGCCGTGGACTGCGCATATGGAGCGCTTCGCGATTGAGCTGGCGCAGGATCCAGACTACGACGGTGACCGGTCCATCATGCACCTGGTGCGCCTGCAGCACATATTCGAGGAGATGGACAAGGTGTCCTCAGAATCAGAAGACACGAGCATGTCTGGCACAGCTTTCCAGCGCACCTTCAGGACTTTTAAGTCGCAACTACAAGACTATGCGGATCAACTGTCCCAGCAAGTGGCCGGCAGCAACTGTACGTATCAATATCAATCCTCTGCATAAACCCCGCTAACATAGCAGACCTCCTCGCATCGCAACTGAACACCGTCAGCCTCTATCTCTGCCAAGTCAGCCTCTTCGACAGAATGTCCACCTCGTCCCAACTCCCCTCCGCCTTCCGCGCAGAGATCCTAGGCCACGGCCTCACCGCAGCAAAAGCCCTCTTCTCATCCCTCGCCCATCTCCCCATGGGCTCCGAGCGCCGCATGAGCTACTCCGAATGGCTCCAATCCGGCTTCAGCATGATCCTCTCCTGCAAGCTCTCCCTAATGGCCGTCTCCGACGAAGTCCTCCGCACCAACCACCCACAGATCCAATCCCTCTGCAACGAGCTAGACATGCCCCAGATTCTGCGGATATGCGTTGTGCGTCAGCAGTCGCAGGAACCGCGCTCAGAGGCCCGCAAGACCGGATTCGATTATACGGGGTGGCTGCAATACGTCGAGGAGTGGTTCGGGCGGCACCACCACGGATACACTTCTCGACAGCGGGGGACACCTGTCCCTGGGTCTGAAGTCCCTGATAGTACAACTGCCTCCCGAGCTGGACTTGGAACTGGGCCTGGCTCTGCAACTGGAATCCCTGCGAATACTACTGCTACTGCCATCCCCGTTACCTACCCGCCACCAGCACCAGCGCCATTCATGAGCGATGTGTCCAGCGGGCTGGATCTCCCCGTGACGGGTGATATGCTACCCTGGACTTCGTTTCCGGATTTCTGGATTACCGAGAATCCGCTGGCCGGATGGATGGATCTCGGTCTTATGCCTATGTAATGCTCTTATACTATGCCCATGTAATGACTCTTATACTATAGCTCTACTATAACCTCCACTATCTCCACGATGCGTTTCACAAGACAGATTGACCAGTAATAAACAAAGCAACAAAATATGATACAGTCAGATCAATAAAGAAGCTCGGAGGATTGTTAACTCCGTGGTATCTCCGCCGTACTCCTGCTGTGTAACAAACAACATCAAGTATAACCACTCGTCAGCCCACTGCCTTGTCAACATTTATCTCAGCAATCACCTTCTCACGATGTCAGAAACAGCAGTTCAACTCCAACTCTCCGCTCCAAAGGGCCGATTCACTCAAGTCACCATCCCACGACCGATCCCCGGCCGGGACGAAATATGCATCCGCACCAAAGCAGTAGCGCTGAACCCACTCGACGCAAAGCAGTACGCCCACGGGCTCCTCGTGCAATCCTGGCCTGCCGTCCTCGGAATCGATGCATCTGGCATCGTCGAGTCCGTCGGCGACTCGGTCCAACAATTTCGACCGGGGGATGAAGTCTTCGGGTTCTGCGGCATGGGGAACCGATCTGCTGCATTCCAGGAAGTTATTACCGCGACCTCTGGATGTATGGCGAAGAAGCCAGAGAGTCTCAGTTTCGAAGAGGCTGCGTCACTTCCGTATGTTGTCTGAGTATACTGTAAACATGTCTGTCCGCTGACAACTGACAACTGACAACCAGCATCTGCCATATCACCGCCGCAGCAGCAATCGCAGTCGGTTTGCAGGTGCCGTTACCTCATCTCGGCTCTACCAGGACTCAAAACAAGACTTTGAAGACCATCCTCGTACTCGGTGGCAGCTCCGCAGTCGGTGCAGCAGCCATCCAACTCCTGCGACTGGCTTTACCCACGGCAACAATCCTCACCACCAGTTCTAAACAGCACCACGCCCACCTCATCTCCCTCGGGGCAACGCAGTGCTTCGAGCGCTCCGCCCAGGAAAACATCTCTATCATTCAAGCCGCTACGCTGAACTCGGGCGTCGACGCAATACTCGACGCCGTGGCCGCAGCACATCAGCCCGCTGTATTCGGTGTTCTTGATCCTGTCGGGCCGAAGCTATATTCAGAGGTTGCCACCGGGGCAGTAGTTACGGTTCCAGAGGGAGTTAATGGGACTGTTGTTTCGGGGCAGGATATTCTTGGTGTTCCGGGGGGAAGGGATATTATGTCGGCGCTGGCTGGGTTGGTTGAAGCGGGACAGTATAAGCTTCCGGTGAGAGTTGAGGTTATTGGGAAGGGGCTTGAGGCGATTAAGACTGGGTTGGGGATGCTGGGAGGTGTTAGTGGGACGAAACTGGTTGTTACTTTGTGATAGTCGATGCTGTACTTTTGAAGATGGATGTATACAATTAGTTAGGTAACAAATAGCCACCATCCTAGTTGGATCATGAGATAGATATTCTCGAATAAACATAGTTTAACATAGATTATTCGCTGTGAATCATCAGTGAAAGAGTGGCTGCCTCCTGCTTCTCCGTATAAGCTTTCCGCCCGACGCAGTCTGCACTCAACCGCTGCGATGCAAAGGCGCATCGACACCCGACAACCGCGACAGACAACGCGATCCGTCGTTCACCCGGATCGAATCCGTCCCCACACTGATAAAACCCAACAGAATGATTGGCCACCAGCTGTCACTATCCCCAAAGAAGCAGATAGCGGAACCAGCGGGTGGCGGATGCTGCACCCAGTGCGCGGCCCGCCTGTAGATACAGTATCACCGACGTCAAGCGCAGCTCAACCTAGAGAAGCATATAATGCTCTCAAAAATCCCAGCATCATGTCCCCATCATGTACTCATCAGCTAGTTCATCACACTCCCCATCCTCATCCACATCAACCATGGGCTCCATCTCCGGCTGGAAACGCTTAAACGTCGCCATCGTCGGCGGCGGCATCGGCGGTCTCGCCGCCTCTATATCCCTCCGCCGCGCCGGACACAACGTAACCATCTACGAACGACACGACTTCGCAGGCGAGGTCGGGGCGTCCATCTCCTGCGCGGCCAACGGTACACGCTGGCTACACGAGTGGGGGGTCGACATCGAAAAGGGAGACCCCGTCCTACTCCGGAAACTGATCAACCGGGACTGGAAGACCGGGGAGCCGGTTAGCGTTTATGATCTCGATGACTACGAGCAGCGATGGGGGTATGTCTATAATATGTTCCATCGGCAGTATATGCATTCCATGTTGAAGGACTGCGCGCTGCAAGAGGAGGGCGAGGGGACGCCTGTTACGCTGCTCGTCAACCATCCTGTATATCCACCCGGCCTAGCATCCGTCCAAAAGCTTAACTGACTCGTCCAGTGCAAAGACATAAACCTCGAGACCGGCGAGATCACATTCGACAACGGCACAACCGCCCAGCACGACCTCATCATCGGCGCAGACGGCATCGGCTCGGTCGTCCGCCGCCTCATCGGCCTAAACCCGGAAAAGAAGCCCGCGCCTTCAAGCTGTCTGCACGCAAACGTCATGACCGAAGACGCCGTGCGTCTGGGGCTCGTCGACTACTCGCAGGACTCGGCGCTGGAGTACTGGGGCGGCCAAGAGGGAAAGTGGGACAAGATCGTGCTGTCGCCGTGTAACGGCGGGAAACTGCTTTCCTACTATTGCTTCTTCCCGCGCGAGCAGGGGGATTATTCCAGCCATACCTGGGGTGGAGAAGACCGTCCGGTTGAAGAGTTGTTGGCGCCGTATCCTGAGTTGGACAAGCAGGTGCGCGCGCATCTGGCTATTGGGATTGAAGTCCGGCCGTGGCGACTCTGGGTGCAGTGCGTTATACGCTATTATAAACATAATTCATGATCTGATGCTAATTAAAACAGCCAGCCGTACCCGCATATCAGCCGCAACAATGTCTGCCTGCTAGGCGACGCAGGACACCCGGTATGTCACATAAATATCAGCTGACGTTCTACTAGCTAACTTAATAGATGATGCCTCATCAAAGCCAAGGCGCCTGCATGGCGATCGAAGACGCCGCCGCGCTAGGCATCCTGTTCAACAAGGAGTACTTCTCCGGCGACGTTGCAGAAACGCTGCGCTATTACCAGGAGATCCGTCTGCCGCGAGCCACGAAAGTCCAGGCTGCCTCGGCCAAGGCAGCATACAACATCAACGAGCGGATTGGTGAGTCTGACCGACACTTACAAATTCAGAGTGGCTCTGACGAAAGCAGGCTTCTCCAGTAACACGACAAACACGAAATACTACAAGGTGGAGGATGAGAAGAAGAAATTGACGATCGAGGAGATGAACGGGTGAGTTAACCCCTTTATATATATATTTGTGGCTAACGGCATTAGGTACGACATGTACAAGGATGTTGAGGAGCTGCTTGCTTCCAAACGAGGCATTCCGTTTATGCAGAAGTTTACCAGAGGTCTGCCATTCGGGCTGCGACTGTCGAATGGTGTCGTTGTGGGGGAGTCAGAGACGAAGTTATGATCTGTACTTTAATAAACCCTTTGATGTAAATAACGCGAACAGTATTGACGTTTACGAGTATGTCTAAGACGGCTTGTCAGTAATTGCTGGAAACCTAACAATCACATTAAATGCAGCAAGTAGACTATAGAAGTATGGATATATATAAATATAATCACATATACCATTCAGCCAACTTGCACTTGGCTCATTCAGGATTGCAACACCTATCAAGCAAATATATATTTCCTCGGGAGCACCTTCATAAGCATCTCACAGAGCAGACATAACCCGTCACGGATCGAATTACAGATTCGTCGCGCATCCGAGAAGCCAAACCCGCGAATAAACATCGCAGGTCGACTCTCTTCTCCAGCCAGCTGCAGGACACCACACTAGTCCGGGGTAAATACCACCCCGCAGTCCCCGAGTGCCCCGAGCCCCGGTCGATCAGACTTGGCTTCCTTGCTGCTGGGTTGGGCCGACCGATTTCGCCCGATTCCCACCTCGGCCGGGGCTGCCAAGAGGGGAAAGGGACTGGAGATGGATGAGGTAGTTCTAATTATGCTGTGGCAAATTATTGAGCCATGGTTGTACCCGTATGTTGATTGTATCCAGGGGTGTTGATCGTGATCAAAATAGAATGATATTTCAGACTCTTCAACTAGACAGTCTACAGGAATACTGAGAGCATGTCGACTCGCACCTCTATTCCCTGTAAACATCCAACGCCGCAGCCGCACCCGTTAAAGCTGGTCCCGCATGACTGACGTCGTGGCGCAATATCGGTTGTCTTATTGACCCGCTTAAGTTGCCATGCAGACTAGCCAAGGATTCAATCCATCCCAGTGCGACCTTATGATACGGCAAGAACCGAGGTCTCTGTGATAGACTGAATACCCTGTCTATCTACTTTGATCAGTTGGATACGTGGGAAAGAATAGAGATATTTACCTCCAGACATGCCTAAAGTATTACTGATTCACACCGTCGACATATGGAATACAGAGCAGGTGCACTGTTTCTGCGAGGTGATATATGTTAAGATGCATGGCAGAAGATGCAATTGCCATACAATTCCTCGTCCCAGAAGATCGCACAGGATCATTCAGGTTCTGGCATGGTCCATCATACCCCTGCAATGTCGCTTTCTCATTCTGAAACCCGGGACTGTTTAGATCTCAACGTCATTCCATCCACTGCCTCTGTATACATCGCCTTTACCGCATGTGATCTCACGCTTGGCACTCCACGATCGCAATGCAGACCAGGATTGCCGTAGCGGCTCTCCGCATTCTGAGCTGATGTCGGCTCTTTGGTCATTCTGGGGTGGATCAGCAAGGGCCACTGCCGTTTAAGTCTGTATTTCATTCGTCGTGAATTCAAGGGCCAAATATTGTGAGATGGTGCGACTGTGGATACTCTGTCTACTGTGGAATCTGGCATTGCAGAACAGCAACCTACGGTGTAGTGACTGCGACATTTTATCCAGTCGCGATTATAGAACAGGCCAGGCAGGTGGCCTGGGCTATTGTTCGATCGCTATGTTTGATCTGCTAGACTGCTATTGTTCGATCGCTAAACCACACCACTGCAATGCGCCGAATTTCAGATGGTTGCACATCGGATCGACGACGCAGAATTCGACATTGGAGTGGATATTGGCAGCTTGGTGCAACGGTGCACGGAGTATACGAAGTACGCGATGGATGTACGTCACCCGTGTCGACAGTCGACAGTCGACGTCGCCGTGATAAACATCCAAATATAACAACAACAACCCCTTTTTCGCTGACATCAGTGGCAGTTTAGCGAGCCTTGGCCGATTTCCAACTGCCGGGTTCCTTGGTGAGTGGTGAGATTAATGAAGATCCGCGATGCTTCGGGCAGGGATCGGTGGCCCTAAAAGCACTAAACGAACTATTTGATATTAACCCCCCGATCAGCACAGAATCTGCACCAACGCGGTAAAAGTCGCGACGATGCCCAGACGGCAATTCGCGGCCCATGAAACCGCGGTCGACAACTACGCGGGGTCCGCACCTGAACAAGCACCACTTGGGCACGACTTGGACACGACCAGGGCCCACCAGCGCGGACTGTGGTTTGTTTGATTGGACCCTGATTGAAGAACGCCTCTCGCAATGTCGCGAAACCCGCTGCAGCCAATGCGGCCCCTCCCAGCGGGTCCATATACTTGGTGTTGACACTGCTGCCCTGACTTGGCCCAGCTTCCAGCTCCAGGTGACCAACACGGCCCCTTTTGCCATCTTGCGGGGTGCTCCAGTTAGTGCTCCAGTTAGTGCGCTTGTTTCTGGGGCTCAGGGGCCTCATTCGATGCGGTTGGCCAATATCTGGGGGTGCGAGCTGCAAAGCCTTTCACAAGCTCTAGCTGGATGGAGATGATGCCCCGGACGAATTGGGCCGAGGAGATTTGATTCTGGGGCCGCTGCGTCCAAGATAAAGACCCATTGCACCCACCTGCGTCTCCTGGCCTCGACCGTGTTCGTGTTGTTTTCCTTGCACCGTTCTCAACTCTCCCCTGAGCCTCAGCCCGGATCCAGGCAGAGCGCCGACAGCCAACCCTTTGAGTCAGTCAACCTATCAAGCTACCATAAAAACAAAAAATGCGTTTCTTCCTCAGCGGAGCGGCCCTGCTCGCGGTGACCACCGTGGTGGGCGCGTCGCCGACATCTCCTGCGGCCTCCAGCGCGACAACCGACGTGGAGCCCAAGGAGGCAGCCCAGACAAATGCGGACATCTTCCCCAACATCTTCGGGCAGGACGAGCCCACCGAGGCCAGCACTGCTGAGCCAGCTGCTACCAGCAAGCAGGAAACCGAAGAGGAAGGCAAACCCACCCAGGCCCCTGCGGCCTCGACTGGCACACAGGCCCAGCAGAACACTGCGAACCAGAACGCTGCGACCGAGACCGAGCAGCCCAACATCATCGACAGCATCGCCGATGGCTTCACCGGGACCAGTGATGCGCCCCCTGCCCAGACCAGCCAGGCTGAGGCGGGCGAGAGCACAACGACCAAGCCCGAGCCCACCTCGTCTAGCTCAGCCTCCGACTCCGAGACAACCAAGGACCCCAACATCCTTTCCGGCTCCAGCAGCTCCAGTGACTCCAGTGACTCGAGCAGTGGAGGCTTGGACGGCCTTGGACCTCTCGGGGATCTGCTCGACGGCGTTGGTGGTCTTCTGAACCCCAAGCTGCTGAGCCAGATCACGGACACTTTCGAGTATCTGTCTACTGGTCTTGCGCCCCCTGTTGACACCAACCTGCGTGTTCTCCTCTCCAGCGAGAACACCAAGACCCTCAACAATGTCATCGGTAACGCTGGCAAGCTGCTCAACGAGAAGAACACTCAGACTCTGTCCAACATCCTGGGCAAGGCTGATGGCCTCCTCAGCGACCGCAACCTCAACAACCTGCAGAAGCTGCTCGACAACATCGACAAGGTCAACAACGTTGTCGAGAACGCCGACAGCCTGCTGACCCCGTCGTTCGTCAAGAAGACCGACGGTCTGATCGACTCTGCCTCTGGTTTGTTGACGCCCAAGACGACCAAGTCTATCGAGACTCTCCTCGAGGCCGTCAACGGCGTCCTGCCCGAGCTCAAGGGCTTCCTGACCAAGGAGACCTTCGATCAGCTTGGCAACCTCCTGACCCAGGCCTCCAGCCTGCTCACGGACAAGACCGTCGACAGCCTCAAGACTCTCCTGACTGCCGTCAGCGACTTGATGCCTTCTCTCAAGGGTCTGCTTACCAAGGCCACCATCGACGAACTCAAGGGTCTGCTGTCTTCTGCCAGCAGCCTGCTCACCAAGAAGAACGTCAACTCCATCGAGACTCTCCTGGACTCTGTCAACGGCATCATGCCCGAGCTCAAGGGTCTGCTCACCAAGGAGACCTTCGATCAGCTCCAGAACCTCCTCACCCAGGCCTCCAGCTTGCTCACGGAGAAGACTGTCAACAGCCTCAAGACCCTTCTCAACGCCCTGCCACCGCTCATGCCCGAGCTCAAGGGCCTGCTCAAGCCCGAGACCATCAAGAAGCTTACCAGCCTGCTCAACGAGGGCAGTGCGCTCCTCACGCACGACTTCGTCGAGGAGACGCAGGGTCTTGTTGGCTCCGCCAGCGACCTCCTCACCCCGCAGCTCGTCAAGTCCCTCAAGGGCATTCTCGGCCAGGTGGAGCCTCTCCTCCCCGAGCTCGAGAAGCTGCTCAAGCCATCCGTCATCAGCTCGCTCGGCGACATCCTCACGAACGCCCACGATCTTCTGGACCACAAGTTCGTGAACGAGACCCGCAGCCTGATCGACGGCGCCACCGACCTGCTCTCACCCTACGTCCTCGGCGGCCTGTCCGAGCTCCTCGGCGGCGTCGTACCGCTCGTCCCCACCATCAAGAAGGACTTCCTCGACGAGGACACCCTCGAGGGTCTCTACTTCGTGCTCGGCAACGCCACAAACCTGCTGACCACCAAGTTCGTCGACGAGACATCCGACCTGATCGACGGCGCCAGCGACCTGCTCACTCCCGAGCTCGCCAAGAGCTTGAAGGGTCTGCTTGGCGATCTCGACGACTCGATGCCCCAGATTAAGGAGCTGCTCGAGCCGTCCTCCATCAAGCAGATCCAGGGTCTGCTGTCGAATGCCGCCGGCCTCCTGACCAAGCCGTTTGTGCAGAACACCACTGATATCATCTCGACGGCGTCTGAGCTCCTGCCGGCGCTGACGGGCATCCTTGGCTCGCTCTGAACCGAGCTATAGGTAATGTTTCCAGTGGTTGATTTTGTTTTTCGGTGTTATGAGTACGGTATTTACGAGTATCCTATGTACTGAAGTAATGTTTGCTTTTCCTTGTCTGGCGGGTGTATACACCTTGCCCTAATGTCATGCCTGATGGTATCGTACAGTGATAGTCATGATAATTGAATGATCAATGAGATGTTACTCTAATAGTCTCCCTTAATATGTATTCTGTAGTACTACCTGAGTAATCAGTCAAGAATTCAATTCTGGGTGATAATATTTGGCTACTCGAGAAGCTGTGTTTCGGACTGTTTCAGAATCCATCACAGAGTATGCCCGAAAGCCAGCCCAAAGCCAGCCCAAAAGCCAGCCGAGGTGGATGTGCTGCGGGGTAATCTCCGAAACCTTATCTATTGCCCCCTCTATCTGTGAAACTGGGGTATACATCTTTCTTTTCAAGGTCAAACTACACCTAATTACTTCACCATTGCTTAACGGACATGGCCCCCAGAACCACACGCGCCCTGGTGGCCCATGAACCCACCAACGGCCAACTCAACTGGAACCTAGAAGACATCAACCTCCGCGAGCTGCAACCCACCGAACTCCTCGTCCGCATCGTAGCAGCCGGCGTATGCCACACAGATATCGTCTTCGGAATGTGGCCGCCCGATCAGATCCCATATCCCAAGGTCTTAGGGCATGAAGGTCTTCCCCTCTTTAACCTCTTGGACCGACATGGGAAATGATGTTAACAGCTACAGGCTCAGGGATAGTCCTCGAAGCAGGATCCGACGTACGAAGCGCAAGCACCGGAGACGCAGTCCTACTCTCCTTCCAAAGCTGCAACGCATGCAAAAGCTGCAGAACCTCGCACCCGTCCTTCTGCGACGCATTCGGGGCGTTGAATTACGGCGGGGACGGGAGTTCCTACACCACAGCCGAAAATAAGGAGCTCCGCGGGGCATTCTTTGGACAGTCGTCGTTTTCGCAACTTGCTATTGTCAAGGAGAGTTCGGTTGTGAATGTTTCTGGGTCCGTTCGGGATGAGGAGGAGCTTAAGCTTTTTGCGCCGATGGGGTGTGGGTTCCAGACTGGGATGGGGACTGTGGATAATGTTGCGGATGCTGGGGTGGATGATGTAGTTGTTGTTCTGGGGCTGGGTGGGGTGGGGTTGTTGTCCATCGTGGTATGTCCGCTGTAAAGGTTACATTCTGATACTGATTCTTTTAGGCCGCTAAATTGAGAGGCTGCAAAGCCATCATCGGGATAGATCGACTGTCTGAAAGGCTTGAGCTGGCCAAAGAGCTCGGCGCAACGGGCGTTATCAATACACTCTCCAAGGACGTGGACATCTCCGACAAGCTCACGGAGTTGGCCGGCGAAGGCGCCTCTGTGACGATAGACACGACAGGGAGTCTGGATCTGATCCGGCAAGCTGTACAATGGACGACGAATCGAGGCCAGATCATCCTAGTCGGAGTGCCTGCTGCAGATGCTCTGCTTGACGTGCATCTCATCCAATTTATGCAGGTATGTGAATCTGATGTTATTACGGCCACTCTAACGCTTGAAGACTGGGAAAATCATCCGCGGCAGTATCGAAGGCGATGCGATCCCATCAAAGGTAATAAACTCTTCATTCTGATGCATAGCAGGCTGACTTGTCTAGTACATCCCCAAGATGATCAACTGGTACCGGGAGGGAAAGCTCCCCATTGAGAAACTGATCAAGCTGTATCCGGTATGCTAACAAACCCCTGTTTGACTGATAAAACTAATTTCTGTTCCTAGATGGATAAATTCCAAGAGGCACTCGCTGATATGAAGAGCGGTGCTACTGTAAAGCCAGTTCTTGTTTGGTAGCTTCATTATCTTGGGTTAAGCACCCACTGCAGGGAATGTGAAGTATGCAGTCATATAAACTCGGCATAATTAGTATGTAATACAGAAAGTATATGTCCCTTCTAACTCCAAGAAATGGCATAATACATCTCGCGGATACCGGTATTCTGAAATCATACACCTAGGACAGAAACAGGCCATTCCATCAATGATAACAAGGTTTCATCACCATATGTCTTGAACAGCGCATCCATTTTCAAGATCTCATTGTCAAACCCGCCCTTGAGGAACCACGTAGATTCAAAAAGCGACAGGATCAGATAGAAATGAGCCAAGATAACAAGCGAGAAACTTGGTGCAACGTCAGCACACCCAAGAGTATTAAGAAACTCCCCCGGCAGGGTCTGAGGCCACCCCATAACAGCTGCATCTTCCATATCAGCCTCGATTTCAGCTGGGGTACATTTCCCGTCTCTGTGGAACTGGATCACATAGAGGATTCTCATGTACATGGACTCCAGGACATCGAGCGCCTCCGTGGTGCCCGGGCGACTTCTCGGCGAGTCTTCATCTTCGTCTTCTTCTACTGGGACTGGCGTGGACTCTTCCACCATCTTTAAGCGCGATAGAGCCTCGTATGCGCCCTGGCAGAATCTCGCAATCCGGGGCGAGCACCCAGGTGGTGGCGCGGCAGTGAACATCTCGCTCGGATACATTTTCCAATCCTCGGTAGCCCACGGAAAGTGCAGCATCTCGCGAAACGGTCCCATGCGCAAGGCTGGCCAGCATTGCTTTACAACCGTGACCTGGCCCCGGATGAGATATATCCAGTCCAGGCGCAATTTCGGCTCCGGCACGGCAGAGAGGTGTGAGTCTCCCCAGATCCTGAATCGCAGAGATGCAAAAGCAAATCCCACGAGGAGTGACGATCCGGCGAAGACTTCATGGCAGTTGGAGTCGGACAGGGCAGACAATTGCGCGCTGAAGCCCTGGATCCCGTACTGGTGGTGTCCGACAACGACCTGCAAATGGTCATCGATGCCGGTTGAAGGGGTCTGGTGCCGCTGGGATGCGGCCTCGGCGGGGGTGTCTGGAATAAAGTGGCCATCCGGGTGAAAATAGTCCAGCCCGGACAAGGCCAGGAGAAGGTGCATGAGGAATTCATGGCGGGCAGCCAAGCTGGGGATGAGAGACTGCCAGAGCTTTTGTCGGGCCGGATTCAATGACATGTTGGTGCATGTGTGGACCATAAAATGCGACAAGAGTTGTAAATCGACCATGTTCATTGACCGAGACGCAGGAGCTGATCCAGAGGGCAGGTCAAACTCTAGAGCACAGGGAGACGTGTCCCTGAAGGATACAGGGCTTCGCTGTTTCCTGCTGGTTCTGCTGGTCGTTGCGCGTGCCTGTCGAGAAGTGGCCGGTGGATAGGCACAGGACTCACTTCTCAAAGCGCACGCACCGCATGTAGGCTTCACTTCATCACACTGCAGCAGTCAGAGCCAGTCTCAATTTGCTCCCTTTCCGGAGGTATAGGGAAAGGTACTTTGACTCTTCGCGACTTGCATGTATAGCATCCCTGGCGGGATTTTGTGTGGCTGACACGTAGCCTCTTCTGGGCGACCGTAGGGGACTGCTCCCTGACACTCATATTATAAGAGTGGAAGCTCAACTGCAGCGAGTGTTCTAGGAATGTAGAAAGCCCGCAGGACAAAGTTCGGAATCATCATCGACCGACGAAATCTGGATCCGATGACTAATCACGTATATTGAACTAAGCTAAATTTAGGCAGATCTAGATAGGCAGTAATACCGTCCAAAAAACTGCGAGCGCTTCCTTCCTGCCTGATCCAGAATCGAGGTGAGGGGAGGCGAATGGGAAGTGTTGAAAACTTCTGCTTGCCAGGAAGTTGAAACAATCCAACAGCACTTCCGTTGTTGTGTGTTATAAACGATTTTAGGTAGAGTCGAAACGGGCAGTACAGAAAACGGACTTTCTCCAATTTCTCTAATTCTAGTTCCCCGCACCACCGACATCTACTTTTTACAGCCACATGCAATTGGGGTAACTCTAGTGATTGATGGGTCGATCAAACTCGGGAAACTCGGGAAACTCGGGAATCTCCACGCCGAAGCTTAACATCGTGTCGTCCTTCCTTTCCGGCCCCGGCCACCATCCCCGAATTTCACAAACCCCCCATGGACTCCTACGAAAGACCGTATCGGTCTCATTCACATCCAGCCTGCCTTCCTTGCCGCCGGCGCAAGTCACGGTGTCATGCGGGGAATGCTACGGGGAAATGTCTTATGTGTCAGGCACAAGGGACCGATTGCATCTTTCCGCAGCTCAAACCATCTACCTCAAGGCAGGCCGGTCGCTCCGAACGCAAGGCACATGTGCGGTCCCGACGATTGCCATCTATACTCGCATATTCAATACCTCCGAGCTCGCTCGTCCATCCGGAAGAGCAAGGTTCAGCAAACCTTCCGCCTTCGCACATGGGAGGTATAGTGGCAGATGCTACCAACGACAGCTCTCATGTCGTGAGTCCTGCAATTGTGGGCGATAGAGACGCCATCGGGGCCTATCTGGCCCCGAACCCCGAAGAAAACGGTCGGCGGTTGATTCGAACCTCATCCGCCGTAAATTTCAGTGCTCGGCCTGTTCGGCCGGTTCTATTCAGCACTGTTCCCAGACGTCCGATTGGAAGAACAGTTCACAGCTCTCGCACGGCGGCGAAATGCGAAATTATTGAAAAAATGATCGAGCCATACGGGGAGGAGCTAGTGAACATGTGGGTGACACGCCGCCATTGCTGCTGATGGTCCAATGAGATAACCATGGTTTTGCTTTGACAGTTTCTTCTCGAAAATCAACGTCGCTTTCCCAGTGCTTGATGCGGCGTCATTTAAAAGCATATACTTTACTGATCAGCGAAAGGTATCCCCGGCCATCCTCGCCAATCTGTACGCGAGTGCGTTAATATATTGGGTGGACTCACCCACACTGCGGTCCAGTCGTTGTCCTGACATCAACTTTGTGTGGGCTCAGGCATACGATGTGCTCAGTTCAGAGCTGGCCAACTCTCCTGGGCTCTCAACGGTGATATCGGTCATTCTTAACATTTGTAGTCGGCCAAGTACGTCAATCCTCAGCAACGAGGGGATGATGGGACTGACCGTGGCATTCTGTAATTCCTTCGGTCTGAACCGAGATCCCACTGGCTGGGACATATCACCTCTAGAAAGGCAAATCCGTGTCAAGCTGTGGTGGATTGTGGTCCTCATTGATCGATGGTACCATGCTCTTTCCCTATTTTCCCGAGCTCCAGCATAAAAAGCCACAACCTCATCTGACAAATAAATCACAGGTGTAGTCTGGCCTATGGAACACCGATGTTGATCCACAGGGAGCAGCATGATGTACCAATCCCCACCGTCAACGACCTCTCTATTGGTAATCCAGACCCATGCCAGCGAGCTGCTAGTGCCGTGTTTGTGTCCCTGGTAACCTTAACTGAAGTCTTGGGTCATTACCTAGAATACGTCTATCGGGTCGGCAAGGCTCAACTGGGAGAGCAGGGGCAGAACAGCGACTCCCTAGAGCTCTTGCTTGGCCAATGGGAAGAAACACTGGATGTTGACGTCCGCCGAGCTGTCATGCGTGGAACCAATATGGACGCACCGGGTGCCGCCAATCTCCGACTATCATATCTAGCTGTGAAGCTGCTCCTTAAACGCATCCAGCTGGATCTCGATCCTGGTGTACGGCCGGAAAGCCGCCTAGATTCTCCGCGGTATTTGCGAGCCCAGCGAGCAGCCGAAGACGTTGTCCATTTCGTACAGGAGTTGAACGAGAATCACCTGCGCGGATTCTGGCTACCTGCCAACGCGTTCACCCTTACTTCGGCGACGTCCTTACTCTTACGAAGTGCCCTCGGCTCGAGGGGCTCGGCGGAGAACATTCCGCTGGAGCTGGCCAGACAAATGATAGCCACCTTAAGAGCGCATCGCCAGCATTTTGACTGGGATTTGGCTGACAACTGTTTGGGAAACTGTTCAGAACTAGTCGAAAAGGTTGGCGCCTCAGCCGCCTGTCTTAGTCCCAGCCTACCAAGCCTAGATGAGTGCATGAACATTGACGCATCTGTGCTAGATGATCTCTTTGACGATTTCAGTCCACTATTTGGGCCGATAGAGCATGAGACGTCTCATCCTCTTGAGCACCAGTTAGGGAATGCCGAAGAATAGACATCGAGGAGTAAAAAAAGGGTTGAGGATGGGAAAAGAGCCGACATATCTACAAGCTGTGTATTTTAGTGTGTACACCATAGCTTGTCAATTTGTTGGAGACTTGATTAACTAACACTGTCATGTACAAAAAGGATCGTGTGTTTTTATTTCACGATAATCAGGTAGAAACAACATAGAGAAGCAAAACGAACGGGAGTAGGAACGGGAGAAAAACATTTCGTCGGAAAGCACATTTCCATCAACGATATTCCGTCTCTCTCCAACCATCAAAGACAAAGCTTGTAAGAATGCCACAGCACCAGCCTCGGAATAAAGGGATCAATGGTGCTGTGAGGATGGCCATGCCTACCGCGCAGGCGCGCAGTGCTGTTTGGTAGTAGTCGAGGGGCGCTGGGCCTTGACCAGAAAGCGTTGGAGTCGGCCAGTCCGCGAGTATAGAGCGTTTCAAGGCGTTTGTAGGGTTACCGGATGCGCAGCTTCGGCGATTCCCGCGGTAAAAGTGCAGAAGGGCTACATAAACACGCATAAGCCTGCGAATGCATCCCGCTATATGATAACAGCATTCTCCTGCTCTGACCTGCGGTTGCTCGCATCTTCACTCGAATGAAGCATCACCCACCATCCTGATTGAGGGCAAAGTTGGTTACGCTGGTCGCAACCCGCCTCGAAGCGCTCCTGTCTCCGGTTAACTCTGCTACTGTTGTGGAGTCAAAATGGCTGTCCGCTCGCTATTTCCCCGTTGTTCTGCCCTGTGGCCCAGGCGCTCTTCTCCCAAGGCGTCCATCTGTTTGGTTGAAGACCAGGCCAAAGCGTACAGTCCACTCGACCAAATTGAAGGGAGAGTCACCGTCACTGTTGGCCGTGAAACACGGTTCGACGAAATTCACATCACATTTGAAGGTTTAATATCCCTTCCCCGAACTGGCTGCTGAGCCAAATAAATGCTAACTTGGACTGCGGAGGCACATCACAGGTCATTATCTGGCAGCCAGCTGCTCATGAACAAACAATCACCGCCACACAAACCTTCCTGACCCAGCAACAGCCGATTGAAAAACACGCTTACCCAACTCCCCGTGCTTTCGAACCAGGCCGCTCCTATGAGTTCCCATTCATATTTATTATTCCAGAGTTCCTCCTCCCCCAATCTTGCACGCACAAAAAGGACAATGCTGGCATCCAACGGTCACATACCAGAATACCCCCGACAGTCGTTTTGGATACAGTGGGAGATATGACATGTCGTATCTCTTATGCTATCCATGTAGATGTCTCGATGCCCTGGGGTAATGATCAAACCACGCACAGACTGGCTGTCGCGGTCAAAGAGTTGGCTGTTATCCCGGCTAGCGGTGAACGAGAGGGAAGCGACACAGTTAATAATCCTCGCGCATACTGTGCCCAAACACTGACGGAACCTAATGGTGGCTTCATGAGACGGGAGCTGGGACGATTGCTGGCGGTGGCCTCAGCATCCAAACCCATCCAATTTCTTCATCCTGAGTGCTATCCCAACCAGGTCCTAGGCAATGGTGCCGTGATGAACCTTCGATTTGAACCTGTCAGAGATGTGTCACCTCCTCAGCTGGAAAAGCTATACCGCAAACTTAGAATCTTGACTTTCTACAGTTCCACCCCCTGGGAGGACTATCCGTCTATGAAGGATGTACAGGGTCTTCCTCATAGGCGGCGAGGGGTTGTCGTCAAGACCATCCCGCTTTCAACCCTTCATATGGGCTCTGTCCATTGGACTAGGACTTTGTCGACCAACTGTTCGGCCTCTAATGAGTCAACGCAGCCTTCGGAGTTGAGCTTGCCTTTAGAATCATTGGCAGACCCATCTGGCCCATCTGGCCCGAGCTGGTGCTATACCACATCCGTTGTGGTTCCTGTATCTCTACCAACACGGAAAAACCTCATTCCAACGTTCCATTCCTGTTTTGTCTCTCGCATATACGAACTCGAGCTCCGGCTCTCCTACCATATGCCTAACGACCGGGTCGCTCCCCGGAATGTGACAGTTGAAGTGCCGGTTCAATTCACTCACGAGAAGGCAAGGGACCAGACTGTGTCTTACTTGTCGCATGTTTCCGAAGAAACACGGGACCAGACCTCTCATAGCCTCTCCCTGCCCAACCTGCAGTATGCTCCGCATGAGACTATATGCTCTACGCCAGACTCTACGTCAGACTCTTCTGGGCACGGTCACGTTCTTCCACCCCCGACATATCCTGATTGTTTGCGGATATAATAGCCAGTCGGCGGTCCACAACCTATATTATTCACGTATGGGCTGCCTATCCATTCATTGGCGATGTTAACTTAATGCTGGGTGAGCGAATGCAGCTCGTGTAATAGAGCGCTAGCGGCTTGCAGCGGCGAGCTTTGGATTAACTTATTCGCGGCAAGACAGGCACTATGACCCGCTCAAGCCCGGCCAATGGCTTCGAAACCACGAGGGGACTCGGCGGGTCCGAACTGGGCTGCAGGGTTATCAAGTTCAATAAGGAGGAGGCTGAGTACGACAAGGATCTCCCGGTGGTTGATAATATAGCCAAAGATCGTATGATTGGCCATTCGTGTGGTTTGTTGGACATATATCCAATACAGAGCCAAGTTTCTGCAGCCGGGCTAGGGAGAGTGTCTGGGCCATTGAGATACATTGTAGTAAAGGGTTGCTAGCATTGAAAGCCGGATCACTCGTTCAGCGCAGACGAAATTTCTTCGTCAATTTGATCAATTTTCTAGATAAAGCGGCCCATCCTATAACCATGCAGCTCAGCATCCACTCACACGATTCACTTAGTTGGGGATCCCGCGCTCAGTAAGGACGTATGCTAACGCCTCGTCGAGAATTTCGAGTCCTTCCTCGATTTCGGACGCAGTAACCGTGACCGGCGGTGCCAAACGAAACACGTCACCCATCCCAGGATAAGTAACGATGTTGCATGAGAGACCCTGAGCCAGCGCCCTCTCTGAAACCGCTTGGCCCAGTGCAGAACCGGAAGCCTTTGTTTTAGGATCCGAGATTATCTCTATACCTTGCAGCAATCCCCGACCACGAACATCCCCAATGCACCAATGTTTCTTCTGAGGAGCAAGTAGACCTCGGAGTAATTGGTCGCCACGTTCTGCGGCACGCTGACAGATGCCGTCTCGCTCCACAATCTCCAGAACCTTGTCCCCAACAGCCGCCACCAAAGGGTCATTGATATGAGTGGACAGCCATAGCAATCCGGCCTCGTTGGCGCGTTGTTCGATATCTGCGGTCGTGCTAACAGAGGACAGTGGCAGGCCGCAGCCAAGGGTCTTTGATAGACAGAGAATATCAGGGACAAATCCTTCATCATGCTCAAAGGCAAACATCTGCCCAGTACGTCCGACGCCTGTTTGGGCTTCGTCGAGAATCATCAGGATCCCCCGTTTCTTGCACTCAGCGCTCATTCTGTGTAGATAGCCCTTAGGCAACTCAAGTACACCTCCAGTAGACAAGATAGGTTCCATAACGAAGGCTGCAAGTGATCCAACAGTTTGTCTATCAATCAAAGACCACCCGTAATCCATCTCAGCCTCCCAGTCCTACGAGCCATCAGCACGTCGGAAAGGAGACCGATAGGCGTAGGGTGCAGGGAAGGCGAATTGGCCCGGCACAATGGGACCACCATATTTTCGACCAACAGAATAAGTGGCCGATACAACTCCCTGTGTTAAGCCATGGTAGCTGGCTGAAAAGGCAATGATCTCGAACTTTCCAGTATAGCACTTTGCTAGCTTGATGGCAGCTTCCACTGATTCACCACCCGTGTTGAGAAAGAAAGACTTTTCCAGGGTCCGTGGAAGCAGGCGTCGAAGGCGCTCCGCAAGGCGAATCACTGGAGGAGATATCATGGTACTTAGAAGATGATCTAGTTCTGCAGCGTATTTCTGGATAACTTCAACAATTTCCGGGTGGGAATGGCCGAGTAGCGAGCTCATCTGACGCGAGGTAAAGTCGAGGATCTGTCTGTCTTCATGGTCATAGAGCCTAGTACCCTGCGCCCTGACGATGATAGCCGGCGAAAATGGAACCCCGGTCTTCATAAGGCTGTTGCTCGCCCTGTCCCAGAAGTCATTGGGTTCGCCGGAGGACATCGTTATAGAGGCTTTGAATAACGACTTGCAATGATATAGGACACAACAGAAGGTAACAGATTGTTCAAGGTCAGACAGACGTTGATTCTGATGATTTAATGTTTCTGTGCCTACTCTCACGGGGACTTATGTTGATATATGCCGATTCGCTGGTACCCACGGCGAGGCCGTGGTTGCAAACCGCTACGAGCCAAACAGGGCAACAGAACAAGTGGTCCACTCCGTACAAGATTTAGACGAACAGCATCTGCGCTTATTTGGCAACGTCATTCTTATTAAGAAGCGGTGCCCTGGAATGTACGATCTTGGTGTGTAGAATTCTGCTCTCCGTTCTGCAAGAGAAAATGATTAACACTTTTAGCTCTTATTGTGAGTAGGCATGTCCAATTGGGGCGGCTACTGCCTCAGGCAGCTTCATGGAGCAATGTTAGGTTACTGCAACAGTGGTCAATGATGAATTTAGCGCATGGACGGTTTCCTGCTCTCTTAGACATACCTCGTCGCAATTTGTAGCAAGGACTCTTGCCCTTCCCTTTTGCCAACGCCGTAAATCGTGATATATAACCAGCCCGGCCTGCCCATTACTACCGAACTGGACTCGCAGGCAACTCTTGAGGTACCGTGTCTGGAGGCAGCTCATGAGCCATTGTACTGGGATTACCCTGTAGCTCCGACCTGATAGCATTATTGTCAAGCTCGAGTCCATATACGCCTTTCTTGTCCTGGGCTGGCGTGCTAGGATTAGGACTCATGAGAGGAGCGGTTCCCGGGGCCTGCTGCTGCCGCCGCCGTCGACGCATGAGGAACCAAACCAGTGCAATGATGAGAGCCAGTCCAGCACACCCGCCGACGACGCCACCGGCAATGGCGCCCGTGTTGGTAGATGATGATTGGGTAGTCGAGGTCTCATTGCCTAGCCAGAAATATCGCAGTCAGCTCTTCATTCTCGCGGCCGAAAACAGGGCGTGCATTTCTTTGCGTTGAATCTCACCTCTCGCGACAGGAGTCAACGCTTCACCATTTTCCCTTTCCGGAAGTTCGTCAGCGCAGCCAATGCCTGTAGTACTCCCATTGGACTCCAGGCCCCCAGCGACGAAGCCCCTCGACGTGTTCAAACAGCAGAAGAAATCGCCCTGGTCGCCCTCGGACTTGTACAGGTCCCAGGTCTTATTGTTTGCACAGTGCGGGTCATCCGAGAGAGGTTGTATGCACCCTGACTTGTGCGGACAACAGGTGTTGTGCTCTCCGCAGTACGTGTCCTTGGGGCAGCAGTTATACCAGTCCTTCCAGGGATTCCCACACGTCTCCTGATTCGCAGCGCACGTGCCGTTCTTGCGGAGGGCAAAGCCATGCGGCGGGTCGTAGAGTGGGTCACCCATGTTTTTGAGGGTATCCAAGAAGTTTACGAGTGACACTTGTCGTGTTGTGCAGAAGAAAGCTGAGGGAAAAGTGGGCAGACAGGTACTGAAGACACAGCTAGCAGCCGAAGGGGGCTGAGCCTTGCTTAATAGATTGCTTGACAGATCGCCTGGAACAAATACGACCCTTAGCCGCATCGACGACTCAAATCATCGCATCAAGATGAGTGTGGAGAGCCAACACCGACGGCCAAGATTGAGTGGCTGTCAACAGGGTCTGCGCCCCAGAGCCTCCCGTGCACGGGGCTTCACCCGATAACAGTCCACGCGCCCCATGAAAAGTCTGTAAAACACAAGGCCCCTGACCCTTCTGCTGGCTGGACAGTGTGTTAAATAAAGCCTGATTTAGCCGCTGCTGTGAATGAAGCGGTATCTGTCTTTAAAATCAATTTTCTGAGTTGTTATTATCTTAAGTTACTATCTATATCCCATACTTACTGCTAGGTTACTATAATAAGGAAGGAATCATGAGCAGTCAGTCAAAGATAATATGAATATCCGCTCATGGGGAAGCTATTATCTTGCCTATCCAGATCACGTAACTTCAGGACAATACTAGTTACCTACTAGAACAAGACAGGTAACCGCCTTGGCAGCTGTAGTTTTTTGATCAGTAGGTCTATCAGGTACGCAAAGTTTCAATCTTTAAGCAAGACTAATTGTCTAGGTCTAATTTCTTATTTCCCCGGGGCTTCCGCCAACGGCAGTCCCTCAGACCCCAGTGCCCCTTCGGTCTGGCATCTCCGCTTCACCACCTTGCCAGGGTAAACAATCAGCAGCAGCATTGCCTGCACAGCCATCAAAACAGCGTCAAAGATGTAAAGGAGATACTCCCTCCTCATGATCCAGCCATTATTTCCTTGGACAAACTCCACCACGCGAAAGACTGAGCGGATCAAAATCAGAACGCACGCCGCATAAAGATACCATAGCATCGCCTCCCATGACGTTGAGTTGAAGAATCGAAAGATCGGAGATACCGGCTGCGCGTAGTCATAATGTTTGGCGATCGACCTTGCTCGATAGTGGAAGATCGCGCTGACGATAATGAAGAACCCGAAAAAAAGCAGCTGTACTGCAAGCCCGGCAATGACAATGTTTTCGCCGGCCTCCATGGCGGACAGTGACCCAGCAGCCATATACCCCCCGCCTGGTTTCTGTTAGCTCTTTTGATGGGTGTATATGGACAGGCAACGTACCTCCACATTGTAGCAGGAACGATATCACATCGCCAATAACAAATGTCTTGGTGACATACTTTACAGGCATCAAAAGCGCCTGCTCAGCCTCCAGGTTTACGACCAACCGGCCCAAAGTCATGTATATGGACGCTGCGAAAAGAGGCGGCGCGACGAGGATGAGCATGGTTTGAACAATGTAGGGACCGAGGGCGAGTGGGTCGGAATGGGAGAATATTCTCGCTGCATAGCCGGCTGCTTCAACTGTTGGATGCAACTCCAGTTAGCCTTATCATAATAATATAAAGAAAAGAGGAACGGGTTGTGCGGGTAACATACAGAGAAGTCCAATCACGAACGGAATGAAGAATAGGGCGCGATGGCGGAGGAGAGAAAACCCATGGCAGATAGACAAGCAGACGAACACTGCGACAAATATTGCAGCCGCGGGGATTGATGGAGAGTAGTGGTATAGAACGAAAGTCACCTGTTGCGGTGTGTCGGCAGCCATTGTTGACTAAAGGGAGCAGTGAAGCCGTGTCTGAGATTGCATTTCCAGTTGAACAGCAGAATTGTGCCTGCCTTTTATTTCGCAAGATTAAAGTAAAAATAAAAACGAGCCATGGGTCCCAGATGCAGTTTCTGAGGAGAGATCCGGATCGACGAATATGAATGGAGTGGCTCGTATATTCGTATATTCGTATCCCATTCAACGGTTTGGGTGGTCGTATATTCGTATATTCGTACTTGGCACAATCTTTTGCCTCTTTGCCCCTTGGAGCTTGACCCACTGGGTATGAGTGAAGAGACTTCTGCCAGCTCGTGCAGGCCCCACATCTACAGTTTAGGTGAGGCTCATTTTGTCTTCCAGGCTACACAAAGCTCCAGGCCGTCGGAATCTGGCCGAGGGCTAAGTGAGGGTCCGCGAATATATGGAAGTACGAGGGTACGAGATGGCCAGACCCAAACATAGCTTTTTAACCTTATTGTTAGCCTTACCTGTACTTCCCATGTGTATATAATTCTCTTCGCAGCTACAATCTAGATTTTATGTAGTGTTTAATTTCTGTATTTCTGTGACTGTGATCAACCGCTATTCTCCTTGCCACTCACCCAGGCAGTCAAAATGAGTTCTGCAGATGATGCTGCCACGTTCTCCTTCTACCACTATGATCCGAGCTTGGCAGGTGCCGTGATATTCGCTGTTCTATTCGCAATCACGACAATATGGCATACCATACAGCTGTGTCGGACACGAACGTGGTTCTTCATCCCATTTACCATCGGCGGTGCTTGTAAGTTATTATCTGGCACTTAATATCTGAACAATGGGATTAACTTCCACAGTTGAAGTTATAGGCTATATTGGTCGCGGCTTGTCGAGCCGAGAATCTCCCAACTGGACTTTGGGTCCGTATCTCATCCAGACATTATTCCTCCTTCTTGCGCCGGCCCTTCTGGCGGCTTCGATTTACATGTTGCTCGGGCGCATAATACTGGTGCTACAGGCCGAATCCCATGCGATCTTGGGTAAAAAGTGGCTCACCAAGATTTTTGTTACCGGTGACATCCTCTCATTCCTCCTCCAGGGCGCTGGTGAGTTTGTCTCTATCGTAACTACTACATCTACTGACGTCCATCCTAAGGAGGCGGAATCCAGGCCAGCGGAACCCTATCTGGCATGAAAAACGGCGAGCGCATCATCGTCGGGGGTCTTTTCGTGCAAATATTCTTCTTTGGCTTTTTCATGGTCACAGCCGGCGCATTTGATCGAAAGCTCAAGAAGTATCCAATCCCTCGCTGCCGTGACCCAGCTATTCCGTGGAGGAAACAGCTCAACATTCTCTATCTGACCAGCCTGCTGATTCTGATTCGATCTGTATTCAGACTGGTGGAGTACCTTCAGGGGAATAATGGATATCTTTTGCACCATGAGATCTACCTATATGTCCTGGATGCGGTTTTGATTTTTGCTGCTATGGCTATTTTCAACTTCTATTATCCCAGTGACTTTGCTCATCCGGTTAACGCAGGAATGGACTACGAACTGCACGGGGCGACTGATAAATATGTTGTGTGACCGCTGTTGACTAGTGCAGCTGTGTTTCGTCATTTGTTGTTTTAATATTGCTTGCTCTGCATGTTCATACCTTATCTGTTGGTTCGGCGGAAAGCTTTGCATATATAGAGGGTTCGTGATAGATTATTTATTGAATTTTTATCCTGCTTGGGATCTTATTTTAGAAGCGTGGATATTGCACCAACAGAATGAACAAGACCAACAATAAAATAATATTGATCTAGCCACTAGATTTAGAAAAGTCTTCAGCTGCAGCCCGGCTAGAGTGCTTGGAAGGCTATCGCATAAGCCAATAACAAGGTTCTTCGAAACGGTTTCCAGAGAATTCTAGTCCTTTAATAGCATTCTTAATTTGGGGCATTGAAACTGATCTGCCTTGTGCTCGTAAACTCGTATTTTCCGAATAAGCTTGTTGAAGCAGCAGTGGGGCAATGGAACCGCCCTAAGTACAACCGCCCGTCCGTCGTAAATTCGGACCGAAGATAGGTAAAGGAGAACGATTAACCTGCCAAAACTATGGTATAAGTAGCAGTGCAGCGGCCTTACCGATGAGTCGCAATCGCCATCCAATCTATAATCACCATGAAGTGTGGTATGCTGGCCCTGCTTGGGTTACTCGTCGCCCCCGTGCAATGCTCAATCTATCAGCCTACCACCTATACTACCGGCTCGCAGAACCAAGCTCCATACAGGAACGGCACTCTGCTCAAATTATCGTCCGACGGTGTTACACCCGCCGTAGTGGTTCTAGATTATGGTTGGAATGTCGAAGGATATGCCACATTCCAGGTGTCTCAGCGTTCTGGAGATACTTCCAGCTTTGAAATGACCTACAGCGAAAGTCGTGCTTTGCTGGAGTCCGAGATGGTGAGCAATGTATCCTATTGGAAGGGAATAGTTAAGCTGATCTCTTCACTATAGGGCGACGGGCCTCTCCCCCTGGCAGGGGCTATGGACACATACCGGGTGAATCGATACAACATCACGGAGCAGCAGACCTACACCAACCGATTGATCCAAGGGGGATTGCGATACCAAAAGTTGAACCTGTCCAGCGCCGGAGAGATTCATCTGTCAATGGTTGGATTCAAGCCAACCGTTTCTAGTACCCCTCTTGCTGAGCTTCCTGGTTCATTCAACTGTTCTGACGAGGTGCTAACTCGCATCTGGCACGCTGGCGCTCGAACGTCGCAGCTCAATGAACTTCCTGCCAACAGCGTGCCGGACTTTTGGATTCTCACAGACGAGGGTGCCTTCGTGGACAGTCTCGCCCCTCAACCTTACTACTCAGATTGGTCTCCGTCGCTCATGACTTATGATCTCGAGTTCTTGGTGAAGCCTATCTCCAAGGGGTTTGGCTTTACCGTTCTGAGCGACACTCTATCCAGTGGCGTTTACATCTTCGTCAATATTGCCAACGCATCGATCTCCGCCCACGCCGGGTCGTCTGAATTAGGCGCTACTCTTGCATCAGGAACGCTTTCAGATTCGATTACCTTGAATGATTGGCACCGTGTTCAAAGCAACGTCAATCTTTCCCAAGTGTCTGTCAATATCAATAACATTACCGTCTTGGACTTCTCCCAAAACACATCATTCTATGGCTCGTTCGGCGTGGGCGCTTCCCTGGGCCATTCAGCCCTCTTCACCAACCTCTCTCTATCAGTTGATGGAGAGGAGAAATACTTCTCGACACTCAAGGACAAGGCCGCACTGCAGGACTTTCTCCTCGGTACGAATCCCCTGCCCGTGAGTGTCGACGGCTCTCGTCGCGATCGTATTGCCTATGCCGGCGATTTGGATATGGCTAGCAGGACGGCATTTGCCAGTACTAACGGGCTTGAATATATCAATGGCTCTATTGAGCTTTTAGGCTCTTACCAGCTGAGCCCTGGATTCTTCGTTCCAAATGCGAAGATCCAACAGCCTCCTCGAACCGCTGAGATTCAAGCAAACATCACAGGCCTCATCGGGTATTCATTCAGTCTTGTCAACGCAATGGCGAATTACTACGAGCAGACGGGAGATCATGTTTTCTTGAACCGCTGGGCCCCGAAAGCAGTGCGCTTGTTGGATTGGGCACACTCGCAAACCTTGTCAAACGGCCTGCTCAATATCTCTGATTCCTCCATGGGTGGTGACTGGAACTATTACGATCCCGCTCTGTCTGGGGTTGTTTCCAAATTCAACATTGTATACGCGTATTCGCTGAAGCAATGGCTCCCGTACCTGTCCCAAGCCGGTCTCAACGACACTTTATACCAGGGCCGGCTTCAGTCTTTGCAGAAAGCAATCAACGCCCACCTCTGGAGCGACAAGCTGCAGGCATACTACCAGTCCGAAACACACCAAGACTTCTTCTCGCAGGAAGCAAACGCCCTCGCCATTCTAAGCGACACGTCCAGCCTCAGTAACCGCACTTCCATACTATTATCAACAATGGCACGGGAATTATACGTCCCCAACGGCGCCCTCCCCTTCTCCAACGCCAGCGCAGCAAGCGGCTGGGCCCAGAAAATCAGCCCCTACTCCTCCGGATACCACCTGAAAGCCGCCTTCCACGCAAACGACAGCGTCGCTGCCAAAAGACTCCTCCATACTCTCTGGGGTCCAATCAGTGACCCGAACCACGCCAACTACACCGGCTGCATGTGGGAGGTTATGCACGTTGACGGCACCCCCGGACTCGACTCCCCAACGTCCCTGTGCCATGCCTGGGGTGCGGCCCCTACAGCCGATCTAAGCCGATATGTACTTGGTATTCAGCCCAAGACGCCAGGATTCAAGGAGTGGAAGGTTGTTCCCCAGACGATGGATCTTGCCTGGGCGCGAGGGGACTATCCGACTCCGAGTGGGAAAATTAGTGTTGATTGGTCTTTTGATTGGAGGGGGCGATATCGGATTGTTGTTGATGCTCCTGCTGGTACCAAAGGGACCGTTTATCTCCCTAGCCCTCTGCGTGGAAGCTTTGAGGTACAGGGTGGAAAGACGTTTCGGTACCAAGAATAATATTGGCTAGGGCAACTAAAATATAGCATGAACATAGCGAGTACTTTATATAATCCCCAAATGTGAGAATATAAGTAGAGATCTCGTATTGCATAAATTAGATATTACAATCGACTATGTCTCCCCTCAGCCATAACAACCGACGCCTGCGTCGTATCCAGCCTACAGAAACAAGAAGCTTTGATAGGAACATCCGCCACGGCAACAGCAAGTCTCAGCGCCGGCTCAATCGTCGCCGCCTCCTCCGCCCGTCCCATCCTCGTCAAACACTCATGATACCCCTGCAGCGACCAGACATTCTTCGGATGCCGACGCGGGCGGATAAGCGTGTCGTCAACGCCCAGGTCCGCGCGGTATTGCCTCGCCGCCTCATCAAGGTGTCCCTGCTCGAGGAGCAGAGCAGCATACGCGTGTCTGCTGGGCTGCATCCACGCCCACGGTTCGCTGTAGGGGAGTTTATCGTCCAGTTCCGTAGATTTGCGGAAGTGCGACCATGCCGTCTCGTAGTCTTTCTTGCGGTAGGCGAGTTCACCGTCTAGCATTGAGGATGCTACGGCTAAAGTCTCCGAGGCTTTGCTGTTATATGCCCGTCGGGAGGGCGGGACTCGGGAGCGGGCTTGATGGAATAGGGCGCGTTGTTCCTCTGCTTTGCCGACTTGGCCGGTTGCTGCGTAGGCGAGGCCTTTGGCGTAATGTGTTGTTGCTGTTGTCACGCAGTAGAGGCGTTGGTCTGTTGGGAGGTCTGTCTGGATGAGGTCCTGCCACATCCCGAAGCGGATCATGATGTGTAGACGCGTTGCGAGGTAGTTCTCGAGCCAGTCTGCCATGGGTGGCGAGACCATACGGAGAACGCCTTCTGGTACGGAATCCTCCATGCGCGCGACTGCATCCAGTGCTGTCTTGCGTTGGCCTGCGAACATGGCGGCATATATTAAGGAGTGGTAGTTGTGGAGGCGGTAGAATGTGTAGAGGTTGTAAGGCCCTACCTGGGCGAGGTATTTGTCGTCTGCTAACGTGGCGTTATAGTTGGATGTGATGGATCGTCTCCAGTCGCCAACGAGGATGTCAAGATGCGTGGGCATGTGGTGGATGTGTCCCGCGTCTGGAACCAGATCGCGCAGGCGATCGGCGACGTTGATGCCCAACTCGGGCGTAGGTGACATCTCAATAAAATGGATATAGAGATGCAGCAGCCCTGGATGCTGATAGGCCTTGTCCAGAGTAAGCGCATACTCGAGGACATCCCTAACCAGCAGCGTCGGCGCATTGGGCGCAGGCTCTCCCGTGAATAAATTCCAGAGCGCCCAAGGGGTGACGTTCATCAATGCATCAGCATAAAGGACAGCGATTTCAATATCCTCGCCGAATTCCCTATAAACACGATCTATCGCAGCAGCATAATTCCGATTCAGCACATTTGGCTCGGTCGGAGGACTCCCCCGGTCGAAGCGACACTGTATGGCCTCGATCACGGCGTGTTCCCATGCAGCAACGGGTCGCGGACTGGTATTTGCCAGCTCCTTTGCTTTCCTGGACGCATCGTAGCCCCGCCGCGTGGAGATGCGTAGATCACGCTTATCGAAGCGGTCCCAGGGTTTATTGTAGTTGGGACCAACTGCGTAGGCCAGACCCCAGTAGGCCATGGCACACAAGGGGTCATGAGCGATGGCCTGGTCGAAGCATTTCGCCGCCTCCTCGTGGTTGAAAGCGTAGACCCAGATGAGCCCCCGGTTGAACCAGGTCTGCGCGTCGGCACTGTCTGTGCTGACGGGGCGCTCGAAGTGGCCGAGATTGTAGTATTTGTGGGCAGCAGCGATGCGCATTGTGGTGGTTGCAGGGATGAAGAGAGACCGACGAACAGACAAACTCACACTAGCCGTCATCGTCATGTGGCAACTCCGCCCGCCAATCAAACTCTATTATTCACTTAGTGCGCCGGAGCTTTAAAGGGCAGTACATTAACTATAATCATTGACTAAATTCACATTATCATATTCACATAACCATCACCGCTCACGGTGGTCCTCATCAGGGATATCCTCCAGCCCAAGCCCCCTGTTGCTCAACGCTGTTCCAGTCCCGTCAGCCCTCGTTCCCGCGGAACTGACACTCGCCTCCGATATTCCAGACACATAACGCGGCCGTTGCGCGACACTGTCCGACTCGTCGCCTAGAGCTGGGTCATACGATGGCGCACTCGATAAACTCGACACGTTCCGCTGATGTCCCGGCCGTGAGGTCTCGTCGCCGTCTTTCTCTTGCGGTATCTCGGGCGAGACGGGAGAAGTAAACCCGACAGGAAGCGTTCCAGATGGGGAGCCCGGATTCGCCGTATCCTGGTTGAAAGGAGTAGGCAGCTCAACAGCAAACGCCGCCTGCTGTCCTGGAGTGGAGCTATGGCCTGTTCTCGTTAATATATACACCTATCTTACAGGGAGGGTACGTACCATGCATTTCATAAACAGGGTCACCCGCCACCTCCTGCGTAGCCTGCGACATAGGAGGAGGAGGAGCAATAATCGACGACTCAGGGCCCACCGCTGTGCTCCCACTTGTAATGTCTCCCGAGACAATAGTCGAGTTCTCGGGGTCTTTAGATGTTGGACCGAATGCACCGGCATTCACCCAGTTCGCGACGCGGGAGGTAATGCCAGAGACCTCGCTCTGGCGGCGCGCGCCTCTCTTTCTGCGGCGTCTGATGAAGAAGAAGGCGAGCGCACCTGCGATTAAAAGCACTCCGAGGACGACGCCAATGATGGCCCCTGCCCAGCCTGGGAAGCCGCCTCCACCGCCGCTGGGGACAGTCGTAGTCGTTGGGGTGGCGCTGCTCTCGTAGGGGTAATATGTTTCGATCGTCTTGCTGTACGTTGTCCCGAAGACGTCGGCCAGAGAGCTGTTAGTCCAGCTCTCAGGCTCAGTCTTGGTTGCGCCGCCATCCGCACTATCACCGTTAGACTACATCTACATCTCGTAGGTAAGTGGGTGGTGACTTACTTCCCCCCAATCCTTCCAGAAACCAAATCAGGCACTTTATACTCCTCCCAGTCCTCCGGATTATACGTATCCTGGAAGCGCCCCGTATTCAAATTGTACACGCGGATGGGGTCAAGGCAGGACTTCGGCCCGACCTTGCTCCCACCCAGAACAAGCATCTTGTCAGGATACGGTTTAACGCACTTATGCTGCTTGCGGCCGGTCTGGACGTCGCCTTCATAGAGTTTTATCCATTCAAAGGAGGGCAGCGAGAGCACGTAAACGTCGTCCATGGTGTCATTTTTCGGCGATACGCCCTCATATCCGCCGTAGATGTATATGTTGTGCGAGGAGGAGTCCGAGGCACTGGCGTACACCGAGCAGAATGATTGAAGCTGGGGTGGATGGTCGCCCGCTGTCTCTTGGACGTACCTGAATGATGGTCAGCATGGTCAAGGAAAACTAGTTAGGTTATGGCTTACCATTCATCCCCAGCGATATCGTATATGGCGACAGTCTGCATGAGTTCCGGATCATTACTCATGCTCTCCTCAATCTGGCTATCTGATAATCCGCTCGAATAGAGTTGCTCAGGGTAAGTGACGCCGCCGATGAGGACGACGATGCCCCGGTCCGCAACGGGAAGCCAGACAGCCTCAGCGTTGGCGCGCGGCTTGACATAGCTGGGAATGGACACATTAGAGAACACTGGCCGCTGCATCTCAGACATGTCCACTGTGATCATCTGCTGAGAGAGGTTTCGCAGGTTCCCATCGGTCAGCGTTTCGGCCCAGCCCGGCGCGTGGACGCCGCTCATGTAAAAGCCCAGATTCTCGCTGGGCGAGGTGACGCCCGCGCCGTTGGTGATGTGCCATGTCACATCGTCGGTCAGCTTGACGGATTGGATCGAGGGCGAGAAGTCGTCGGTCTGTATCCCGTATTCGTACTCCCGGTACGCAATGGCTTGGTCTGGTGATGGGTAGCTGGCGCTGTCGGACAGGGGAAGATAGCCGCTGTGATGTCCACTGTTAGCTTTATAATCATTGAACATGACGGGAGCAGCTTACCCGTAAAGAATGAATATGCCGTCGTTGGCAAACATGACTCCGTCGTTGTAATTCGGGGCCAGGTTGCTGCCGGTCATGCCACCGGTCTTATCGAGCTCGCCGAACAGCGCGGTGAGGTTGTCGGTTTTGGTGTTGAATGTCGAGGATAGATTCAGGTAGTGAGTTATGGATCCCGGATTCTCGTCCTGATCTACTGTCCTGTCGCCGTTTCCAAAAGTTCTACGCGACCGTGGTCAGTCCCAGTATGGCCAGTCGGGGTAGGGCTGCCACTTACATGTCCTCCCACAGGGTGCCGCCATCCAGGTAGACGGTGTCGCGGAGTATGTTTGCTGCGAACGTTATCACCTGCTTAAACGTCTCTAGGGCATGCGACTGACCTCTGAGCTGTCCCCAGCTGCATATAGCAGTACCGTTCTGAACCAACTGCGCCTGCGACAACCCTACAAAGGCCGCCAGCACCGCCAGTCTCCATCTATCGGGCAGCATCGTTATGGCCGGTCGTCGCTATAGCGAGAGTCGCTTCATCGCAGCACAAGATCTGGTGTTTCTTTTCGCAGAGTGTGGCGCGCGGTGCCCCTTTTCGATTGCTGCGCTTTCTCTCTCTTTGTTGGATCGCGACCCCGATGTAGAGCCTTGTGCAACCAAGGACACGAGGGAAGACAAAGAAAGCGAAGTCTCAAGCGAGAGCGAGTGGCTGACAGCCTCCTTTGGGCAGAAGGTCAAAAATAAAGTAAGACACGGCCACTGGGGGGCTCTGTCCAGTCTTGTTCTTTCAGGTCAGAGCAGCCGTGACAAATGCAGCTGGCTCATGGCAATCGTTTAGACTTTTTCACTTTTTCCCTCCAATATCGATCGGGCGCCTGAGCGGCTTACATTTATTGCGCCTTTATCGTTGAACCAACGCAGAGGGCACGCCCCGCCCTCGGCCACCATCGAAGGTGGGGGAGTCGGGGCTGATACGAAGACGGCTGGCCAGGCTTGACCCTTACAGCCACTCACAGCAAGGCGGAGGAATTCCTCGAATGCATTGCTCTGGAACAGAGCTGGGCTGCGAGGTTCGTCGCATGGACTAGCCCGCTAGAGGCGCGGGGCTAGGCCTGGCTGCAGCTGTAGCGGCTGGGCGCAGCAAACAACGATGAAGACAGCAGCTGCCATTCTCTGTAAACAAAGAACTGGGCGGCGACTAGAGGTTCGATTTTCAGGAACAGGCACAGCCCGGACCAGAATAACCTGTCTGCAGTTTTTCCTGACAGATTTCGGCCGGGTTGTGATGGGGACAGTGAAGCCGGAGAAGCCCTAAGCGACCCCTCATGGATACGGACGAACGGTGAAGGACACCGACATCCCTGCCGTGCTGATCCCAGCCTAGAGGGCTCTAAGGCCTGTCATCACGGCATGCATCGCTGTATTAACCCATTCGGGCTCTCAGCCTCTTCAGCTCGTCAGCAGACTGGCCATTGCGAGCTCGCATTCCGCTACCTTGCAGGCTCGTTGCGTCGTCCACGTCGTCGTCGTTGCTGCCCTGGTGTCATCGTGTCTGACTACCCCACTCGAAGAGGCTCTGGCTCGTATTTTCCTCTATTCTGGAATATAAATCACTTTGCCCGGTCCACTCCCCCCCGGACAAAGGATGGCTGGGTCTTGTTTATTTTCTTTGTCCTCCCATTGCCACTGCGACCCTGCAGCGCCCCATCCCCGTTGCTGTTAGTGGTGATTGAGACTGTGACTTGGAGTGTCAATATCCCTGCACCGGTCTGCAATTCTTCACCCCGTCTCTCTCACTCTCAGCTGAGCTTCTCCAACTCGCTTCTGGAGCGCTTCTGCATGACTGCTTGACGATTGAAGCTGCTGCGACCATAGCCATGCGCCCCTCCCACCTCCTAACGCTGCTGCTCCTGGCAGCGCCCTCGTTTTCGTCGACTGCGTGGGCGCATATCTTCGAGCGACAAGAACAGACATATACCGATTCTGGCATTGGAATTGGGGTTGGTGCTGGAGTGACAATTACCATTACAGACACGAACACTGAGACAGTTACCATCACCGAAGGCGAGACCTGCGCAACCACCAACCCCCCGACTCAGACGATTACCGTAACTGACGGCGACTCTGGCCTGGGAGTTGGAGTCGGTGCCGGTGTGACAATCACCGAGGGTGTTACTGTCACCGCGACAGTGACTCTCGGTCTGGGTCTTGGTGGTGACCACGACCACGACCACTGGCCAACCTGGCCTTGGCCCTGGCCAACCGATGCGTCCACGGTGACTGTGACTGTGACTCCTGAGCCTACTACTATCACGATCACTCCGGACCCGACGACCGTTACCGTCCCTGGTGAGGAGACGACCGTTACGGTTCCTGGAGAAGAGACAACGGTCACAGTGCCTGGAGAAGCGACAACAGTTACTGTCCCCGGGGAGGAGACAACAGTTACTGTTCCTGGCGAGGAGACAACCATTACCGTCCCTGGAACAACCGTTACTGTCCCTGGCGAAGAGACAACTGTTACTGTCCCCGGAGAAGTGACAACTGTTACAGTTCCTGGAGAAGGGACAACTGTTACAGTTCCTGGAGAAGGGACAACGGTCACAGTGCCTGGAGAAGAGACAACTGTTACTGTTCCTGGCGAGGAGACAACAATTACTGTCCCTGGGGAGGAGACGACGGTCACAATTCCTGGAACGGTCACAACGCTGCCTGGAGAGACCACAACCATCTCTGGATCGGTCACTACTCTTCCTCCAGTTACCACAACGCTCCCACCGGTTACTACAACCATTCCAGGGTCGGTAACTACAATCCCAGGGTCAGTGACAACCCTACCTGGCGTCACAACTACAATATCAGGATCGGTCACTACCATTCCTGGCTCAGTGACAACTATTCCTGGTTCTATCACCACGATACCTGGGTCCGTCACCACCGTCCCTGGTGAGACTGTTACTCGAACCACTACGGTGACTGGCCCGACTGGCGTTGAAACTGTGGTAGTAACTGAAGTCATCACCACTACGGTCATTGGCACCGAGACTGGTACGTCATGAACACTACTTCTCTGATTATTCCAACTAACAGGTCAGGCCCTGGTACGACCGTCACGATCACTCTAACTGACAACGAACCTGGCACTACTGGAACCGTCACCGGTACGTCTTATCCACTTTGTTGATTTCCTTATACTGACCTGTCATAGAACCGGGAACAACAGTCACAGTTACCACCTGTTCGCCCCTAGTTTCCAACCCAACATACACTCCACCTGCACCGCTCCCCCGTGACTACACCTGGGGCTGTCCACCAGGATATCTGTGCAGGCCTCGTCGTCTTGACGTCGCTGGCCAGTGTAACTTCGAACCAGGGCTACCGGCAGAAGGCTACGTCTGCCGGCCCGAGGAGTGCATCCCAGCCCCGCCGTACATCGAAGACCAATACTGGGGCGAGCCAGTAGACTCCGACGAAGTTGGGACCTGGAACGTCACCCAGGGCTACTTCAACCTGAACCCCGAACAGTTCGGCCTGAACTACTCCATCTTCCGATTCCCCGACGGCCACGGCGGATATACTGCGCGCCAGAAGAGGACCTCCGTCCCCATCTCCAGCGGTGGCATTTTGTCACGGCTGCTACGACGCCAGCAGGATGTAATTACCGAATCAGACTTCCCCGATGTCTGCTACGACGAATGTAACAATGCTGCATACGAGGCCGAGAAAACTGGAAAAGACCCGAGTCTTTGCGACGCTGAGTCGGCGTTCACGAACCTTTTAGGGCAGTGCTCTGGCTGTATCGAGAAATGGAGTGATGACGACGAGGGCTCCGACAGCGATGACGATTCCAATTTCATTCCTCCCGAATTTTCGCAGTTCCTTAACTACTGCGCGGAGCAAGGCGATGACTCGGATCCTACCAGTGAGCCCATCACCACGCCGGGCCCGACATCGACCTCCTCGGATTCTGAGAGTGAGACTACGCAGACTTCATCGTCGACAACAGACACTGACACCACAGCAACAGACACCACGACTGAGCCACCAAGTAGTACGTCCAGCAGCCCCAGCTCGACAGATACTGATTCCGCGTCTACGTCTGCGTCTGCAACTGCGACTTCTGATTCAACCTCGTCTGCTTCATCTTCTGATTCTGATTCGTCTTCTACTTCTACTTCTCCTTCTGATTCTGCGTCTACTTCTGCGTCTACTTCGTCTGACTCTGATTCTGGCTCCGGTTCTGACTCTACATCCGCTACACCCACAGGCACAGATACAGATACCACGCCGACCGACTCGGCCTCCAACGCGCCGCCGCAGACCGCTGGTCCTAGCTCGTCAACTCCTGTCATACCAGGCGGGTCTCCCACCGGCTCTGCCCCGAGTGACACCCCGTCGCCGCCGATCTTCACCGGTGCTGCGTCCTCGCACGTCGTGCCGATGTACTGGGGTATTATCCCGATAGTGGCTGGGCTGGTTGTCTGAAAATGTACTTACGAGGAATGATGAATGAGGGATGATGAATGAGGGAAAGAATGGATTAATGTTGCACAAAGCGCTTAATTAGTTGGTCATCGACAGGGCTATGGTTATATATTTGTTTAGATACTCGTAATGGACTTAATATTTCGGTATTGACTTGATAACCTTCACTACCCTTTACGACGCTTCGTAAAAACGATCAGATGCTTCATAGAAATCAAATCACATTCTGTAATACACTGTAACGCAAACAATAAACACTAGAATCCATAAACCCGAGTAAAACGATTTGCGCTATACTTTGCAATAAAAAAGGCTCTAGACATGCCACTATTGCACAATATATAAACACGCGATTACCTCGTGATATGCACCAAGCATCTGCCGTCCTGTACATACCTATCACTGTTTACCGCATAAGTCATTGCTAGCAGTAGGTCGCTGTGTGATCAGTCCCGTTGCCTGGTTAGTATGATGTCAGCATCAGACCGTTTTTTGAAAGGTTTCTGACATGTGGTACAAACATATAAAGCATCTTTTAAAGCATTGGTGCTCCCAATGTCCATACCTCCCGCAGTTTCGACAACTTCCTTTGGCCTGTCGATGGTCGATACGCCTTTCAAGAGCTCTACGTGTTTCGTATGAGCTTCTGCGAGAGCGGGTTGCCCGGGGCTTTTGGACTCGATACTGGTGCCATCTGCTGGCGCGGTGACTTCTGTCTCTGTTCGATTCAACGCTATCCTGGACTTGCCGTGAATGAAGAGACATTTCCTGGACCTGTTTGGTAAGTTTCGTCATATCGTGTTTGTCGCCTTGCACCCGCCCCCTATTTTTTTTTTTTCAGAGCCACTTAGCCATTCCATCCGTCCTTATCCCCAAAAGAAAAAACAAGATTCAACAAGGAAAATATAAGAGGATGGCAAACCAACATGAACTCGGTGACAATTTTAGTTTGCCCGATAAGACTGACAACAGACTGAAACTCAGGTTTCAATTTTCGCAGTTTACTAAAAGCACTTTGGTACGTGCACCAGCGCCCCCACCGGTCATGTCGCCGACGTTGATATTGATCGCGTAATATTTCTATCTGCTGGTATAGCTGCGTACAAACGGCCTGGAGGCGAAGATACAGGATTTTGTCCGAGTCGCTCACATCCTCTCGGAGCTCCTTTCCCTCGATCTCATGTAGCACCGATTTCAGAAAGTCAACGACCAGAGTACCATAGCTTTCATCTTTAAACAGCTTCTTCACTGTGTCGATACCCTTTGTAATTTCCCTAAAGATTTTTGCCAAGGGAAACAGTAGAGTGGCGGTGAAAGACACAACATCCATGGTGAGAAGACCGTGAAGGATGAATACGGGTATTTTGAAATGGAGCAAATTACTGTCGTATAGAAGAGGACCAGAATAAAGGCACTTTATAATAGCGTGAAAGACCGGAAGACGAAGAAAGTAACAACAGGAAAGAGAACAATGAGAAGGAAAAGAGGAAGGTTGGAAGGAAAGAAAATGGCACCAGTGTCGGACGTGAGAAGAACGCTCTCTTAAGCGACTCTTCCATTACTCAAGCAGAAGTGCTGACGCGTCGTCATCACTGAGAGAGTCGAACTCGCAAGAGAGCGTCGACGAATGAGGGAGAAATGGTTCAAGGCTCAAATCATGCAAGCGCCCCGAAGAGGAATCAGAGCAAGGCAGTGTTGGCTCGGCTGCGCAGTGCCAGGACCTGAACATCCAATCAGTAGTTTACTGAAAAGAGGCTCCTCTTCGGGTGGGAAGATCAGTCGGCTGTGTCTGGACGAATGCTTTCATGGCTGACAGGGTCGAGAATTGGGAAGGTTGTTGACGGAGACTTACAAGAGATTTTAATGGCAGGACAGCCTGCCCAAAAGTACGTGATGTCTGAATGATATGGATCAAGATAGTAAGACAGCCGGTCGCGGATTTGGTCTACAGGCGTCTTTATTAAATCAAATATATTATCTATACGAACCCATCATCAGGCGCATTGCTTAGGGTCACCCCACAAATCCCCAGCCCAGCACCTGTAAACAACACAGCAGCAACAAAATACGGCAGTCCAATCCACGGTCCCCCAAGTTTCATACCATAACTAAACGCCCCCGCAAGTGCAGGACCAGCAACCATACCCCCAACGCCCTGCACTAACCCAATAGTCGTATTCAGCAGTCCAGCCTGTGTCTCTGGCACCAACGAACTAGCCAGACTACGCAGCGCAGCATAGAATCCCGAGCCAAGCGCGAGAATCGTCATTCCGGTGCTAAATAGAGCTGGGTGCGAGGCGAACCCCATGAGAGTGAATCCAAAGACAGGGAAGAGAGCACTCCCTTGGGCGATTAAGAGGTCCCTTCGGGCCGGCCCAAAGCGGGTTTGTAATTGCTCGGACAGTGCAGGGAGAATGGCCAGTAGGAGAACTAGGTTTATTATTCCTTTTAGCGAGAAGAGGAGACTTGCTTCCCCCATTGACCAGGAGAATTTCTTTGACGCAAACTGCAGTACTAGCCCCTTGGCCTGTATGCCTGCAGTCGCGGAAAAGAATGCCGCCGTTATTGCGAGGACGTTTCTATTTCCCCATATCAGTTGCTTTACGCGTAGCATTTGCGTCGTTGCGAGTTTGATGACCCGAACTCGTTTGTTTTCTGCTCTGTTTGTGTCGTCCGCTGTGTGCGAATAGTCGGAGTCCAGCTTCCCCGGCAGTGTCTCCGGAATAGCCAGAAAAGCAGTCAGGGCAAGAAATTCACAGAACAGCCCAAGAAGATACGGAAGCCAAGGTGAAGATATAGTCATCAGCCATGCGCTGATCGGACTACCGACAATCTCAGTCACTAGCATGGCGGCTTGTAACATGAAGAACTTGTTCGTTCTGGACCACGTCAATCGTGCGTGATAATAATGGGAAGGAATTATCGAACCTTTTGTCAACAGGAAAGATATCCGACATAATAGTAAACACCATCGAACTGGCGATCTGAGCTCCGCCGCCACAGAGTTGGAATACAGATGTAAACCAGATCGCGCGTGGGGATATTGTAGGACTATGCCAGCCTGTATTTATACACATTCAGTCTCATTTGCGTATCACAATAGAAAAGCTAGGACGAACAGATTATCCGCACAGCAACCTCCTGCAGCGTTAGCCCCAACATACTCAGCATCGCGACCTGCTTTCGGCCGACCCGATCAGCCATGAAGCCATATGGCAGGGCGATAATAATCCCCGGGATTTGATCGAAAGTTTCTTTCCAGCCGTTGATCAGCGCAAGTTCGCTCTGGACGTCGGCGCCCTTGCATGTTGATGCAGAAATGACTGCATCGCGGTGGAGGGCGCGGCAGACGATGTCCTCTAGGATCTGGGTCTGCGGGGCGGCGGACAGAGCGCTGCCAAAGTCGATTGTGACGATTACAATACAGAGGAGGATTAAGATCCAGTGGGCTTGGTGGTTGTGCTTTCCGGGGTGGAGCAGGGGGGTTGTTTCGTGGGCCATGACACCGCATCTTTATAAAGGTTTATTTATTGGGACAACGCCACAATAAATGGCCTAGCTAAAGTGAAGGCCATCCTGTGTTTTGTTATTAGGGAGGGATTCCGAGGAATGTTGAATTCTAAGATGTCGGAAGACGCGCCCTTGCTTAGCTGGCTCGCTGGTATGTTAGGGTTTCGAAGGCACTGTGCATGGGGACAATACCGCTGAAAGATAAGAATACCGCTGAAAGATAATAGGAATTTAATTCTATCATTGCATGAGATAGTTTAGATAGGGAATATCTGTCTCTACTGACAAGCCATTTGTATTATTTCAGTGCCCATGACCACGACACAGGGATGGGGACAGCCCTGTACTTCGTGCCCAAGAACTTATTAAGCTAGGAATGCCTTCACCTTCGCCTCTGCTTCCCTTCTCCCTGATCCTGGAACCATACATCCAAATAATAAAAGGTCTCGTAAACCCAATATCAGTCGTGGCAACCTCTTACGTGCTCTTTTCCAGCCAAGGCGGTAATTTGTTTGGCAGGGTTAAATATTATTTACAGGTGGCGATGGACTATGTAAAGTCGATGAAGTAAATCGAGATGATCGTACCCTGGTTATCAGATCAAGCACATTGGCAGAGACTCTGCTCAGGCTTGGCAATGTGTGAAATGTGTATAATCGAGTTAAAATGCTGGAGTACAGCACCGTGATGGAGTCTTGGCAGAGTCCGAAGGTCCGGCCACCGACTGTGGGTCATTATCAACAAATAATATTAAATATTTGTGTGGAGCATCCGCAATCAACGCAGCTTGGCAAAGTCCGAGAGTCCGTATACTCAGTATAAGATATCGGCGACGACGTGAGAAGTTCCGATGGCAGGCACACACCCAGTAAATAATGACTCCCCACTCGCCCCTGGGGGATTAATATCCTCTTTTCCGAAGAAAAGCTTGAGATTTCTATCCTCACCACTGACACTACACATTCACGACATGGCTGTAAAGGCTCTCCCACCCGGTTTGTATATGAACTCGACAACAGCTATTTGTACAGCTAACGTAGCTCACAGCTTTCCGCATCCCAACACGGACTTTTTATTGTATCACAGCACGCCAGTATTCATCCTCACGCACAGCTGATGAGGCCCGGACCTCCCTGGCGACACAATTCCCTACCTCCAAAACAGTCACACCTCGCTCAGAAAAACCACCCTCAAACGCCGCAGATTATGTCTTGTAAGTCCTGAGTCACAACCCAATGCTTCCTAAACATTAACGGTGTCGATAGAACATCCCTCGACCAAATCGTAAACTGGGCCCGCCAAGGCTCCCTATGGCCCCTCAGCTTCGGGCTCGCCTGCTGCGCAATCGAAATGATGCAGACCTCCATGCCCCGCTACGACCAAGACCGGCTGGGTATAATCTTCCGCGCCTCCCCGCGCCAAGCAGACGTAATGATCGTGGCTGGGACCGTGACGAACAAAATGGCACCCGCGCTGCGGCAGTGCTATGACCAAATGCCTGATCCGAAGTGGGTGATTAGCATGGGTAGCTGTGCGAATGGGGGCGGGTACTATCACTATAGCTATAGTGTGGTTCGGGGTGTTGATAGGATTGTTCCGGTCGATGTTTATGTGCCTGGGTGTCCGCCTACGCCGGAGGCGCTGCTGTATGGGATTTTTCAGTTGCAGAAGAAGATGAGGCATACTAAGACGACCCGGATGTGGTTCCGGAGATAGGTATATCGGTGGCAAGTGGTCTTATATGGGTCTGGTTGGAGAATCCCAGACTGGAATGTGGCCGCCATATGCTGACAAGCGCAGCTGGTGCGATGCCCTTTCGTTACTTCCATCACCCTCTCGACAAGACTTGTCTAATGGTCAAATGTCCACCATCCACAATGGGGATCAGGTTCAGTCAATACACTTCTTTCTAATTCCATAATCCCCTGACAGGGATTATCGTATAGTTGTTGAAGGTCAACCCCTCGCTCATGCAAAAACTGTAGCTCTTCCCCGCCAAATACTTCAGCGGTGGGAGACCCTGGCAGAGGGCTCTTAGATTCACTGGTCTGCCAGGCAACGTCCAGTATATCTTCCACAACTCCACGTTTCATTGCTTCGGATAAGGCGCTTGGCTCTTCTTGACCATGGTCGGGCTGTGTCACGCCAAACTTCTGTTGAACAAAAATGTGCGAGAAGCGTCTTAATGTTTGGACAAATCTCTTCATGGAAGAGAGCCCCTTGCATATCTTCTCACACTCAGTAAGCATCATATCTATCCGTAGCGAGAGAGTTATATTCGACGTTATTGTTTCTGCTGCGTCCGCAGTGAGGATACTGTTGAAGATAACCCCAATACAAGGAGTAATGTAGCTTTTGAAGTATCTATCCAATTACAAATGTCAGCTAAGGAGTGTAGGACACAGCAGGGTGAGGATACTTTACCCTAAGTGCCAACAAGGCCCATTTGGGTCCAGCTCGAACAAACGCTGTGCAGCTGTTATAGATCTCCGGGCTGCGTGTAATTCTAATTCAGCACCATGGTCTGGAGGCCAAGTAGGGCTTTGAGGCTGAATCCGGAGAAATGAGGTTATCATTGAAGTTGCATCCAAGATTAACTTCGCATATAGGTAAGCGTGAATCATAGATGCTTGCATAAGTAGTTGTTCCTGTCGTGTATCAGTATCCCGTACGGCCAACCTAGAGTAGGGCGATACGTACAATATTCCACTCAGAAAGCACAGCATCAACCTCCAACACCAGATCCATAACTTCAGCCCGTCCAGACACATCAAGCATCCCATCGCTGCCTAGCCGCAAATCCATATTACCCTGCATTTCAGAGTACCGGAGTGATATCCTTGCCAGTCGGAGCGAGACTTCGAAATACACCTCAGTATCTCGATCACCATCGCTGAAGGTCCGCCACGTAGAAAGATCCGGTATACTCACTTTCCAGGTACCAATCTCAATATTTCCCCGTCTGTAGAGATTATGCCGAAATAGGCTGTCGTACATCATTAGAATCTGCCAGAAGTAGATTCTGTGAACTTCCAGATAAACAGAATCCATATTACCCGGCCGGCTTCTGGTGGCTAGAGAAGTTACGCCATCAAGGTCAAGCAGTCCAAGGGCGCGTGCAATATCACATGCACAGCGATGCAACCTATGCGACAAGTCAAAGTCCAACTGCGAATATGTTTCAAATGTCTATCATCTTAGTTCATATTTATAAATATAAGCCAGTTGGACTCACCATCCAAAATGCAACATGCAAACTCAGTTCATTGATTTGCTCCTGGCGTTGCCAGTCCTCCATAAGACATAAAGCCCTACGATATAGAAAAGTAGAGTATTCGCTTTTCTTAGGGGTGTCGATTCCAGGACTCAGAAGCATCCCTTGGTGCAATGCGCCGTAAAAAAGGATAAGCACGCGGACATCAATTTGGACATATGGATTGTCGACGATGGACGGTATCGTGAGCATAAACTCTTTGGCGATGGGTAAGAGAATTCCTAGACTGTTTTGGTTGTCGTACAGCACTGGATAGGTTAATAAATGTCTGGATTCATGTCCGGGTGGACATACTTTGTAGCCATGATTTAGCGATTTCTTGCCCAAATGGGAGTTTTTCTTCTAATTCACCCTCTGTAGGTGAATTGAATCGGTATCCTTTGAGAGATATTTCACCAGGATCAAGGTTGGTATTCGGACGTCCTGACATCGTAAGTTGCTATACAATTCATCACCAGGGTATGAGCCTACCCGTGCCAGGCGTAGACTGAAAGGCCCGTAGGCCTTTTGGGGAACGACTCGAAACCTCTGAAGGTAGTGATACTGCACGCGACGCGGTAGTGCTCCTGGAGCCATTCTCCAATGCATCTAAACGATTCATGATGTTAAGGAGATGTGAATTCTGGACTTGCGTGGCCACCATATCAGCCGGACCGGGTCTCGGCGTCCGTTTGCGAGGCTGTCTGGGATCGTACAGACATTCAGCAGATACCTGCCGGCAACGCTTGCAGTCCGGCTTTTCTCGGTCACAGCGCATCTGCATCAGATATCTTAGCGATCGGCACAAATAAATTCATATCGCAGTCTCCCATGTTTTGAGGTCTAGCAGCAGGAGGGTGTACCTTTTTCTGTCTACATCTTCGGCACTGTGAAATAATTAGTCTCAATCCTAGCTCTAGATCCGTACGTACTTACAGCAATGGCGTTTAATTCCCGGGGGGACGAGGCTTGGGTGTCACTACCCGCCATGATTCCTGGTCATTTATACCATAAATAAAGTCCATGTATTCTCAGTACCATGCTCTCCACTCAGCAGGCTAATTGTATCGGCAGCACGTAAAGCAACACAATAATTGTAAACACTCGACGCGGATGATGTCGGACAAAATCAAAACGGCATGCTGAGTAATGCAATCACCTGACCGGTTCGCCAGATTCGTTTCTTTTGTATGTCTGGGAATAAATACATTAATATAGTCGTATTAACATGAGGTGTATATTTTTCTCCTGGCGTTATGGGAACCGTCAAGCGGCTGCCGGGTTTGCCAAAATATGTCCGTGGCGAAGTTGTAAGTATTGTGGCGTCTACGTCTATATATATATATTGTTTATGCCACTGCAACCACTAATTTCTCCACCATAGGCCTATACTTTAGCCTCGCCCAGCTTATGCTTCTCATCCTGTGGAAGACCACTTTCTCTCTCCAAAGCCACCCTCTTATCCTTCCTCCAAACCAACCACCAAGAAACCAAAACCCCACTAATCGCAAGCACCAAAAAGCTCAAACAAATGATATACGACACGCGGTACGTCGGCCCAAAAGTCGTGCTATAAATATGCGGCCCGGCAATCCCACTAAACTGCGCCATTGCATTCGTGAGCCCAATACCAATTCCTGCGGCAACTGTGCCGTCCAGCGCGCGGATCCGCTCGGGCCAGATGACGGGGTATGCGGATCCCGCGCAGGCCGTCGCTACTATCAGGGCGAGGTATTTTACGACCGCGTTGGGGACCGTGATTAGGATTATGTAGCAGATTATTATCGTGCTTTCGACTGTGTCGAGTTAGCAAAGACGCCCACTCGGCGGGATAGTATATACGTACTGGCAACAGCAGTCGTCCAGGGCCGAATCCACTTCTTATGCAGACAATGCCCGACTGTATTGAGGAACAAGAAACAGGCGACATACGGCGGCTGTAATTAGAGTCAGTATTGGCAACCAGTATTTGGAAAGAAGGAGACGTACAATATTCATCAGCTGCGAATTCGCCGTATCCGAGAACCCAAGCTCATAAATCACCGTAGGCAGGGCATAATTCACCCCGAACCCACCAATCCCATGACCAATCCAGTAGATAGAAAAGGTATACACAGTCGGACTGCGAAACAGCTCTTTGAAATTCCGCCAGCTCCAATGCGCATCCGTCCCCGAGGGCGCATTCTTCGCAAGACGATGGGAGAGAAACTCCCTTTCTTCAGGGGTAAGCATCTTTGCAGTCTCAGGATAATCAGGGACGAAGAGGGCCACGAAAGCGAGAATAATCGCAGGCAGGCCCTCGAGGATAAACAGCCAGCGCCAGCCAGAGAGACCGCCGAGGCGATTCATGAAACTGATTGCGTAGGCGAGCAGACCGCTAAGGGCACTGGATAGCTGGCCGACGGAGTAAAACACGGCGATCCGCCAGGGCATCTCGGAGGGTTTGTACCAAAATGCGTAGTGATACAGGACAGAGGGGTAGAAGCCTGCCTCTGCCAGACCGATTGCGAAACGAGCGCACATCATGCCGGGGAAGTTCTGCGTTGCGCCGGAGCTGGTTGCGCAGACGCCCCAGGCGAGGATGAGGATAAACATCCATTTAGACGGCGTGAAGCGTTTGAGCAGGACGGTGTTTGTCGGTTCAAAGAATAGATAGCTGTAGGAGAAAATAGACTGGGACCAGGACCACTGCGATGGGCTGAATCCGAGCTCTGCTTTGATACCGTTACCTTCCTCGAGGTTGATAATCGCCGCATTGGCGTAGTTGCCAGAGTCGATGACACGGAAGATATAGACGATAGAGTAGAAGCCGACCAACCAGAGGTCGACCTTTCGCATGACGCGCTTCTCAAACTCAGCGTCATATTTGGGAGTCGGCGATTCGCCTTCGGCTGTTCCAGTGAGAGAAGGGGAGGCCGTCGAAGCAGTGACTTCGGCCTGGCCCTTCTCAGGCGTCTCTGATATAGAATGCGAAGACATCTGTGGTGCCTCAGCCGGGACATCGCGACAAAGTATGACACAGCATTGCTTATATAGGCAGAGTTTGTGGCTTCGAAGCTTGTCGGAGCAAGCAGGACTGCCAAAGTGATACCATAATAGAGGCAATCACGATATTGGAGTACTCAACAAAACAAGCTAAGATATCGTCCATCAATGCTTCGCGAGATACTGTCGGCTGACGAACATATTGCTCATACTGTGCTAGGATTGTGCCATCAGAGCCCTCTTCTGCATTATTATCTTTCCCGGCCGATATGCTCGACGAGTCTGGCCTGGCCCGCAGATATTATACCTGCACGCTTAATATGTTCATCACCTCCTTGAAATGGAATATACACAACGTATATTGCCAGCGATGCTAACATATAACACCAAGAAGTCCAATAGCATGCCCGTCCTCTGTGCTCATCCCGCGAGTTTGGAGGACTATCACGCAATCCACGACGAAAATGATACTTAACGCGAACCCCGCTTCCTGCACCAAGGAGTGCATGACTCCAAATCCTATCCTGTGTATCGTGAATAACTGACTCGCATCGGATATCGGCGTTAAGGCGCCAAATTCGGCCCAGGGAAGTGGCGGGGGTATAAAGGCCCCATGCTCGCACGGTCCTAGTACTATTCAAGCCAGTTTAATATCTTTATCTGGATGGACATAGCTACAAAATGGCCCCATCCGCCGTCCAAGAGCCAGGCCCTATTCAAGCTGTCCCGGTAAAGCCATGGGCTCGTCCTGCTCCTACTAAGGAGAATCTAGACTGGGCGCCTCTGCCTGAGATTGATCTATCCAAGTTCGACCAGCCAGGCGGCAAAGAATCTCTCGCTAGAGACCTGTACGATGCGTTAACTCGTGTTGGGTTCTGGGTCGTCGTCGGACACGGAATAGACGACGAGCGCGTCCTGAGGCAGTTCAGCTTCGGCAATGCGTTCTTCAAGCAGCCGCTCGAAGAGAAGCGCACGTTCCCTTGTAACTTCGCCGAGGGCGAGTACTTCGGGTACCGCGAGAACGAGCGGTGGATTGGAGATACCGGAGTGAAGGACAATGTCGAGATGGTACAGATCACCCTACCAAGTACCCTGCCTATATAACTATAACTAACATGTACAGCTCAACATCCCCAAAGACATCCCTGACTGGGCCGACCTCCCCCGCCACAAAGTCGTGGAAGAGAACTACACCGAAATCGCCAGCTTCCACCGCGAACTCTTCGACAAAGTCGCGCGCAAGCTGTTCGTGCTCATGTCTATAATCCTGGAGCTGCCCGAGACATTCCTGGCAGACGCCCACGACTACGACAAGCGGTCCGACGACCACCTGCGGTACATGATCTACAACGTGCGCACGCAAGACGAGTGGGACCGCGCGCAGGGGTACACCAAGGGCGGCCACACGGATTTCGGCAGCTTGACACTCCTCTTCTCGCAGCAGGTTGCTGGGCTGCAGATCCGCACGCCCGAGGGCGCGTGGAAGTGGGTTAAGCCTGTTGAAGGTGGGATTACCTGCAATGCGGCGGATACGTTGACTTTCCTTACAAAAGGTGTGTTCCTTTCCTACTTCTACTGGTATGCAAGTAAGTATGCTAACCGGCGATAGGCTTCATCAAATCGACCATCCACCGCGTCGTCACGCCGCCCAAGGACCAGATTGACATCCCCCGTCTGGGTCTGCTGTACTTTGTTCGACCCGGTGATAGCACTGTGATGAAGCCCGTGCCATCACCGTTGTTGGACAGGCTTGGCCTGCTGACGGACGAGGACAAAGACCCTAATATCCCTGCGCCGACGGGCACAGAGTATGTGCGTGCGCGGGTCAAGGACGTCCACCATAAGAAGGTGATTGACCGCCGGGAAAACACTCAGTTTGAGTTCAAGGGGCTGAAGGTGGACAATTACTACGCTTGAGTTTGTTAATATGATGTATTGCTATGATTCATGAATCAATTTACGCTTCGCCTCGGGGTACTCGGCTCGTATCAGTATCTACCTTCCATCAGGTCTCGGAATGGAGAAGCCTACGATTTATTATCAAAATTTGAATATTTGTAGCTCTACTCGTAGTGTTCTTCACCACAAGATTACTAACTGGATGCGTGCGGCGGCGGCGGGTTATTATGTATTTTCCCCGCTAGTAACCGTTGTTGTAGCGGCCTCATTTCCGTTCATGCGGAATGTCGTTGAGCTTAGTTTGGACCAGCCGGCGACGATCCGTCCTTTTCTCTGGCGTACCTTCAATTCGCGCAAGCCCAGAATACACAAAATAGACATGGTCGTAGGCGCACCCTCGCCTGTAGTGCCGCGCACCGGTACGGTGATGGCAGTTACAATGGCCGAGAAATTGAGGTCTAGGCCGCTTCTCGCTGAGATAGATGCAGTATCATAATTAGAGGATACATTACTGCGGGGAAATGACTAGGAACTGCAACTGCGGAGTATCGTTCCCTAAGGGCTGTTTTAGGTGTGCTTGCGGGGATAATTTCGTCCAATCCGGTGCTTCTTGCGGGGAGGTAGGGCATTTGCCATTTCTGGTATGGAGCCAAGAATTTGTATCTCAGGGTTCGCGCGCTTGCGGGCTGCAAGACATATTGGGCTATGGCCAGGAGTCCGAATATAGGGCACTGTTCCTGCCAAGGTGTAAATGTCGCTACACAAAGGCAGTGAGACCCTTGTAACCCTCCCTTCCTATCCACCCTACGGTAACTGAGTGAGACGAACGAATGCAGCGCGTTGAAGAAATATGCATGACGTTTGATGGTTGACTATCACTCTATGACATGGCACCTGAATGCCACGCCGTCTATTAACCTCCTTGTCCGTAGGACCCAAACACGCGTAAAATGGAAAATATGCAAAGTTAACACCGCGCCGTTTATCTCCCTACCCATCCTAGGCTCCAAGAGCCTGAAGGGAGACTACATTACACCTGTCGAGGAAGGCCAACGCCTCATTCCTCGTGTGCCATGCATCGTTATACGTGGCACTCAAGGTAAGTCGCCCGTCCCAGATCCCCAGAAACAAGGCTAGCCCAGTCACCAAGTGCTCCCTCGTAACCCATGGATTGTCCAATTGGAAAGCGCCCTGCGACGGCGAGATGGTGTTATCCAGCGTGCCCAGGTCGGAAAGAGATACAGATGGTTTGTTATACGGCGGCGGCAGTGCAGGTGCGGCATTATCCGCTGGGTAGGGAGGCGTGATCATCCCCCAGTACGAGGGGACCATCTGAACTCGTTGTTTGTCATTGCGGTTCTGTATGTCGAACCGTCGAACCGCACTGGCGACCTTCATGTACTCATTCCGCCGCGGTATGCTGTAGTCCAGCACTTGATCAAGCGCCCCAAAGGAGGCAGCTGGAACGGTAAGGTCCACTGCCAGACATTCACCAGAAACGGAATGGTAGACAGATGCTGCATGCGCTGGGGTGTTGTACGGCTCCTCGCACTGGGGTCGTTCATCCATGAGACAATAGTTGATATATCGCACCGTTCTTGGTCGTGACTGTCTCCTCTGTAAATCCCGCAGTACGATGCCAATAGCAGTGTGATAGGCATGAGTAACGCTCAATCCCAACGCTTTGCATGCCTTCACCAGACGATACGTCGATTCCGTCGACAGCGTAATGGCCACGCGTTGGTGCTTCCCTGGTTGTGTCGCACCTTTCCGGCGAGGGAACCCAGCAATTTCAACCTCCTTCAATGCCGCGTTCATGGAAATGGTCTTGTTCAAACGGCTGTGCTGCTTCTTACTCAAGCCCGGTGGAACTCCAGCAGCAATGCGAAACGGTGGACTCAATCGGGCGTACTCATCGCCAAAGTCCGGAAGTCGATATCCATCACCTTGATCCAGAGCCTGTGCAGCATGCACAAACAGACTATTCAGCAGCATCAACGCCCCAGCCCCGTCCATCACATCATGGCGACAGCGAAGGACCACATCCGCCGAGACCGTCGGACTCGAGCGGCCCGCGCGCTTTATCATGAACAAAGTCGGAATGTCCGGAACAGGCGGATCGGAATTGCACCACTGCAGACCGGACATCCTCGTGCGAACGACCTGGAATGTACTCTCCAGCCAGGCATTCTGGGCCTCCGGGGTCGGCGCCGTGTCATAGATCTTCCTGCACCGCTGCCTCTGCTCGCTGTACTCAACCCACGACGCAACCGTCGGACTCTCATATCGCAAGCGCAGCCACGCCTTTCGCAGGGCTAGTTCCACTTCATGTTCAGCACCCTGCACCGAGAAAGAAACGTACGCGGTGATCGCGAAGCAGCAGCGCCCACTCGCTTCGTACGTCTTCGCCAGCGTCGTATAGAACTGCTCCGACTCATCAATATTGCGCTCCCAGCGCCCTGGCCTGACCTGCGTCCATGAGTAATCACTGGTATCCAGCAAGCCCATGGTGCCCAGATCTTGAGTGGTGCGTGCCGGAGAGTCGGACGGAAAGTCTAAAAGAGGGGTCGGACGCACGAGAATTATAGTCTCGCCGCGAGCTGCTCGGAATCAAGGCAGCCAGCCCTGCAGAGGAAAAGTTACCTGCGATGGCCGCATCAGCCGCGGTGGCTGTCGAGACAGAGGGAGATAGGGCCGGGTTGCCCGAAACAGGCGAGTGGTCGGTCCGTTGTCCGTACCCAATGCGGTGGTCCGCTTGTTGGCTCGCCTGTTGGCCTCGCCTGTCGGCCCTCGCATGTCAGTAACTTAATATATCCAATGATACATAAATAGTCAAAGTAACGCCAGCTGTTCTCCGGGTAATCTTCGGGTTGAACAGTAACCTACCTTGAATGCGTACAACTTCCTAATCGGGAAGGCCGTCCAGTTAACGATAGCTATTACTAACCATATACTACTTGCATATAAACAAAGTAACCACCTACGAAGACAAGATATCTTTCTGACAATGCTCCTGTTTTGCATTAACTCCTGTTACACTTGATCGAGGTTACACACGACCCGTGGTTACACTGCGCAGGCCTGGCCCGCGTCTCCAATCTACATCAAACATCAGCACGGTTTTAAAGATAATCCAGTTACACAGCCACGGTCACGCAACATTACGCCAGAAAGCTTAATCTATGTCGACAATTATTTTATTTAAACAGTCAATGCAGCTTATCTGACATCTTGGCTGGCAGAAGCTCAATAGTGCATGTAGGACCTGTGTAACGTGTCGGTTAATAATGATCTTAACCGGTTAATTCCATTCCCGATGGCGGTTAACCATACTTGTGGTAGAGCAAGAGAGTGGAAGGTGTTTACTAAATGTATTGAGCTCATCTATATCAGTATACATCACTCGCTACCAGGACCTACTTGGTCCCATTCGCAGACCCAGAAACGGCCTTCAAAATGGCACCAGTCATAGCCAACACACTCTCATCCTCAAGCTTCCTCCCAACAAGCTGCAAACTAACCGGCATGCCATGGACATCGTCGGCGGAATCTGCCAATATCAGTACACACTCACACCGAGAATTAGGGCAACATACAATCACTCTGAATCTGCGCATCAATATCGCTAAGCGGCTTATGGTCGACATACGACCCATCAAGACCCTTATCAGCCGTAACCCCACACGGGAATGAAACGCCAGGATAGTCAAGGACATTGAAAACTCCCGTATATCCGACATACGCGAACTTGCCGTTCTCGACACTACTATACGGAGACGTCGGACCTATACCTCGTTAGTACCTGAAACGAAGAGTATAAAGTGGCCAACATACAAAGCACAGCATCAATGCCCGCATTGTTCCATCGATCCAGATAAGTCTTGCACAGCGTATTGCGTGCTACCTGCACCTGCCACATCTCATGTACCCCCAGTTCAGGGGCCGTCTCATACATCTTCATCTCAGGCCGGAACGGCTCCCCTGTTGGTTCGAGGAGTTTGCGCACGGATTTCCCGCCGTCTGCGACGAACATGGTGCGTAAAATCTCAAGTACACCCGTATGCTCAGTAGGCGCCCAAGTAACGACCTCATGACCGGCCGCTTTTAATTTCGCGACTGTTTCGTTCAGAGCGCGCGACACAGGGGGCGTAGGCGTGACTAGGCCATCGTGCCAGAGGACGCCGATTTTGAGCGCCTTCTTGACTTCAACGTCTCGCCAGGGAATGGGGAGGCATTTCGGATCGCGGAGCCAGGGTTGTTGGCTGACGACTGTGCGGGCCCAGAAGATGATCTCGTCGAGGGTTTTTGCCATAGGGCCGTTGACGCTGTTGACTGCTTCTTGGCCGGCGAGGCCGGAGCGGGTTTGGAAGTTGGGGAAGCGGCCGAAGGAGGGTCTGATGGTGAATATTCCTGTGCACGATGCTGGGATGCGTAGGGAGCCGCCTATTCATTATTAGCATACAAACTGCGAAGGGATATATTTGTTGCGTACCAATATCTGTTCCCACGCCGATGCGGCTGCCTCCGAAGGCAATCAGGGCAGATTCGCCACCAGAAGAGCCGCCCGAGGTCAGATTGCGGTTGCGCGGGTTAACTGTTCGACCGAAGACATTGTTCACGGATTCCGCGATCATCATGGCCGTGGGCACGTTGGTCTTGCAGTAGAGGACGGCGCCTGCGTTGAGGAGCAGGTCGACGAGGGTGCTGTTGTACGTGGCGGGGTCGTTGACCAGCGAGGCGAACCCGATGGTCGAGTCATAGCCGACGAGGTTGAAGTTGTCCTTGATGGAAATGGGGAGACCGTGGAAGGGGCCTTTTGTCTTGCCAGTTTGTTGGAAGTAGGCGTCTAGTTCTTTTGCCTGGGCGATTGCTCTGTCGAACAGGATCTCCGACAGGCAGTTGGTCTACATTATTAGTATAGACCCGAAAAACTGATCGTAGACATACCAGCTGTTGCGCAGCAGCGGCAGCTTTGCAGAACGCCTTGATGACTTCCTCGGCGGTCCATGACCCGGATGAAATATGCGATAGAATTGTTTGAGCTGGGGTTGAAGTGATTTCCAGCTCGCGACCGGTAAAGAAGCCCGAGTCCCTGGGAAAGCTTGTGACGTCGAGCTGATCAGCAGGAGGAACAAGCGCAGCAGGGATCACCCAGTCCGCTGGAATGGAGTCCTTCAGCGCCTGGCGCTTTTTGGCGGCGATCGATTCCCACGTCATGGTGCAGTTCTGTAGTTGATAATGGAATAGCTGATGATTGCAGAGATAGAGATGGAATCCTTCCCTTATATGCGGGGATGCCGGATACCCGGATATGGTCGATCTACAGGATGTTGGAGAATCACATCCCCACTGCAGCAAACTCCAATCTCAGTATTTATCAGGCATGGATTGGTTCACGTCGCCGAGGTTATCAGTTGTATCAAGATACCTCGGCCAGATCTCCGCCATTGGGGGTCTCCAACAGCACAAGACTCGATACGAGATAAGCAGTCACAAGGTCGCATTGGAGAAGATAAAGAAAGAAAAGAGGAGTGGGGGTATAAAGAGGCGCTGGCCTGTTAGTCATGTCTACCCCAGACTGCTCCCCACAATGTTCGCCAAATTCGCCGCCTATATCAAGGGCCCGGAGACTGTGCCCGGCGCGGCCAAACTCCTGCGCAAGCTCGACTGCTTCATTCTGTCGTTCTGCTGTTTATGCTACTTTGCCAATTACCTCGACCGCACGAATATCAACAATGCCTACGTGTCGGGAATGCGCGAGGAGCTGCACTTCCAGGGGAACGAGCTCAACCAGATCAACACCGTCTTCACGGTGGGATACATTGTCGGCCAAGTTCCGTCGAACCTGGCCTTGACCTTCTTCCGTCCGCGCCTGTTCTTCCCTGCGATGATGGTTATCTGGGGTGGTTTGACCATGATCACGGCGGCCGTGTCAAATCCCCAGGGAATCATGGCAATCCGCTTCTTCCTCGGGCTGGCAGAGTCGAGTACCTTTGCCGGAACACACTATATCCTAGGCTCCTGGTACACAGAACGAGAGCTGGGAAAGCGCAGTGGCATCTTCACAGCCAGTGGCCTCGCCGGAACAATGTTCGGCGGCTTCATCCAGACAGGGATCCATTCATCCATGGACGGAATACAAGGCCTTTCCGGCTGGCGGTGGCTATTCATCGTACGTTCCTCCCATATATCCATCCAGAGCAGTATTTAATAAACAGATTGACGGCCTAATCACCATCCCAATCGCAATATACGGCTTCATCGTCTTCCCCGACACCCCAACAACCACTAAAGCACGCTACCTGACAGCCGCAGAGAAAGCCCTCGCCGTCGCACGCATCCCCGAGTCCGGGGCCGTCAAAGTGCCCCTAAACTGGGCCTTCCTCAAGAGCATCTTCACAACATGGTACTGGTACGCCTTCGTGATGCTGTGGATCATCGCGGGCGAAACCGAATCGTTCTCCACAAACGCCCTGCTGGCACTATACATGCAGTCCCATCCAAGCAACTCATACAGCGTCCCCCAGCTAAACAACTACCCAACTGGCGTTCCAGCAGTTGGGATCATATCAACCCTATTCTGGGCAACGCTCACAGATTTCATGGGCGGAAAGCGATATCTTGTCGGGTACTTCATCGCCATAACCGGCATCGTCACATCAACACTAATCCTAACCTGCTTCTCCTCAACAATCACCGTCTTCGCCGCATACTACTGGGCGGGAGCCGTATACGCATGCCAAGCGACATTCTTCGCATGGTGCAACGACGCAATGCGCTACAAGGACGAGCGGCTGCGGTCTGTAGTCATTGCGAGCATGAACATGGGCAGTAATGCGGTCAATGCGTGGTGGATTATCCTCTTCTACTCGGCGGACTTTGCGCCGCGGTTCACGAGGGGCATGTGGGCGATGATTGCGTGCTCGATTGCGCTGGCGCTGTGGACGGCGGGGATTACGGCTTTGACTGTGCGGGAGGAGAGGAGGGGGGAGAATGATCGAGATGTGCGTGTTGTTGACTTGCAGGAGAAGGTGGAGGCTTGATTGATAGAGCATGTGTAGCATTAATGCGATGGTAACCTTGCATTGGACATTCATAATTAAAGTCATAGTTCCGAGAGTAGTGTCAACATGATCAGCTCGGACTGATCAGCTCGGACTCGTCCATGACAATTGACAGAAATGGAGAGAGACAATTGCCCGAGCCAAGAGGAGCACAAACCTTCCAATGTTCGCGTGGGCCAATTCGCTGTATATCAAGGGGCTTGGACACAACCACCGGGCTTAGCACGGAGAAATTCCAGCAGCAAATAGGCATCGAACAGGCAAGAAACAGACAAGAAACAGGCAGCGATCGGCTGCAAAGGAAGCGAACGGAGAATTTGTGGAGAGCTTCATTTCGCTCCCCGCACGCTCGGGGTAGCTGCCGCCGATCTCCTGTAATTTGTATAAGTGCTTATAATCCCCGAATGCGACCCATGACAATAATTTGACTCAGTTTGCGCCAAAATGAAGCTCGGTACTGCGCTTTCTGCGATTCTGGCCACCGCCGCTCAGGCAAAGTATATCGTGCCTGGTGGGCGATGGCAGGATACAGAGGGAAACCTGGTCAACGCCCACGCCGGAAATATTTACTTCGACAAGGAAAGTTCCAAATTCTGGCTTTTCGGCGAATACAAAATCGAAGGGCAGGAAGAGGGCGGCGGTGTTTCGGTGTACAGCTCTGATGATCTGGGGACATGGGAATCGCACGGTCTCGCACTTGGTATGTGCCCTACTCGATAATACGTACTCGTTACATAGCTAATTGAGAGTAGAACCTATAGAGGACCACCCGTACATCTCCCCCGAGCACATCATCCAGCGCCCCAAGGTCGTCTACAGCGAGGGAACAGGACAGTACCACGTATGCCTGCCCCTGATACAACAAGACGAAGCTAATTAAGCAGATGTGGTGGCACGCCGACAATTCCACATACGGCTGGCTTCTCCAGGGTCTAGCAACAGCCGATAACGTCGCCGGTCCATACGAGTTCGTCGATGCTGTCGCGCCTCTCGGAAACTGGTCGCAAGACTTTGGCCTCTTCACGGACCGCGAAGACGGCAGGTCGTACGCTCTATACTCCAACGGGGACAGCGTCGACGGCCGTGACGTCTATCTAACCAGCTTCAACTCCAACATTACCGCCCTGGATGAAGTGGTGCATCGATTCCCCAAGTTCGACCTTGAAGCGCCGACTATCATCCAGTCCGAACATAGCTACTGGGCGCTGATGAGCCATAAGACGGGATACCGACCTAACAGTATGTCTGCCACTATAGTCAAAGAACGTACTGACATGAGTAGACGTGGTCGCCTTTCGCGCCGACAAGCTGAGTGGTCCGTGGTCTCAGCCGTTTATTGTATCGCCGCTCAACACGCGCACTTTCAACTCGCAGTCTGGATTCTCGATCCGCATTGAGGGCTCCAAGAAGACTACGTACCTGTATATCGGAGACCAGTGGGACTCCAACTCGCTATGGGAGAGTCGATATATCTGGCTTCCTGTCGATATCGACGAGCGCAAGAAGACCCTCGAGGTGCAATGGCACGATATCTACGATCTCAACGTGTAAGTCTGCAAGTCACATAATCAGCGGCAACTAATATGTATAGAAAAACCGGAGAATGGCACCCCGTCCGAGGCAAAACATACACATCCAAGCACGCAACGACAAGCGGCAACGCACACCTGCAAGAAGCTGTACGTTCAACCCTCCACCTCAACGACCCATCTAACAGGAACAGAACTTCGCCACCGACGGAGCCATCCTGACTGGAATCTACGGCAACGACAGCACAGTGACATTCCACAACATCGAAGGAACCGGCAAGCCGCAGTGGGTTTCGTTCTACTACCAGAGTGCGTCTCCTTCCACCACCTACTATATTAACCACTAACCCGGCACCAGACACCGACGATATGGGCTTCGGAGATCAACGTAAGTACCAACCTAGTTAATTCACAGCAATTCTAACAAATCTTCAAACAGCCGGCGGCACACCGGACCGCATCGGCGGCGAGTGGCAGCTGCGCCGGATCAGCAGCGTGGTCGTCAACGGGGACACGCAGAACGTCGAGACCCTGTACCAGCGCGACACACACAAGGGGATTATTCTCTCGACGCCTCTGCAGTTGACACTTGAGAAGGGAAGACGCAATACGATTACCGTTGGAGGGCTGTTTAATGGGTGGGACTCTAAGGGCGCTGATTTGGATCGCATTGTTGTGTATCCCCCTGAGAAGGAGTAATAATGTGATAAGCAAGTGGCTCTCAGGAGGAAATGAGCAGTAATGCGTCTGGAATCGGTGGACTACTATAATTTTCATGGTGGCCTTTAAAGTCGTTGCCGATCTAGCTCGGAAATAAACAGCGGAAACTAAAGAGCTTTAGTATCTAGCAGAACCAGCTATAATATTCCCTCCCTTTACTCCGATTTCTCAAGGAACAAAAGCTCGAAAAAGAATGAATCGCCAATTCTCAAGGGCGAAAGAACCGTAGATTCGGCCGTAGCGGAGAGATTCAACCGATGCCGACTTGCTCACATATCAGCCAGTTGCAAAGAAGCACTCGTCAGCCTGAACCAGGTCGATCTGGATTTTGTATCCAAACGAGTGGACCAGTAAACCCTTTGAGTGGCACAAAGAGGGATGGGAGGAGTTTTTGAGCAGTTAGCAAAGATAGCTGTTCTGGTAGCTTACGATTTGGCTTCACAACAATGTCCACTAAATATCTCACTATACAGATTTGACTTTCTAGAATTGACGCGCCTTGCCCTATTTAGATAAGGCTGCTTTAATAAGCGTACTTAGAGGAGTATTCACGAAGTATTCTTCTTAACTTCTTCTTAACTATCTAACTCATGGCCGTGTACACAGGTCACCTCTTCCACTCCGATGCACCTCACTGTATTGAGTAACAACCCGGCGGACTTCTTGTCATTACCCCTTCTACAGCCCGTTTTCTGGATAAGCTGGTGACCTACAGACCTCTTACTATAATCACTTCCCGAGCCAATTTCGTCTCAGTAATTATGCTTAGGGACCCGCTGTACGCACACCTCGATGGCTACACGCTCACGCGCGTTGAGGGTAGCCATATTAGTAATGGCCACACTATTAGGGTTTCGACGCAGCCCCATATTTATAATTAAAGAAAGATATACCCACAGGGTACTCAAACTAATCATGCCGATTACAACCATCTTGCTGTTACGGTGAAGCTGGATGTTCTGGAAGAGGAGAATTAGTCCCGGAGACAAGTTATGTCGGGAAGTTTATGAGATTAAAGATGTCGTGCGGATACCAGGCAGTAATCTCGTCCATGGGAATCTTCATGGCCTGCGGTAGGAGGACTAGTTAAATCAGGAATGAGGAGGCTGGCCTCACTTCTGCTGACAGAGATGAATATGCCGCGTGCTCGAACCTCTCGCCCACCGGCCTGGCCCGCTTGAAACTATACTGGGTGGACCTCATTTGCCCGCAGAATGGAACGCAGAATTGGTGGCGCAGAATGAGATGACATCTAGTAGGGCTCTCTCGAGTAGTGGCTGGAAGAAGACCTGATCTACACGCCACTTTCTAGCGGGACCACAGGCATCTCGCAGATTGGGTCGAACTGATGAACCTCTCAGTAGCCGCAAGTCTGAAAGTGTTGGGACCGGGCTTTCCGGCTCGGCTGTTGGTAATCGACTGGGCCAATAATTCTCGGAAGAGCGTGGTGGGAGGAAATTTAGAACTTACTGGTTGTTGAGGATGTCAGAATTTCCCATTCTCCAATCTCCACGTATTTGAGGCCTCTTCCCCATATCATATTCTTTCGTGCAATCGGTGAGCGGCTTTACTCGGTTCCAACTACGTCGGTGAGTAATGAAGACTTGGCTAGGGGATCCGCAACAGAGGCCCGGGAATTCCCTTGTCCTGGTTCGTGGTATCCGCGATATCCGGATCACCATGATATATCACTTTCGTAAACCGATGTCTGGTTGTGCTAGGCGAGCTACCAGTCTTACAAACAGCCAGGCGCTTCTATTTAATGAGACGAGTTGTGTTTATCAAGACGGCTGAATGGAAATCTTTTCTATAAACTTGTGTCCCTTGAAGTTTACATGGATAGAAATTAACATGCTGCACGACGGGCGTGGGAAAGAGATCTCCGCCGCGGAGAATTTCTGATGGACCCATCTCATTCAGCTCATATTCCGAATATGGAACAACAAACTGAAACGCGGTTCGTATCACGGCAAATAAGGTGAAGCCATGGTTGACCGCTGCCATTCAGTGCGTCGAGTGGAGCCTACTCTATCTTGGTATCTGGCCCTAATATGATGATCGGCGGGGACCCCATCGAATGAACCCTTTCATCTCGCGTCCCAGGGCCCGCTTGCCAATCCCTTGGGCCAGCGCACTCGAGATCTCCTAGCTTGGCCAAACTGATGTGAACTATCCAGTCACTGCCTCGGGTGATGGGCCGAGATCGTCCGGCGCTAATATCCAGGGGAGCGCTGTGTGTTGGCCCAGCTCTTCTCCAACACAACCAACGGAGCTCGTATACCGAGTCATTCACGCTGTGGACAGCTGAACACCAGAATTTGGAATTCTTAACGACCAATTGGTACCTGCTAGTCACGCCACAGCGGGAAAGCTATGGGGATAAGCTGGACGACAGAAACCCAGTGGGCTTTACTCGCTCTCAGCATCACCCACTGAGAACAAAAATACCGATACCACGCCCAGTATGGACCAGGATAAATCCATCACAACAAAGAGATCGGTATCCGATCTTCGTTGGGTTCGTTCATTGTCCAATAATGACGGATAACGTGGGTGTCTCCCCGACCAACACGCCGGGAGACAGCCGCCCAAAGCCGCAAAGGGCTGGCTGGAAGACATCGGCAGTGATCCAATCGTCTTCCTGTCATCAACAACATGGGGCATCATATCCACTCGGGTCTGGCGAGAGCCCACTCTATGGAATTGCTCGATCTTTGGGTCACATCCACCCGCAGGAGCAGAGAAACTCTGGAAATTTCACGGCGAGGACGGTCGTCAGGTCTGGATGTATATAAAGCAGTCCTTGATCCTCTCAGCCTCCCCCTTCTGGACAAGCTCCCCATCCTCTCCAACCTGGGCGAGCTTCTCAGCGGCCTGCCCGTCGTCAGCAACGCTGGTGACCTCAACAACGCTCTCGGTGGCAAGCTTGGCGACCTCGGCAGCGACAGCAGCCTGCCTCTGGATGGGCTTCTCGGTGGTTTGACAGGCTCTGGAGCTTCCACTCCTTCCACTCCTGCTCCCTCCGTCGGTGGCGGCAAGCTCCTCCAGGACCTCGCCCCCGAGCTTAACGATATCCTCGTTATCACCGGCCCCAACGCAAAGAGCCTCCTTCTCCAGCTCTCTCCTGAAGTTACTGCCCTTGTCTCCGGCCTCGGCCTCCCTGGTCTCGGTGTTCCTCTCGGTGGCGTCGTTGCCTCTGCCTCTTCCGTTGGTGACCTCGTCACTGCCCTTGGCCCTCAGGTCGAGGGTCTCGTTACCGTTGTTGCCCAGGGTGTTGGTGCTCTCTTGATCCAGCTTTCTCCTGAGGTTGCTGCTCTTGTCTCCGGCCTTGGACTCCCTACTGTTGGTGTTCCCGTCGGTACTGTTCTTGCCACCGTTGGAACCAACCTGTAAATGTAGCCCTCCCCTTCCCTCATTATCATCGACTCAAGCTGACCTTATCAAGATGAGCTATCTTCAACAGTTTATTATACCGAGTCCTACGAGATGATAGACGGTTATTGTCTATAATGATTGGGAGGAAGTCAAGATACTATTCAATATTTTATCTTAATTGTGTACGGAGGGTTTTGGTGCACTTTTTATCTAATATATAAGGTTATACATAGACTTCATGTATATATCTCTATACCATTCTTTGTGTACATCACCGTCTCTGTCCGCGGTATAGGAATACTTACTGCTGGGAGGAAAATATAATATTATTAATATAATATATCCCCTGGAAGAAACCCGTCGCTACCCATGTTTACAATGCCACCAACACCCTTCCTCTGGTAAACGGCACCACGGAGCTTCTATACATTCGCACAGCATACGTTGGCGACGAGAAGGATCTTCCAGTCAGTGCCGAAGCCTGCATAAAAGCCTGGATGCCGCCAGGTTAATTCTAGTGGGGGGGGATAGATACAGGAGAAGAGGAAAGGAAGGCCCTTCGGTTGGCTGCAACCTATATGATATAAAAAGATATATATGATTATTGTCTGATAAAAGAATATGATGGCGTCAATATTTCAACATGCTCGGGATCAACCACCCTGCCACACGGGGAAGGCTGAATCCTGATCCATACTGGGCCGTTGGGATGGATGGACATCGGCGGCGTCTGAATGTGCTAATCCGCTTTCCCCGGTCAGACTGCTTATAGTCGGGATAAACCCGTTGAAACTGGGGCATGTAACTATTCGACCATGTAACATTGTTATATATTCTTGCATATGCCAAGAAAGATAAATATATAATGGAGCGTGATTCAATGTCGGCTACCTGCCTTGATTCCGGGAGATAGCTATTCACTTGTTAATGGTGCTTTCGAGTATCTCACCATAAACATGGCAAATAACACGTTGGAATAAGTTAACTAGATAAAGAAAATATGTGTGTGGTCTGTCTATCCACGGCGTTTGTTCTAGTTGTGCAAACATTGGCCTTAGTAATACGTCTACATAACTCCCGGCACGTGCTCCCCCGGCCTTTTCCAGATCCCGCCGGATCCTGCAGTGATTCTTCCCCAGTGCATCCCCACGATCGTCATCTAAGATCATGTCAAGCCATGCATCGGATCATTTACCGGAGCTGGCGGGGAATGCAAGCTATATGCGATCGCCACTACCAACGCGAGTAAGCAATGCCTGCGAAAGATGTCGGCGCCACAAGACAAGGGTAGGCACTACACATTGCTCCGATTTTGGCGGCTTTTGCTAACTTCTCTCGCGCCGTGGCATTGGCTATGTAGTGCGACCCATTCCGACCTTGTTCTCTGTGCGTCAGAGCCCAAGTGAACTGTAGACCGCTCCCTATCAACAGGCCTCGCCGAGAGAGCACGCGACGGTAAGTGAGCCTGTGCCTTTAGTCTCTTGGCAGGGCTGACGTGAAGCAGTTCCAAAACAGTTGCGAGAAGTCGTCGACGAGAGACGGAATCACCCGGATCTGCTAGTGTAGGTGTGGAAAGTCCCGGTGACACTGGGACTCGGGCCCAGCAAGCAAACATTGCTGCGAATGAGAGTCATACAAATGTCCATGGCCAGCCCAGGCCAGTTGAGTATGGGGAAGCGGAATCGACATTGGGAATTGCTCAGAAAATCTATGGACTCGGCCGGCAACTCATCGATGAGCAAGCTACGTCCGCCATCCCAGGCTATCAAGCCAGTACCAGTGTGGCCGACCGGCACGTAACGACTGTCGGGCAACGGGTTCCAATTGCCTCGATATTGGGCCAGCCATTACCACCCACGGATGTCATGCATTCCTTACTCGACGACTACTTTGATGCTGTCCATTGGTTCTCGCTCGTCATTTATGAGCCCACCTTCCGCAAGAATCTCCTCTCTGTCGCAGACGGCTTGGCATATTCCTCCCAGAAGCCCTTTTTAATTCTTTTGGCCGTCGTTCTGGGGATGGGTGCATGGTACCGATCACAGCGGAAGGCCGCTGCCGCTGCCGAGAGTGACTGGAGACAAATGAGTGCCGGACTTCTAAAACTAGTCGAGTCGTATATTGTCGAGTTGATGGACCAGCCTTCCGTCACGGCGGCTCAGATTTGCATTCTATTTGGGTCTTACTGCGTTTATCATGGGCGGCCTAATCTATCATTCTCCCTCCTGGGTGCCACAATTCGGATATCTCAAGCTGCAGGTTTGCATCGTGACCCATCCAGAGGGAGCTTCGAAGAAAAAGAAGAACGGAAACGTGTTTGGTGGACAATATACACTTGGGATCGGTTTGCATCAATCACGTACGGCCGCCCACTCGGGATCAACGACCGGGACTGCAATATCAGCATGCCAGCGGATATCCTTGAGAATCCCCATTTTGTTGCACCAGCATCAGAACAGGGTTATACAGTCTGCTATTCTACGTATCAAAGAGAGCTCAACCGCCTTTATCTCATGGCATCTACCGCCTTGGAGGCTATCTTTGGCTCGCGCACCTCGGGCTCATCCAAGGCATTGGCCGGCGACGCGTTCCTTGGACTGGTTAAAGAAGCCACCCAAAATCTGCAGCAGTGGCGGGACGAGCTGCCTGGCACCTTGGTTTTGAACCTTGATGAAGACTTTCAGGCCGGCAGTGGGCTAGAAGCAAAGGCACATGCACTGCAATCGCTATCACTTCATTTGACATACGACAACATTCTAATCGTCCTCCACCGTCCTCTTCTGGCGCGACAAGTTGATCATCTATCGACGGATCCTTCCAAGTCTGGCCAACGCAGTGGACTCGCGACTAGCAACCGCCAACCTAACGCGGCCACACCAAACCAACCGGACTCACCATTTGAAGCTCTATCACCCAATGCATCTGTGGCGAGCTCCGTACATTGGTGGAACGCTGCATTGAGGACATCGCGGGTGACTGAGTTGCCCGTCCTTGCTCAATTTGCGACCGATAGTCATTTGGTTGCCTTCTTGGCTATTAATGTATTCAACGCAGCAATTGTGTTAGCGGTCATGGCCCTCTCAGATCCGCTGTCGGACACCGCGCAGATCGTGAAACGTACGATCACCCGCATCTTGCGACTTCAAGACCTTCTAGGTCAGCGCTCTGCGTTGTCAAAGCAAAGCACCACTGTTCTAAAAAATGTGGTCACACTGCTCCTTCGTCGTGAGTCTGAGGCCATCCTGGCGCCAATCGCAGGGGGGAATCAGGAAGAGGGGTACCCCCTGTCAAACACTGGGCTCATGTCAGTGGAAGACACCCTGCGGCTCCCTCTTGACGTCACGTTGGAAGCATCCGACACTGCCCTGCGACGGCAGGCGTGGCCGGACGTTTCCAATGCCCTCCGTCTGAATGAAAGCTTGGCCTCGGTACAATACGGTAAGTCTCCTGTTCTTGCCCGTATTTGGGCACCATTATTGATTTTTGGGTTATATTTTAGTTGTACCGTCTGGCAATGACGAACGGTCTTTTGGATGGTACGGCGGTACCGATACTCACCAAATGGAGGGTTCGGCCCAGGAACCCGCGGGTCATTCGTGGCCACCGTCTGCGCAACTTGACTGGAATGGTTCGAATATCCCCGCGGAACCCTTCCAATCTGGCACAGACCCTAACGGTGAACGTGGACTATATTGGTTGTGGGACATGTCCTGGAATGGACCAGAATTCTAGAACCATAGAGATGTTACAGAGACCATTGGCATGGCACTTGGTTTTTGTGGGTATCAAGTATGTCTGATGGCTTGAGATGTGACATTAATTAGACAGTGGTAACGTGGAGTTGGCTATTTGTTCGTCTACGCCAGGCCCGTAGATGACACTCTTGATGCCTTGTCGACTGGCGACGTTCTGGAATGCCTCTTCTGCCCGCGAGAAAGAGAACTCGTGCGTAACTAAACTACCCAGTCGAATGCGCTGGGAGTTAAGGAGTCCAACAGCCGTCTCATAATCACCTGGTCCATATCGGAAGCTTCCCTTGAACACAATTTCCTTGTCACATATTTGACCGACCGGGATGGATGGATTTGGTCGTCCCAGGCCCACCTGAACATATGTACCCCCACCGGCGAGGGCATGGACACCGCAGTTCATGCACGGCTCGGCACCGGTTGCATCAAGGACAACATCAGCTCCTAGATCTAAACCTGCTGTATCTAATATATCATGTGCGTTCTGTTCGGCAGACTCTGCCACAGTCTGATGCGTGTGCGTTGCGCCATACTTGTGGGCAGATTGCAACCGAGCGGACACAACATCCACCACAACGACTGTTGAGGCGCCAAATGCACGTGCGACCCCGGCGCAGAGTAAGCCGACGGGCCCTGCGCCAAAGACAATAACCGACTTTTCTTGCATATCCCCCGCCAACCGACAGGCGTGAACGGCAACACTAAGGGGCTCAATCAGCGCACCGTCTCGCAGTGATACATGGTCCGGCAGCTTATAACAGCACTCCGCGGGAAGACGATAGTATGTGGCCAACGTTCCGTCGTATGGAGGTGTCGCGGCGAAACGCATCTCCGGGCAGAGATTGTACCGACCAGCGCGACAATTGCAGCAGGTGTTGCATGCAATACCGGGCTCGAGTGCGACGCGATCGCCCACAGTCAGGCCTGATCGGCTTCCACTTTTGACCACTATTCCGGATGATTCGTGGCCAAGGACGATGGGGCCTTCGACGACATATCTTCCTATGCGGCCGTGTTGCCAGTAGTGTACCTGAAACAAGCATTGTTAGCGTCCACCATTCATGTTAACTGTAGCCAAATGACTGCGCACATCTGATCCGCAAAGACCCGTTGCGATCACTCGAACAATAACATCTCGTTCTGAGCGCAGAGCAGGCACATCCCGTTCCTCATATCCGAATGAACCTCCGGGATAGAGTAGAAAGGCTTGATTGACAGCCTAGTTGGCAAAGTAAGCACGTTGAACAACAGAATCGCTTCGTATAACCAACCGGGTCGTTTTTTGCGATAGTCATGATTGCGGTTTGTGTCTTTGACAAAATAACAGAATCACGGTGGTTGGGATCTTAAAAATGTTCGAGTTTCGCTTCTCTGCGGATTGATCGTATACTCCGGGGTTGCGGCGGTTCCGTCTAGATCCTCACGGTTCCGGCGGATGACTCGGCGAGCAGAGGCCCACTGCCTACTCGGAACCGGGTGGGTTTCTCCCCACGGAACCGAGAGAGTGAGCCCATAAAATGCCTCGTCTGGGGTCGACAGCCGGCACAGCGATTGGTCTGCATTTCGACCCTGGGCCCAAACGTGCAACTATTGGCGGATCCTAGTATAGAAAACCCCATCCCATCACCAGAACACACAATGTGGAGGGTTTCACGACCAGAGCGTGCCGTTATTCGGAGACACCAGGAGAACTTGGAGAAGCCGGAGTTTCCCCACGGGATGCCGTTCTGGGGTAGAAATAGAGCCCAAGGGCCCGTCCCGGTTGACAAAGATAGGACAATTGCAGTGCCTTATTCCAGTTGTTCACACCATGAGTGTCAGTGAAGTCTCTGCACGAGAACCGGCCTCAAATGCCGCTATCCAGCGGCGCTCACATGCAATAGCCGACCAGGTTGCTGAGCAGCAAGGCTGGCTGGAGAAGAAACTGAAGCCGAAGACCGTTTCCGCCAGATACCCCTTCAAAGGCACCCCATTGCTCTATGCAACCTGTGCCTTTGGCAGTCTGGGAGATGGCTTGTTTGGATACAACTCCGGTACGATCTCGTCATCCATCTATGAGGTTTAATGATGCTGACTGTGTAGGAATTATGTCCGGCCTGCTGGTTAACGAGGCATTCGTGGCCCGCTTCTTCAAAGACTACGGTGGTGCCGACGGAACGACAACCGGGGTCAATTCGTCTATCACCGGAATATCGGTTGCCTGCCTACAAGCATCAGCTGCCGTCGGTGCCCTCATTGCTGGACGCCTCGGTGACATCATCGGGCGAAAGAAGTGTGTTCGTCTAGGCGGATTTATTTACTTCTTTAGTGCCTTTATTCAGATGTTCGCTCCCGGATTTGGAACCTTCGTGGCCGGCCGTACCATCCAAGGACTGGGTGTTGGGTTTCTGTCCATGACCGTGCCTATCATCCAAACCGAAATCGCAGCACCGCACCGCCGTGGGCTGATGGTGGGAATTGAGTATACATTTTCCATAGCAGGTTATATGCTTTCGTGTTGGGTCGACTATGGGTTCAACTTCTTATTACCAAGTGAGATGTCATGGAGAGGGCCGTTTATTGTGCAGATTGCGCTGTCCTTCATCCTCTTGGCCATGTCCTTCTTCCTCCCAGAGACTCCCCGTTGGCTAGCGAAGAATGGCTTTATGGAGGAGAGTCTTCAGACAGTCGCAGACTTGCATTCCAATGGGGATACCGATGCTGAGCACGTACAGCACGTTTTTCTTGAAATCCAAGAAGCCGTCATCTACGAAACCAACCTCGGCAAGTCTAGCTGGACGGTAAGCATGTCAATGAAGCACAGACTATGGCAACTGACAGACTTGGCAGGAAATGTTTACCCGCTATCGCAAACGGACAATCGTCGGCATCACCGTTCAAATGTTCGCTCAGCTCAACGGAATCAACATCGTCTCCTTCTACCTCCCTAGTACTCTCGCTTCTGCTGGCTTCGACAATAGAAAGTCACTGCTGTTCACCGCTGCCAACGCCATTCCCTATACCGCCGCCACCGTCGTTACCTGGTGGTTAGCAGACAAATGGGGAAGAAAGCCACTACTTATTCTAGGAGGTGAGTTCCAGTCCAAAATAACTCCTTCGAGGCAAAACCTAACCATGGTCTCCAACCAGGTCTCGGAATGGCCATCCTCCTCGCAGTCGTCTGCGCCTTCACGCAAGCCAACCTCGACATCCAAACCAAAGCCAACGGCCAGTACGCCTTCGTGATGTTATACAATATCGTCTACGGATTCACCTGGGGCCCTATGCCATGGCTCCTGCCGGCCGAGATATTCCCACTCCGCGGACGCAGCAAGGGCATGGCGCTAGCAACAACAAGCAACTGGGTGTTTAATTTCATCATCGGCATGGTCTCCCCGGATGCATTTGCCGGTATCCATGGATACTTTTACGTGATTATCGCCGCGTTTTGTTTGTTCTCGGCTGGGTTAGTTTACTTTTACTACGTGGAGACGGCGAACCACTCGCTTGAAGAGATTGCGGCCTTGTTTGGCGACCAGGCGTTTGAGAATGAGGTTGTGGAGATTGGAGATGTGCGGAAGGATGAGGTTAAGGATGTCGTTTGATGGATATTCAACATTCAATATCTTGTCTGCTTGTGTAATTATGCTCCCTGTCTGTACTGTACTCTGCTAGATTCTGGAGTGTGTACCGCTGCGAGCGCTTGAACTGCCACTCATTTATATGAACTTGTTTTCTACGAGGGTCGATGGCCCTCCCTTTCTATTTTAGTACTCCAGAAACAGGACACAGGATAGTTATTACACCAATATAGTTATCACTACAACCACGCACGACGCGGTATATAATATATAAGATTGGCAGACTAGCAGGCCCGAATGCCACTTGGGAACTTCACTCGACGGCAGGTCCGAAAGGCCAACCAGTTTCGGATTCAAAACAGCTTAAAAACCAATGAAAATCCGTCTCTGTGCCAACATATGAGGACCACATATTTCGGCTTCAATGCCGCCATTCTCGTGAGCTCTTCCGAGACCACCTGAGCTAATCTGAAGAGGAGTCAGCCTGGAGACAGCAACCTTTTGAGGAAATATTACCCACAAAACTACTGGAACTGCTGCGGAGAACCAGGCCAGTTAGGAATACTTCGTCACAAAGTTTGGTCAAAGTTCGTCACAGTACATGACCGGGCGTTGAAAGTGCAATGAAAACAAGAAGGCCAGGCACGTATAACAGTGTAATACATGAGCCTGGACATCAGCAGCCAGGAGTGCCTCGCTCGGGTCCCTTTGCCAAATCTAGAGCCGGCTGGTGTCCACGTCACAACTCGGATTTCCACCCCCAGGACTGAAACACTATATCCTTGTCTCGGAACGTTTCATTACGGGGACAAGAAGACTCGGAAGAAAACAGACTCGACCGATGCGGGGTCCCTCCACGATGACCCGATGCCTCTTCAATGACACTACTAGTCCACTACCCCACAGTCTAGATTGCACAGAGCCACCTGCGGCCACTCCAAATCAGGAGCAAAGGCGCTGTATTCATGAAATACTAAATACACCATTTGAATCTTCCATGATATACCTATACCCATGCATCCAAGTTGTTGGGAAATTGGGGTCCTTTTTCAGGATTTACCCTTGCTAGTGGGACTATAGAAATGCGCTTCCCAAAAAAAGAAGCAGGACCCGTGACACTACTCACCTGATACTATTCGGAACGATGAGCCGACGTGGGGAAATCTGACATTTCGGCCCTACGGCGAAGTGGCCTGATTAATCTGGTCTGGGGGATCACCCGCTAATGCTCGGCCCGCACTGGACCCTTCTGGACCCCCATAAAAAACAAGCGCTGCAGCTTGCACCACATACATCTGAAATATGGGATCCGACCACGGTCTAGAGCTACCATGGAGTAGCTAGGTTATCCTATATATAATCTGGGGATGTTCCAAGCTTCTAGCATCCAGGAACCTTGTTCCGCTGATCAGAGCACATGACCTTGCTGTGGCGGCCGCGGCACAACTTTCCGACGCTGCATCCGTTGTCAGAAACCCGAGACCTGACAGCAACAGGACAATGTTATGATACTTACGCAATAGAAGTCCCTCGGAGCTTGCGAGTCTGCAGTCAGGAGAGGGGCTCATTGTGGCCTGGTGTCCAATTTGAGGCATTGTTTCCAGGGATGGGTCATTTGTTACCCCAGCCGATCCGATCTCCGCGCCGTTGTGTCGGCTGTAGAAGCCGACATCAGCTGGTGTTGCCACAGAATGCAGAAGTGTTGGACTGAATGCAGTGCCAATGTCGATATAGCAGCAAGTGGATACCTGTTCTTCGGTCCACCCGAGGGATCGCCACCATACTTAATCAGGGTCTTATGTGCCAACATCATGCACCTTCAAACCTAGGACCATGTTCCTTCCGATATAGAGAATCCGAGAATCCAAGAATCGGTAGGCTAGAATTGTTTGGAGAAATAGCCCTAAGTGACGACACCACTGGACCGTGCATCGGCGTCGGGAACGGAAGCCGAGAGGGGTCATGATATAGATCTGAACGTGGCCATGACTTCGCCCAGGCATTCCAATCTTTGCAAACGAACTTGATTGTTTAGAGAAAAAAGAAGAATTCATCATGTCATCTGCGGTCTTACACTATTTCGGCTTTGGCAGCGACGCCCCAAAGCCAGAGGTCAAACAACAGCCCATCCGTGCCCTCCCAGCGTCCTGGTACACATCCCCAGAGATGTACGAGCTAGAGCGCCGCGCTATCTTCAGCAGACGCTGGCTCTTCATGACCCATAGTTCGCGTCTCAAGGAGGTGGGCGACTGGCTCCGATGTGAACTGGCAGGGTTTGACATCATTATTATTCGAGACCGACAAGGTAGTATCAACGCCTTCCACAACATATGCCGCCACCGCGCCTATCCCGTCGTCGAGAACGAGGGTTCCGGAAATGCAAAGATCCTGGCCTGCCGATACCACGGCTGGTCGTATGGACTCAACGGCAAGCTCGCCAAGGCAACGGGCTACCAGGGCCTTGACTTTGATAAGGAGAGTAATGGCCTCCTGCCGATTCATACCAAGGTCGACGTTAACGGATTCGTATGGGTGAACCTCGACGCAAAGGAGATCCCAGAGGTTCCCTGGGAAGAGCACTTTGAGGGCGTTGACACACAAGAGCGATACCGGACTCTGGGCTTGAATTTCAACGACTACGACCTGGACCATTCCTATGAACTTGAAGGACACTACAACTGGAAGATTCTTGCGGATAATTTCAACGAGTGCTACCACTGCCCAACTACGCATTCTGATATCCCTAACTTTCTCAACTTGGACTCCTTCGACAGTGATACGAAAGACGGGCACATCCAGCACCACTGTGACCCAAATGAAGAGCAGATCAGGAAAGGTCTCTTCACCGCTAGCACGTACTATTTCCCCATGTCTGCTATGGTTATCTCGTAAGCATTCTCACCCTGAATCTCTGCCCCCGCAAAGTAATTAACACAGAATACAGACCCCATTTCATAATGGTCCAGAAGTTCCTCCCCCACGGCCCTGGTAGCAGCAAGATGGCCTACGAAATATATCGGAACCGCCATTCATCTGAATCCGACTTCAAGCTAATCAGCGACATGTACGCACGGGTGATGCGCGAAGACAAAGTCCTCTGCGTCAACGCACAGCGCAACCTCGAGCGCGGCGTATTTACCTCGGGCCAACTACACCCGAAGTTCGAGAAGGCGCCGCTGTTCTTCCAGAGTACGGTGCGGGATGTTGTTATCGAGCACTTTGAGAGAGAAAAGAATGCGGGCAAGGAGATTTGGCCGGCTAAACATCGGCTTACGACCAAGGATGTCGAGAAGAGTGATAAGGATGAGGAGATCTGTGCGGCATTGGCTTGTGGAAAGACGGCAGAGGCTTTGGTTTGGTAAATATATATTCTGATTTTGAATTTCTAGTCTTTCACTAGCGAGGTATATAGCGTTGTTGAATAAATTGCCGTTTTCTATTCCAGACAGCAAAATACAAGCACTTATCCTTAACATGCATTGGACGTCAAGCATAAAACTTGCACCCGGGCCGCTGTTCTTAAGCAAGAACCTGCCTCGAGTACTTCTCATACAACTCCGGATACCACTTCCTCCCAACATCCGGATGGCTGAGAATGCGGTTCCGCAGATACGCCTCTCCAAACTAAAGCACCCATTAGCAAACCACGTACGGCCGGTACCAAGAAAGAGAACGTACACAAGAATACAAAGGCGACAGGAACTCGCTCGGAATATCAACAGCCTTCTTCCTATCGTCAGACGCCGGGATACGCGCGACGATATGCGCGGCCGAGTCGCGGAGTTGATCTAGCGTTAAGTCCATCCGCACGCCGAGGAAGAAGGGGATGCTATAGCGGGTTTTGGTTGTCGGGGCCTATCCAATTAGTACATCTGCCATTCAATTAAGGCTGGTATAAGGACGAGGACGCACAATAACCCGATGCGTCGTCGCCGCACAGATCCCGCCCGTGATGGCTTCGAGGCCTTGCTGGACATTAACGACAAGACTCCCCTCGATCGGGGGCGCGTCAATCCACTGTCCATTTTTATTCAGAACCTGCAACCCGCCTGTATCGTCCTGCGATAGGAAAGTGAATAATCCAGTAGAGTCCTTGTGAGGACCAACGCCCTGCGAGTCCGGCGGGGACTGCGGGTATTTGATGAACTTGAGCCGGTCCATGGTTCCCTTGAAGTCGACGAATGTGTCTGGTGGGAGGGACAGACATTCCGAGACGAAGCGCATGAATTGTTGGGATAGGGTGGCGGATTTTGCGATGTAGTCTTCGACTAATTCTTTTACGCCAGGGGCGTCGGGGTACTGACTGTTCCCCTCTAGCCGGTCCCAGATATTATCGTCCTCTGTCCAGGTTTTCATCCCGGGGGTACCAAAGTCGTATTGCTTGTCATATTAGCCTATAATAGACTGAGATAGACAGGGATGTACCTCTCGCAGATCCGTCTTGGTGGCTGTAGTCTCAGCGCCGAGACGCGTATACCCCAAGAAGGAGGGCGAGTTGATCATGTCGCACCTCTCCTTGACCTCGGTAGGGAGATCAAACAGCTCGGGGAGCTTCGCGTGTGCTTCCGCGATGAGATCCTGAACCTGTTAGCTGGTTCCATTAAATAAAATGCAAAGTGAGTACCTCGAGTCCATGGTTCGTCAGGTACAGGAATCCCACGACGAAGATGGCCTGGCGCAGATCGTCCAGGGCCGCCTGCTTCGTCGCGGGATCCTGCAGGCGGCGCCAGTCGATGATGGGGATTGCGGAGAAGGTGTCGGACATGGTGGTCAAGTAATGTGATGATGTGGAAGATGTGGAAGATGAAGATGAAGATTGTCAGTTGATTTGTGTGTGTCGTGATTCGTGATTCGGCAACTCGGCGACTGAACCCCGCATCGTGAACAAAGTCGGGGAATGAACATTTATATTCAATGTTTACACTCAATGTTTATATAGTAGTTTATATGACTTTCCTACTGATAATCCTGCTCAACCTGCTTCACCCACGCAACAACCGCATTCTTCCCCCTCTCCAACGCCCTCCTCTCCCCAGGCTTACTCTCATCCCCCCGCGTCATACAAGCATGCTCAACGCCCGGAAAATGCTGCCAGTCAAAAGGCACCCCTCTCCTCTGCAACGACTCAAAGGTATACCCCTTCAACTCCGGCGTGAAGATCGGATCCAGCTCCGGCGCCAGAATCTGCACCGGCACCGCAACACCATCAATATCCTCCTTGGTTAGAAGACTCGGGTGCGCAGCAGTGATGGCATCGACAAGCGGTCTCTGCCTCTCTTCCCTTCCATCCTGGTTGATATCCTGCGCACCAAGTCTGAAAACCGCCCAGCCGCCATAACAGAACCCAACGGCGACAACAACATCGTATTTCTCGCGCAATGCCTCAGCGCACTTGAAAATCTCCGGCTCGCGGACCTCCCGTGCATTCCTCTCCTTGAAGCCCGGTAGATCGACCTCGTGGAACCGGCCGGCTAGTAAGGGCTCGAAGGGGAGGACCTCGCCGCCGAAGAAGTCGGGTATGTAGACGGTTGCGTTTGCTTCGGCGGCGTAGTGGTCTGCGAGGAGGCGGGCGTTGGGGAATGTCCAGCCGAGCAGGTCGTGGACGATTAGGATTGCAGTTGTGGATTTGGTAGAAGCAGGGTTGGTTGTGGGAGGGCTGGCGATGTAGGCCTGGTTATTGGCGAGGGTGCCAATCTGGCCAGTTGGTGTGCCGTTCCATTTGAATGTTTTGAGGCAGCAGGTGGAGAAGGACATTTTCTTTTATTGTATTCTAAGAGTTGTGATGGATGATTTTACGGTTGGTGTTGACTATATAACGGAGTATTCGGAGATAGGGGAGTTACACGGCGGTGATATGTTAATGTCCAACATGAGTATGACCAAACAGTTAGCTGAGTCCAGGACATCCTTCTGATAAATGTAAATGACAAAAGCTCAACTTTGTGATGATTTCTATTTGGATGAGGTGCAAATTAACGAGTTGGGCAGGCAGATGAATACTCGAAACGAAACGTGCACCACGTGGGAGCTTCTACCAGGGTCGACTACCAGTGCTTGTCTAGATCGACTTCGTAAATTATGACGGCGGGTCTGGATTGAGTCAACGCCGACCGACTGTTGGAATATGGGGGCCGAATGTCGCAGCCTGGGGCCGGAGATGGAGAGAACGGACGAATCCGACCCCGGCTCGGTGATAGCTGAGCCCCTGGCAGGAGTTTTGTCAGAGAACGAGTTAGCGCAGAGGGTGCGATCGGCGAAATAAGCGTCTCTGATAGGCACGGGCGTAAAAGTAAAAATAGAGGTGAGTCCTTGCGCGAGGGCCAGCTAGCACAGCCCTGTTGTTCAGGCAGCAGCGGGCAGCTGTTCCTCCGACTCAATTATGATACTCCGTGCTAAGAGCGAGCGCATTTTACGATGCGCCCAATCAGATTGCGGCTGACGAGCTTAATTGACTAGTCTGGGAATATCGCCCCGACAAACGCTGCATCCAGCGTGTCAGCATGCTAGGTAGATGTATTTCCGGTGTTGATAGCCAGCACTGCCAACATCAATCTGATCCTGCATTCTGGTATAGATGGGATGTATTTAAGGACCCTGAATTCCCGTCATCATCTTCATATTCATCAGCATCTTATCCTCATCCAGAGCAACAGCTTCAGCATCTACATTCCATCATTCTCTTTCAATTCGCATACGATTCACAATGACCGACAAAATGTACCCCAACGCAACGCTCCTGAACGAGCAGGAGCTGTGTACCATTGATACATGTCCCATGGAGATGGCCTCAGTGGGCTATCTCCCCGTCCTCTGGGGCCAGATCCTGTTCATCGCCATCTTCGGGGCAGCCCTCATCGTCCACATCGGCCTGGGAATCCGCTACAAGACATGGACCTTCAGCATCGCCATGTTCTTCGGCCTCATCGGAGAAGCAGTTGGCTACGCCGGCCGCATCAGCCTGCACGACGACCCCTTCAACGGCGACGCATTCCTACAGTACCTCGTCGCCCTGACCATCGCCCCAGCCTTCCTCACGGCCGCAATCTACCTCACCCTCTCGCGCGTCGTGGTCGCCTACGGAGAAAAGATCTCCTACTTCAAGCCCCGCACCTACACCATCACATTCATCACCTTCGACATCATCGCGCTCGTCCTGCAGGCTCTCGGCGGTGGAATCGCCTCTTCTGCAGACGAGGGCGACCAGGACCAGAGCGATCTCGGAGTGAACATCATGATCGCCGGTCTGGCATGGCAGGTCGTCAGTCTATTCATCTTCAGCGCCATGTCCACGTACTTCTTCCTGCGCGTCCGAAAGGCACCGGGCTCAAGCTTCAACGTCGAATTCGACTCTCTCCGCGCAAAGCCCTACTTCAAGGCATCCCTGTACGGTCTCGGCATCGCAACAGTGGTCATCATCGTGCGATCGATCTTCCGCTGCGCTGAACTTTCTGAGGGATTCGACGGAGAGCTTGCCAATGACGAGGTCACTTTTATGATCCTTGAGGCTGCCATGATTGCCATTTCGGTTGTCTGCTTGACCATCTTCCACCCTGGTCTTGTGTGGAAGGCCCAGTGGCACCAGGCGGTCTGGTCGACCCGTGGCAAGGGTCCTGAGTACCAGAAGGCTGTCGCTGGTGATTCGGAGATCTCCCTTACGCAGACTCCCCCGCATGCCTGGTACCAGCGTGAGAGCAATGCTGTTTAGGCAGGGTGTGGAATGGTATAGATTACATTGGTTATTATGTTTTGATTCAGCGTTGGTATTTCAGCTTGGCTATTTCCTTTGTTTGATAGAGATCAAGACCTGTTTTTAATGAGCGGAATGAGTTAAAATGAAAGTTTTTTATTTTCTAATCAGTCCTTCAATTGGCCAGTAACTTACAAGACCAGTCGTATCTGACAACGGTCTGATATAAGCGTGACTCTAAGTGGGCCAGCTGTAACTCAGCCTCAATTCAGCTGCAGCTGGAGGATAAGCCATTCTCCAGCAGGATAAGCCATTCTCCAGCAGGATATAAACTCCGCTCGGAGTATTCCTTCATCGGCATTCGGGGCAATTTACGGGCTGAAACACGTCATTTGCGATGCCATCCCCGACCAACGCATCGAGATACCGCCGTCAGACCAGTCTCCCAGCTACAGCACGGACCGGTCCATGGCGTTGTTAGCGGACGAATCGAAATGGAAGTTGGTCTACGCCTTGTAGAAGGGGCTGATCTTGCAGCCATTTGTTTGGTTTGACCGTCAAAGGACGGATGGTCCACTACTCAGCTCAATCACGTATCAGGCATGATAAAACCCTGCCAACCAAAAGACTACGGCCGTCAAGGCTATTGCCAATCTTGTTCTAGGTGGGCAGTGCCGCCTGAAGTCGCGCGATCTGGGTAGACCAATAGAGCAATAAATCACTAAGAAGATAGATTCACCACCGATACCAGTGGCTCAAACCACAAGGGAGAGCGGGCGACTGAGGGCGAAGACAATGAAGCCATCGCCATCCCGATCCCCTTCCCATGTCTTACACTCATATAATTAAACCCTCAACCACCTCAAAAGCACAGCCGCAACCACAACCGGCAAAACGCTAACCAACTCCCCCAATCCGGCAAACTCGGGCGGAATCCTAGCATTGACAAAAGCCCCAGCACCAAGCAGCACCGCGAATAGGTTATAGACAAAGCTCCAGCAAAAATTAAACTTGATCCTCCTTACCGCTTTTTCACTGATGGTTATCATTGTCAGAACGCTGAGTAGACTGGGCCGCATGAGCACCACATCCGCGGCAGATTTCGCGACGTCGCTTCCTGTTTCTTGGTTCATGTGCACGCCGATTGTGGAAGATGCCAGGGCGATGGCATCGTTTGTTCCGTCGCCGATGAAAATTATTGTGGCCTTGGTCCTGCGTGGCTGTTGATGAGATGAGGTTGCGAGGGCTTGGATGTAGGCCTGCTTGTCAGCTGGGGTGCAGCGAGAGCGGATGTTTTGATCTGGAATGCTGAGCTGCCTTGCAATGGAGCGGACGGGGCTGTCATCATCGCCTGAGAGGAGGTGAACGGATATGCCACGCTGCTGTAGTTTAGTGATGGTTTCAAGGGCATCGGGGCGAAGGGAGTCTTCTAAGCCAAAGACGGCGGCTAGGGCGTCGTTGACTGTGAAGCAGAATGCTGTATAACCTTGTTCAAGAACTGATTGGACTTGCGGGTTAGACGAGAGGTCGAGCCACCGTGAGTTTCCTGCTCGAACTGTAAGGCCTGGTGCAGATCCTTCTACGCCCCGGCCGGTTAGTACTTTTGTATTAGTGATGGTAGATGCTGATATGCCTTTGTCTTTAAGGTGCGCGGCCACCGCAGCCGAGATTGGGTGCTTGTTACTCCCGATTAGACCGAGGAGTAGGGACATGGAATCGTTAGTGCTGTCTATATGCTCAGCTGCAACCGTGAGCTTGCCTCGGGTGAGAGTTCCGGTCTTGTCGAATACAACATGCGAAGTCTTGTAGGCGACCTCGATACTGTCAGCAGTCTTGAAGATAACGCCGCGTTCAGCAGCAACACCACTAGCTATAACAATAACCATGGGCACTGCCAGGCCGATAGCGCAAGGGCATGAGACAATAAGTACTGTAATAGCATAGGTTATTGCTTCCGTAGTGGCTCGGGACCCGGACTGATTTCGCACGGCAACACCTATAGCAATCCAGATAACAAACGTGATGATCGTTAGAGTGACCACAACAGGGACAAAGTAGCTCGCCACTCGGTCCGCCATATCTTGTATCTTTGGCTTGGACAGCTTGGCTTGATCGACCATGTCCGCAATGATGGAGATCGTATTATCAGCAGGGAGCCGTGTCAACTTGACGGTCAGCGTCCCGGAACCATTCATGGATCCTGCGAGAACGGGAGATCCAGGAAACTTGTCTACTGGAATTGATTCCCCAGTGATCATTGATTCGTCGACCTCGGATGATCCTTCAAAAACTGTCCCGTCGGTGGGAATCTTGGAGTCTGGAATGACCTTGAAGAGGTCTCCATACTGCAGGAGTCGGACATCAACATTTTGCACATTCTCAGAATCATTTACGAGGATAGCAGTAGGCGTCTGTAGTGTCCGGAGCGAGACAGATTCAACGGCTTTCTGACGAGCAAGTGCAGCGACATACCGACCGACCATGATCAAAGTGACAAGCAAAGTACTCGTCTCGAAGAATCCACCAGTGGCCAGTGGCCGGCCCGCAACAAGGTATCCAAAAGAAACCACAGAAAAAATATAGGCAGCGCTTGTACTCAGCACAATAAGCAGGTCCATCTCAATGATTCTAGAGAAGATCAACGCTTTCAATGCCTTTGGATAGAACGGGCCGGCAATAATGACCTGGACGACTGTTGCCAGGGCCAGCGATGCAGAGCCATAAGCAATCTCCCTCTCCGGAAGAGGAGCCCAGGCAAGGACGAGGACAGGCACTGTCAAGATGATGGACAGAATAGTCATATATCCCACGTGCCGCACATGTTTGTTTCCAGCCGCGAGAGCTGGATCATGACGCGGAGCAGCCAACGAAAGCGGTCTATCCCAGCCCTGCTGCACCAGATCTCTCGCTCCGATTTTGGTAGCATCAAAAGCAACATTCACGGTTCGTTCATCAATAAGAGCCATCTCAGTCACACCACGAGGCCAGTCTTGTTTCATAAATTCAGAGGCATTAGGGACGACGATGTCCACTCGCGATCCTCGGTCCGTGACTCTTTCATACTTGAACTCGGTCGTCTTCTCCAGGTGCTTGAACACTTCCTCGAGGGACTGGATGCCGACATTAAGGTCGAATTCTGCCCGCGACAGCACCAAGCTGGTTTTAAGATTCTGGACTGAATTGAGAGCCCCCAGGTTTCGCTTAAGCTTGGTTTCGCATCCAGTGCAGGTCATTCCAGATATACTCAAAACGATATGCTCTTGGCTCATGATACCCTTTTCGAGGTCAGGGATAGCAGTGGGAATGACCTCTATGGAGTCGCTAGATTTTTCTTCGGTAATACCACAGGCTGGAAGCGCGGGTTTACTGCAACAGCCGCCTGGGCATGTATCGGTGCTCTTTGGGCTTTTTCCAGGGCAGTCACCAGTGGGCGCCCTAGGCGTGCTGCAGCAACCGGAGGAGCAAGGTTTCTCGGGAGGAAACGCGCCGGTAGGCCGCAAGGATTTACTGCAGCAACCATCTGGGGAGGCACTGGCCTCAGAAGTCTCCTTTCCAGAAGACAAGCGTTGCGAGGTTGTCAAGGACTGAGTGACATTTGATGTACCGCAATCTTGAAGGTGGGTTGCGGACGTCTCAGGCATACTGCAACAGCCACTAGAGCACTGTTTAGAAGCAACAGGCACCTCAGGAGCGCTGAGACAGCTGGTGGAAATTGACTTCCTTTTTCCCTCCGGACTTCCGCTACAGCGTTTCTCTGCGCCCGAAGAGCCCCCTTCGCAGCAAGAATCACGAGCAGACTGCAGAATTCCCCGGGAAGATTCTCCCGAGCGACGCTGTTGACGAAGGGAATTCAGTCTCGGCGGGACACAGCAGGATTCTTGCCCAAGGGCTATCAAAGCGCGGCAGATACAGCCCAGAGCATCGAGTTTCGCTGCGTATTTTGCACGCGCAGAACGGCGATGTTGGTCGCATGGGTTGCCGTCGGCGCTTCTGCACCCTGAACTAGGAAGACCTACAGTCCGCGTTAATACAGATGATCGGGATGGAAATCAGTTAAGCTGGTTGGAACTTACTTGAAGACGCACTGGTAGGTGATGGAATCTGTCTTTTATCGCACTCGCGCAGGGCGATGCGGTCCACGCAAGACATATCACAACACGGAGATGGCTTATCTTTGCAGCAACTGGGTTCGTTGGGGTCCTCTTCCTGCGGCTTCTCTGTGGTGCAGCAGCTCACTTGGCCTTGGCCAGGAGCCTGAGGAACACATTCATCCCGGGGCTTGATATCTTTGGATTCTCCACCGCAGCAAGCAGAAGAGCGAGAACCACCTTGGCAAGTCATGGCTGAAGCTTTGTCTTCGGATGGAAATAAGGGAGAATGGGATTCCAAGAAAGCGGATTGAAGTCAATCGAGGGTGTCGTCTGCCCCGCTTCACGGCATTCACTTCACGCAAGGGCCCGGAAATATCTCCCGTGTTCTTCCGACGGTCAGACATTCTTGCACAAGGCCCAATGTCCAGGACTGTTAGAAGAATATTTATGTAGAGTCCAGTGGTGATCATTATAGCGTGGTATTTAAATGAATAATATTTACAATATGTGCATAGCAGAAACAAACTAAGGCCCAGCAGGCCCTGGAAATGGAGGATTGCCTTGTTTACCAGGGTATGGCTCTCCGAAGCCCTGGCCAGGACCTGTCTGATGTCCTGGATTTCCCATATTCGGCCCTGTCCCTGGATGCTGTCCATGGCTCTCCAAAGGCTCCCCCGAGTAATACTGCTGTGCAGCACCTGGTGGCGGCTGGTACGGAGGCGGCGCTGTATGTCCCTGGTAAGAATTCGCCAAAGCCCCTGGCGGGACATCACTCGGACTGGGCCCTCCAGGGACATTGGTAGCCTGCTCAAAGGACTTATCCCCTTGAGCAGCGTATAACGTCTGCACCAGCCCAGCCACTTCTCTGCTCCCCGTAGTAACCCCTCCACTCAATATCTCCTTGACTGGTACTTTCCGCCCATAGAACCGCTCATTCTCGTCATTCCGCTCAATCACAATCGTCCCATCAATCTGCGCACCCGCATACAACCCCCTACTCTTCATATACGTCCAGATCGGCGCCTGTCGCTTATGGATTTCACTCTCCAACACTCCTCCCACACCCACCGGGCCCGCAACAACAGAGATCTCGCTCCCCAGCGTAACCCGCACCTTCGTAACCGCCTCCAGCGCCTCCCAGGTATTAATCACCATCACGCAGTCGTAGATATCTGCGCCAGCAAGGAACCCCAATCCGGCTGTATGCAGCATCAAGCCTGAAGGCGCACTCCACTGCCCTGTCTCTTGGTTCTTGGCGATAAGGACGCCGCTGCCTCCGGACCCGCTGAACCATAGTCCTGTCCGCATGGCTGTGAAGATCGCGATTCCTTTCGCTTGTTTGATTACCTTCGCGGGGATCTTCTGAAGCACCTTTGCTTTTCCGGTGGGTTTATTTGTGAATTCTTTCTTCTTGCCGTCCGTGGTCGCAGTCGCCCCTTGCGGTGGTGTAGTAGAGGTAGAGGCATCCTTCTCTTCAACATAAACACCGTCCTTACAGAAACTGCGCACAATGCGCGCGCACTTCTCACTTTCTTTATCCAGCTCCATCGGCCAGAAAGCTTCAGCACCGAGTTTATTGCTGAGACGGTTCACGGGCGTGCCGAGTTTGTCGAGGGCGGACCAGGCCTTGTCGAAGTGTTTTTTGCCTGTGGTCCAGGCTTTGGTGTTTGTGAAGTTGGACATTGCGAATATTGTTTATTATTGGCTTTATTGGTTTGGAGGTTTGTGGTGGGCGGACCTGTGTTTTAAGTAGTTGTGATCCAGGCAGAAGGATAATTATGACGTTTGCACAGCCTCGGTGGTTGTATTTATAGGGCGGCGGAGTTGGGCGGCTAGGCCGTAGGTAGCTGTTTATTGCTAGTCAGGTAGTGGGTCTATCGTCAGAAAATAAAAAAAAAAAAAAATATATACCCGCATATCAATCCATTGGAGTGGTATGGAGCGGGATCCTTGTTTAGGGCTTAGCTGAACCTGGTGGGCAGACAAACTTACTTGTAAGTGCAGGATGATGAGAGTGAAGAACCACGGATGGCAGACTTGCGCCACCAGGTCGTTCGAGCTCGGACCCAAATCCAAATCCGGCAGTTTAAATGCACTGCTAAGCATTTGATTTCTTCCCCACTTCTCCACTCCTCTTCTCGAGCCCCTCCAGGTTCGTTTCGTTCGACGAAATGGATATCCTCCCCTTGGAAATATGGGACCTAATAGGAAATGAAGTATGCCTCTCTACTGCCGCCGTCAAATGAAAGCTAACGATTGCAGCTCGCCGAAGATGGTTCACGACAGGATCTTGCCTCCTTGAGACTGGTAAACCATCTGTACTGTCAGATAGCAACACCGCATTTGTACCGTTCACTACATCTTAACACGGCTCAAGATGATATTGACCAGCTGCAAGTCGGCGGACTGGGACATCCGTATCTTCAACACACACGGCACCTTTTCGTGAGGTCCAAAGGCAAGCCTTGGGCTCGTTCATCAATAACCGAAAGGGGGATCCATCAATGGGGGGCAAACATTAATTACCGCCCGTCGCCGACGACAGAGGGCGGGTTTCTGGATGCACGTCTCACGAAAAGTCGAGTTCCTGATATAAATTCCATCAAGACCTTCCGCGGCAGTTGGGAGCCACTTGCTTCTCTTATTGCTCGCTTCCATTGTCTCAAACGCCTAGACTTCTGCGGAATTGCTCCATTTCCAGCTACCGTTCAGGAGGCCTTGAGCCATCATCCTAGTTGTCAACTCAATCTGTGGGCAGAGCACAGCGTGGGGTATAGTGAAATGGCCGGCGAGAGAGATCCTTATTCCATATGCCGTCTACTACGATGTTCCAATCTCCACACATTGGCCATCCATACAACCTGGAGAAACAGTACGCTACCAGGCTGGGTCAACCTTACCGACCAACTTCCCTTTATCTTTGTTGCTCCGAAGCTAAAGAACCTTGTCCTTTGCGGCTCCGGGGAACATATGTACGCGTATGAACCATATCGGCAATGGGAAATATTCGATAGGCGGTGGCGAGAGCTTGCGGCCCGATTCGAGCATGCCCCTGTATCTCGCCTAGAGACACTTACCCTGGCTAGCGAACATGAAATGCTCCTGCTGAGACTATCAGAAGCCGTCGATCTATCCTGCCTCCGTACTTTAAACCTCCACGGGCTCGGGCGAGTGGAGCTTCTGGGAGATATTTCCAAGGCCTTTCCAGGTCTACAACGGCTGTCGATCAACATGCATTCATACCACTGGCCTACCACGAACGTTGACAACCAACAGGGCATATCGGGTCTAAAGCTGTTTCCACCTCTCAAATTCCTTACTCTCCGTGGCCTCCGGCAGGCATCCAGCGTCTTAAACATTCTTCAACGACACGGCCCGTCTCTAAAGGGACTAATTCTTGAGACGGTGCCGGAATATCCTGGTCAGATGGAATATTCATATCCAAAGTTCACTTCCTCCGAGGTCATTCAACTAGCATCTCTCGCTCCATATCTAGAGGACCTCCAGATCCAATGCCTCCGCTCAAAAGGAAATAAAGCAGAATGCGACTTCTATGGAGCCCTAGGCCACTTTCAGAACCTACGCAAGCTACTCATTGAACTCGACTGCAACGTCTACCACCCACCACCTGAAAGCACCGCCGCCCAAATCCAACTTATGAAAGACGGATTCATCAATGCCACCGTGGACACCAAACTCGCGCTGCAGGTGTTCTCTCTTATAACCAGCCACCAACCCTCCGGTCGTTTAAGAAAATTACGCCTAGCCCCATTCATAATACACGGATCCAATGTGGATACACTGCACCATAATAATTTTCTGGCGAAACAGGTGTTGGTATCGAGGTTTCCGCTGCGGGTAGAGGAGGTTGGGAAGAAAGAATGGGAAATATTTCACAATTTGATTGAACCTAGTCGGCTGTCTTTGCTGGCGGGGCTTGATCATCTTCTTGATGAGACGTTGCCTTTTGTTCCTGGGAGGGAACCGTCGTGGGATCGCTATGAGAGTGGTCCTTTGGATGTGGATGATACCTAGCCTAATAATTCAGCCAATATGCTTACTCTATATACTACAAGTGGTGCACTTGATTAATAATAAATAAGAGCAGCCCTACTCCCTGCTTCAGTCTATCCAGCACTTTCACGTTCCAGAATGGATGCAATGGACGTATCTCAGCGATGCTAACACAGTGAATGCCGTGTTCCTGGCACTAAATCCCCGGGTCCAGTGAATGTCCATGCTACCGCTGCAGGTACCGGGCCTTATTCTCTAGTCTGACCAGAGACAAGCCCCCCACCCCATAGTCTAATCCTGCGCATATTCATCAGTTGTGGATCATCGCTATTTATATTCTTCTCTCGTCAAGTTCCCTTGGAAGAGCCACAAATGTCTTCAGATTGGCGACAACTTGTCCTTCGCCTACGAGCTTTCCCAGTTCCATCTCAAGCCGTGAGAGATGGTATTTCACATGTCTCTGGGCTTGCAGAAGCCAATGTCTATGCCGGGCCTCATACCTATTTTTCCCTTTTGATCACGATGTCCGGAGCATGTCCCAACTAGCGCAGCCCCAATCGGTAAGTTACTTTTCTAAACGAGGACTTTATGGTAATCCTCAAGTGAACTCGCCATCTCTTCGCTACGATCCCTCGTCCTCAAAATCTGGTTCATGCTGTTGAGTCAGTAAGAATATCTTGAGCCGGGTGAATAATGGTATTGTTAGTTCACCTGTCTATTCGTACTCGTTTTTCACGCCATCCAGAGCCGCCGTTAAATTTAAGTATAGGCATATCGCACACCAAAGAAGGCACGGCACAATTATGAATGAATGAGATATGAAACTGCCCTACCATTCACTCATCACGTGGTTGGTATGAATGCGCGGATTTCTCAACAACAACAACAACACAACACAATACACTCTTTCTCTCTTCTCTACCATCTTCATCGCTTCATCACGATGTCGGGCGTTCTTGATATGTGCGAGAGGTCTCCTACCACATTGCCTCCCATTGTGGCACCTCCTCCCACGCCCACGGAGAATGTCTTCTGCCTCGATCGCCACGGCGATGTGACGCTCGAAATATACGGTCTGCACCGGAAGCTCATTGATCTCCTCCTTTCTGAGCATCTCACTGTCACCAAAATGAGAGATCTACCCATCCTCGTCGGGGATTCTAGCGAGGACCCCGACCCCCAGGGCCGCTCCGTGCTCTTCCTCTTGTCATCTAGACACCTCATCCTAGGAAGCTCGTACTTCGCAGCTCTCCTGCGAAGCATGGATCGAGAGTACGGCAGTCACATACAACAGCACAGATTCGTGCATCGTACCAGGAGCAACGGCGTTGCATTCGTTTACATGCTTGCTCTTCTCCACTGCCGTAACCACCTCGTCCCCAATGCCGTCCCCTACCATATACTCAGCGATATGGCCATCCTCGTGAACTACTACGGCATCTTCGAGGCTGTCAAATCCATTGGCGACATTTGGATCAACAATTTGATTAACTCCGTGATCCCAAACGCACCTGCACACCTCCAGCTGCGCTGGGTGATGATCGCATGGGTCTTTCGCCGCGCCGACCTCTTCACAAACTTGACCCGCGATGTCATAACAATGAGCACCGACAAGATTGGCACGACCTCCATGCTCCCAATCCCACACATTGTCCTAGGTACGCAGCCCTAGCCCATCTAGGTATTGACAATCGCTAATCCGCCCTCTCTAGACAAACTCAACAACGCGCGCGAATACCACCTCGGCGTCCTAATTCAGCTACTCAACACCCTCCCCGCAACAATCGCCCAGGGCTGCCTCAAAGAGTACGAAAAATACGGCTGCGCAATTGGGACCTTCGCCGGGGACGTGTGCACCGAGTCCGCCAGCCTCATATGCCATTCCGAGATGAGCCGTATGGGAATCAACCCGCCCCCCACCGACCCCGACTTCAGCGGCCTATCGATCCAGAATATCCTCATGCAGTGCCAGAAGGTGAGAGTTACCGATGGTCCGGCTGAGTATGGATGGGCGGATGAGCACCGTGAGTGTTCGCTTTGGTGGCGTGTTGCTGTGCTGCTTGAGCGCTTCCAGATGCCTGCGGGACTTGATATGAAGGAGCAGGAGTTGGAGATTTATTTGCCCCTTAATCTTGTCTGAGATGGGGTCTTTTCTTGTGTTGGTTATTTCAGATATGAAATGGTTTTGTTTACCCTTCTTAGGGTTAGTTTTGTTGTCTTAACGGTTTTTCGCCCGGCCGAGGCATTGGGAAGGATCTTGTTCTTGTTGGAGTATATTTTCTCCCTGGTTATGTAGCACATGGAATTCTAGTTAATGAAGTTATGTAATTCGCTTTTTCCGCTTAGAATTTATACAAGATAAATTGGCGTTGCCTGGATGTCTCACCAAAATGGCATCGAATATCCATTTCCCATCATGTCGATATTCACTGTACATTAACCGAAACACCAACCATCAACGGGAGGTCACACTGGAGCCCTTTGCACTCAGTTGTGTACTTATCCCCTGTTATAAATATTGCTTGTTGGCCACGGTCAATAAATTATTATCTTTCATGCAATGTAGAAAAACAGCCAATACCGACAATCGCTTTCTATAGTCGAATGGATTTCAATAGGCTTATCTTCCTGCTTCAGCCTGTCTCCACCGCTACACTATCTACTATTGCTAAAGTTGGCTTACAACACCAACGCAATGTACTGAGAGGGCTAAACCCACTCCATCACCTGAAAAATACTACAAGCATAAACCCATGCGCTCGACGTTTTTTCTCCTTACAAAACGGAAGAGGGACAGAAAAGTCTGAAGTGATAGTTGTGTGTGCGGTCACGTGGACACACCGTGGGTAAAACAAAATCAACGAACGACTTCTTGCGATCTTTACAACAACATCCGTGATTCATCTTCCCCGTTGCCGCTGCCGACGTCTGCATCATGTTCGACTTACCGACACCTAATGGGACTCCTTCGCCAACGGGAGCTAAACCCAAGGAAACCTTGATTTATACATTCGATCCACAAGGGGACGTCACGCTGGTGCTGGACAACGCCCCCAATGGCCTTCCTGCTCGCTTGGATGATCTGCGACTCAGCCCAGGCGGATCGTCGTACTTCAGTTCTGGCACAACCTTCAAAATACTCCGGATTCAGGCCTCTTCCAAGCATCTGGCTTTAGCGTGCCCTTATTTTAGCCGGATGCTTCGCAGCAAGTTCAGCGAGGGCGCGCAGCTTCAATCCCAGGGTAATGTTGAGATTAACATCCACGAGCCAAGGGTACCGTCCTTCGTACTCCTCATGTGCATTGTTCACTGCCGGATGCAGCATGTTCCAACCGTGGTACCGCTATCAACACTGTCGGACATGGCCGCTCTCGTCGACTACTATGAATGCTACGACGCCGTCGGTGTTTTTGCGGATCTCTGGATTCGCGCATTGGAGAACCAACTCCCAACGGCCCCAGAGCTTACACGCCCAGCCTCTTACTACGACCGGTCTCGAAACGACCAAGAGAATTCTATTCGCAATGCTCTAAACTGGGTCTTGATATCCTGGGTCTTTTATAAGAAAGATATATTTCAAAAAATGACCCAATATCTTCAAGATCACAGTGTAAGCCAGATCATAACTAATGGCCTTCCAATCCCAGCGGCAATTATAGGTTTTCCTCCCTCCAAAAACGACTGTATACATACGTCGAGTCTTACCAGCTAATGCGTCATATTGGAATAGGCAAATTGAACAACAAGCGAACTACCTATATACAAATGCTGATTGACGATCTGAACAAGTTACATTCCAAGGTGGCAGAGGGCTGCATTAATAACTCCACCTACTACGACAGCTCTAGTAAACAGGAATGTACGTACCTTGTCCTCGGAGCACTGACGAAACGGATGATGGAAATGAAACTGGTACAAGCACCAGCACCGCAGAGTCCATTTCTAGGGTTTGGGATAAATAAGATGAAGACTCTCTTCCGTGACACATTCAAATCCCCAAACCGCAATGGTTATCATGAACGCTGTCAACTATCCTCTCGTATTACTACCATGCTTGATGGCTACTCCGACCCACTTGGTTTTGATATTGACGACCCGGACTTCCCGAGGCATCGCAATACGTGACGAACTCAGTACATTATATTTATTGAAGTCATATATTTGCTCCACTACCGCCTCTGTCTATATACATTTGACAAGCTCCTCGACATCCCAGCCAGTCTGAGCATCGACACTCTCCAGCTGCGCTCTCTAAGCATAACCCAAGAGTGCTCTCCGGCATCTGGAATGGAATCAATTCTTGTCGAAACAATCAAATACATTGTCAAGAGGCTCATCTTTCTCGGGAACCACAACCTTTGGTGTATGATTGGGAGTACAATAGCCTATTACACGGTATCCTGAGATAGCAGCCTTAGGATTTGTTTCATCTGCACTTATCATTTCCTCACATTGTTTGCAATTCCAGTTCCGTACTTTTGGGTTGTACCAGGTACATAATTTTGCATAATCACTCGCGCGACAGTCAGTCAATACTTAACATTCCGTTTTTCTAGCCCTCTACCCAATGTTCTAATGATACAAATCTGAAGTATACAATTGATATTCTGCCATCGAGGCGTGGGAATAGTCCGAGGCCGGGCTTCGCTACGCTGGTGCGGTATTGGTGAGATGGGATGATGAGGATGACTCGTCTCTTGGTGTAATATCACCCCTTTGAATTACCCGTGGCGGGCGTGTAGTCGAGGACTCCCTGGGCATTCCGTCCCGAAATCTCGGCCGGGTCTGAATAATTTCTAGTACTCTAATTAGTACTATTCCTGTTTGTGGGCGACTTTGACTTGATCGGTGGTGTCTGTAGACGTGAAGATTCTTTAGAATTCCAAAAAACAGATCTTTCATTCCTTTACTAAAGTAACCTTACTATTCATCATCTGCAACTCAAACGAAAAACTTTGGGTGGAATGTATGCCCGGCTGAACATGCCACCCATATCCAGCACCGCAGCAGCAAGATGCCTATTTCCCCGTAAATTGTTATTTTTTGCCCTCACTTATGCAAGAGAGCTTATATATAGAATAGAGAACGTGTTCATTTTGATGTTTCTCCGATATCTGATCAGACAAGGGGCCACCGCAAGACAACCAAACATTGAACCTTGGCCGATAGGTCAGTGATTTTTACCCGCCCAGTCTTAGCAGCAGAATATGGCGAGAGTTCTATGCGGACTGAATTGATCGAAATCGGTTGCCTTGATTTCATTCTACCGTAAGTGTCAGCTCTATGCCGTGTTGCAAGGTGAAAGCAACGGGCAGCTTCAGTTCGAGGGGTTGTCCTAGGAACCTACCAGGAAATCTGATCATGGACTCTTGATTTCCGCGTAATATTCTCATTTGAATCATATATCGAAATTCGATGTTCATGGCGAGTATTCGCTTGGTTTGCAGCAGTAAACAGTCACGTGCATACTTGAGCAGGTAAACAACGGCCGTAGAATCCCATCTTCACTCAACTGTGTTACCCACACAACATCGTTTCTCTCCCCGTAAGCCGTTTGAATCAGGATGACAGACACCAAGACAATAGCAGTTGAGCCAGGCAATGTGAATCCCTCTTACGAGATAGACCCAGATGGCGACGTTACCTTGGTGGTCCACGACATCCCTCGGGGTCTCCCCGCAGGCTTGAAGGACATACCGTTAGACCTTCTCGCTGGCAATACAAAGCCACAAGAATCAACCACAGCGAAAGAGAAGGATTCAAAAACTACAGAAAATGCGGACTCGGCTGCGCGGCATCTTCGGCTTCGCGTCTCCTCCAAGCATCTGTCCCTTGCTTGTCCACACTTTGCGCGAATGTTCAGGAGCGAACTCCGAGAGGGCATTGAACTGCGAAATAATGGAAGGTTGGAGCTGGAAGTTGATCAGCGATCTGGAACCGCGGTCTTACTGCTCATGTTGGTGATCCATGGTCGTACAAGACAAGTCGTCGATGTGATGTTGCAGTCACAGGCCAGACTACAGGGATTAGACCTGGATGCTCCAGAATTTCGTGGACTTCATCCGAATAGATGGACCTGCTAAACAATACATTGGCCTCTTGCTCTGTCTACTTGCTATCGGAGCAAGATATAGACCTTTGAGCCGTTAGTGGCTGTTTCAATCTACCATGCCCGCAAATGTATTTATTTTACACCATCTTTAAGCGCCCAGGCTTCTCCTGCACACGCTATAACACTCCAAGATACAACTATGGCTTTGTCTGATATTAGTCGCGGCCATGTCCCACATTAAATCAACCAGGCACCGACTGCGCTGTGAAGGCCCAGAGTTTTAGAACCCGTCAACCGTGTTAAAGCTTTTTCAAACTACAATCCATTCTCCCCGGTTTCAATCTCAACTGGGAAAGGTAAATAACTAGCCTGACAATCCACCATTGAATATCAAGTACGCACGTGTCGATCAACTACAACAAATTAACGGCGCCCAGCAATAGACAGTGCACTCATTGAAGCTTCCCGTAGCTGTGTTGAACCCAAATAACGAAAGGGCAAACGACGAAACCCACGAATTATGATCCGATCCCCTCTCTTCATATGATAGGTATTCTTTCCCGCAAGGGCTATCTCCCTGACTCCACCTTGTTGGTCTTGACCAACGCAGATATTCTCACCACATTGCGCTAGACCAGCACCACCGGAACCCCGACGGACCGAGAGCTCGCGTAGGACGCGCGAGTATCATCGTTCGAGCGAGCCTGGATCCGTTATTCGTGTGTTTGTCATGTGGGCATGGACTCCTGACTGACTGTCCCACGTTGGGCCAGCTCCGGTCCCGCCAGAGCTGTCTAATTTGTGCCAGACCCGAGTATTGGGTGCATGGGAAACGGTCATGGCTGTCTGACTTCATTACAGCCAAATCGCGGCTGCGCGACGCCATTGATAGCCTTACGACAGGTTCACCTCAATCGGAGCAAGACAACACCGGTTAGGGGAATGTCACTATTACTAGCGAACGCAGCACGTATATTATGGCACTGAATGTGATGACATCGGGGGAATTGAGGTCCCCGTATACCTCCCGGGCGATCCCCGCGAAGTCTAAAGTGGCCAAGCCGTCTTCTCGGTTGATCTCAATGTGCAGGCATACCCTGAACGCATCACTGAGTCATGTCATTTACTGCTTGCAGTGGGAGGCCGGTGGCCTGATCATGGACCTTTCTGAGATCGCAAACCACCTTTTCGATTTTTTTTTTTTTTTTTTTTTTTTTTAATTCCCTTCCTGTATTATTGGATGGGATTTAGCACTCGGTCAACCGTGGATAAAAGGTTAAAACAGACTTGGAGCGTGAGAAACCCATACTTCCATATAGACGCCTAGATCAACCTGGTCCCCTTTAGATTCACAGCCACCTGCGCCTGCAATTCGCTGAAATTATCCGACTTTGTTCTGTGGTGCGTCCAGGGTACGTTACCGGTTTCCTAATCATAACCTCCGCCAGGCCCTGCTCGTCAAATACACCTTCTTTGACAAGCTGAATGCCGTGAACGAGGCACCCTTCTCCGGATCCCTTTTGAATGCGGCGGCATCGACCCAGCATATGCCTCCGGTATCCGCATGGTATCCTCGCAAAATTCAATAATAGATTTAAAAATACTTGAGGTACTATAAAATAATTTAAATTAAACAAACTATAGTATGGGTAGGTCTAACAAACTACGGTAGTTAAACTTAGAAGAAGCATATATGTTATTATCTATTTATTTATAAATTACCACAGTTTCTATGGTGATCATATACAATTCCGAACCTGCAGAGCATCCCTTGGCAGACCTCCTGCACCAAACCTTTTGGTCCACGCCTGGGTGTCCTTCTCTGGATCATCGGAGGTTGGATGCCCAGCGCCTGTCCGCAACCCCTATATCCGCGATACCACGAGCTTACATTGCCTATTCCTGCTTTTGAACGCCAGCACTACATAGTATTTCCCTATGGCGAATGTTGCGCCACCCGGGGGCCTATGATGCCTAATTCAGGACACAAGGAAATTAAAACTGAGACCCCAGTAGAAGGCCTGTCCAATGGAACAGCCATGGACATGGCGAAAGAGAAGAAGCTCGTGGCAAAACTCGATCTTTTTCTCACCCCAGTGCTGTTTGCGAAGGCTTCCTATACGCATATGAGGTTGAGGGGAACAAAGGGTTCGTTAAGATCGGATATACCTCTCGCACAGTTGAAGAGCGCCATGACGAATGGTCATTCGAGTGTAACAGGCTTTGGAAGCCCGTCTACTCTTGCGTCTTAAATAAAAAGGCTGCCGTCCCAAATGCAGCTCGTGTGGAGAAGCTATGCCACGCAGAGTTGAAGCACCGGAATACTTGGATCTACTGCACTGGCTGTCTAATGCTGCATAAGGAGTGGTTTGAGGTGTCCTCTTCAGAGGCAGCCTCAGCCATCGAAACATGGTCAAAATGGATGTGATCCGATCCATACCAGCCTGACCCGATTGATGGCTCAAACCCACAGGTCCTTCGGCCGGACGAAGCACTGAGGTCGAAAAACATTGGCCATTTCCTGAAGCACGTCGAACCCCCAGGTACTGGGGGATTCAGAGATGAGGAAGCAGAATGCCCCCTCTATACCTCCCGGCCAATAGTTACACACCCTGGGTCCCAAGTGCTAGTTGCTGCGCAGGAATCTATGACTTGTATATATGGTTAGAAGGGTGTTCAGAAGAATTTCCCTAGCAAAATACACTCACAAGATGGGGCAGCAATGCTAAGCGTGGCATGGTCCTGGTAGGTGTAGCCGACAGAGTTTTCGACAGGATCATCGTGGGCCCTCATTGTTCAGACGCAGTCTTTGTGCTGATAGTCGTCTTGGTGACTTCAGAACCTGGATTTATACCATTTAGCAGTTTAAGCTTGACAGCAGTTTCAGAAGTTGAAGATCCAGCGAATAGTCGACCATTCTGCCCTGCCAGGACCACAATTATCAAAGTTAATTCCAGGAGAAAAGTGGTCGCTGCTTGTGTCGAAGCCCTACAGCGCCTCCACCATCGACGTCAACGACAGCAAACACGAGAGCGGGTCTGAGTGTCGTCTCATCATGGAACCGGATCTCATCGCACAGCCTGGGACTGCTTCCTGAGCAGGAATGTGCTCCGATAAAGTTCGCACAAACCATCCTGTCTCCAATGTGCGGAGCCTGGGGCACTGTCGGTATACCCACAAGTCAACACGAAGTGGACCACGCACGAACACCAGGTCGATTAGGTCTAACGGTGACCTTTTTCGGTCAATCGATCGGAATCAATAACCCACCACTGGTGGATATTGAACTTCTCCAAGGCACAATCCCCCTGCCTTCCCCTCTGTCAATAACCGGCGACAGGGGGGTGAGATTACAGGGTAGTCTGCAGGAATAACGCTCACACACAACCTCGAGAAAATCACTCTGATGCGAGACCATCGGCCTAAAGCCAGCCCGACGGCGGCCACCGGGAGGCGGAGGGCCGAGAGATCTTGGAGGACCCTTCTCAGCTCGCCAGGGAACATGCCGAACTATTGAACCTTAGCGTCTGCGACGAAGGATAGGCCCATGTTCCTTTCTCCCGAAGGTTGAGAGGAGCGATCAGGGTGATGGGGTGCAGGGTTCTCCGCACGCCGGCGTCAGTTGATACAGGTACAGCTTCGCTGCAGTCCTATCACAAAGACGCTCAACATAAGCCGGAGTGAAGCAGTTCGCTCAACGGATTTCTTTCGGCATTTGCGTGCGAGAAGAAACGGGGGAGGCAGGGATCGTCCTCGTGGAAGGACAGACCGAAGTGGATCATATTTTCCACCATTCACAGCCCACAATCCATATTAAAAGGGAAAACCTTGGATACGAGTTGACGCGGCCAGAGAGCCAGTATCTGAGACACGATGGAGCTTCGATTTCTTGCCAGAGCACGGCCGATGGGGCGCCCGCTGATCTATCGGTGGATTGCTGTCGGGGGATTTGTGTACGGAAGGAGATGTCGCACGCTGCAAGAGCAGTCTCCTGCCCAGTCGAAACAGCGGCTGTTGGATCACGACGATCATCGCCATCGAGGGGATGCAAACTCGTAAATGCCAGTCAAGTCTAGGACGCCGGGGCCGGTCTCGGGGTGACTCCCACCGAATCAGCAAGGATGGCTTTGATTGCCGTGATGGCTTTGATCGCATCCCACGTGTGCCATCTTCCAGAGTCCTTCCATAACGGGCACTATCAATCAATAAACTCGCGCTACTCAGGGCCGGTCCAAAGGGCAGCCCCGCGGATGATGGATCGGATGGTTGGGCTCGGAGGTCGGAGAACAAACGATTACGCTGCGAGATCCGCCAGATCAGTCGCAGGTCTTACGCGTCCCTGTGCGAGCGATGAAAAAGAAGTCGTTTTCTCCTCCAGGGCTCGTGCCCTGCCCTGAGTGAAACGCTCCACCCTCAACCAAGGCTGCCCTAATTCCGGATGGCACGCGGCGTCTCCGGCGCAGTTCCCCAGATTTTAAGCTGCTGGCGTCATACAAGTGCCGGATACAGAAACAGATTAATCTGGGGCTACGGAAGAGGGCCAAATCGGGGAGTGGGTATGCATATCAACGTGCACTTGCATGCACCATTGACTTTTGCAGGATTTAGACGCGTTCCATTAATATCTGTTGGCCAGGGTTGCTCACCACTGTATGAGGTCAACTCTGACTCGCCAGATCAGAGTTTGCCCTGAAGCACAGAGAAGTGTCTTTTGTGGATTATAATACGGCATTCATTCTCTTCAGGGCCTTCTTTTCACAACTGAAGAGCTTGTTTGACCATCCTAATCTTGCATCTCGTGATGGCCAACTCACCTCAGATAATCGACATGGGCCAAGGCCTCGATAGACCGGACAGGGTCCAGCGGGCCTGCGATCGATGTAACAATTCTCGGACTCGGTGCAGCGGTGAAATTCCCTGGTATGGCATCCTCCCATAATATTGACAGCAGGAACTAACCTCATTGTTTTCCAATAGTCGACGTTGTGCTAGTATGCCTGCCCTATTCACTTTGAATCATCTGTGTATTGCTGACACAAACAGAACTTAACTATCCCTGCCAGTATCAGCGTGCTGTGAAAAAGCGAGGCCCCAAGCCCCGGGCTACCCAGAGAAAATCCCATTCCAAAACTCACAGCTCAGACACATCAACCAAGGGACAATCGTATATCGCGAGACCAAGCGGCGCCGGCGATAGTCCGCGGTGCAGCAAGGCATCATTTTCCTCATCCTCGGACTGGGATGGCAATGGGACGGACACTCAAAGCCATGGTAGTACGCCAGACACATCCTTCACTTCTGAAGGGCCTGACCGGCCAATGCATTCAACAGAATGTGAGGCAACCATTCTCAGCTATGGCACCCTCTCACTCGACCTATCCTCACTTCCCACCGGCAGTGGCTTCTTCAACGATACATTGACATGTCGATATCCGTGTCTGAATCCGGTTCTCCCGGTCCTGCAAGGCATCGTAAGTCCAGAAGATGCTTGCAGTCTACTTGATATCTTCTTCGCGGACCCAGACACCGCGGGCTTGGACGCCCGCTGCCCTTATATCCTGACTCCAGTAATCCGCAAGAAGTCTTTACTCCGGGAAAAGGCCCCACGGCTGGTGTCGCCTGCTTTGCTGGTCACTATCCTTTGGTGTGTATCACATACAGCAAACCTGGACATTCTCCAGGATACCACTACACGTTCCAGGGTCATTCAGAGCCTGTACTCCCTATCGATGAAACTGCTGCGAGCTAGGGACTCAGATAAATGGCACCGCACAACTAGTAAGACCATTGGCTTTCAAGGGCTATCAATTAACTGACAATTTATTTGTAGATGGCTGGGTTGCTGAATCTGACCTGCTCCCGTGTACAACACCTACCGAGACCGATTGCTGTCCAGTATCGGAGAATAATCCCGAGCAGAATGTCGACGATGTGATTAGTTACATCCTGATTGCATGTGTGATATCCGGATCGGAGTTCAAACATGAATACATCCAGTGGTGGAATAAAGCCGTACACCTAGTCAAAAGACTGGGTTTCAACTCTGAAGCACGAATAGCTCAGGATACACCATCATCCCAGCAGATGTCTCTTGCCTCGCGAGAACAACACGAGGAGTGTCGCCGAGCGTTTTGGCTGGTCTATACACTAGATCGACACTTTGCGTTATCCTTCGACGAGCCCCTCCACATCCAGGATTCCGAATGTCAAGTCCTGTATCCATTGCCAGAGTGGATCTGGACAGACCTCGACAGTATCCCCCTGGAAGATATTCCTCCCAGGGTCTGTGAACCTCCGACCCGAATATCAGGCACTGGATTCTTCGATTACTTTCTCCCTCTCATGGTCATGCTTGGAGATATTCTCGAGCTGCGTTCACGGTCTCAGCATCCTCGCCTGGGAAGCCTCAACGAGACTTACCTGATAGGCACCATCCAGACCATGCTGTCTGACTGCGAATATAGCCTCGAAGTCCTCCGGGCCGTGAGGACACCACAGTTTGCGTTCCCGACTTCTCCTCTATCTCTCAATGGCACGGACGAAAAGCCGATATGCCTCGCCTGGATAAACACAGATGTCGTGATTGCATATAGTCGGTACATACTTCGTGTATTGCACATGCTCCTCTACGGAGAAAATAACACTACCTCCGTCCCGGATGCTTCCTCCACCTGTGCTCTTCCGCCAGAGATTTTCACCACCACTGCCAACTGTATAACAGCCGCAGAGTCAATCGCCCACATCCTCGAGCTGGACAGCAATCTCTCATTCATGCCATTTATATTCGGGATATATCTGTCCCATGGCAGTCTGAACTTCCTCTCCGTCGCCGACCAAATGTCCCGGGTTGGCGCGAGTGATTTGGCAGGGCAGGGCTGTGGGACTATTCTGCGGGCGCACGAGGTTGCAACAAGGACATTTAATTCATCATTTCAGGTATGTTATACTACACTCCGGAAGTTCCTACGGCGGTACTAATATATAACAGAAGAATTTCACCCGCATTGTGCGGCAATACGCTTGCATGGTAGGAGGGATGGGTGCCGGGGACATGCAAGGGCACAACAAGTATAATGATGTCTGGGGAGTGAAGTCGGAATGCTACGATAATATATACTGCTAGTCCTCTTTTCTTTTTGTTATTAGATCTAATAGTTAATCCATTGATACCCCTTACGACAGCCACGTCTACCCAGAAACCCTCTCCCGGTCATATTTAAAAGCAAAAGTCGTCCTCCTCCCCCACCGGCTCAACAATATAAACAAACGAAACCCTCGGAAGCCTATTAACCTGCACAATCCTCCCAAACCCAACCATCAAATCCCCAGCAGGCGCCAACCAAACACCCCCATGACAAACCTCGCTTCTAACAGGACAATAGTCCAGCCTCCCCGTATTCCGCGCAATATTAAGCCGACAGCACTTCTCGACTAGCGCATTATATGTGAATGGCTTGAATTCGGCCACGGCCGCGGCACTTTCAGGCTCGACGAATACGAAGAGCGGGAGCTCCATTATCTCTGTGATTGTGCCGTAGGATTGGTATAGGTGGCCTTCTTCTGAGACGGCGAGGCCGTGGGTGCGTCGGCCGATGCAGTCGGTGCCGTAGTAGGGGCGTGGGTTTAGGAGGGGGATTCTTTGTTTGTCTGGGTGTTTCATGGTAGCTATATCTATACTTTATGTCTCTGAGTAATCTGGATGTTTAATAGGGTTGGTAATGTGGTAAGTTCAAGTTAGATAGGGTCATGGACGGCATGAGGTGGTGGATTTATATTTTATTGGCCCAGCGTGCTTTGTACGCTTGTTTTTCTTGGTATTCTATATATGCTGCACTGTCCCTGTTTGAGCTGCTTCTTTGTCTCGTCCTTAAATTATATAATGTTTGGTACTCATTGTTCGATGGTATATCTATCTCCTTTGTTAGGTCCCTTGCTAGGGTTGCTATATTAAGTAAGACTATGCATGTCAATACAGGGCAAACTAAACACTGCCATTTTAACAAAGTTCTCATATTAGTAGCTGTAAGCACAGTCACAGCGTATAACTGTGTGATGAGCGATTCCATGCCCTGATTCGTTCAGGACAGTGCCATTGTATACCTTCAGCGTGGGTCTCTACTGGGCATCGGGGATTCGGGCAATGGCCGGAGTCTAGCCGTTCAACCTTATCGGTGTGGACCTTACTCGCAAGTACCATGTCTATTTCTATAATTGGGCTAACCGCTCAAGTTATTATACCCTATATGGAAGAGAAGGCAATGGTATGCCAACGAAGTAAAACACTCAAAGCTAGATAGAGAATATTTCCTTCACTACTCTCCGCGCGACATTCCCCCGAGGATTCTTGCCAGCCATCATCCTCAGCCGTGCCTGATCCCGCCTCCTCAACTCCTTCATCACCTTGTGCTCCGATACAGGCTCAACAATGTACATAACCGTGATATCCGGAGATACAAGCACCTCCATAACAACCCCCTGTCCAATCATAACACCGCCACCAGGCGTCGCCCAAATACCTTCATAGCGCTCACCCACCTCCGGGGTAGGCAGCGCACTCGAATCACACCCATTCAAATATCTCTGCATATTAACAAGTTCATTATACCTCAGTGGCCGAAACCCGCTCTTCTTCTGGCTGCCCTGCCGCTGCGGGTCCGGCACGGGCACGACGCCAATAAACCGTTTTAGGGCTACGACTTCTGTGATTTTGCCGAATCGGGCGTGTAGATGGCCCGAGGGGTCGATTTCGAGTCCGTCCATGAATTTCCCGATGCATCGTGAGTGGGAGCCGTAGTAGAATGAGTTTTTGTCTTCGTCTACCGGGGTTTGGAAGATTTTGGCGGGGCGGTAGTCGGTCATGATGTTTGATCTGGATGTTAGTGTTGATGGTGTTTACAAGATATATATATCAAGTGGATTTTGTCTACTAAGCTTGTTTTCCTTTACCATCTTTGTTTTGTTTTGTAGCACTGGGTCTTTCACTGGGTTGTTAGTATAAGATGAAGACTTTCCATAAATAGACAGAGAGCAAACTCGAAACAATCTAAATTTTCAGCGAGAACCGAGGATCATATACTTGGGCTTTTACCGTACAATATAACACACTGAATTACACTTCCCAAATACCCAACCAAGCTTCTCCAGATAAGAGGGAATTGCGGGGTGAGATCCAGATACCCGACCGACAGCCGACTTATGCAGCTGGACCGTGCACAACGGCAGATGGACACAAAGTTATGCCGAGAAAGCGTAAACTAGCCTCAATACGAAGAAATACGACGCAAATCGAAGCTTCACAACGGACCCATCTCCGCATAAGGAGGGTCCTGTGGGCTGTCATTGGACCCTGCCCTGCACAATTCTGGCCAGATCCGAATTGGTTGGAGACGATGTCGTATTCCGTATTATTATTGCTTGATCATGGCTGATCGCGTATAAATAGGAGTCGGTCGGCTTTTCGTCCGCTGTCGGGAGTCGATCGGATCGGTTTGTTGGCTTGGTTTGGCTCGAAATGTCGACCTTGAACGATGTCGATGTCGAAAAGGGACAGATCGATGGCCAGAAAGGACAGGATGGCGAGAATGGTGTCGGCGTCGCGCAAGAAAAGGTCGACTGGGATGGACCAGACGACCCTGCGAATCCGATGAACTGGCCCACAGGCAAGAAGGCCGCGCAGCTGGTGCTGATGGCGGCGAATACCTTCATCACGTAGGCAACCTTGACTCTTCGCTGTTAGAGAGGTGAACTAACTCAGTAAAGCCCGCTTGCCTCGTCCATGTTCGCGCCCGGCATCCAAGGCGTGATGAAAGACTTCCACTCCACCGATAGTATGCTGGCCTCGTTTGTCGTTTCGGTGTTTGTGCTGGGATACGTGGTCGGTCCGTTTATTATTGCGCCCTTGTCTGAGCTCTATGGTCGCGTGCCTGTTTATCACGGCTCCAACTTGCTGTTCCTGGTGTTTACCGTCGCCTGCGCCGTCTCGCAGGACATGCCGCAGTTAATCGTCTTCCGGCTGCTCGCTGGTGTGGCCGGTGTGTGTCCGATCACGATCGGGTCCGGGACAATTGCCGATATGATCGTACAAGAGAAGCGCGCTGGAATCATGGCCGTCTGGGCGCTGGGGCCTATCCTAGGTCCGATCGTTGGACCTGTAGCTGGAGGGTTTCTGGCGGAGGGCGCAGGCTGGAGATGGGTATTCTGGGTGATCGCGATTACAGTATGTCCCCTCTGACTACTTAAATGATGTCAGCTAACGAGTCAGGCCGGCGTGATCAGTATCGGAGCCCTCCTGGCCTACCGCGAGTCATACGCACCGGTGCTTCTCGGACGCAAGGCCGCCAGACTGCGCAAGGAGACCGGAAACGCCTCCTTGCGTTCCGTCCACGACACTGGACGGACCCCTAAACAAGTCTTCATCGACGCCTTCTCGCGGCCCGTCAAGCTGCTCTTCCTGTCACCGATTGTCTTCCTCTTCTCGCTCTTCGCGGCCGTCTCCTACGGCTACCTATACCTGATGTTCACAACCATCACCAGCATCTTCGAGAACCAGTACGGCTTCTCACAATCCCTCGCAGGGCTCGCCTACCTGGGGTTCGGCGTAGGCAGTCTGCTCGGCCTAGTCGTGAGCGGCGTCGTAGGCAACAAAATCGCAGAATCACACACCGCAAAGGGCATCTTCAGACCCGAGTCGCGTCTCCCACCCATGATGTTCGGTGCGTGGACAATCCCCATCGGCCTGTTCTGGTACGGCTGGACGGCTCAAGAAAAGACGCACTGGATCGTTCCCATCATCGGGACAGGCGTGTTCGCAATCGGGCTGATGACTGTATTCATGGCCGCCAATACATACCTTGTAGACTCGTATCTGCTGCACGCGGCGTCCGTGACGGCGGCAAACACGGCATTGCGGTCACTGGCGGGCGCTGTGCTTCCCCTTGCTGGACCGGCGATGTATGATGCGTTGGGCCTGGGATGGGGGAATTCGCTCCTTGCGTTTATTGCGCTGGCGATGTGTGCCTGTCCGCTGTTGTTCTGGAAGTATGGGGAGTTGATCCGCACGCATCCGCGGTTTCAAATTCGGTTATAAGTGGCCCCCGGAGTCATTATATATAGAATTCAATAAAAGTTGTCATCGCATAGAAGTAATATCCGCATTAATTAGTGGCTGGGCCGAACCGAGGAGCCGAAGCGGGGAACAATCCTTCATCAACAGCTCGACTCTCTCTTCGAAACTTTCACGTTCTCAGTCAATCAATGCCATCATGATCTTTGAGCCCCTAACCCGAGTTCCCGTCCCGTATGTGGACATCCTGAGCTATCTGTTCGAGAATCCCAAGTACAACCCTGACAAGCCCGTTCGTCCCCCAGTAACAACCCCAGTAACACAACCAACTAACTATACAGGTCTACATCGACGTCGCCAATCCTTCACGCTCGATCTCACTGAACCAGGCCCGCACCATTGTCCGCCAGCTCATCGCCGGCCTGCGCAAATGGGGCGTCAAAGAGGGCGACTGTGTCGCTATCCACTCCTTCAATGATGTAAGTCCCCAACTCAACTATTTACATTCACATACACTCGCTAAAAGAATAGATCGCATATCCCATGCTCGTCCTGGCCATCGTGGGCGCTGGCGGTATATTCACGGGAACCAACCCTGCGTACACAGCACACGAGATCGCACACCACTTCCGTGCGTCCGAGACTCGGTTCGTCGTGTCCGAGCCCGAGATCATCGAGCCGATCATCGACGCCGCGAAGCAGGTCGGGATTCCCGATGCGAATGTGCGCTTTTTCGACACGCAGGGCCAGAGTCTCTCCGGGGGTCGACTGTCATGGAGGGAACTGCTCAACCACGGCGAAGAGGACTGGGTCTCCTTCAACGATGAGCAACGGGCAAAGACAACGACTGCCGCGAGACTCTTCAGCAGCGGCACAACAGGCCTCCCCAAGGCCGTCACAAACACGCACCACAATTTCGTCGCGCAGCAGGAACTCGTTTACGAGGTGAATCCTCGGCCGTATGAAGTACGCCCTCCCCACACTACCCTAACACTCAAGGGGATTATATATTAATTGATTAATTGTAGGGCAACCGCGTCATCGCAATCCCACTCTTCCACGCCGCCGCCGCCCCAAGCACACACTTCGGCATCCTCAAGTCCGGCAACACGACGTACATGATGCGCCGCTTCGACCTGCCCGTCTTCTTGTCCACATTCGAGAAATACAACATCACAGACCTGGGTCTCGTCCCGCCCATCGCCATCGCCGTGCTCATGAACCAGCTCACGCACACGCGCCCGTTCCTCAAGTCCGTCAAGACGGCGACGTGCGGTGCCGCGCCATTAGATAAAGGCGTGCAGGCGCGCATCCAGAAATTACTCTCTGACGGCGCGCCTTTTACCCAGGTTTGGGGCATGACCGAGACGACTTGCATTGCGATGAATTTCCCGTATCCTGAGGATGACGATACGGGGTCTGTTGGGTTGTTGATTGCGAATGTCGAGGCGAAGTATGTCTCCACAATACAGTTCCAAAGGTAATAAAGCTAATGAAAGTAGGCTGGTCAACGACGCAGGCGAGAACATCTCGGCATTCGACACACGCGGGGAACTCTGCGTGCGCGGTCCCACAGTTACACCGGGCTACTTCAACAACCCCAAAGCCAACGCCGAGTCCTTCGATGCAGACGGGTGGTTCCACACGGGCGACATCGCGTACTGCGCCGCGGGCACGCGGAAATGGTACATCGTCGACCGCAAGAAGGAGCTGATCAAGGTGCGTGGGTTCCAGGTTGCTCCGCCCGAGCTGGAGGCCGTGCTGCTGTCGCATCCGCAGATTGTTGATGCGGCGGTGATTGGGGTTGCGGATTCGGGGGGTGATGGGGAGTTGCCTAGGGCGTATGTTGTCAGGAGGCCTGGGAGTGGGGATGGGCTGACTGAGGAGGAGGTTAAGGGGTATCTTGCGCCGAAGTTGGCTAGGTATAAGGCGCTGGCTGGGGGTGTGAAGTTTGTCGAGGCGATTCCGAAGAATGCCAGTGGGAAGATACTCAAGAGAGTGTTGAGAGAGGAGGCGGCTAAGGAGGTCGTGAAGGAGGGTCGTTCTAGACTGTAGATGTATATACTTATTGATATACGGATATACTGATTCATACTTATTCATATTATCACATTAAGCACTAGTCGTCCTGTTCGCGATATTGCCCACCACATCCCTGAAATTGTCCACGGCGTCACTCAGACTCGTCCCATTTCCCCCAGAATTGTCCGACAGACCCCCCAGCACTTCGCCAATATTCACACCCCCTATATTGATCTCATCCAGGATACTCCCCAGATCCAGGCTCTCCAGCCCCTGCACAAACCCATCCACCAGCCCACTCAAATCGACATTCTTGAGCAAACTGCCGATCCCCCCAATAACAGCCCCCCAGTCCAGATTCTCAAAGATGGCCCCAAAATCAACATTCTGCAGCAGCGGACCCAGATTATCAAATATCGCGCCAAAGTCAATATTCGACACGATACTGCCGATATCCAACTTATCCAGCACCGGCTGGATCTGCTCCGACAGCGCACCCCAGTCCACATCCTCCAGAATCGTATTCAGCGTCTGCGACAACGCATTCCAGTCGATATCCTGCAGCAGGCCCGCAACACCTTGCAGGAGACTATTCCAGTCAATACTCTGCAACAGCCCTGAGAAATCAATATTCTCCAAAAAGGCACCCAGGTCAAGCTGGGACAGGATACTCCCTATCCCAGCGGCAACCTTTTCCCAGTCAATCCCTTTAAGCAACGTATTCAGGTCATCCGCTTTAACCAACTGGCCCAGGTTCAGGTTATTGACGATATTGCCGACGTCATCGAAAAGCGAATCGAAATTCACGTCTTTAAACAGCGTCGCGAAATCCATCTTGTTGAAGATATCCGTCACGGCACCGATCACACCCTCAGACCCCTCGCCCAGGAAATCACCCAGCGTATCCGTCACGATTTGCAGTATCGGAACACTCGCTGTGATGGTGAGATCGTTCAGCACGCGCTCGAAATACGGGATATGCTTCCCCGCGTAGAGGGTCTGGTTCCCTGACGCCGAGAGCGCGATCTCGCCCTTTCTCAGCGACTCCTTCTGCGAGGACAGAATAGGCCCGATGTTGGAGATGGCCGCGTTTATGTCTGCTATCCCCGTGAATGCGACGCTGTTGTTTCCTGGGCGTAGGACTACGTTTGGGAGGAGGGCGGTGCCGAGGATTATATCTTCCGATTTGAGGTTTAGGGTTACGTTGCCCTGAGCTGTTAGTGATATTTAAGTAATTAAGAGAGGGGGGAAGTACCAATGCGAATGTGACGACAGAGTGGTTCGGCAGGGTTGCTTTGCCACGTAGATTCGAGCCATCTTCCAAGGCTGGTAGGAGGAGGGCAGCCTCGTCGATGGAGAAGCCGCTGAGCTGGTCCAGTCCTAGTCAAGTTATTACCAGCGCAGCAATATAGAGATTGGCAAACATACCATCCAGTTCCACATCTTTATCAAGCGTAATCGGCGCCTTCAACGCGCCAATATACGCCGTCGTCTTGCCATAAGCAGAAAGTTTAAACCGCTTCGAGTAGACAGCTTTGGTTAAGGACTTGACGAACTCGTCCTCGTCAAGAACAGGCGTGTCTGTGCTCGTGACGCTAATGTCCGTATCACCCTTGACGACTTGCTCGGGGACAGGGACCGTGAGGTAGTCAACTTCCGGGTCAGAGTCTCTGTTGAATAGATTCAGGTCGAAGGTTATCAGCTTGACGCTGACCCCAGGCAGGGGGATTTTCAGCCCGGTGCTGAGCTTGAAGGTGACGGCGTCCGGCTTAGGGTCTGTAATATCCGCTCCGTAGACGGGGAGGTCTGTATCATTGACGAGCCGCTGGGCAATGGCAGGTATTGCATAGACGAAGCTATAACCGTTAGCATCATGTCAAAGCATATGCAGTGCCATGGCACATACAAGAGCGGCAGGAAGATGGCCAGGAATACAATCCCAGCAAGCAAGTAGCAGCACCAGAAGCGCCCCAAATGCCGCTTGAACCGCTGCCGCTTGTTCGGCTTCTGCTCGCCGGCTGCGACGTCCTCGATGCGCTCGACCTCTGCACCCTCGGCACCGGCGGCTTTGGAGGCCTCGAGGTCGCCTCGATTGGCCCCGATGGCTCGCTTCTCGGCCATCCGGGCCTTGTATGCGTCTCCCACCGCCATGGTAGGTGTCGGTGGCTGGAGAGGCTACAGAGAGAAATTCAAACAAGACAGCCTGGCCTGGCTCCAGAGAAGCAGGAATCAGGGACGGGCACAGTGGGGTAAAAGGGGGTGACCCTTGCGTTTGACGACCAGAACGGGGGATTTATTTATTAATCTGGGGAAACGCTTGACTGAATCTACTCGGGGGAATTCATCTATCTACAGTTCGCATATACTGGGCCAGCATTGGATGAAGGGACGGAATGTGGAGGATCGACCGCGCCCCCGCTGCCCATCGTTCATCTCGCCGTGATTCACCCCAGCACTGACTGATCACGAAGCTTTTGGGGCCCGATAGTAGACGAGATTATGACTCGCAAGGATGAATCGAATGCAACTAGGCGACCTCCCTGCATCGGGATTGCCAATCAGGGTCGCTGGGGCCCTCGACGGACGGCTGCCCGGTCCGCGGCTCGCCTCTGGCGGCGATATACATATGATGCCGCTGGACGCCTTCGTCTGGTGGCATGCTCTCGCAGAGGTTGCTGATTTTATATGCTACCATGGTCGTCGTCGTGCTCAGATCGTTTTACTCCACTATCTCTAGTCTGTCCACACCATAACCTAACTTCTACACAACCACAACAACAACACCATGTCTACTTCTACAATCTCCGAGCCGGAGAAGCAACACCATGACACCGACACCGACCTGATTGTCGCCGCGCTGGAAAACCCCCAGCACATCCAAAAGGTCGTCAGCGAGGCCATCATCCTAGGCGGCGGGGCCGCCGCCATCCTGCTGCAAGTCGCCCACCCGGGCGTCGCCAAAGGCGTCAACTACCACAGCAGTTTCGCCACGCGCCCCGTCGACAGACTGCGCACGACAATGACCTACGTCTACAGCATGCTCTTTGGCACCGCCGCTGAGAAGAAGAAGATCATCGAGCTGGTGCACCGCGCCCACGCCTCTGTGCAAGGGCCAGACTACCAGGCCGACGACCCAGACGCACAGCTCTGGGTAGCGGCCACTCTGTATGGCGTGGGGATCGATATCTACGAGCAGATATTTGGGCCGATGGACGACGAGCGCGCGGAGGAGGTCTACCGCGAGTATGTCGTCCTGGGTGCGTCTCTGCGCGTTCCGCCCGAAATGTGGCCCAAGAACCGCGAGGCGTTTTGGATATACTGGGACGAGCAGGTAGCGACGTTTGAGATCTGTGACGAGGCCAAGAATGTCGCCCACGACCTGCTTTATAACCCCAAGCTGCCGTTCTATTTCAAAGCGCTGATGCCGACGCTGCGGATGATGACGACGGAGATGCTGCCGCCCAGGCTGAGGGAGGCGTATGGGCTGAAGAGTACGAAGAGCAAGAAGAGGCTTTACAAGTCGACGATGGCGATCACCAAGGCGACGTACCCGTTTATGCCCAGGGCGGTTCGCACGTTCCCGGTCAAGTTCTACATGAAGGATATGCGCAAGCGGATGGCCAAGTATGGGGAGCAGCAGCGCAAGATCTGAGGCGGTGGTTCGTTTCGTATTTATGATTAGAGTTACGGGTTTCCTGTCATGTCATGTCGATTAGAATGTCTACTTGTTATTAATCATCGCATTGCTTTCCCAACGTGGTGTATCTGAGTCACTGTAGCCGAGTCGAGAAGGCCATCTTCAATTAAACGAGACAGAACGCGGGGTATAAACTCAACGGCTGGACCGTCAACCAGATTGCCACTGGCAGCCAAGCGAGATTCGTAATCGCAATCTCGCTGGCTGGTACACCGTCGAAAGCATGTCAGGTGCGCAATCCTGGATGACGTTGGGGGTGCTGTGGGGGTTCTAGTCAGGGGCCCTGAGTCAGTGGCAAGCCCTAACTGTCTTTGCTGCTCTGGTCCTCGCATCCTCACCATCCTTCATTTCAACCCCAGACCAACTGTCCATGCACTGGCCCCGCTGTTCCTGCGATCCGCTAGATTCGTGTTCTGAAGACACCTGAGCCGCTGACACCGCGTGTAAAAGTCATGGATTGAAATCCAGCCTATCCTAGTGCTGTCACGTCTGCCGTGCTTTTTCCTTGTCTCTCGCTCACTCCCCCGCAGCTGGCTCCTTCCACCTCCCCTCTCCACGTTCTCTCGATCTACATCGCGGCTTTTGCTTGCCCATCCCGCGTCGCCCTTGTATTTGTTTGCCAGCCATGCTGCGACGCACGAGAAGAGCGCCCAAGGCCTGTTCCTGGTGCCATCACCGGAAAGTGCGCTGCGATGCCTCTATCCGGGGCTGTCCCTGCACGCGCTGTCGCCAGGACGGCAGGCCCGAATGCGTGCTGCGAGGCAAACTGCCACGGAAGTAAGACGGCATTTCCATCCCAAGCTTGTGATTGCGAAGCATGAACGTGATCGTGTTAACAGCGTGCAGTTTCACGGGCTTCGTAGGTGCCCAAAACGGTAACCAGGACAGCACGATCAACCAAACGAACCCTCACCTCGAGCGCATTCGTGCCCTGGCCTTTGAAGCAGATGGGCGAGAAGTTGGGTCTACTCTCTCTCCAGCTGCCTCTCTCCCAGGCCATGTCAGCTTCGCCAGCTACGACTTCCTCGAGCTGCGGGGGTTGACGACGCTGGACGGGGAGGACCTCGCCTTCCTATCTGCCAAAGGCTGCCTGAGTATCCCCGAGGAGTCCGTCCTCGACGAATTCATCCGCCAGTACTTCCTGCATGTCCACCCCAGCTCCCCCGTAATCGACGAGGCAGAGTTCTGGCGCGTATACCGCAACCCTGCCGCGGGTAAAAAGATCTCGCTCTTCGTCTTCCAGGCGATTCTCTTCGCCGGCTCTCCGGTACGCCTTTTCTCCGTAGTTGGTAACTATAGTTCTGTATGCTGATTGTGTAGTACATCTCCACGGACACAATTCGCAAGTGTGGATGGACCGACAAACGCAACGCCCGCAATGTCCTCTATAAACGCGTCAAGGTTCTTTATGACCTGCATGCAGAGGACCGTCCGCACCCACAGGCCCAGGGCTCAGTACTTTTGACTCTCCATACTTCTGCGAATGAGCCCCAGATCAGCAGTCTCTGGCTGACGCGCGCGATTCAAAATGCCATGATCATCGGCTGCCAGCCTGGCCCGATCGAGGATATCGACCCGAGTCTGAAGAAGCGCCTTTGGTGGTCAATTATCCTGCGCGACCGGAGCCTCTGCCTTGGTCTCCGCCGGCGGCCACAAGTTACCTCGTTTGATATGGGCATGGTGGCTGAGTTGCCGGACGAAGACGACTTTTCAGATGAAATCCATACCTCCCCTGTCTACAGCCCCGAGATCAAGCGGATGATGCTCAAGGTTCTCCAAGAGCAATGCCGACTGGCTGTGCTGCTGTCTGAGATGATTACATTTGTCTTTTCCTCGCACGGTATCGCAGCGCCGTCCTTGACCCTGGAGCAGTTCCAGGAGGAGCTGGCGAAGATTGCGCGAACCAAGACGGCCATGCAGCGGTGGGAGGCTCATTCGCCTCTATATCAGTGGACAGAGGGCAAGGCGCCAGAGGCTGTCACGCTGTTGACGAATTTCACATACATGTACTACCAGTGAGTATTTTCTTTCGAGAGTCTGGTAGTCTGACCAGTGCTAATTAGCAGAACTGCACGAATTGATCTGGCGCACTACGAGGCCCTCCTGCTTGAAAATCACCTCATGTTCAGTGGCAAGAACTACATCACCCAAATCTGGAATGCCGGGAATATGCTGCGCGATGCAATGGCCCGTCTCACTAGTATTATGGAATATTTCGGTCGAGAGGGCCGAGCCCAGAATCTCCCTCTCAGTGTGTATGTTCTATATCCACACCTTTTCGCATCCATCTACTGTTCCCAGCTAATGAAGTAGTCTCGCCTACGTTGCCATGCCCCTCGTCCTCACAGCCATCGATCTCAAACTCTCCCCATCAGCATCAGAAATGGACCGCCGTCGACGCCGTCTCGACTCTCTAGGCGAGATCGTGCGCCATTCCGGACGCGTCTACGATGTCACCGACTTTGTCACAGCAGGAACAAACCACATCCTACGGCTCGCATATATGACCTCCCAGCACCTCTTCCTCCGATGGGACCAGGACCAACAGGGTCAGATATCCGGGAAACGCGGCTCCAGCCCTCCCCAGCAGTCCAGCTCAACAGGCAAGGAACTAGTCGAGTCCTCGTCCGCAGGCCGTGCAAATACATGGCACGAGGCATTCTTGAAGTTCCCACGGGCATACCTCCTTATTTCGACGTCGGTCGACTACAGCCTCGCCGTCGGGAGACTACCCTACGACAACGCTCTTCCGGAACTGGTACGCAGCATTCCTCCTATCGGGATGAGCATCCGGCTCCCATGGACGATCGACAGTCCCACGGTGCAAATTCCAGCAAGTCGCCGCCTCACGCGCGCGGATAGTCTCCCATATCTCCAGACCGCAACAACGCCCGTGAGCGCTACAACGGAACAAACGAACCATGACGTGCACACTCTCCCCGACGACACCTCAGTCCAGACGAACCTCGCCGAGCAGCAGAATGACTTCTCTGTTCCTCCCCAGGCAACAAGTACACTCCCGGGCATGTCTGATTCCGGCGAAGTCGAGAACGCAGTACCGCTACAGACCGACAACAACAACAATAACAATGGCCAGATAAACCTCGACTACCTGTACATCGAGCCCGAGAGTGCGGGGGCGGACGGGCCGCAGATTATCGACCACGGCTCGGAGTTCGACCGGCTGCAGTTCCAGCAGCTGGCGCAGGGGTTCGACCCGTTGATTTCGTCGTGGGTGCAGGAGTATTTCGGCGAGGCGATGTCGCCGCAGCAGCAGCAGCATAGTCCGAATATGGAGTTGGACGGGTTGAGTTTGGGCTGATCAAATTGTTACTTTGCATCACTGTATCTTTATTGTGTTCATTCATGGCCTAATGTAATTGCACGGGATATGATAGTTACCTAGTTAGTCATGGAGTTAGGGTTCGGTCATCAAGTTATGCATGCATGTCATAAAATCACATGTTGTTTTCGGCCCGCGGAAACATTCTTAACTAATATATCTGGCTGTTCTGATTGGCCCGCACCACTTGCCGAGCAGTCCAGACCCCTGAGGAACAGATTGACCTCCAAGTTCCCTCCCCGCATTCTTTCTCCTCCGTGATATACAGCAGGCATTCCAGGTCCGCTGACTTTCAGAGTTTATCGCCCTGTAAACCCGCCGAGACGAGATGCGTCTCTCTCTCGTGTTGCTGTCCCTGGGGATCCCCCACGCTGTGCTCGCCGACCCACAACAGAACCCCTTAGACCTTCTCAACAACGCCGAGGGGCTGTCAAATTTAAAAAAATTCATCTCGATCGCATCGACACTATCCTCTTTAGTAGATGATGAAGAAAGCGACTCACCTGCTGAAAAGCAGCAGCAGCAGCTGCGCCAAGTCCAAGAAGAAGAGCCTGCGTCCAACGATGCATCCAACGTGTTAGATGGTTTCGACATCTCACAAATGAAGAATGTCGCGTCCGTGGCATCGACCTTGTTCTCGCTCATGGGCGATAATGCCGGCGGTTCTGATACTGGGGAGGCTGCCAATGCCAATGCAGGTGCAGATGCAGAGCAGGATACCCCCGATATTCTGAAAAGGCTCGGCACCTTCGAGAATCTCGCATCGCTCGCATCTGGTCTCAATTCGATATTTGACCCCGACAACGAGGAAGGGCAAGTTCAAGTTCCACCAACAAAGCCTAAGGTCGATGAAGCAAAGGTTGTTGAGCCATCACCACCAGCACCAGAAAAACCAGAACCAGTTCCAGAAGAAGAGCCAGTTCCAGAAGAGCCGATTCCAGAAGAAGAGCTCAATTCCACCCCCGAAGCACAAGCAATGCTAGCACGCATTGAAGCCATCCAGCGCATAAACGCCCTAGTCAAGAAACTCACCGTCCTCAGCGACAGGACAAATCCAACACCCATAAGCGAGCGCGTACAACTCCTCTTCTCTGACCCAGAATTCACATCCACATTCAGCTACGTCTTCGAAACCGGTGGAAAACTATTCACACCTGAGCTCGTGGCTGTCTTCAAAGGATTCCTGAGCACCAGCCCCGCGATCCCGGACGAGTATCGTGGCGTCGCGGTAGGCGTGCTGGATACGCTCGCCTCGATATTCAGCCCCGAGTTCGCGGAATACTACCGCATCGCAAAAGAGGGTCTTGATCGCGCAGGTGTAAATCTTATCCCTACTGTTGGGTACCTATGGCGCGTGATACAGTGGGCCAGGGATACATTGGACCCGGCATACATCAAAGCGCTGAATAATGAAGTTATGCTGTGGCATAAGGCGCTCACATCAGAGCAGATGGCTGAATTTGTCGCATACATAACCGACGAAGAAACCTTGGGCCGGCTTACGGCTTCTGTGGCGCGGTTCAGGAAGACATTCACGCCTGCCCGGGCGCACCAGCTGCATGACCTGTGCAGAGACCAGGGAATCTTTGATCAGGGGGAGCTGGAGTACCAGGGGTATGGGCATGTCATGGGCAAGAGGATTAAGTTTTATTTCGGGACTGAGCAGGGCTTTTCCGAGGTTGAGCGGTTGCTTGATTTGCTTGATGGTCCACTCCAGGGGCAAACTGTAGACGATGTCGCTGGTATACTGCAGACGAGAGCGCGTGCGCTGACGCCGTATATTGCGGACGATCTGGCGACGCTCTTCCAACAGTATGGCCAGGTCACTGCAGTTGTGGATATTCTGGAAGATATTCTGCGAGATCTTGTGTCGCTGACGCGGCCGCTCTTAGACGTTGATACACGCGCCGCTCGCATCCTATCGTGGGCGTTCTGGACTGATCTAAACCAGATCCTGAATAAGGTTTTGTCGGTCCCTGGTTCTTCACTTGCAACTCTGCAAAAGCTTCTTGTTACTGCGTCCGAGATGCTCGATCCAGAACGGGTGAAGGGGTTGCGACTGCTGATTGCCGACGCTACCCCTGGGTCGAAGGGTTTTGATGCCCCAGGGAACGACAGTGCCGTGGATACAGGCAGGATGATGGGAGTGGTGGATACGGAAGCTAAACTGGCACCTGATGTAACAGGGAATGCGTTGCGTATTCTGCTCGGAGCTGATGCCCTCCTGGCACCTGAGCAGATAGTCAAGACGCGGGATACAGTTCGGGAGTTGAACGAGGTACGTGCCTGTCGAACAGGAATAGAGTGTGCACTAACATAATCTAGGCTGGAGAGTTTCTTGTCAAGGTCGTCGGGATATTTGAGGATGATGACGCTGGGGGAAATGTCCGTCACGACGAACTATGACTTATGTATTATACTTCTTAATGATCAGGAGCAGTCTTCGAGAAGTCTACTATTGGCTGCGTATGCGCTCTTACCACCCCGTTGCAATATGATATCGTCATGGCCTGCTGCGAACCATCTTATATTTTCTTCCCTATTCCTCGTTCATCTTTACCTGCTCCCTTTTCGTTCATCTGTTCTCCCACAGCTGCGCTACGCAACATTTTATGTCTTCCCGTTCAGCTCCCTCGAGCATCATCCGCCTGTAAACTATTCTGTTTGTATATCAGAATGTCGTCTTACGAATCCTACATATTTGAGCCCATTTACGGCGCATACAACTGGGCAGAGTTCGAGGGAAATCAGCCACTCCCCGATGAGTACGTTCCTCCCTACATGCGCAGCTCTACGGCGGACAAGAGAACTCTCCCTGCAAGAGACGTCCTCCGTAGAGCATCCGAATACGTGAACAACACCACCCCGTCCATACCCACGGCCTTTGGGGGTAATATGCTTCGGAGAGCTGCCCATCTGCGCACAGTTACTGTTGCCCAGGTCGAGGCTAATAAGGAAAGTAAAAAGAATAAGAAGAAGGAGGAGCCCAGAAAAGACGACCCCGTGGACAACCCTGTCCGGGCCGTAGCTGCCATCTTTGCAGATGGTCTGTATCGGAGCAACTTCCCGGACGTCTACGTCAAAGCCCTCCAGCATGCCAGCTCCTACCAACCCCCTATCGAACCGTCGTCCTCCGACGCGGCCTTCAGAAAGCTCCTGGCCTTAACCTGGGGCAGTGGTTCTGAAACAGCTGTATCAGACCGGAGCTTGGTCCAAGTTGGCGCCGGCGACTTCAGCTACACATACACGCCCTACCGAGCCGGGATCAACTTGCGCGCGCTGCCAGTTGTATCACAAGAGCTGCCCGCCAGCGACGACCGCAGGCTGCGCATGAACCTCTTCCGATACGAACTCACCAAAAAGGTGGACGAAATCCTCGATCAATACAGTCTCCCCAAAGAGAGGTATGTCCAGCCCTGCGGCCGCAAACGCGCCCTGCACCTCATGGAGCGCCCGATTCCAACAATCCTGATCACAATGAGGCTCGACGTGAACCCGCGGCCCAAGGCACTTGAGCTCGCCCTGCATTTTATAGTCATCATGGTGTCTGAATATTTCCTTCTGCACGACATCTCTGTCGAGGTTATCGACCCGCGACTTGAACATCCAGCAGAGCACCCAGACCCCGAGCCAACCTTCTACCCACGAAGGCTCAGGGGCGACAGGACCGGCGCAATGATAGCACCGCCACTCGAGCTTGCCCTGATCCTGATGGCATGGGATTGGTATCGCTGGGACCCGGAGACCTGGGAACTTACCTACGTTCCGGAATTAGTATGAATATTCATGGACCTTTGTAGATATGTCTGCTAACGAGTCTCTAGATGCGCCGGCCAAACTAGCTTCGATAAGCTTCTTTCATATTTTTGTCTGCAACAAACAGCTCTCAGTCGTTGTCCTGCCAGGGTGTTCAAAGGTTTTGTCTTTAATTGTACTGGTGCCGTTTTTCTAGGCGCCCCTTCTATATTCTCATTTTGTATTAGTTTACCAAATGGACTGTGCTTTGGATTTTGCTCTAGTAATACACTGAAATAGTGTCAGACGTCTCCAACTTCTACATAGCAAGCTGTCGCCACCGTGAGTCAGCGCCTGACCACCGATGTCCAGACTCAGTTCAAGCCAGGAACCGTTCAAGTGGTGGTCTGACTTTGTATAAACTCAAACTTGGGGTTTGTCCGGGTGGCCTTTCAACAACCATCACACTTTTATTCTATCCGATATGTTGCAGTAAACTAACATCACGGACAAATGTGGAGTCAAAGACACTAGTCTGGGATATCACTATCTGAGTGATTACGAGGCCATTGTTGTTAATATTTATTGTAAAGTAAGGACCTGTGAATTCCTTCCTTAGGTTAGTTTTACTCTTTTAGAGATAGTTATCCTATATACTATATTATTATTACTGCCTGCTAGTACTATTAAGTATATAAAGACTATCTTTATTATTTTTAATTTTTATTCTTTTTAATTTCTTCTTTCTTCTTTTTTTTTCTTTTATATTTTATATTTATATAATTAAAATCTTTTATCTTTATTTATTTTAATAATATCTATACCTGTCTTTTTTTTTTTTAGATTAAAAATTATAGCTATATTTTTTTTTATCTTCTTTATTTTTAAGTTTTCTATTTTATTAACTTAGATTAGTTATTTATTTAAATTTTTTATCTTTTCTACTCTATTCTATCTAATAAAATAGTTTATATTTTCTTATTCTACTAGCTACTACTATTAGAATATTTATTTATCTAGAATATTATATTACCTGCTAGTCTTCTATAATATTTATATTTTTAACTATTTTTTTTTAAGAGACTAATTCTTTAAATCTCTAGTAGACTCTAACTAAGCCTGATTATATATTATATATAATATATACTCTATCTCTTTCTTTATCTCTAGATATTAGCTGCCTGTCCTATATCTTTATTTTTACTCTAGTTATACTAATCTTACTTATTATAGATTATGATTAGACTGCCTATATAGTAACAAGAGTCTTAGAGAAATATATCTAATAATATAAGTATCTTAACTATAGCTCTACTATCTTTATTAATATTACTATTATCTATTATATTCTCGTAGAACCTTGTTAGCTGATTACTAACTAATTTCTTAATCTTCCCATCTCCTGCGCCCCGATATAGAGTATTACAGAAAGCATGACACTATAAATATAGTCATTTTAATGGAAGATTACTATGCTATATGCCTGGAACTTGCTCTTTATAGATAATGCCCTATTAAGATCTTTATAATAGTTAATTATATTAGCTAAATAAAGTATACTATATTAAAATCTAAAGTATATAACTTAGAATATATAATTAGGCTATTTTATACTAATTCTATTTTTAGAGATATAATACTTCTCTTTATTAAAATTTTAAGAATAGTAATTCTTTTATTATTTAATCTATAAGATATAAATATCCTGGTCTACCCTAAGTTAAATAATAATATAGATAGTATATTTAATTTTCTTTATATATACTTTATATTCTCTCTTACTTAATTTTTAGAATAGAATATTAGATTTTTTATAATAGTTTTTTATCTATTACTCTCTTTTTCTTAATTAATTATCTATTATTTTTAAAACTATCTATTTCTATATACTTCTATATCTATACTCTTCCTACTCTAAAGCCTGTTACTCTAATTTATAAGATAGTAGTATAATATATTAACCAGAGCTAAACTATCTTTATAAATAATAAATTAAAAAGGCTTTCTTTACTTTTTTATATAACTATATTTTTAATTAAAGTAATTAGTAGTCTTAATATAAAGAGTATTATCTATCTTTTTAATATAGATTTATAAGAATCTATTATATCTTTAATTTCTAATTTACTTATTAGTAATATTTATTATTTTAAATATATCTCTTAAGCTTGAAGATAATAATTCTAGTATAATAAATAGTATTAATAATAATAATTTTCTCTATTTAAATATATTATAGAGCTTTATTACTAATAGTTATATATCTTTAAATAGTCCTTAATATATAGATAATAGGTTATATCCTAATAAAATAAGTACTATTACTTTTAAAGATTATAAAATAGGTCTATTATTCTATAGAAGTTATAACTATAATACTAATAATATTAGCTAGTATAATAATAGCTAAATAAAGTATCTTATTAATAAATATAAAAATAGCTTATTAAATATATTAGAACTAGATACTCTTATTATTTCTAGCCTATTAATTAAAGAATTATAATCTTCTCTATCTAGAAATAAAAATATCTAGTATATAACTATAATTAATATATATAGTATATTTTAAATTCTTTAATTAATATTTTATAGTTAGAAGAAACCTGTATATATTATTCTAAAAGATATTAAAGATACTATACCTGGTAGTTCTTAAATAAGAGTAAGAACTAGAGTTAAAGTATTTTATCTATTCTTTATTTACTATTAAAGCTATTTATTCTTAGTTATTAAAGATATATTTCTCTAGGAATTAGTAAGTAGAAAGCTTATATAAAAATAGATTAAAAAAGAGTTTAGTTAGATATTTACTAGAAGAGATTTAAAGTCCCTATAAGAATAGTAGTTAAGAAAGCTAAAGTTTTTAGCTTATCTAGCTAAGTAAATACTAGATATATTAAGTTAATAATCTTCTTTCTAGCTATAGCTATTTACTTTATAATCTATATTACTAGTTTAAATCTTATTCTTAATTACTTATATCTTTAAGCTGTTCTTGGTAGTTAACTATTTTTACTAATAATTTATTATATAGATATATCTCCTTTTAGTAGTATGGTTATATATTTAGTATAGATATCTTTACTGTTTTTATTATAATAAACTAATTAAGAACTCAGCCAGGAATATCTACTAGAAGTTAATATAAAAAAATACTATTTATATTAATCTCTATATCTAAGGTCTGTATATGCTTTTCTGAATCCTTTCTATATAATAATAAATTATCTTGGCAGTAAATAAGCCACTATTACTCTTGGAAATATTGGCCTCAAAGTAGCTGCCTGGAACAGGTGTGCTTACAGCTATTGAACCAACTAATCTTATAGATACTATATACTTTAATTACTTGCCCTATAGCTAGTATTAATATATTCCTCAGGATAATTAAGGCTCTGGCATTAGTAAAGTACTATAATATAATAGATCTTATTAAATATATAAGATAGTATATTTTTAGATAATATAAGAGACCTGAATTATATAACTATACTATTATATAAATATTAGTTTTACTAAATTATTTCTATAGTAATTATATTAGTATCTATAAGATATAAGATTATATTTTTTTTTATCTAGAGATATTTCTTACTAAGCTTTTTACTAAGATCTTAATCTTTTACTTATTATTTTAGATTTCTAGATAAATTTTTTTCTAGTATTTTTTATTTCTATATTCTATATTACCTATATATAAGTTCTTCTAGTCAAGCTTCTCTCTTTTTAATCTAATTTAAAAGCTTGAGGAAAAAATACTATTATAGTACTTACTAGATATATTTTATCCTATAAAAATTAGTAAGGAATTCTAATTAAAATATTAGATAATTAGTAAATCTTAGTACTATAAATTTTAAGAAAAAAGCTATAATATCTAGTTTAATAGAAAGAATATAATCCTGATCTTATCTAGTATTAAATACAGGGTTTAAGAATATTTTATATATAATCTAGAATTTTTATAAAATATTTCAGGATTAGCCTGGTTCTCTAAAAGAGTTAATAAAATAATTAGAAAATTAGAAGATAGAATAAAAACTTAAAAATATTCTAGATAATAATCTTTAAGAGTAATATATACTATAAATTATATTTTAGACCTTATCTTAAATATAAGATTTAAGAATAAATAGTAAGCTCTAACTCTAATTTTTATAGAATACTTAGTTCTTATAATAAGTATTAAAAAGATTATTTTTTCTTCTAATTACTTTACTTTCTTAATATAATAGAGAATTATTTAAATAGCTAGTAGTATTTATACTTAGTCTTATTCTAGTTATTTTTAGTTAATTACTCTAATATTAAATCTTTAACTTTATAGAGAGCAGCTTTATAATTATTATATTATTTATACTTAATAAAATCTTTATCTAGCTATAAATTATCTATTTTCTTCTTAATTTTTATAATAAGATTAGTTCCTGCTACTATATTATTACTATCTAGTTTAATATACTTGAAATCTGCTTTTAAAAAGTTAAATAGAAATAGAATATTATTAGAGATAGTAGATAAATCTATTTATATATCTTTTAAATTAACTAGAAGTAATTAGAAGTATATCTTATTATATTTAAATATTTAGTAAGTAAGAAATATTAGTTTATATACTACTATTCTTTAAAATTTAACTATTCTATATAAATCTAGGTTTTATATATATATAAATTTCTATTATTTAATAAATATATTTTAAAGAATATATTTATATATAGCTATAGACTATTCTTTAAATAAAAGTCTAGAGAGTTTTAGCTATAGTACTAGATTAAATATTTTAGACTTAAAACTATCTTAACTAAGAAAGACTAGATCAGGATTATAATTAAATAGAGATAAGATATAATAAAACTACTAGTTAATAATATCTATAATCTTTATAGAATTATCCAGATCTATAAAGATATTATTATTATATAAATTATTATACTAGAGACAGGGTCTAGTAATAATTATATTTTTTAGAATAAAAGTACTAATAACTTATTAGTATTATACTAAAATAGTAATTTTTTTTTTTATATCTAATTAGTATAGCTTTAGACTATAGAATAAGATAATTAGTTTTAGAGATACTAGAGACTAGATTATTTTTATTTCTTATATTCTAACTATTTATAGATACTATATTAGAGAAAACCTTATAAACTTATTAATAATTATATAATAATAATATAAATTATAATATATATAGCCTCTTCTTAATATCTAAATTTAATTAATCTATATTATACTAATCCCTACCTGTAGCTAGGTTAATAGTAAACTCTAAATTTTTTATAATTTTATTATTTTTAATAAAGTAATTACCTGCTAGTAGCTGGATATCTTCTATATAATATAAACTACTATAATATAAAAATATAATACTTAGCTATTATTTCTAGAGGTATATTATAGTAAGAAATACTTAAAACTTCTATAATAATTTTATTATACTTTAGATTTAGAATAGTAAAATACCTTTAATTTTATCTATAATAATAAATTTAGTTTTAATAGAGTATAATTTAGCTTATAAGTTCTATATATATATATAAAATACTAGTATATTAAGAATTTTTCTAGTCTTCTAAATTAGATATATTAGTAAGACTTAGTATTAAGAGCTTAAAATAAACTTATAAAGTTTATTATAGTAATTTTACTAGTAGTAGTAAAGTATAGAATACTAGTATTTAAATTAGAAATCTTAGCTATAACTTCTTAGCTATTATCTATATATATAAGATATACTTTATTAAATATACTATTAGAGTACTTCTTAATAATAATATATTAGCTAGCTTTAATAAAGTCTATAGTAACTCTTATAAGACTATTTAAGTTAAATCTAATCTCTTTCTTTTAAAGGTTCTTTATTTTATTAATAATAAAGTAGTTATATATAAATTTAAAGAATTTATTATTTAAATTCTAGTCTAATATATATAAGTAATATACTAAATTCTATTCTAATAAATATACTTACTTATTTAAAAAGAGCCTATATTTATACTCCTGGAATAGTAATAGTAGGATAATTATAAAACTTTAGAAATTAAGTAGTACTGTAGTTTTATGCTTGATATTATACTCTAAATATAGTACTAAGAATATATAGATAAGGATTAGTATATTTCTTATAAAATATAAGTAATATCTTAATTATCTAAACTATCTAGAAAATCAGGTAACCCTTAATTATCTAAATATTAGTATTAAAATCTTTAAAAAGTAAAAATAAGACTAATTTAAGAGATATAGATATTATTATATTATATAAACTAAGAGATAATAATACTAGTATTATATAGAAAGATTAAGTAATAGCTAGAGTCTACTAGAGAGAGAGAGAGAGTTAATATAACTAATATATAACTATAAAAAAATACTAGAGCCTTTTAGATATAGCTTTATTTTAAATATATTAGGAATTACTATAGAATTTAATAAATTAGATCTTAATATAATAATTTTCTAGATAGAATAATCTCTATATAAAAAGTTAATAGTTATATCTTTTACTAATTAGATTAGATAAGATAAATAGCTAAATAAACTAGCTAAATCTAATATTATTTTTTATAAAACTAGTAAGCTAGTCTTAATTTATATAAATATAAAATATTCTATATTCTTTAGACTTTATTAAGTATAAGAGATTAAAAGAAAGAATCCTGGAAAAGATTTTAGATAAAATATATTTTACTAGTAATTAGAAGCTCTAATATTAAGTTAAATCTAACTAAAACTATAATAATATAATTATATCTATTTTTTTAAGTTCTTTAATATTTTTTTTTAAAGTTTTATATTATTTATTTTTTTTCTTTCTAGATTTTACTTTTTTTAATTTCTATATCTATAATTAAATAAATCTTATAGAAATTCTAAGTAATCTTTTTTTTAAGAGTAAAGTTTTTTATATTTAAATTAAGCTAAAATTTATATTATTAATATTTTTTATTAACTTTTTTAATAATCTTTTTAATATTAATATAGCTTCTAATTCTTATATTATAATTACTTTTATATACTAGGATAGTCTAGTAACTAGATTTATCTTATCTATATAAAATTATAGTATAGTAGCTTTTTAACTATTTAATATAGGTTATAAAAGTCTTAAGTAACTTTTAGATCTTAAAAAATATAATATTAAAAGTACTATATTAAATAAATATTAGATATATATTATTTAGAGAAGCTTATTAGTATTATAATAGAAATAAGAATAAATACTTACTTAAAAAGATAGATAATTATAGAATAAAGTCTATATTACTATTATTTAGATATTATTTAATATCTTTATATATAATATTATATTTCTATAAAATAGTCTAGGCTTATTTCCTGCTATAGACAAACTTATTAAGATAGCTTTAGATTACTAATTAGTCCTGTAGTAGCTCAATAAAGCTTGAAACATGACCCCACTCATGCAGTGAAATAAGAAAGTATATCGCTTGTTATTATTTGGATTAAAGCATAGCTCACCATATATCTTGGATTTGGCGCCAGAGTGGATGTGGAGGGGCTGGGCAGGGGTGGGGGCCAGTTCTAGCAGATAAAAGCCAGTGACGGGAGAATGAGTGGCGCTGGGCCCATAATCAAGGCCAAGTACATCAGTTGGGATCTTTTCTGATGTGGTCAAAGATGCATTCAAGAGGCCCCTTAAATGCATTCCCACCATGTGCGATTGGCGGACCGAGGCTACACGGTCCTTTACTTGGTCCGCAGTGCGAACAAATCACAGTAGCTTTTACCTTAGCTTGCAGGACCTCTGCGAACCTGTAAAAAGGATTGGTTGCCCTATTAATGGGGGGTTGTTTTGCCCTGGCTTCCACTAGGACATTCCTTTTCACTGGCGACTGGACAGGAACGATGGAGGCTCGTAAGTTGCTTGCGTGGCCAATGACCTGAGTTCTGTCTACACCAGAAGTTCTCTGCAGCACAGCAACACAACCGTCCTTCCCCCAAAATAGAGGACGATATGATTTGTGCTGATTAGCGCCACAGCCAGCGCTCCAAACGAGAAGGGAGGCCTGTTGACATCATGTCACCACCCCCTGCATGTTTCCCGTGTATCAAAAACTGCGAGCCCTTTTCGTGCTAATATCCGGAGGAAAGTTGGCAAGCACGGATGATACGGCGGCAGAGGACGTACTCGGGGTCCGCCGGAATACTCTCCTCGTTGGATCCGTTTCGAAACTCAAACCAGCATATTTTTCCACCTTGGCGTCCGGCGTTAGTCCGCTGCTCTCAACCCTGATGTCCGGAAAACGGAGGCTGTACCCATTAGGCAAAAAAAATGTTGTTGGTCTAGCTATCAAATGGCCATGCTTCTTCCCACGCAACTTCAACGTTGATCCTACTGACATCCACAAGCTATAACAAGGCTATTACTCGACTATATAGGACCAATATTTCCTCGAAAGAAATAAGCTACTGCCCTCTTAAAATCAAGAGCTTAGATACTAAAATCAGACAGCTCAACAACTTAATTACTTATGCTTTCATGAAGAATCCTACGTCGCTCTGCGAGGATCCAGTGAACTTGCATCCTCTCAGCATTCCTCGTGTCTAACTCAAGATACGTGCGAAACTCCTGAACTTAGCTACTATGAGGTAGTCTGCGAGAGTACCTCTAGTGTGTTTATCTCGTGGCTCCTGTCGTTATGAAGTCGCTGCTTATTATGGAGACGTGATTCCCAGATCACACCTTTCCGCCCGTCAGCCAAGGATCTTGCAAGAGCTCACTAGCGGTTAGCCTATTTTCAGGAAGCCAGGTCAAGGTTCTTCAAATAAATCAGAGAAAACCTGATTTATCCTCTAGTCGGGTTTCGAGGGCTTCCATGGTCCGAGCATATGGGATAAGTACAAGATCCAGCTATTCACCTAAAACAGCGTTTATTAGCTATATCAATGATTTCAGTTACATTTCATTTTCGAAGTGTACCTTTTTCACTCTAAAAGTCAGCTTTCCTCTCTCGGTTTTTAGCTAGAAACTCAGCCGGTGGTGGCCCTAGTGCGGCAATGAGCTGCGCGAAATGCGCGGCATTATAAAGATCCCCGTCATCGTCCCGCGCAGTGAAGAGTTTCTTCGGCTCAAGGAGGTCCCAAGCCTTTTTGTTTTTACAACACCGTTAGCAATTAATCGGAGTAAATGAATACGACACATACTGTTAGACCAACACTCTAAATATCAACAGGAAAGCTCCAGCCCACATACAATAATATTTCAGGAGCCCGATATTCCAAAGACATTATATCGCTACCGTGAGGTCCTTGCCTAATTCTAGCTTCACTGAAGTCGGAGAGTAACATGGGGCCTTCCCTAGGATGCATCAATCATAAGAGATAAACGGTCCTCCCAGATAAGTCCTGTTTGCAAGGTATAGGGGATGCGAATTCCTTTTCTTCGAGCTTTTGGAATATGGTGTTATCGTGCGCCCCTAGGAGCATATTGCCTGGATGCACGTCTGCAAAACGTTAGAGAAGCTACAATATATAGAGGTACAATATTACCAGTGTGCACCGTCTCTCCATTAGTATGCAAGAAGTCTAGAATATGAAGGAGCTCAAAAATGGCACCCCGGACGAAGTCTTCGTCAAAGCCAGCCGGTCGGAAGACAATTTTCATATCTCGCAAGCTCATCTGTGCAGCTTCAAAAACAAGGATAGTATGTGTCCCATGTGGACCTGCAATTTGGAAGGAATCTAATAGTCTCCGGATATTTACTTATTTCTTGGGTGAGCATTTCTCCAATCATGGTCTGATATGGTGGTAAAAAGGGAGTTTACAGTGAATAAGGGATGTATAGACATAAACTTTTAGTATAATATACTGACAATCTCTGTAAATGTTAGATTAATGGAATATCATGTAAATCATGCTCACCTCAAGTCCCGGGCAAGCCAGGTTGTTGATAAAGTACTAAAACCAAGCTTTGCAATTGCTTGATAGCGTTTTTGGAATATCTCCCCTAATTAAACGGGGTAGAACTGATTAGATTTGTAATTAGGTAACTCCTCTTCCTCAATGAGTTGATTAGTCTGAATAAGTGGAAAACTGATAGTTGGTAAAGTTCAAGGCTTGTCTAAGATATTTACCACGTTCCCAGTCTCTTGAGTTAAGAAAAATTTTAGTGAGGTTGCAATCGCGTTCGACATCGGAAGCATTTTGCTTTATAGGGAAGAGAGAGATTGGTTATAGAGAGAGCAGCCAGCTCTTATGGTTAGAGCTGCTTGAATAGCAATAATCTGTTTATAGTAGGTCAGCCTCTATGTTTTTCTCATTGTTAAGGTTAGCAAGGAGTGTTAGGAGATCTCTCCCCAGCTAAAATACCTCTAATGGAGTATTCTTTGTTAGTTGTGTTAGATCAGGCTACGACCATGCAAACCTATATGCTAAGGATACAAGTATCTTGGTACCATGGTAACTGAAGTGGTAAATAGGATAGAGGCGCGTCGGGGCCGCGGGAGCCAGTTACCTGTATCAACCAACTATAATGAGTCTCTACCACGCTTCCACTACAGTTAAGTAAGATGGCTTAATCCTCTTTTGGTGCTAGTGGGGCACGACTTTGAAATATAAACCCAGCCTAATCCGCGGAATTACGCGGTAAATTGTGGGATTCTTAAATTTTCCGCTTGAAATTCTATCTCTCATTTCTCACCCTACTACTGATTCCTGTTCATGATGAGTTACCCATATATGAGGCTGTATCTTGCAGACAACACTGCTGTTGCTTGGAACAATGATTATTCCAGATTTAAAATAGCGGACCTGGAGTATCTTCTGCAGTAATATCATCATTCGGTTACCTCCCTCGAGACTGAGTTGACAAGGCGCAATATTCGGACGTATTCCATTTCGACCAAAAAGGTCGACACGTACTTCGATTTATTGCAACGGTTCGTCTTGCAGGTCGATTTAACGGGACGACTTGATGATAAAGCAGTAGATAATGTTAGTACTGCCACACGCATATTAAAAACATCTACAATGGACTGCAAGACCGAAATCTACCAGCGATTTGTTTATGATATCCTCCGCCTCCACAGCCGGGAGCTGTTTCTCGCTTGCGTTGGGTGTCTTGGAAAGTATAAAATAGTAAACATGAATGACGACGACCGACTCGACCTTTTAGATCGTCTCAGACGAAAAGGGCAACAACTTAAACTTGATATACTGATTAACCTTGCAATAAAAAACCACATCCCTTCCTTTGATGGTAAGTTATACAATTCGCAATTTTGGACAATGTAGAACCATGTCTAATAGTTTCAAAAAGAACCGCAATTAGCACATCTGGCGCACTTGCATGGGAAACGAACTTGGGATGAGGGTAGGAAGTTTTTCTTCAATACTACAACTGGCTGACGAAATGCAGGGCCAGGAAGCGATGTCTCTAATGTGGCAAAAACCACTAGTGACTCGCAATATTAAATTGCGCAAACTACGCCTTTTACACTTCCGACAGGGCACTCGACTTCAGCTCTGCTGCCATTAGGGGAAGCAGGTGCTGAAGTTATTCTGAAAGTAACAAGAGAAGATAAAAATACTCTGAATATAATGCTCCCAGCTCCGCATGAAAGTCTACCATTCATGTTAATCCTATATCAGATATGCGCTAATATCATGCGAAAATATACAGACAGAAAAATAACTACCTAAGGCATTGCGTCCACTTTAATATACTTAACTCTTGTACTATTCATCCACCAACAATAGTACCCTGGGGTTAGAAACACCATTATAACTTGATGGCGAGAACCTGGAGAAGTTTGCCAGGTGTGAATATTCTACTTCCCTGAGAAAATCTTGACTGTTCTGACATCGCTTTTAAGCTAAATAATGATTGCGGTGATATGCTCAAATAGACCTCGAACCGTTACTGGATTGGCTAAAACTTCTTTGACCATCCCCTCATTCCCAGTCTACCATGTATTAGCGCGTTGAATCGAACACGAGAGAATGTAACCAACCACTTCTTTATACTTGTCCCCGAGTTTATCATCGTTCTCGGCAATACTTGTAACATCTTCTGCGCGTAGTTCCTCTTCCACCATTGCCGTATTCCGACCATTAACGCCCGGAAGTATCGGACGAATGCGTTACTGTGCAACAGTTATGCGACTCAGATCTATCTAAACGGTCTTTGGTTAGAATTACAGGAAATTGTTGCTGAGCTGCACTCACAAGGATTCGGCGAAGACAGTAGGACCCCTCCAGCTCATCAATACTGCACCTTAAAACTTGCTTCCTGGGACGGATGAATGATAAATTCTCAACGTGGGCTGTTGATTTATTGTGCTGATCAGGTGATAAGAAGAGTGCTTTACTTTACATAGAAATCAGGTATTAGTGTGTTATAGCACCTAAGACTGAGATGTCTGCTCTGATTATCTGTGAGTGTGATCCGAAAGCCTGAGTCTTGGTGGGGTTTGGAGCGGAAAATCTGCGATCAGGTGATAACAAATAATTATATATTAGGTTTAATATCTCCGAATCAGTGTTCTGTCATACCTAGTAAGATTTTATGTGAAACTCATGTTATAGGCCCTTTTAGACACTCTTTATTGCTGCTTATCATATTGCTGGTCCTTATATAAAGAGTGCTCGCTGATTTAGGCAGCTTATCTGCTGTTTATAAGGCACAGGGTGAAAGAAGGCTTTCTAGACAGAGCCGAGCAAGAGTTTTAACCTTATTTGTGGAACTGCTGTGACGATATACACCTAATTAGGAAGAAGAAACATGGAGACTGGATCAAGAACTTCAAGAGAGTAAAATAAGTATGTAAAATATAGCAATAATCTTAATGCGTTCAGCATTCTCCCGTATTTCGACAGGCCAGATACTTGGAATACTTATTTCTGTCCTTTCGCCTTCCCCTTCCCTGCACGACTCTTGGTAAGCTTATAAGTCCCATCCTCATAAACATGTCCGCTTAGTAGGCGTGTGCCGTTCTAGCTATAGAAACTAATAGTGAGGACATCTTTATTATCTATCTGATCTTTAGAAGACCTGTGGGCTTTGGCTCCTCTAGAATATTCATTAAACGGGAAATTTGGTCATGTAGCGTAACTTACTAGATATCATATCCGGTCAGAGTAGGATACTATCTTATGTTAGCCAAGCGGCTTCAGGATAGTGCGAGCAGAACTTGCCTGAGTTTCAACATCATCCTGTATCTTTTTAATGGAAGAAACCTATTAGTCTCCCTTCGAGCTGTTGAGACTTTTAACATCCTCTAAAGTCACCTTACCAATAAGGCCCAGGATGCCTCGCTTCACGGTAGAAGAAAGATTATGAATTGAATTCAAGGACATAGCGAAAATTCGGAGACTTAATCCAGGTAAAGGGAATACTTTATTATTGACTTAGGAAATCATCCCAAACAGCCTTTATATACAACATAAACACATAATTTGTAGAGCAGTGAATGAAATAAAATATGTAATCCTCGGAATTCCGTGATAATACGCGGATTTACGCGCAGGCTGCGAGCTACTGGATACGTCAATTGAGCAAAGTTTATGTTCTGCGGAATTCCGCGGAACTCTGAAACTTTCCGTAAAATGTCGGCCGTTTCCATTGTGCCAAAAAGTCAGCCCTAGTCCCTGAGTTAAACCATACGCCAAGGGATATGGACAACAAAGACTCGCCATGAAGCTCTCGATTCGTCGCTATGATATGGTTTTAACTCATAAAAATGAATCCTGCAAACATGTTCCTAATAAACATGGTTTCCTATCAGCAAGATCATCGACTATGATTCAATAAAGTTAGGACCGAGAATGGCTGGCTCATAGGATCCCTCCACTTTGCTCGCTGTGCCGAGATAAGTGAAGCATAGCTCACGACGTCTATAAAGATGCCAGCCTTGTCCCTGGGTATACACCGCAATTTGGTACAGACTAGCTTGATTATTATTAATTTATTCTTCTCAGGTTGTCTCCTGCACGCTTCCTTCAGCTATATCTTGGTTACGCAACGTTTTCCCGTGTTGGGGCGCCAGGAAACAAGGAGGCCACAACTTGTCTGCAGTTCCGCGGGAAATGAAGCCCAGTAGAGGCTCTGAGCGCAACGACAAGATGGCCCCCTGGAAGGTAATTCATAGATCCTCTGGTTGTGGGTTGCCCAACTGACAAGCCCTGGCGGACAGGAACGCTCTTCCTGCTATGTCAATACTGTTGAAGGTGGGGCTGCAGAGAACCAGCACATCGGGGTAGAGTATGATAGCATGGCGACCTTGCCTTCATCCGTGAGCATGTTCCCTCTACGTTCGACGCCAGGGGAGCTGACTTGCAGAAGATCACTCGAATAGAATCTGTCGCCTACGAGAAGAAGCCTAAGCAGGAAGAGGGGCTTTTCACTGTTGTTACTGCTGATGGTACTTTTCCCCGAAAGCTCACATTTAACAAGGTGTAATGCGTATCCGGCGGAGCTATATCTTTGAAGCAGTTTTATTATTCGTGAAGGATCGATTCCCACTTAGCCTTTTCTTTTTTTCCTTTTCTTTTTTTTTAAGTGGTATATATTAATGATTTCTTTATTGCATGTACTGATCTTTATATTTGTCGTCATAAGATATTCCCGGAATGCCTGGGTGGACCATGACAGGGGTGTGACACACATGTACTTTGTTTAGGGTAAACTCAAATCTAGAGCAGCAAGGTCCACAAGCGAAATTACTTTATGCTGTAGTCTATATAGCTGCTGCCATGGTGAGGGGACAGGGATTAGGGGTCTCTACTACAGTTAATAGAAAATTAGTCCGGACTGCCTATCTAAGGCCTCTAGAGCTTTGATATATAAGAGTACTACTACCTTATACTGCTGGAAGGGATTAAATCTGATATAGATCATTCTTTATATTTATATTACTTGTTGCTTGGTATTTATTCATTATCTTCAGATTAAGTGAACATCTCTGGAAATATGAGCTTCTGTATTGCTAGGTCTTCTTTCTCGCTAACAGCCCGCCTAGGGATACTGGAGTAGATATCTGGTCTACCTCTAGTAAAGCTTAACAGAGGCGAAACTGCAGTGCCGAGCAAAGGAGAAGATACCGCAAGCTGGAAAAACAAGGGGGCCTTGGCCTAGGCCAGACGACAATGACATGCTTTCCAGTAATGCTTGAGGTCAGTGGTACTTTCTACCTTTGTATTGCCCCGCTAACAGATGTAGATGCCCGAGGAACAGATGAAACGCGCAGCAAGAACAGCCCTTTATTCCATATGGACGAGTGGTGGTCCCACTGTGTACAGTACATTAGAACAGATGCCGATGCTGGAAGACATGCTGCTTGTACTGGAAAGGGAAGAGGAATTAATATTGGCCTACTGTGTTGAGGCATTTGGGGGAGAAGATGAGCTGGATATCGAAGACTCACGCTTCATCCGCGTGAGTTCTTCGCTTGCGTCCGTGTTCTCAAGTTACGCCACGAAACAGAAGACGATTTCAAGCAAGCTTGTTTTATATTACCGCCTCTTTCTAAAGGCTGTTCGTCAAGCTGCTTACAGTCTGATATCAAACTAATCAGAAGAAGAGCTCCAACTCACTTCCACCAGTCTATTATATATGGTTGATGAAATTACTACTATCACCAATAATATGAACCAAACGAGCCATGTTCGCGATTACTATGCACCTACCGATAATATTATTGACAATGATCTCAAGGAAATTGCCAGGGAGTTTATCCAGCAGCACAAACCTCAGATCGAATCGATTGACAGAGATCAGATTTAACAATACACCCTACATGGCGTTAAGGAAGGAGAATTTCTTGAGGCTGCTCATGCCTTTGTTCTAAGGGACTAGGGACTCATATTCCTAGTAAGTTATGCCTTATTTAGTTACCGTCTTCAACCGCTGATAGTAATAAGGACAAAATCATGATAAGGTTAAGTGGAAGAAGTATTATTTTTACTTAGTTCTACACTCGGCTCATCCGCTAGTCTGATACATTACGCATCACCTGGAAGGAATACAAGCTGGGAGAACTCGGCCAGAATTATGCAACCACAATTTTTGGGGCACCTTATCCCGTTCCTTATTTCAATATCAAGGCACATCTTTCTGGATATTCCGCCAATCCTGCAGGCGCTATTACATCTATACTACAGAGTATAACCCCTGATGAAGTTTTTAAATATAATATACCTGCTCCCTCTATCAGTCAGTCAAAAGATATTATTACTATTAATAGAGAACCCAGCTTAATTAGAGCTTCTCTACTAGTAGTATCTTATTTAGGGCTTCTTCTTATATAAAGATCTTAGGGAGAAAACCAGGAAGAATTAGTTATCCCCAGTAGAGAGGTCTTTACTGGTGAAAAACCTTCCAACAGTAGCAAGCGTGTACTAGAGAAAAAGACAGGTCTAAGGGATGGGTTAAGATTGATTAATTTTAACAAGTATAAGGGGATAGAGAATAATCAATCCTGGTACCAGCCCAACTATAGGGTAGAACTTAATGTTAGAGGGAGCGAGATCCCGCTGAGTGATAGGGACCAGAATTTTGAGTGGATTCGGGATGAGAAGGAGCTTGAAGGTTTTCCAGGACAAGGCAAGCTTAAATTAGCTCCAGAATGGCGTGAGACAGCCCAAAAGGGCTTGCAATTGTACAAGGAAACATGCTACTCAGGTTTTAAGCAGACAAGTCAATAGGGGCATTGATTGTTTGGAGCAGATTCTCAAAGAATTAAGAAAATAATGCTATATAGTTTGTTCCCCTTTTTTTGAAGCAGTATTTCAAAGATTTAAGACATGATATTATAATTTGTCCAAACCAAAGGAGTCGGGTGGGATCCTCTGTAATGGCTTTTAAATTCGTCGAGGGTGGAGCGAATATTAGACGCGGATTAGTTGGAGGTGTTAGGCGGCGTAATTCTAAGCTCAAAAATGGTGTCCTGTGTCGTTGTCCATGGCTGAGACTCATCTCGAGAGCTGGCAAATCTGTGGTGCGGGAGCGCTGAAGTGGTGCATTGATTTTAAGCGCAACCCGATTAGTGTTAACCTAGTGGGCGCTGAAGGGCGAGTGCTTCAGGCGTCGTTATCTAAGCTTCAGTGAATCGGTGCGGAGTAGACCTCAAGTCTACTGCGGTGGGAGACAGAATTCATTTGAACGGTTTTTCAGAGTCCTGTGGGTACAATAGTATATACATCGTTTAACTTTACGCACATACTCCCGAAGAACGGATAAGAACTCTCATGACGACATGGATGGAACTCTATAGGATGGAGCGAGAGGCTGAAAAGTCAATGAACAAATCGGTTGGCTCACGTGACACAAATGCTGTCACTCCACCGTGATCATGAGACTTCTCCTTCATCCAATCTCATCCATCAAAAACGATCGAATGGTTGAATAGCACCGGCCTTTAGAAATAATTTTCTCTTCAGTTTAGATGACTCTACTGTAACCAATTACGTGAGAAGAAAGCATTCGTACACAAAATTACTGAGTTCTATCTACAGTATTCTCAACAACTAATAACTTGAAGGAACTGAAGTTTGGGCAAGCGACCTGAACAAAGATTTCGGCCAATCATCTTGTCGCTCACAGTCCAGACGGATCATTTCTGCAAAACCGCTGAAGTGCTGCAGACAAAACGAAACAATCTAACCAAATATAAACTAGCTCCGTTTTCTGAAGCCCTCGTCCTTGAGCACATGGATTGAAACTTGTGTCTATGAACAGATACCTCCCAAGAGAAGGAAGAAGCAGGTCAGGAGCAAGTGATAATAATGCTTAGGCCTCGCGATTGTATGCCTAGTCATATTGGATCAGGTAACTGGAGATGATGGTAAATACTCCCCGAGCTGGGGTACGATATCCTCTATTGTCTGATGGATTGGAGGGGGATAGGAAACAGCCTAAGCAGTAGAGTTAGATAGTATCGTAGAAACCCAATATCACGGTGGGTACAGTACCAATCTAGGAAGTACCTCTAACCACTCCTCCTGCGACAATGAATCAAAGATATATGTCTGACCAGTTCTCTGGATCTGAATTGTAATAACTATATCAGATTCATACTCCAGGCTGAATTCTACCGCTTTCTTGAAAAGCCCACTCTTATGTTACTGATATTGTTGTGACTTTACTCGGCTACTCTCTGAACAACACTTCTTGACCCAGGAAGATTTCTGTTCTGTCTTAGACATTTTGTGCTTTGTAAATGTTGTACCGTGCAGAATATTTTCGAAGAGCCCCAGAAGTCGTGAGATTAAGAGTTCTTAAGTATTCTTATCTTGGGCTGAAGTCCTTATCAGGTAACTAGAAATAAGGGAGCTCTTGTTTGTCTGCTAAGGGCGTCTTTCTTCAGCACACTTCAGCGCGGAACCCCTTATCCATAGCTTCATGGACTATAAAGGGTGTCTGTATTATATATCCTCCTATCCTTATTCATGCTGGCTTGTTCCCCTAACTATCTCTCCTTTTTATAGAATGGACCCATTAGTTATTTATGCTATTACCGCTGGTAGTATTTTTACTGTTCTTTTATTAATCCGGACCATCTCTCTCCTTGCTGGGTATGGATATTTGTTTTCCCTCATTATGTCTCAACATCTGACGCTACTCTTTGTTATTTATAGGCATTGGTTCTTAGGTCCATGGACCAGAGCCGGTGTGTTTCTTCATTTATTATATACTATAATCAACATCTTTCTTCTCTTCTTCAGAATCAAGTTGTTGACTAGTGCTGGCCGCCGGGCTGGTGAGTTGGCTCTGGTGAACTTGATTTTCCCTTTATCAACTATCCACCTAGCCTACCTGGCGGACCTCCTTAGTATCAAATGGAATACTTGCCGGAAGATTCATCAGGCTACTGGCTGGATGGCTATTGCCCTGCTATCATTCCACATTATTACGGCAGTCCAGGGCCAGGGCTTTACGTTTCCACTCCACGAACAGCAAAATCTTTTTACTATGCTTGTACACTCATAGACTCCTGCCACTCCGCTTTAGCTAACCCGTGACAGGCTGCAATCTCACTGGGTGCCCTTGCTCTGCATTCAATTCCATGGTTTCGTTAATGGTCCTACAAGGTCTTTCTTTAAGGATACTAAATTCTTGCCGGACTCTTTATCTATAGGACCTGGCAGCATCTTCTATTGCAGAGCGCCTCTTCAAAAATATATCTCTTTATTACTGTGGGAACTTTTGTGCTGACCTTCCTATTAGAGCTAATAACTCTTCTATATAATAATGGTCTCTTTGCAGGTAATAGCACCCTCAGGGCTATCATGTCATTCAGCGCGATGGAATCTAAAGAAGGCCTGGTGGTCAACGCGGTCTATATTCGCGTTCTATTGCCTCGGCGGGTCAAAGTACAGGCTGGACAGTATATCAATCTCTGGATGCCCGCCGTCAGCCTATATTCATGGATGCAGACTCATCCTTTTATGGTTATGTCGTGGTCCAAAGACAAGCAAGATACAGTAGAGCTTCTAGTAAAGCCATGCAGTAGTTTCACGGCAGGCCTACTTTACCATGCCCCTGCTGCTGCAGGAAGCTTAGTCTCTTTCCTGGCTTTGTTTACTAGCCCTCATGGAGTAAGTGAGAAAGTTAGTAATTATAAGAGTATTCTGCTGCTGGCTAGCGGATCTGGGATTGCTATAGCCATTCCATACTTAAAGAAAATGATCTACGGTTATAACACATGCACCTCCCAGGTTCGTTGGCTACACTTAGTATGGCAGGTAGAATCTGTTGATAAGATGACCCCTGTGTTATCTCTAATCAATAACCTCCTGAAGGATGATATCATGGATAACAGCTATGTGAGTATCTAATAAATGCCTGGAGATTCTACTAATGGCTGATACTGGCTACTATTTTAGATACTGTATATCTCAATTTACATCCATGACAGCATTAAGCAGAATAGATTACCATTTAGCCGCCATAAGCGAGTTTATATTTACCAGGAAGTGCCTGATTATTAAAGCATTATTTCTCTCGAGGTATCTGGTAACCAGGTTAAGAGACTGCCCAACACTTGGGATCAGCAAGGTCGGACATTAGTGATGGGTGAAGTTCCAAATTTCCCATGCAAAATACGTGCTGACCGTCCTGGCTAGTCTCTGCAACAGACGACCTTCGGGATGACATACGGAAGGTTGTACGAGCGTGTCTGCACCAGGGTGTACAGCTTTCAGAGTTGGAGTATCAGCCCAGCACCGATTAAGGCCAAATGCCGAGTTGGGCCGAGAAAGTTGAGGGCACTCGCGGGTCGACCGAAACTGAAGGCCTTTTTGCACAGTAAATGCCTGAGGTTTTTATTTTGCTGCAAAAAGAGAAGGGGAAAAAAAAACAAAAAAAAAAAAAAAAAACAAAAAAAACAAAAAAAAGGAAAGAAAAAGTGGAAAATGAAAAAAAAACAAGTGCAGGTGTAAGAGCGAGAAAAAAGCTTGGGAGAGGAGCTGGAGGGGAACCTCCCAGGTATGACTCAAGCGGCAGTTTGTGGAAAAAAGAGAGAAGAATATGGTGGAAGGACCTGTAATTTTTGTTTTAATATAGAAATATACTTGTTTGCTTGTATTTTTGAGAGCCTGGACTGATCTGCAGGAACTGATCAGTGATGGCACCCTGTCAGTGGAGCAGATGCAAGTAAGTCTGTTGAACTTGTGGCCAAGGCCATGATTTCTTGATAATGACCATCGATTCTGCTCCAGGACGCTCTCTTTATTGAACACTTTTAACCGTTTTATCCATCTTTGCAACACTCACTTTTCTAAGGCTAATTTGGCCCCTACTGCCTATAAATAGAAGCTGCTCCCCCTGCCCCCCTCTTCCTTTCCACGATGCCTCTACCCATCCCCCCCTCTCCTTTCCAGTCTTTTTCAACCGAACAGCATCACCTCCGTTATAACCTTAGCCATTTTTTATGATTTCGACGATATCCGGAAACTGAGCTGGGACCAGTTAATCTATGTTCTTCAGGAGGCCAAGATAGACAAATCAAACGCTGAGATGAACGCCTTGGAATCATTTGGTTTGTGTCTATCTCTAATTTTCCGTTCTTATTCAGTCTAACATGCGTTGGTCCCATAGGAAACTATAACACAGATCTTTCGTTTTGTGCACCGCACGCTTATATTAATCCTTCCTTGCTGACCAGCGATCATATATTATTGATCTCTGACAACCTTCGTCCCCATGCTGTTAATGAGTTTGATTTAATATAGGACCAATTAATAGCGTTGCCGGAAGACCAAAGCACGACTGATTCCGCTAGCCCAGAGCATGTAGCGACACCTGTAGGAGCTGTGACTTCCCCCAAGTCTGATACAGCCTATCCGACACCCTCCAGTTCTAGCGGCAGGATAACGCAACGCCAGCCCATTGATATACAACTGTCAACTGACAGCCTCTATCCATCCCTGGCAACGACACCCATGGGGCCTGCTACGCCCTTTGGGTCTAATGCCACTCCTTCATCTTATCCAACCCCCTCTTCATATGTTGAATCTCCCCCGGCGGAAGAGTCACGTACTCTTCAGGAACCCAGAATCCCGAGTCAGAGTAAGTTCCGATGCCTGCAGTTGTGCAGGGCTGGTAAGAATGGCACAGAATTCCTTGATTAGATTAAAATTGAGGAGGTCCTCTTAGCAGAAGATAGGCTCCTCGCACAGGACCTTTCTAGACTGCTACAACCCTTACTAGAATGTAGTAAAGGTAGTATATTGCCCTTATTAAAGGCGCTCGAACTTCCTGTTGAATAGAAGGGTAAAGAAGGGGCCGTAAATTACTATAGACTACTTAAAGCTGTCAAGAAAAAGACACTATTCCTTAGTCCCCTCGCGAAGCGCATCGCACAGATTTTATTTTATCTCAACTATACCTGGCTGGAGAAGCATGGTCAGCTGGGGGCTACTGTTACTATATTTATTCTCAATGCCTGCCCGGAGGAGCCCAATACACCAGAGCTAATAAAGTCTCGGCATGATAATATCACCGGCTGTCATAAGTGACCAGGAAAGTAATATTAGATGCTTGTAGCATGCTTGGGAGCTGGTGTCTTGCTATATGGTACTGATACTATAGACACTATATATATCCCCCAGCGGCGGCTCCGCTCTCCTTAACTAACTCAGACCTGTAGTATCAACTATAATTTCAGAGTCCCCCAACTCAATATTTTTATAACTTTTGTCTTGCGAACCCGGCCGGGTACTGTTCATTTATTGCGTTCTTTAGATACTGTGGTAGAGGCAATCATGCTTGGGGCGTCTATAGCCGACCTCCGCGGGGTTTTTCAGGGTATTACTGATGCAAGTGTCCGACAGGCTCAACTAGCTTCGGCCTCTGCAGCGGACCAGGAAGCTTGGACGGGGCAGATGACTGAGGTCATATGGCAGGCAATGGATGCCGAACCTATTACAAAGAAGAAGATACCTGATATTATCCGCGATTTCTAACCTTGATCCACTGCTTCGTTATTCGCGCTGTTTGGATTTAGCGGTTTCTCTTTCGGTATGACGTGCGATACTTCAACTAATCTGAATTCTATAGAAATACTATTGGCTTTCAGCGTGATAACCTAACTAAAAAATTATACATGAATCAAGTAATCTAAAGTATAAAAGTGATCAGATCTCGGCTTTATAATGCATGTCCTTATATCTTGTTCAATTCTGCACCCATGGTTTTGTTATAAAAGTGCGTGTGGTGATGAGGCAGAGATGAGCAAGCCTGACCAACATGCCAGCAGACCAGCGGTGCTTAGTAAGTAGGGGATACTGTTTATTGTAAGATATCAAGAATATAGATAAGATGGCGAGCTAACCTTTCTTAACTCTTGGATAGTTATGACCAATATGGTTACTGACAGGAACTCTAGGGGTTCTAACTGCTAATAAGTACCATTAATCCTAATCATACTATCTGGTTTCAGATACTTCTGCATAAGAAATATTGTGACATTAGTCAAGGCTCGGAGGGTCTGGGTCTGAGATTGGGTTGGCTGGCGCCCGACGCAGTGCTCCAAACCGGCTGTCCAGGTTTGTCAGTAAAGGGAAGAGTGGGATCGGAATGACCTGTACTAATTTAAATAATCCTATTTTGCCCCAGCAGGATATTAGAGCATATCAAGAACTGATGTTCAAAGCCCCTTTCCAGTAAATGTGATAGCCTATCAAGTACCTTTCTAGGTCAGTGCCTTTTGCTTGCTATGACTGATGATCCATACCTGTACAAGGATAGAAGCCAGCTGAAGCTCAGACGGGAAGATATCACAGGCGACCAGGTGTTCCAACATCAGAGACAGGTCATCAACAATAAAGTATATCATGCCGAGGTCCTTGAAGATCTCAGTTATAGAGATAACATTAGAGTGTTAGGTCTGCTGGAGGACCTGCAGCTATATATCTGCCTTTTCCTTGGAGAATACATAGACTGTGATTACCTTAGAAGGGCCCTTTTTATAGACTGCAATAGAGACAGGGCCTGCAAGATCATAGGTAAAAAGATCTTTTAATATATGCTAGGGTGACCCTCTCTGAATAATAGATACTTGAGCTGTCTAGTACTCACTTTAGAAGCTACTCTAGTGAATATCTTATACAGGGCCGAAGAGAGGATTTTTAGATTTTTCTGGCTTCTCTCATTACTTTCTCCCCTTAGTTAGTATATAGTTACTTTGGCCTTGAAACTCCTTGTACGCGGATACTGTAGTAGGTGTTAGAGAAAGTGGTTATTAGGCCTTAAAAGACTTGGTATAAAGTTATATAAGATACCAGTTATCCATAGTATGTAATACCTTCGACACGAGATATGATTTCTTTTTAGGGCAAGAAGATAAATATTACTGGTAGTCTCAGGTCTGGATCAAGATCTCCTTTATAGAAAATTATAGTCATTCAAATAGGTGCGCTGAAGTATGGGGAGACGGCGCTGAAGCGCTGAAGCATTTCGACCCGCAACCACCGCACGAGGCCCATACAAGCAAGCGCCACATAGCGTCAACTTGGAGCTCAGCTAAACATAAATAGTTCCGTCTCTATCTTAGAATACTGTTAGAAGAGACGCCGAAGTCACTTATGGACTTAGGTATAGACTTGTTAACGGATACCAAATGGTAACTAACCGCAGAACAACTATTCAAGTACCAAGGTACTGCCAAGATTGACCTTGACCAAATCTCTCTCCAGCCATTGATAAGCCGTGAGATTGACCAGAAAAATGTAGATTGATTACATAATATATTTACCAAGGATGGTTGCCAAAGATTCAACATCCGAAATCATGTGACTACTGTCATTTCTAGGCGGCACCTTGAAAGAGCATGCTGTGGCGCCGGACTGACCCCTGAAGAACTCAAAACTTATCAACAGGAATATCCTCATCTTTCTTTTCATAGGCACCAAGTGCAATGCCTCCATGGGTAATATAGACTCACAGCTGCTGAGGAAACCTTAGCCCTATCTAACTGGTGGTGGACGGTTGACCTATATCTGGATGGTCTGCTTTCCAACGCAAGACTTCCTCACCTGTACTAACCCTTGCTTGTAGACATCAGCCCGGATTTACAGACTGCTCTCGTCAATAAATATGCAAACAAAAAAGCACTAACTAATAGGGAGGTGTACCGGAAAATCCGTTAGTATCAGCATGAGAGTAATACACTCTTTCAAAACTATTGGTGGTGCCGACTGTCGCTGAATAAAACTAAGCAGTTAAGGCAGCTTACTTCTAAAGATAACATATATCTTTGTGCAGTGTTTGATGCTTTACTTACAATCCCTGGGCTCTGGAATGGGTTGAGTCTTGGGTCATTGAACACAGTCATGGCATTAAAGTATAATGAAGTTAGTTCCACTCCTTGCTCTCTGAAGGCTATCCCTGACTCATTGTCCTAGGAACTCATTCACTACCTAACACATTTAAAGAATTTCTGGGCAATGCTTGTCAACCATGACCGCACTCAGATGGCCCGTATTGACCTACATACAGTGGACACGCTGCAGCTGTACACCCCTCGGGCATCCACAGTTGATCGGAAGACAGTGAAGGGGAAAATCCTCAGCGGTGAGGCTTTTTCCGACTTCAGTCAGACCGAACGTGCCACCATCTAGAAAAACCTACGGTTGCAAGCAGCGTGTGACGGCATTATACCATCCCTTCACACCTTCTTCCGAGATATTAACTATCTGGAACTCTGCGCCAATGCCGTGAAACGGTTGGTTATTCTCGATAAGCAACGCCCCACGGTTCAGAGTGTACTGGTCCACGGTTTTCGATCCCGCCGTGCCGATCATGGTTATCTGATCCAGATATCTGACACTACTTTCCATCACCAACCTGGATCCAGTAACGAGGGTCTAACGTCTGGATATCGTCAAATCTGGATATACGCCATGCGACATTACCCGGAGATGGCCAAGGACGTTCAGGGCGGCCCGAAGGCTAACCCTACGCGGGCAAAGGCGCGAGCGAAGGCGGACGAGAGCGTTATTCATGCAATGGCCGCGCTTGCCAAGAAGCTAGGATTTCATACTCCACCAGTCAAGACTATCATAAGACAATCACCTGACCACCAGATTGCCCGGGCTGCCCTGCTCAAAGCACGGAAGCCGGATCACTACTACTATGACAGCGGAGCTTTCGAGTCTCTTATCAAGCAGATTACTGGTTGTTTTGCGCTTGCTATCCCGAACAAGACCGCGCCAGTGGCACATATCACTAGTCGAGTAATTAAGCTAAAGGATTACTGTGGAATATCTTAGGAGTAAATCTAGCAACTAGACTGCCTGCATATCTTCTTAGACACACTATACTTGGTAATAGTATTGTAAAGAAACCTCTCATTCCTGGAGGTGAGATGAAGTATTTACTACACCTTTTTCAGCAAGTCCTCCGCAACAACCTCCCAAAGTGTTCTACTGGGGCAATTATTATCCAACAACCCTCTTTCACCCTTGTTTATCCCAACTAATATGCCGAGATTACAATCAGAATCGGCCCATGACCACATGTCAAGAAGTAGCTTTGATGAAGGGTCATCTAATAGCCGGCGGGATCGGTCGGAAATTCCCGAAGAATAATATTGGAGGCAAGAAAGACAACACGCAGTAGAGCACGGCCTACTTCTCGTCTAAGAGACTTCCATTCAAAATTCAATAGGAGAGACATCTACTATCTCTAAGGTAATGGATATGTATTGGGATAGCTCTGGCGCGGAAGATCAACCCTGACCGGAGAATGTCGAACAACAGCCAGCAGCAAGTAGAGGAATGGATTCTGACAGTGAGGAACGTGAATGTACAGAGATCGATGAAAAAGATCTACTTCGCCGAGCAGCGGATGGGAGCCCTGTATTGGAGGACGCGGCTGCTGTGAATCATTTGACCTTAGGGGGACCGCGCGATACAGATATGTCAAGTATACTGGATAAGGGAGCAGGTGGGGTGGACATGGACAAGGACATGAACTCATCAGCGCAGAACCAATCAGTGCAAGATTACCTTGGAATACCAACTACATTATCCCGCCAGTCAAGCACTACGCCGCCAGCCTCGGGAAAAAAGAGTAGGGATATAACATAGAAACCGTATGATGCTACATAGAAAGGCAACTGTAAAGTAACTATAAAACTACTTGCTGCTTAAGGCCAATCAATTGCCGAGGGCGGCATGACAAACTCGGAGCCAAGCGCTAAGTAATAGTCTGGTCTAGGTCTGTTATAACCAATTACAGAGCACGCGGAGCAGGAAATAACCCGTCTAGTCAACAAGCCGGAGTACCCTGAACATATTTCTAGAAGACCATTACCAGCTGAGGGCCAGGAAGGAATAGCAGGAGAGCTAATAGTGGATAGAACTAAGCTCATCGTGGAAGTGGGTGAAGAAGTCCACCAAGAAGATCAAGTGGCTCGGGAGCGCGCAGATGCTCTTACTCAGCTACAAACACCTGGGGCCAGGGAGGATCCCCGGCCTGTGACTGAGCTCCCCGCTGACTTGCCGAGCCTGATTACAAGATTACGGGAAGAGGGAAGCCAGCTGGGTGATGAAAGTGTGATTCCCGACAATATTGGAATGCAGGAACTTCCTGAATTGAAGCCGGCCACTGTTGATAATCTGGACGGTGTTGGGGGTGAGACCGCGGCGGGTGTTGTTAAACCAGGGCTTTCTCAACAGGAGACCGAACGACATAGAGCGGATCTACCTAATCCAGAACAGGCTCAGCGCCAGGTAATTAAAAGGCAGGAGGGGGAGGATCTACTATTTAATATTCCTGTGCTGGAAGAACTGACAGACCAGGCAGTAGAAGAGGATCCGGGAAGACTAACCCTAGAAGTTCCCGATCCTCTTCGCCCCGGAAGCATGCCTGCGGGTCTTTCCAGTGATGTGCCACCGGAGCGGAGGGTCACAGTCACATTCTATGTCTACGAGCGACAGGCATGGAAAAAGATGGATATGGTCACTGTGAGCCCTACTCAACTTGCTGAGGCGCAGATCATTACTGAATAATATGCTCGAGATCCCAGCTAATATACGCGCTTTTATGATGGTTAACTACACAAAGTTGCAGTTAATGAGTGCATTCGTGCCGCAATTGACGATAGTAGTTTCACTGTCCTTATAAGTTTTGGAAAGGATCTAATGGTGACTCGGCATCTTGTCATGTCTATTACAGAGATATTTAAGTCTACTGGAAGCGAATGGCACAACCCTTATCATCCTGCGAAACGGTTAAAAGCAAACACCGGAGCCCCGTCGGCTGGTCCCGTTCAAACGCGAACGGATGAAAGCAGAGCGACGTGGAAGAAAACTAACACCACGGATAGCCGCCCGACCGCCGCAGGATGTGCAGCCCAGTCAGGCACGCTCAGAGGCAGATTCTCAACCTGTTACTATTGTGTTCCGGGTCCGAGATGAGAACAGATGTTGGAGGATGGCTTATGAGGTCTGCGTTGATGATCGGTCCAACCAGTTGCAGGTGGAACAACTGGCAAGGAAGGAGGCGAGAGACCGGCAGGCCACTTTCTATGATAAGGACCTGCAGAAACTTACTCCGGCACAGTGTTTCGAGGCGGCAATTGAAGATGACACGAATACAATCTTTATGAATTTCGGGGGAGAGCTTAGGATGGATGAAGACACAATAAGGTCGATCGCACGCGAAGTGGAATTGTGAAGACTCCAGTAATATTGGGGTTGTCGGCAGACCAGACAGGCCGCAACAATGTACGCAGACGACTATCTGGGTCTTGCACCTGCCGTAGACACCAGTTGGCGGTTCTCCGTCCGTGGTGGTCGTACGACCGCCGTCTGACGACCGGCCTGGTCGGGGGCACAGGGTCTGGCGTTTCGGGTGCTCCGGCAATAGGTCTATGCTCCAAGCCTTACTACCCAAGTCTTCAGTGTCTGGGCCTACCACCTTGGTCCTCTAGTCCGCCCCCTCCGACCTTGTAGGTGGCCAGACCACAAGCCTGTGTCTGATTTGGGCTTAGAACCCCGGTCAGATCTCCTTGACAGGCTTTGGGCCAGATTGGTCGTGTGGCTTGCGGTGTAGGAGATACCCTATGCCGATCCTGGGGTATACTTGTTTCTAGGATGTCCTTGTTCCTGGGACGGACTTGTTCTTGGGATCCACTTGCTGAAGCGCTGAAGTGGGGCGTCAGATGTCATCCAATAGAGACTAGTAAGCGCTGTGTTGAAGGCGCTAGCTGGGCAACCTGGTAGTATGGTCGACCGTAACATCTCGTAATTATCGCGAGAGAATGTCGCAACTATGATCCGTAATAGTACACATGTTTGGTGGAATGGATTTGCCATGATAGAGTACCATTTTGCTGCCGCCGTCACAAAATGCCCGATCAAATGCTGTTAAGGCATTATAATGACTGAGGCGTTTGAGTGCCCTGGTTGCTTTCGGGTCCATGCTCGGGTCTCCGTTCGTAGCACGTTTCTAGAGGCGATGTTAGCAAAGGGATAATAAAGAGGGGAGGCACCTTACTACACCGGTTTCCCACTGTTTGACCATTGTACTGAGATTGTGCGGATCCGTCAGGCTCTCTGATGTGACCCTAAGATACCTATCAAATAGATTCCACTCATCTGTGTCACCAGGGCCATCACTTTCGAAGGGAGCGAGTGTGGATAGTAAATTGTGAGAAGATGCTGTTTGACTAGCAGCTCCAGGCTCAAAGATATATAAGGACTAAGCTTAGAGCAAGTATTAATCACCAGAGCGAGTTGAACTCAGCAGCCATGGATATGAGCGCAAAGAGCAAACATCATCATTCCGAATTCATCAACTGTCCCAACCCAACGTTCGATCCTTTCCCTTCGCTTGGGTTCTTTTTTCTCAGGGAATGCCCATAGCTCGGAGATAACCAAGCTTCCATCTTCCCAATCAGATAAGTACCGATAGTACACCTTATTCCACGTCTCTCGGTTATCCGCTTCCCACAATGCCTTATGACCCGGTACATAGACGGTTCTTAACTCGTCGGCGATGAAATCAGGCAGCATCCGGTCCGCATTATAGATGCTACTGAAGACGTAAAGAATAAAGACTGCACGCCGTTTCGCAGCAGCCACAATCCAGGATTCCCATGTTGGTTTGGTCCGTTCTATCTCGGCGGTACAGGAGAGACCATTTCGACTGGTACGGAAGGCCAAATCCATGAGAGCTATCATGGTGTTTTCCGAAAAGTTGCCTCGAGGAGAGAAGTACATCAGGATTGAGTAAATAAGGTAAGCTTGGAAGGAGCACAGGAGCTGGTAGTCATGTTGATCCGGGCTCTTTAATCCCATTAGCAGTCACGTCCAAATAGGAACAGAGGTGCATACATACCTCACTAGACAGCCTATCCATCTCCCGTCTAAGGGTACTCATAACTACCTCCTCGCTCCCGGGGACGGCGTGTTCCCACATACGTACTAGGCTATAGCAGTTTGCTAGTGCGCGAGGAACCTCGCTCCCCTTCACTTGGGCTTGATGAATGATTGGGGGAAGATGCCCGTCCTCCAGCATGTTCCGCGGATAAGTCCTCAAGATTCGCTTAATAAACTGTATAGTATAAGGAAGAACGACTTTTGGGATCTCAATTCGATCGAGCGTAGTCATGAAGTAAGGCCTTAACCATCGAGAGCGAATTTTATCTGCCTCGGAGGTGGGAGTCAGGTCAATGTCTCCAAAAGCAAGCTCATTGTTTCCGACAGTCCCCTCGATACATTGTCCATGTAACTGCTGGCTCGGTGGATAGCAGATGGTATCACCAACAGGTAACCAACTAGGAGCACTGGCATCTGACAGAGAAACCGGCGTTTGTAATGTTGTCGACGCAGAGTTTGAATCGAGAAGGAACGACGCCCTAGGACAATTTAAGCGCTCGGGCTCTGCTTGTAATCCTCCCTGTGCTAGGCCAGAGTTGCGCTGCTCCGATGCTAGAGCCGCTGTCTCATATACACAGCTTCGGTCTGTTAATCTGCACCTCGAGCACGCAGGCTTTTCTAGACTGCACCGGGCTTTGGATCTAGCGCAATTGCCGCAAGCCTTTCTGCGTGGAGTACGAGGTTTCTTTCCAGGTGTGGTTGGCGTGGCCATGGCTCGCGGTATAGAGTGAATATAGTATTGAGCTGATGCATGGATTGCAAGCTCAAGCAGTCATAACCTATTATCTGTCCGTCTGGTCGCCGACTCCGATCTCCGCGGAGAGACGTCATGCTGGCTCCTATTATTCGTGGTTCAAGCTCGGAATTCCGAAATTAGGTCCGGAGTGGCAAACTCCTCGGAGTCCCTGGCCGGCTTGATTGCGCTGTCCAGGAGTATTTAATGCCATCGACCTGGTCCAGAGGCAAATTCATTGCTCCTGTCAAACTTCGAATATGGAGAGCCTGGACATTCTACTACGTGGCAGTATTTACGGTCGCTTGCTCAACAGCGTGTCAAAGGGACGATTTTTCTCCTACAATGTATCTCAGACCCTCAAGGACGAAGAACTACCAAGCCCAAACTCCCAGGAGCATATTATAGTAGGCTTCGCTGGTCCTGATGATATAGACATGCCTCATAACTGGCCCAGGCTGGCAAGGATGGTCGCCGGCTTCAACATAATGCTCTTGAACTTCAGCTTCTATGCAGCATCGGCAATCTTTACACCGAGTATCTCAGGTATCGAACAGGAATTTGGAGCTACCACTGCGGAAGGCACACTGGGGCTTTCGCTCTTTGTTATTGCATACGGAATCGGGCCTCTGATCGTACGTCTGCGCCTCCAGAAGACCCCCGGTATAACCTCACTAAATATATATATCTCCAGCTTTCTCCTCTGTCAAGCCTGTCGACACTCGGGCGTTCACCAGTATATGTCCTTGGCTGCCTTGCTTTCTGCTTGTTTAATGTCGGAACGGCTTTGGCAAAAAACCTACAAACCGTCTTGGTACTGCGCTTTTTAGGTGGCTTCATCGGAAGCACACCTATCAGCGTCGGTGGCGCCTCGCTAATGGAAATCTTTAAGCCAAATGAGTTTCCCTATGCAATTGCGTTTTACGCAGTTAGCGGAGTTTGCGGGCCTATTCTAGGACCGGTATGTCAGCCTACATGCATCTAGACATCCATGGCTTTTGCTAACTTTTGCAAAAACAGATCCTTGGAACCCTTGTGATGTGTGTTATCCGTTTTGTAACAGCTGAATATTATCTGACACTAATTATTATCGTACAGAAAGCGCTGGAGCACCTGGACAGCAACGCTATGGCTCGTTTCCGGTATCACAGCTTTCACCACCGTATCTATTTTCTTCTTTTTACCTGAGACGCTATCCTCGAATATCCTTCTACGACGAGCAAGGCGCCTTCGCGCACAGACGGGCAATCCTGCCTACCAGAGTGAAGCAGAGATCCATTCACCGAGCGACAATCTCGCTGTACGCATTGTCAAGGACATGGGCAACGATCTCAAACTTGCCTGTCTGGACCCAGTGATACTATTTGTTAACATACACACAATGCTAGTTTACGGTGTCCTGTACCTTTGGTTTGAATTCTTCCCATTCGGTAAGTTATGCTCAGCTAGATTAATTTCGCCCACGTTATACTGATGGAGTGACCCAATAGTCTTTGACGGCATCTACCATTTTACTGCAATCCAGCAAGGCCGTGAGCTTCCCTCAGCTGACTTTTTGCACAAATACTGTGCTAACAATTCTTCTCTCCAGTTGCATTCTTTGGTATCCTCGTTGGAGCATTGATTTCAGTCGTTGCATACATTCTGTGGTTATACTATTGGTACCAGCCACGAGTGGCAGATGCAAGCATCGTTCTTGAGCCAGAGGCTCGCCTGGTACCTGGACAGATAGGAGCTCTTTGCATTCCGGTTTGTCTCTTTATCTTTGCATGGACATCCCGAGAAAGGTAGGCCAGCCACTGGAGTTACTTGATTTCAGCAGGAAAATTTCTAACCTCCTGAACACAGCGTACACTGGATCGCTCCGATAATTGGGACAGCGTTCTTTGCACCGGGCTTCTACCTCACCTTTCAATCCATCCTCAATTACCTAGGTGAATCCTATCCGCGCCATGCGGCAAGTGTATTTGCCGGTAACACCTTCTTCCGAAGCTCTTTTGGAGGAGCACTGCCGCTGGCTGCACCACGCATGTTGAATTCGCTTGGAATTGGATGGGCCTCGAGCACGCTTGGGTTCATCTCTGTTGCCATGGTGCCCTTACCTTTTATTTTGCAACGGGTGAGTTGTGTCGCCACGACTGCATCCGATATATAGTTATTTGCTAACTTGTATAAAATAGTATGGCAAAAGGCTGCGTTCTTGGAGCCCATTTGCGAACTAAGAAACACATTTCAAGGCTTGCTTCCATATTGGCTCCGCCCTATATGCCATGGGCTCACTTTCGCTGTGCTACATACCACCATTTCAACCTGTGGTAAATCAAAGTTGGCACGGCCTTCCTTGAAGGTGATCTCGGCGCTTGATGTCTTCCCTTTCAATACTGAAGCCGTCTTGCGTTCACGATCCCTTAGATTTTACATTCCCCCAAAAGCTCCATCACTTGCTTGTTTCTTTTTGTATAATTGATTTTAATAAACTTATTGGTTATTTGTTTATCCCACTGCCAGCTCCATTGTTGGTAACAGTACTGTTATATCATGCTACAGCTTGCCTAGTAGACAACATGCTTTACGCTGCAATCGGATAGTACCTTGAGAAGCTGTCGATAGCTATACGAACTTAAACAAGAGCGGAGGAATCTTTACACGCAAGGTCAATGTGCGAAAGACTTTGATTTAGGTAGCAGGCATTCCAGGCTCGCTAGTCTTGTAATCTGGGTCTTCCTCAATGCTTACACCTGCCTCCGCTAGTAAGTGAGGAAACCATCTAAGCATTCGGTCGCGAAATACTTCGTATCCAGCTCCCTTTCGCAGCACCTTCATGTTCTCGGCATCGAAGTTCACACCGCCGCGCCTGTACGCATGCCATTTCTGCAGACCATAATCCACCACCAAGTCCACCGCGTCAATCACTCTCGGATCAATATCTTCAATCCGGAATTGTTGCCCCTGGCCGGTCAGATTGGCCGAAGTTCCGAATGTCAACATGCCGTCCGAGTCCTCATCGCAAAGGCGACCGAGTCCCCTCAGAAACGGACCTTCGGGAACTGCGATACTGATCGTATCGCCCTTCGTGACGTGGGATAGCGTAGCGGAATCGAGAACTGCCAGGCGCGGGTGAAGGGTTTCGGTATCGTATTTGGCAATGATCCCGACAATCATCGCCATATCTTCTGTCAAGACCCTTGTCATCTCAAACTTGGCCTCGGAAAGCAAATGGATCTCTCGGTGCTGTTTGTATGTCCCGATAATGCCAATATTGTGCCCCTCTCGACGATCTTTGGCTGAGAAAATCCGCTGAATTCCCGCCTGTGTGCTGGTCAAGAGTGCGTAGCCGACATCGGTTGGGATGATGACAACTCCACCACATTTAAGAGTCCTATAGGCCTCTTTAGCGTCACGAGTGACGTTGGGAGCAGTACCTGGCTTGGGTATGAAGCGGGAAGCCATTGAAAGTGATGAAGATTAGCAATTACATACTAGTCAAGGTAGGAATATATGTGGTCAAGCGAATGCGACACGTCATGATGACACGTCATGTTGACATCCAATTTGCTGGTTAGCAAAGACTGTCCTCGGAGACTCTATGAGTGTTTTCATCACCGGATCTTTCCACACAAACGGGGTTTGTCGGAAAGGAGGACCGGTGATCATTTGCTCGTGGCGTCTTTTCCTCGGCACTCCGAAGGTGTCGGAGTTCGTTGGTCTTGGCTAAGCTTAATTTGAATTAGTACTAGTTCCACTGATAGGACTTTTTACTGGTGCCGCACGGAACTCCGATCATCGTTGACCAGACATCTGCGTACGGCTAACAGAGTTAAGCTCAACTTTTAATTCAAACTTCGCCAAACCACACAATTATCAGGCTCTACCAGACCAACCGAAAGCCAAGTTAGGCGAATGACTGTCTACATAACCGACCATTCCACTTCTGTCCTCAAAACCCACAGTTGGCGCACAGCGTCCAATTCCGCCAGCTACCTCCTATCTCACATAACTCCGACATCCAAAATCCTGGAAATCGGGTGTGGGGTGTGGCCCCGGCTCAATTATTGTAGATTTCGCCCGCCGTGCAAACCATGGTCATGTCACACGGATCGAAAACGTGACCTCGCAAGGCGTGACTAACATCGATTTTCGGCTGGGTGATATTCACTCTCTCGAGTTCCCGGATAATACCTTCGATATTGTTCAAGTACATCAGGTGCTGTAACATATTGCCGATCCTGCCAAAGCGCTATACGAAATGAGGAGTGTCGTGATATGTGGTGGAATTATCGCAACAAGGGAATCCGCGGCTATGATTTGGTATCCAGAAAATCGCGAGACCGCTGGTTCGAAATTACTCAACGGATGGGAAAGGCGAGAGGCGAGAATCCGTACCCTGGACGGTATATTCATGTCTGGGCGGAAGAGGCTGGATTTGGTCGGGCGAATATTAAGAAGAGCACTGGGTCGTGGTGCTTGAGTAGTCCTGAGGAGAGGAAAGGGGGAGAGGGTGCGATCTTCGGGCTTGGCGAAGACGGCTGACGAGGAAGGGTATGCAGTGCTGAATGATGAACTGGCGCGTGAGGTACTGCGGAAGGATGCTGCCATGCCTCCTCAGCAGATCCTTGTTGTGAAGAATTTCTTTACCTGGCCCGTCTCCGACCTCAACAGCTGTTAAGGGCCGGACCAATGAAAGCAAGACAGACAACCTAGGAACTCGGTGGCCTGATCCACGAAGTGGCTTTGCATTCGTTGTGATTATTCTCCTCCAACGAATAACAAGCGTCGTTGATAAACATGGGTGCTCCGAGTGATGTTGCGCCCGCGGAAGAGATTAGTCAAGCAGTTTCCCAGAAGCAATATTTTTTGCTTTTGCACCAGATCTCATTTCCAAGTCTTGATTGTTGGCCTTCTGAGGCTGAAGGTCTGTCTGGCGGGGTGCTGAAGCGCTGAAGTGGGGCGTCAGATGCCATCCAATAGAGACTCGTAAGCGCTGCGCTGAAGGCGCTAATGTTTCGGCGTTCAAGCGTCCAATGCATCTTCGTTCAGCGAGAAGCGGATTGAGACCTCCGACCAATCGATCCCCGTTCAGCCTTCAGCCTTCAGTGTTTATGAAACTGATATTTTTCTGTGAACAAAATAAATGATAAAGCCGGTTGGACCTAGTGTAACTACTCGTCGGAGGGAATTTCTGCCACGGTCGGCTCCAATCATGACTCCATGCAACCGGTAAGGATGGGTTAATTTCCTGAATGAGATATAACTGATAATGGCGCAGAGTATTTCTGTCTAAGCTTCTGAAATTCACCGTCGGCACTGATTGTGAAGAAGTTTTCATTCACAGTAATATACTTAAATCACATTCGACGCCCTGGTTCAACAGCGATAGCGGTAGTGTTGCTGGTGATGACCCTATTATAATCAAGAACACGGATAGGCATATATTTAGTTTCGTCTGTCAGTACTTGTACACTGGAGACTACTCTATTACACTTCCCGGCGACACTCCACCTCCTGGCCTGGCTTCTGGTGGACAAGATAAGGCGGAGCAGGCGGATGTACTCGTTCTCGAAAGAAGCCTCTTTCGAGACACAGAGACGGTGGAACAATACGCGGACTACCTTGTGCGGCGGATTCAGCCACGGCCATCTGAGGGGTTGCAAGGCAGCTATAATCCTATTTTCGATTATACCGAAATACTTCTCACCCATGCTCGTCTTCAGGTTTTTGCCGCAGAATATAAACTGCAGGAGCTGCGCGACATCTGTCTCTTCAAGATGTTGCATCTCCTGCATGCTTTTCCAATATGCCAAGATCGGATTGGGGATATTGTTCGGTTGTTTGACTTTGCCCTCCGCGCGGGCACTGGACGGTGCGAGAATCTAATCAGAATGTTGTGTCATTATGCTACTCAGCACATCCGATTATTTCTGCATAACAGAGAGTTCGAGATACTTCTGCAGGAACAGCCCACTTTGGGCAAACTTTTGCTTACTACAAGCGGTGGTGGTCCTTGATAATGAATTGGTAGCATGTTCCTTGTTCGTATCAATTTCAAAAAAATAAAAAAAAGACAAAAACTTCGATAAAAGCCCAAATATCACTTTTTAATATTCCGTCTCCAGTCAGTACTGTATGAACATAACGGACAATACTTGGCCTTCGCAGAACTCTGTAGGCTCCAATCCATAGAACAGCTAGGGCATTGATAGGTTACTGTGCTGACTGGATGATCTTGGCTCTGTACAAGGTCAGCCGCGAAGCCCAGAGTTTCCCTTAAGACTTGATTGAAATCGTCATTCTTCAACAAGTCATTGATATGTTTCAAAGATGTGCTAACAAGAAGATCCCGAAGACCTCTATCTGCGGAACTCGTAGTGGAATATGCGCTTGCGATAGCAATGGGAAAGTCATCCATTTCCCAGCATGTCGTTATAGCAACCGAAAACTTCTCCTTCGCTTGCGCTTTGAGCTTAGGAATGCCATATTTGTCACCTATCTGGTAAACTTTGACGTTGAAGAGCATTGGGGAGGTTCGACCTTGTTCACTACCACTGCTATCGTAATTGAATCCATAGAAAAAGTGAATCATTGCTTCTATGGCCCTGGGATCGTCGTACTCTAGTCGTACAACGTTCTCTGTGACTTCCTGACGAATTCGAATAAGCTTCAGGCATCCTTTGATGCCGTCGAATTCAACTTACTCTCCATTTGTGGCTGAAAAGCCGAGAGAAAAATTCTGACTGCCCACAGACAATCACTTTGTGCACTTCAAATTCCTGGTCCCTGGTGACTATTGTCAAGTCAGAGAACGTTGATGCGTGAAGATATCTAATAGAGGCGCAATGAGTACTGGACAATGTATTTTGCAGATTTTGGCAAACCTTTGGATGCTCGCAGTAAGGTCACCTTCATTTCCGTCAGCCTCCATGGCCTCCGCCTTGATTTTCACGGTCACAGGCTGGCCGCTCCCCATTCTGGCGCAATAAATTAACCTGCTTTTAATGCGCCGTACTGTCTCAGGGCCTCAGATGAGATATCAAGACCTGGCGCGTTGGAAGGGGATCAGAGATGGTGACTTCATTTGCTTGTGTACTTCAGAAACTCTTAACTCGTTTCCTTACCCTCCCTTCATTAGTGTCACAAAACAATTAGCTGCTGCTTACGCTAGTTCCCAGCCATGCTGTTAAAACCCTTTGCTGCTAACACTCGTATTCGCCTTAGCTCTCATTACCGCTTACATGATGCCTCGAGGTCAAAGCTCGTAATCTTACCGCCCGGGTTATTAGTATAGGGGCCTACTACCGCAGCACTCTATTCTTGTCTATCTAACTATTCTGGTGTTTATACCCCAGGTCTATATTAGCTCTCAGCCCAGGATCTTATTCAGATCTTCTATAAATCCTTTAGACTAAATTAGTCATGGGCCTACAGAATCCCATTTATTCTAATATAGTATATCTACTTTGATATTAACTAAAACTTATATATTATAGATTTTAGGACTAGACTAAGTCCTGGTACCTTTTATTCTAGGTATTAACTAATACCAGGAATACTTATTCCAAGTATAAGTAGATTCTTTATTCTATAATAGAATTATTCTTAAGGCTATGCTATTTCCAGGATAAGGTATCTCAGGAACCTCTATCCCTTGGTAGCAGGAGATACTAAACTACTAAAGCAGGGGATCGGCTGTAAACCAATCAGAGTTACATAGTCACGCTGAAGGCGCTAGTACTTCAGCGCTCAAAGCTCTCCTCAGCCAAGCCTTTATTGTCTTTCGCTTCTATGAATGGTTGGACGCAGGTTATTGAATTACTGTAACGTTTTTTTGGTTGGAAACAAGTCTTCTAGACTCCAAGATTATATTTCTAGGAGCGCCACCCCTATTCCTTCAGCATCGTCCTCCATATCTGTCGAGTTCCTTGACGAGGTTGATACTTTGACAGAAGATCCTAACTGCGACGATGCCAGCAGGGCAACAGGCTATATTGGCAAGGCATCCGATTCTCGTGGCTAGTCAGGATTGGTATGAGGAACATCGGAGTTATGACAATGACAAAAGACGATTAAGAGGAAACATGTGTCCCTTTATGTCCGCAGCAGAGTAGGCCACAGTGGGTACCTTCCCTAAATGTTTAACCTAACTACTACTCTCAGCTCAGGTTGGGTTCGGTCAGTCGCCTTCTCTCCAGATAGCCAGCTGCTGGCATCTGGCTCTGATAATAAAACTATTAAGCTCTGGGATCCTGCTACTGGTGCTGTCAAGCATACCCTAGAAGGTTATTCAGATTGGGTTCGGTCAGTTTTCTTCTCTCCAAATGGCCAGCTACTGGTATCCAGATCTAATAATAAAATCATTAAACTCTGGGATCCTGCTACTGGTGCCCTTAAGCATACCCTAGAGGGCCATTTAGATCGGGTTGATTCAGTTACCTTCTCTCCAGATAGCCAGCTGCTGGTATCCAGTTCTCATGATAAAACCATCAAGCTCTGGGATCCCGCTACTAGCACCCTTCAACATACCCTGGAGAGTTATTCAGATTAGGTTAATTCTGCTGTCTTCTCTCCAGATGGCCGGGTGCTGGCATCTTACTCACGTGATAAAACCATCAAGCTTTGGGATGCTGCCATTGGTACCCTCCAGCATACTATAAGAACTGGCGGGTTTGTTACCAGAATTGAATTTTCCAAGAAGCTGCCTCATCATTACTAATCTAGGATGTTTTTGATATACAAATCTGGCACGGAAGCTTCTCATCAAGCTCTGAGACAAAGACTGATTTATGTCTGCAGGCAAATCAGAAGCACACCTACTACTCCAGCTTTCTCGGACCCAACTCGAAATTGAACTCCTTCAAATGCGGCGAGAGCTTATATCTTGCAAAGAGCTGCCCGTTCTCGACCAAGATCCGCCGTAGCATCTCCCCCCTCTCCTCCTCTCCTTCAGGCCACACCCCGTCCCATATCCTCACATACGGCTCGATAACCGCTAAAGCCTCCTTCAGCCACACACCTGCCTTGTCCTCCTTAATCCTCCTGCTCTGTACCACCCCCTTCTCCAGCTCTTGTAGATGATCTTCCCTCTCTTGCCCTGTTTTGACCGCAGCCCCCATCACCCCAAGTAGGATATGCGACCGCACTGCAAGATCCAAGTCACCCATCTCTACACCCTTTGTCTCCTCCACCGCAACAGCAGCCAAAAACTCCACCTCCTCCTCACCACCAAGCTCCCCATCCCACCCCCTCCACCACGCGTATGCCCCAATCCCGCCATCAGGCCACCCACACCACATAATCTCGCTCTTCCACGCAGCATCCTCCACATCCGGCTCAACGACGCCACTACTTCCCCAGCTTGCCTCCCAAGCCTTCACCGAGTACTTCTTTTGCCACTGGTACACATCAAACATCCCCTGCGCGGCCAATACCCCGAAGTGATTCACGTCCCACGCGTCCGGGGACGGCGTCGTGGGTTTATTTGGTGGGCCGAAGAACCCGACACCCATGTTCTCAAGCCAGAAGCGCGCTTGCGTCTCCGAATAAGGCGGAACACCGGGGTGCTTCTTGCGCAGGCGGTTGATAGTCGTCTCCAGCGTGCTGAGGGCTATTTCGATAAGAGTCGCAACCGAAAGCAATTTCTGTCTGCGGCGGGTGCGACGGACGTTGTACGCCCAGCGGGGGAGTTTCGTGGCATGCGGGCCACCACCGGGGTGAGGTCGCTTGCGCGTCTGGTCCAGCGGGGAGTCCGAGTCAGGTAGATCTTGGAGATCAGGGAGTCGGTAGAAGCGTGCTGTGGCGGGCTGTCTTAAAAACGCCTCAGAGTAATAAGAGCGCCAGGCGGATGGGTTAAGGAGCGCGTGGTGTTCCGTGTAGAAAGCATCGAAGTCATCGGGGGAGGGGAATTCACCCTCTGTTTGGTCAGAGGAGCGGTAGATGGCTGCTGCAATTTGAGCGAGGTAAAATAAATCCAGGGTGCTGTGGTTGTGATGGTCAGTCTTCGTTCGTAGTATAGTTACTGTGTTCAAGATAGCCGTGGTAAGATTAACTGACCGATTCAACCTTAAGTCGCCCTCGCCAAATGACCACCCGTGCTCGTGCAGTTTCTCAATCACATCAAACACGCCATCGCCGAGCCACAATCCCTCATCCATGTGGATGAATGCTATCCATAACACTTTCTCGTGGCTGTCGACCGGCACCACGCCGTTTTCGACGTCGGCGAGAAATTTTTCAGCACTCATGTCAATCTCTGCAATCTGTAAGGGATCACGATTGGCTAAATAGGAATGGCTATCAAGGGAGCACCAGCTGTATCAAAGATCAGGATGGACTCGGCGCAGGATGGATGATGCCGCGAAGGGAATAGGAAATCAACGGATACCAAAGTGTTACGGCTGATTTTATGGCTAGCCCCTTTAGGCCTAGCGCATCCTCACCTGACCAGCGACCACTTTTGGATTTTGAAATACTTCAATGTTGAGATTTCGAATGACCGACAGAAGTTGAAGAGACAGGCCCTTGAAGCCTTCTTATATTCAATTCTCCAAGAACTTCTTAACCACGTGATTTGCAGGTTTGCAGGTTGACGTGATGCCTCCTGAGATCCTCCGCATCACAGATTACTCACGCTCTGTGGATCCAGTGACTATTGTACATTCATTGATCTAGACATCTATCTCCCCTACGCACAAGAACCAAACGCCTCTTGACATCCCGTTCCACAGTACGCATTCGTATCGCCGCAGTATCCCCATTCCGAGCAGCAGTCGCCAAAGGCCGACCCCTCGCACACCGCTCCAACCGGGTCGCTCATCTGACTGCACAACCCATCCGTGGACACTGGTGGGCCGGTGCTCGGAGAACAAGTCCCGAATTCAGGCTGGCACCCTGTCCCGCAGTACTCGGCCGTGTCCCCGCAGTAATCGCTCCCAGAGCAGCACTCGCCAAAGGACGAGCCGAGGCAAGTTTGGCCGCCGTTCGCGGCACCGCAGAGACCGTCGGTGGAGGGATTCGATGGAGTTGGTGGGATGGCGGAGGATGTGGTTGACGTTGTGATTGCGGTTGATGTTGATTTTGTGGTTGACGTTGGAGTCCCCGTTGTCGACGCATCGCCTGTGCCGAACACGATCTCCGTAATATATGTCGACTTTGAGGTCTCCTCTATGGTAGTCGTGAAAACCTCTGTGTTTCCCGGTCCCCACGGCTCCGGCGTGTATAAAGGCGGGTCCGCTGTACTTGTGTAGCTTTCCGTGATTGGTGAAAGGCTTGGGAGACTGGCTGTCTCGCTGATGATCTGGCGTCTGCGCGGCGGTGCCGGTGTCGGCGGGTCGATCTCCATGGATCGCTTCACATTTGCAAAGACGGAAGCGTGGCCCTGGTACTCACAAGACAGCTTGGGGCCACCGGCGGACACAATGGCGCGCTCGACACAGCCGGACTTCATGAGGAACGGCAGGTTGAAATATGCGCGTGAAAGAGACGTGGAGGTGTGCTCGTCCCAGTCCCAACCTGTCAGGGCGCCACAGCCCTTCTCCTCGTCCTTCAGCTTCTTACCGTCGTCCGTGCTCCAGCCCTCGATGTTGTACACTTCGAATATGTAGAAAAAGTCGGTGGTCCTGCCTGCAGTTAGCGGTGACTGTCCGTTGTCCAATTGCTTGCGCCAGAGGTATTGAGGAATAAGTGACAGCGAAAGGTTCTCAACTTACCAGTAAGCACAGTCGGCCATTGCGGACGGCGGTACCACCACCGTTACCGTTTTGGTCGGCGTGTTTGTCACAGTCACGGTTTCAACAACTGTGAGAGTCTCCTGCAAACCGAATTGTGTCAGGGTAAAATCCGATCCATCATAACCCGGCGGATTCGTCGGCGCGAAGATGATTGGGACCTGCTCCCCATCTATCATGGTCACGTCCGCTGCCAACTCAAGCGACAGCGCCTTGGAGACATCAGGGTCTATCGAGCACTGCGGGCTCCCAGGCGTCGTCGTAACAGCCGTATCCTGCGCGTTGCAAGCCGTGCTTGTCACGCAGCTAGTCTGTCTCGTGTTAGCTTTTTGCCACTCTTTCACTCAGGGTCTGGGCCCACTCACCTCTGTTGTTGTCGAGGACTCAGCCAGGTACCAAGCACTGTAACTCGTCACCAGGTACGTGCACGCCGATGCTGTGGCGGGGGAGTCGCAATCGTCGCTGCTATCGCCGCCGTCGGAACCCTGTGTGTTTCCGCAGCCGCCTGGAACTAAACAGCCGAGGCCACCGCATGATCCGAGGAGGCAGTCGGGTATGCACCCACGGGTGCCACAGCCGCCACCGCAGCCAAAGATATCGCAGCCGCTATCGCAGCCGAACAAGCCGCAGCCACCATCACAACCAAACTGGATACACTCGCGCCTTCCGCATTTATCCCCCGTGCAGCCAGAAGGAGTTGGGGTGGGGTTGGCCTTGATAGTGACGGGTGCCGGGTCAATTAGGGGATCAGGATAATCGATTGAGTAGGTTGGCTGGGGTTGAATGGTGACGGGGACAGGGGTCGTGTGGAAGGTGACAGACGGGGGGGTAGTAGGAATTGGTATATCCGTGTCCGTGGGCGTCATTGGTGTTGGAGGGATTTTCGTTAGTTGAAACGCCTTAGGCATTTTCGGGCAAAGAAACGCTCCAAACCGTTCATCGCGTCTGGTGCCTACCGAATCAGCCATCGCCACGCGGAGGATCTTGCTGCAAAACAGGTCTGATTGGTTACTACGTAGGCTGAGAGACTCTCTTGCTTTGCTGGCAAATATAGTGCAGCCAATGCACTGAAGAGGGGTTGAACCCCAGATTATAAGAAAATCGGACTTGGTACAGATATCTGCGTTACTGTCCCTGTCAGCCGCTTCTAGTATCTATCAACTGGATAGAAACTTAAATTTTATACTTCGTTTTCTGCTCAGCAATGGCAGGGAAGAAGAAAAACCGCAAAGTCTCACAATCATCTGTGCCGGCCGATCGAAATCCCGACCCAGAGTCCTCCAACAGGCCAGATGGCAAGGCACAAGAACATCTTTTGGGTCTTATTGCTAAGTGAGAAATGTGTAACTCAGTTGAGATAAAGTGGCTTTGCCGCTAACGTAAACTTAGCCTTCATCTCAACTCAGAATACAGCGACTTGGAAATTATCTGCAAGGGTAGAACCTTACCAGCTCATAAACTTGTGGTTTGCTCTAGGTCTGAGTATTTCAAAAGAGCTTGTTTTGGAGAATTCAAGGTGCGAAACATCAAACTTTTAAACAACCCTTCAGACCAAGTCTCACAGACTGCTTTTGCGATCCAGGAGACCCATGAGCCTATCTGTCTTGACACTACAGACCCAGTCCTTCTTGAGAAGGTGCTCGAATTTCTATATACGGGAAATTATACTCTCGGACACCTTATCCCTAAAGCTCAAGATCCACAGCTCGATAGCAATACGGAGTGTGCGAAAGAGTCTTTGATAACGTCTATCTCGAAAGGGCATGATCCGAATCAGCTTGCGTCAGAAGTAGAAGAGGCCACCGATGAGATTATCATACACAGTTCAGAAAATATCGCGCAAGATCCCATGGGTGGAAGCGACCAAAATGACCAGGAGGATGCCACGGAGCCTGTCGTTGATCCTTCAGCCGAATGCCACCCATGCTACTTTCACATGCGCGTCTTCGGTGAAGCAGACTATTTTATGATCAGCTCCTTGAAAGACAAAGCAAAGGAGCAATTCCGTGCATCTTTTACGGATTGCTCAGAGAGGGATTTGTTTGCCGAGGTAATCAAGGAGCTCTATTCGGAAAGGGCCAACTACCAGGAATTAAAAACACTGGCAATAGATGTTGTGGTGAACAATCTGCCTAGTCTTCGAAAAGGATTTAGCCCGGCAATTGATTCCGAGCTTCTAGAGGCAGTTCCTAACTTTGCCGTCGATCTTTGTCTTGCAACAATGGATAAGTATGTGAGCGAGCCACCTAACATGAAACCATATCCGTTCGCCACGGGCTTTGAATATAAGGGAGTTGACTACGAATCTCTACCATGGGGTTTTGGAAACAATTGAAGAGCATGAGGTTGACACTGCTTCTTGAGAGGGTACAAAGTACAGGCCTGATATTAGCAAGCTAAAAGAGCTTCACAAGGGTCTGAGAAGTAACAGCAACGCATCAGAGTCGAACTTTGTTTCTCTGACCTCATCTGGAGACGTTGCTTCCAGTCTTAGCAGACTAGTCCGGCGTAAATTTGAGCGATCTTTTAAAATTCCATCCATTTGTTCGATACACTTTTGAAGGAAGCTGCCACGCTTTTCATGCAGAAGTTCCAGAAAATTTTCAAAGTGGCATTCTGGTACTCGTTGGACTCTAGTAAAGAGGTCAGCTTTTTATAAGAGGATCTCGGGGGATTTACATGAGATGTCAACCTCCAGAAATGCGTAGCAGAATTACGTACACCTATGTCGATGTGGGAGTCTTCTAGGAGAGGGAAGGTAGCTTTGGGGGGAGGGGAGGTGGTTGCGTCTCTGAATGAACCCCCCTCACTCTCCGATGAAGCCGTGCGGCCATTTCTTATCTCTTTTAGGTTGCAACTTTGTCCACTCTGCCTATTCTTGCACTCTTAAATTGGACCAGGCTGAACACGCTGAGCCATGGACGATAACGTAACGAGACTTTTATGGGGCTTACGTTCAATGAGAGACTGAAGAAACGAAGGCAGTGCCCATCAGCTATAGTGAGAGAATGAAATACCCCTTTGGGCCAACGCTGTTTGCAACAGCATAGGAACAACGTGAGACCGAGCTCGAAGCCAGCAAAAGCGGCACTAATGTCTGCATCTAAGAATATGGCTCACGGTTTTTTTACAAGATCAGGCCAAAAATATATGACATGACCAGTACAGCGTCCGTATTTAGGGCCAAATTTTCTGGACCGGACTTTGTACGGGAAAATGTGTTCAACAAGGTGTTCAAACAGTGGGTCACCAGTTACAAAGGTCAACTAGCGGCTCAGTATTGTAGACCTTATCTGTTATCGGAGGGCCCCTGGTTCAACCACGTTTAACACTTCTAGTACGTAAACGGCGCAAAGCAGGCTATCTAGTTTAGCCAGTCAAACTCATGGTTTGGCCCTCAAGAATTAAGCAAGTTGAGCATAGATTTCTGAAACACCCTTTTTCCCTGCGGAATAAAGTACTCGGGTCCATTGTTCAACCACGGGCCGATGGCGTCAAGACGTTACAATGAAAATTGGGCGGCTCAATTCAAACTGAAAAGATCAAAAGCAAAAGTCCGAGCTGAGTGTAGAGTTTGAGATAATATGCTGGGCAGTAGCATGCGACTTTGATTACTGCGTTGTTGAAATCCTATCCCTGTCATTGTTAGCCTACGCTGACTGCAGTTCACTGCTAGCCCACGCTCACTGCTAGCCTATGCGACCGGGTTCGAAGCCAGCAAAAGTGGCATTAATGACTGCCTCTAAGAATATGACGTCACGGATTTTTAAGGCCAACAAAATCAGGCCAAAATTTATGACAAGACCAATACAGCGTTCGTATTTAAGGCCACATTTTCTGGGCTTGGACTTGTATGGGAACCTTGTGTTCAACAGGGTGGTCAAACAGTGGGTCACCATTTTTACCGCTACTATTACAAGGGTTAACTAGCGGGTCAGTATTGCAGTCTCTTTGTTATCGGAGGGCCTCCTGTTCAAATCCCGTGGTTTTGCACAGGAAATTTAGCTCTCAAATAGTTCAGCAAAGTTGAGCATCCGTCGCCGAGGGATACGCCATTTTCTTGGGCGGTATAGGGATATCATCTCATTTTCTCTGCTTACTATACGATTACTGCTGCATCAAGAAGCTCGGAGGCTGCCGGCGGCCCAACCCAAGATGTCTGCTATCACTACGTTAAAGCATGTCACATAAGCAAGTCTAAAAATATAAATCAATAAAGGATATTAAGAGGATTCTTTTCTTCTACCACGTAAGCACTCAGGCTGCCAGGAGAAACTAGCTCACTCATTCCATTCATTTTCGAGTAGCCATTTCATTACCAGGATGACAGCGAGCGATAAGTTGAACTTCTATTTTGCATTCCTCCCCCTCCCCCAAATACAGGCACCGTAGTCTTATATTCAACTGAAGGCGAGACAAGCCCCCATAAGAAAGCATGGATGATGTTAAGCGCTCCTCAGAATAATACGTTCACGTAAGGGAATAAGTCTCATGTTTGAACAATGATGTGGTTCAAGGCGAGGACCAGGTAAGGTGATGTCGTAAAGCAGGCAAGCATCTCAAAGATAAAATGGCCTCAAAGCTCTTTAGTGGACGACAATGACCCTCATTCAAGATCAAAATCACAGTTTTTCAACCGTGACCTTCAACTGAGTGCGGAGTGGGGCTAGATAGATGGCCAGCTATGACAAGGAATTCTCAAAACCCTCAGCGCGATACCAACGTACCGATATTGGCCTAATCTGCTCTCTTGTTTTCAATGAGTTACCGTTAATCATGGCGTTCTTCGCATTTCTCTCCCACGTGCAGAAGCCCGACCAGAAGTTTCTCGATATCACAATGTTAGCTGCCGAGATGGGGCTAAAGACTTGGCAGTAGGCAAGCCAAAAGAGCGCAAAATAAAGAGCAGTTCCCTGCTCTGCCATCTAACTGTGCACAGTGCACAGTAACTGCGCCACTTCTTTTTAAGGGGTATCCCTACAAACAATAAGTCTCTGAGCTATTTTAAAAGGTTAGAATTGCTTCTAAGAGTATTGGGATAGATCGAGTTTTTACAAACTTAGGAGAGTAGTTAGTTTCCGCAAATAGCTAGTGTAAGGTCCTTGGCCGTAGGGGTTGTTGCGAATAGTGCGAAAGGGTGTAATACACCTAATAATAAGAAATATACTGTCGCGAGGTATCAAACCCGAGAAATTAGGAATTCTTAATAGATTAGCGCTGAGCTTCCTCTTATAATACTCTTCGCGAAATAGGGGCTTTCTCCCAGGCTGTCTTGCGGAGAGTAGTACGATACTAGTATACAAGTCCAACAACTTCCAGGATGGTTTCAATGAAAATCGCGGATATTAATATGGCAGGGTTGCAGCAGGTTAACTTTCTGATGATCTAGGTTTTAATAAAACAGGCTCTTATCAAGTCTATTTGGCTGAGAATGTAATTGATCACTATGAGTGCTGAAGGACTAGCGCCTCCAGCACGACCCTGGCTATGTCTGATTGGTTTATAGTGGGTCCCCCGCTTCAGCACCTCAGCGCTTCGGCCTCTCCCGCTGCCAAGGAACCGACGTTCCTTGAGACACCTTATCCTGGAAATGGCATGATCTAGGACGAGTGTTCCTGGTATGTATCAACGGATTTTTGGGATAAAAAGGTACCAGGTATTAGTTATTTATTGTCCAAGCAGACGTACTATATTAGATAACCAGGATTCGTGGGCCCACGATCGATCTGGCCTGAAGCCCGTGAAGGAGATCTCTATGACCGGGATTCTAAGCCTGAATTACAGCCGGACCTGAACTAAAGGGTACGCAATGATCAGCAAAGTGATGCCAAAGTTTCTACTGGTTCAAACGAGGGATTCAGGTTATGTAGTTTGCGGTAGAACTAGCCATTGTACCTTTATGGCTAAA